TCGATAGCTTTTAATATAAATCCTTATTATGATTCTATCTTTAATTTTAATTACTTAGTTATAGTCTATAGTCTATAACCTCTAACTTATTACTAACGTAATATACTTATTATTACTTAGACTACGCCCTATTATATCTATTAATATAAACCCCTCGATAGGTTTATCCCTTAGGAATAATACTAGTCGTTATATAGCGCTTAAGTAGTTTAGACCTTATTTATAAGATTATTACTTAAATAAGATTTCTTAGTATTAAATAAAGTTAATATCTTAAACTTTAAGAGAATAATATTTATTAGCTTATATAGTAACTTAATAGTTATAGCTTACTTAACTTAATAGGGCTATACGATCTATCGTTAGGTTATATACTAAGCTAATATCGACGTCCTTATATATAAGATAAAACGCTTACTAGTATAAATTAAGGACGTACTAAGGGATTATAACTTAGTATTTTTTCTAAGAGACTTATTATTAGCCTATAACTTAATCTAAGATATAACTTTAGTTATAGCGGTTAATACTACCGCTCGCTATATTTAATTTAAGAAAGGATAGTACTTAGGAATACTAATAGACCTTAGCGATAAAATATAGTTTTTATAGATCGACCTACTTAAGGAAACCCTAGCTAGGGTAACTTTAATTAAAGAGCCGGCTATATAAAAGATTATAGAATATAGCGAACTATACTAAGATACTAACCTATTAAAAGAAACCCTAGAAGAAGGGAGCCCTAAGTCTATTAAAGGGGAACTCCTTTTATAGATATATAAATAGACTTTAAACTATAAGATTAGGATTTTTAAGACTATAGCTTCTTAGAGATAACTACTTTAAAGGACGTTAAAATCTATAATTAAGACCCTATATTTAAAAAAAAGATTTAATATATAGTCGCCTTCTTCCTAACCTTATAAAAGAACTAAGGTCTTATTAAGGTCTACTTAGACTACTATATATATATTCTATTAATAGAAAATTAGTACCTATAAAAACTAGCTTTTAAGGCTTACCTACTTAGCTAAAAGGATAAAGCGCTAATCGACTAAACCTATAAGGACCTATATTAAAAGGGGTATATAAAATAGGTTATAAAGGCAACCTTATTCGCTTACCTTATATTTATAGTTTAGAGAACTATATATAGTAACGAAAAGGGCTAAATAGTAGTAGACTTATACGCTTTTAATAGCGTAGACGCTTACTTAATATTACTTTAAGGAGATATAATTTAAAAGCTATAAAGGAAACGCTTTATTATAATAACTAGTATTATTTCTAAGAGATAAACCTATTAAGGGGTTTATATTAATAGATATAATAGGGCGTGGTCTAAGTAATAATAAGTATATTACGTTAGTAATAAGTTAAAGGTTATAGACTATAGACTATAACTAGGTAATTAGAATTAAAGATAGAATCGTAATAAAGATCTATATTAAAAGCTATTAAGCTATCTATTTAAAGGAGTAAAAGTAGGTAGCTATATATACCTATAAAGACTATCCTTAGATTATAGTCTTAGCTATAATCCCTTTTATAGCTTATTATAGCTTAATTATAAGCTATACTCTTAAGTAGTAATCTATCTATATAAGGCTTACTTAGCTTATATACGCTCTAAGTAAGCTAAGCCTAAGTAACTTCTTATCCTAACTATTATTTTAAGCCGCCTTATTATATAAACGTAGCTAGCTCTCTTATAGCCTACTAACTATAGTTATAATACGATATCTCCCCTCCTTTTAGTCTTATCTATAAGACCTACTACTACCTTAGCTACCGTATATAAATATACCCTTATCGCGTATATATATATTCCCTATTTCGTCCTTTCTATCTCTTAGGATATACTACTAATAGTATATCTAGTCGCGTATTAAAGGATCGTTCTTATAAGACCCTTAAGCGTATTTATTTAGCTAAGTCTATTAATTATCTTAGTTTCGACGTTATACTATATTCTTTTTATTCGTCGCGCGGCTTCCGCTATAAAATACTAAAGAAATCTTCTAAGTATATTAAATATATATAGCGGGGTCGTTCTTATAATACGTTAGGTATAGCGATTAGCTCTTATAGGTAACCTTATTATCCTACTTATTATCTATAGCTAATGTGTTTCTTAGTATCCTAAATAAATCTAAAGTCCGATCGATTAAATAAAAAAGAAGAAATTACTAAGGAGTAAATATTAAAAGCTTAAGCCGACCTAAATAAAGCCTTAGCTCGTTTAGCGCGGCTTTACCGTTAAAAGCGCTAGCTAAAGATAAAGGGTACTAAGATAGTCTATTAAGGCCTTTATTTTTTAGATAACCTTAATAAGGCTAAGCGCTAAGAATCTAAAGCGGTAGTTAATATTTAGTCTATAAGTAGATTTAATATAATTAATTAAAATACTATTAGTTTATTATACGATTTTATAATACCTAGGGTAGATTTTACTAGTAGAACTATTAAAGTAAAGAACTATAATAGGTTAAGTGCTTAAGTAGTTCTTAGGTATTTTCCTTTAGTCTATATCCTTTTTACTTAATAAGGTATTCTTATTACTAACCTTATTTTCTTATATCTAGTATTTATTCTACTTTATATTCTTAATTATTATTAACTTTAATTTTTTCTTATAGTTTAGCGTTTTATAGCGCTAGTTCTAATAATAAGATATAAAATATTAGGTATATCTATATTATTATTAATAGCGAAAGTTTATAGTTAACTTTTAAAATAGTTTTCTTAACCTTAAATAGTCTAAGTTTCTTAAAATCTAATTTATTACTTAGTTATTTTATTTTAATATTTCGTTATATAAGGTAGACTATATCTCCCTCTTAAAAGATTAGTCCCTATAATCTTTTCCGATTATAGTAAGTAGATATTTATTCTTTAATAAATTAAAGTTCTTATTATATTTCTTTATATAATTTTTATAGCTAATCTACTTATAGTATTGCTTATTTTACATATAGTCTTTATTAAGTAACCTTAAATACTTCTAGGTTATATCTATAATTAGCGTATATTAGTAAGAGCTTAGTTATTTCTATAACTAAGCTATTATAAGCTAGTTATACTATTAGTAGTTATTTAACTTAATCGTTTTATTTATAGTTAATATAATATCGTAAATATTATTTAAGCGTTTAGTTAAGTCGTTTTATTTATCTATCTATTTATAAGTAATAAGCTATACTAAGCTTATATTTCGTCCTTAATTATACTATAAGAGCTTATTAAAACTTAGCTATAAATATACTTTCTTTATTAAAGATAATCTCGTTTAATAGTCTATAATTACTAATAATTATTTATAGGAATATATATACTAGCTCTTTTATATTACTTACTTCTTTATATAGTAAAAAGTATCTATACTTTATTAATCTATTAGTAATAATAAATATACTATTATATTTAACGTTAGTTATAAGTTCTTTTAATAGTAATAGCTTTATAATATTATTAAAAGCTATTAAATCCTATAGTTTCTCTAATACTAATAGCGGTTATAATTCTCTATATAGCTTATATTATTTAGCTTTACTTTATATATAAAGTTCGTATTCTTTAATAACTTATTATACTACTTTCTTAAGCTATAAGAAGTTATATTATCGTTTAATCTATTTTATTATTCTTTAGATTCCTTAGTATTTATATATTAAATATTCGTATATATCTTATATAACTTTATCTTATAATACTAGTAGTATCTAGATTTTATTTTTATATATTAGAATTTCTAAATATTCTATATTATATCCCTTTAATACTTTATATTCTTTTATTTATTTTAGGATCTTTTAGTATATTAAGTCGTTAGGTTATACTTTAAATATTATATTTAGCTATCGTTACTAGTCGTTCTTATTTTTATTAATTTCTAAGAGCTATCTTTTCGCTATAAGTACTCCTATATTATAGTTACTTTATCTATTAAAGGTATTAGCTTAACTATTTTCTTTTCCTTTTCTATAGATTATTTTATAGTTAAATTCTAATAAATATTTAGCCTATTAGATCTATTATCTATTTAACTATTATATCGTTATAAAATATAAGATATTCTTATAGTCTATATAGACCTTAACTTTATATTTACTTTTAAGAAGGTAGTATTAAAATTCCTTAAAAGCTTAAATAATTATAAGGAATTCTTTATCGTAGATAGGGTAATTAAGTTCTATACTATATAGCTTTTTCGAGTAAAATATAATTAGTTATAGTCTTTCTTTATCGCCCTTTTATTTAATTTATACTCTTAAAGTAAAGTCTAATATATTAGTTTTAAGTTTAATTTATTATTTTAAATTAAAGGTAATTAAGACTAGTTCTTATATAATTATAGTCTTAATATATTTAAAAGCTTTATTAGCTTTATCGTCTTATATAAATTCTTTTTCCTTCTTTATTAAGTTATATAGTAGTACTATAATCTTTTTAAAATCTTTAATAAATCGTTAGTAGTAATTTATAAATCCTAGGAAACTTTATATATCTTTAATATTCTTTAGCGTTAGCTATTCTTTAACTAAGTTAATCTTATCTTATTATATTTATATCTCTAATAAACTATGAGACGGCGGATTTACCACCCGTTTGGACGGTCTCTGCCACCAAAGGTGGCGGCCAATTTGCCAGGAATCCAGAGCGAGAACGGACAAATGTATCGCCGGGCTCATCCCTCCAAGTATCTCCGATGTACTTGGCATGTCACCCATCATGCTCAGCCCGCAGAGCCACGCCGGGACGCCTCCGCGGCCCGTTTAAGCTGTGTGCCTTTCCGACACCTCTTTCTAGCCTCAAAGAAGGAGCCACAAAGCGCTCAGAACGGTGGCGTCGCATAGGTCATACTTAAGAAGCTCTTACTCCGCCTCAAATTTTGGTAGCATCTTACCTATTACACAACCAAGCATTACTGTGGAAACTCTTTCCTCTTGCCAGCTCACGGAAAGCCGCATCCCGCTGACTTATACGATCCATTGTCAACCATGACGCGCCGAGCACGCCATTCCGCCATCTCTTACGACTCGGACGCGTCTTACTCCCCCGAGAACGAATTTGACGATGGTGGTCTCTTTGACAAAGTTGAGCCCCTTCACTCGGATACGTATGCGGAGGCAACGGATGTAGAGGACTTGAACTTCGATGACGCAGACGGATTCGTCGACGCTGACGTTGAAGACCAAGTCCAGCTCTTCGGTGGCAACGTTCATCCACCTGAGTACTACCGGGAAGCCGTTGAGAAATTCAACGAGACCGCCTACGAAGCTCAAGACTATAGCGACGGTAGTCTACTGCTCCTCGATGCCTGCGACGCACAATGGCGCCAGTACGTCACCAACGACATCATGTCCCTTATGACTCCCAGCCTCTAACATGTAATGGTCCTACCCTCAGGTACTGCGAGGTGCTGGGTTGTGACCCCCAAAAATGTTTGGAGTCTGTCTCGAGTCCAGCTCCTGCGGCTTTTGTATAACTTTTTTGACTGGTCCCTCAACCAGAAGGTCGGTAAGGATGGCAGGAAAAGGCGAGGAACGAGGAAGAGCAGCTCTTTGAGCACATACTGGAAAGTCTTCCGACTCGTCTTCGAGAGAGCCACTGGAGACAAACTCGACCCGAAACTAAATCGGCGTATGCACAAGGTACAGCCCGATCCTCCGAATAATAGGTCAAAGGTAACCCTGCAGGTTCTCCGAGACCTCTCCAAAAACATGACTTGAGCGACCAGAGGCGAGCGAATCGATGCATGACGATCGAAGATCTCAAGGAGCAAATCGAAACGACAATTAGCACGACAAAAAATCGTTCAGGCTTGGGAACTTCGGATCCTTGCTGTTCTCTTTCTCCTTCTTCTTGCACCCGCTGGAGCTCGCCCCACATCCATCCTGCGTCTCCGGTTTGGAGACATCCGGCTCGCACTGGTGAAAGACCCAGAAGGTGGACCGCATAATATTTTGATTCGCTTCACCTTAGCCTTCACGAAAACGTACCTCGGTGTCAAAGATGCGTAAGGACGCCAGAAACGCCGTGCTTCATCTGCTCGTAGGATATGGCGCTGACGCGAATCTAGGAAAACATTTCCTCTTCCAGAGACCTTGGCCGACCCTTCCTTGCTACTCAATCCTCACATCTTCCTGCTAGGCATTCTTTTCCGCCATCGCGCGTTCCGAGCAACAAGTCTCAATTCACCCGCACAGCTTGCCAATCTTGATATCCACCCTGAGGAGCGGGAGCTACCTCTGCCGCTCAAGGACGATCTAAAAGACACATATATATTCCGACGGGCTATGAAAACCTTTACCGGCTATGAGCTATCCCAGGACAAGCCTCTTTCTTACCAGATGATTGCACAATGGATCAGAAGGGTTGGCGAAATATTGGGGTTGGAATACCCCACCATCCCCTACAACTTGCGTTATAATGCGGCCAATGAGTTCGATCGAAGTGGTTCGTCAAGTCCTCCAATCACGATAGCCTTGTTGCTTACTCCAGCTTCAGCCGATATCAGCGAGTCGCTGCGAAATCTTGCTCTAGATCACGCCAATTCGAATCCCTTTCAGAAGCACTACCTGGGACGGAGGTTTGCGCGGATACTTGGGGTATTCTCCGGCGACAAAAACCACAGCAGGCGCTCATAAGGCAGGCCTGCAGCGTCGGCCACTCTATCAGCAAGCGGAGACCCACGGATCTCACAGCTGAACAAATAGCATCCGTGTCTACTGATCCTATCATCAAGCGACTAGAGCAAGACCTTCGGCATCATCGCCCAGGTTCAAAGAAGCACATGGAACTCCGCCGTCGACTGAGGAACGAGAAGCAAAGATTGAAGAGGGTGCTTAAGCAGAAGATTCGAGATGAATGGACTGCCAGACAGGCGGTGGACGACATTGAGGGGCAATTGCAAGGTATTGGGTTTGTCAAACAAGCGACTGTGAACACTCCCATTTGTCCTCAGCGACCGGCTCAAAAGCGATTGGTTGAGGCCCTCGCCGCTCCACTTGGCAACACGCTCGAAGGTCAATATCGACGGAGAGACAATGCTATCGCCGCCATCGTAGCTTATTGTATGGTCGAGGAAGGGCAGACGATCCGCGGCGCTCGAGCGTCGGTCGACTCAACTAGGCCTACTCATGAACGAACCGCCTATCAACAGCCCTCAACACACGGCTCTGATGTCCACCTTCATTAAGACAGTCACGGACAGGCCTCGAAGATGCTTCATCTGTGTCGGCAAGGCCCTTGATTTGACATCAGATGATGGGGCCGTGGAGGTTCTCATTCGCGAGTTTTACACTCCTGGAGACCTGTCCAAGCACTTCCGACGCAAGCACTTGTCGAATTTACGCGAGGGCGATGAGATTAGATGTTCGATCTGCGATTTGCCACTGGACCATATGGAGCATCTGCGGAACCATGCTCTACGAATACACGGAACAGTGTCCTAAGCTATGCCTTTTGACCAATCGAAGTTGTTGGTCTGCAAGGTAGCAAATCGAATGTATCGCTTGGTATCTCCACGGTCAACCTGCATCGCGCGAAATCTATGTGTGGCTAAAGCAGTCACCTTGTTCTCAACCAGACTTCCTAATCAGGAGATTTTTAGTATGAGACACGGAGAACTTACGTTCCTCGAGCTTCAGCCTTCTAGTTGACGTCCATTTTCGCGCGGTGGTGATAGAGGAACTTTTGCGGTGGAAGTGTTCCAATCGTTCTTACGAGGAATGTCGGAGTGTTAGGCTATTAGGTGTTATCAAGGACCACCTGAAAGATCATTATAAGGCCATGTATCAGGACCTATAGTGACCTCACGTGTATGGCTAATTTGGTGCCCATGGAAGTTACCCAACGGCATAAATAGGACCGTTGGGCCGCACCTTCTAGATCTTCATAACAACTTGTGTACTTGCTCCTACCTCTTCCAATGTGTATTGGCGTAATCGTCGTTAAACATTAATTCTGTCTTTCGCTTGAACGGCCGTCGGGCCACCTAAAAATCCACACCTAGATAAAAGGCGTGCGTGATCGAGCGTCCAGCGTCTTTGCAACAAACCAATTGTCAAGGACAACCACGTGGGCGGCATCGTATCGGCTCTCAGTCGCGGGAAGTGCATCGATCGTCAATGTGACTAGAACACAACGTAACTAAGGAACGAGCATTCTTGAAAAACGTCAATTTGCTCCTCGAATGTTTGCCTGCTCATTACTTCTTACGGCATGATGGAGGTCAATTGGGCTATCGTGGTGCCTTTAACAGTTACCTAGGGGAGGCACGCAGCTATCTTACCTTTTCCCAGCAAGCTAGCGAGCAACCAGTCTGCCATGAAGGGCTGGCCGCGAGAATCCTCCCGAAGCTTCAGGATACACGCTCCTCAGATCTATTCCAGCCGCGCGACAAAGCAATCATGGTCTACCCTTGAAAGTTCACACTATTGTATTTCCATTAGCACCACCTGATCCACCTTGAGTAAGTACGTGCCGAACCTGAGCAGGGACTGAGCTACCCTGAGCAGGGGCTGAGCTACCCTGATCTGCCCTGAGCTGCCTGAGCCGCCTGAGCCTGTCCTGAGCTGCCCTGAGCTGCCCTGGGTTGCCCGCTCCGGCGTGTGGAGCATCGAATAAGCCACTGCCAAGCGGTTGAACGAACATTGTACAGCCGCTGCATTTTTCGCTGCCGCAATACTTGTGATATCCTGGCTTACACGCGTCGCCAAGTTGTAGCGTATTTAGGAATCTGGTGTACCAGTCTACGCTTCACAGTCTTCGATGCTGCGCGAAATACATATCGTGTAATTTTTCCGGCCCTTCCATAATCTGCAGATACTCCTCTCATGCTCTTTGAACTCTTCAAATAACAAAAATTCGAGATGCGAAATTACAGTATCACGCATCGAGGAGAAAATTAACTTACCAGTTGGCAGTTGCTTGCCGTAGGTACATCTCAAGGCTTTGACCGTACCGTACTTGCGTTCTGGCGAAAGGTTTCTACCGCCCTGTCAAGATCAAGACGCTCATTCACGGTGCTGCCTAAAAGGCAGCAAGCAGTTCGTAATGCCATATTAGTGATGGATTCGAACCTTCTAGGTGACATCGTCATCTATGCTGTGTGATGGGTTCTAATAGTGTAAATTACAGCTATGTAGTCCTCGTGCGTTTTACATTCGAGCTGAGGAAAGAAGAAGGAAAGGAAAATAGAAGGACAGAAATCCTCCAACAAAATAGACTAAGCCGTTACTGGAGCAACAGTGCTTAGACCGACAAGGCACTGCCTTGTCCAGCAGGGCCTAGCCCGTTACATGCTGCCTTGGTGGCGACATCGCCACTCAGCCCAAAATTCCAAGTATAAGAAGCCAACTTTTCACCATCACTTAGATAGAGAATCAAGAGTCTTTCGTTGCCCGATACAGGGATCTTCTTCCCGATCGTTGTTCAGTCATCCACACCAACCGTGCCCCTTGTTGTGTGACCCTGTCTCTTACGATCTGTGACTGACTGACTCACTCTGTTCCGTCCCGCAGGTCCTAACGGCCATCAGGTGCACAGCCTCTGATGCAGCTTGGCGTCACTTGACCAATCATACGCGCAGCCCAGAGTTATTGATGTTCTAAGCTCCAGTTCTCATTGGTCAAAATCGCTTCTACTAAGAGGACAAGATGACGCCATCCAGACGTGCGCCGTCTCTCGAAACATGCATGAAGTTTGTGCAAAAGCCCCTCCCTGCCCGGCTGAATTCTGCCTCCTCCTGGTAAAAGACCAGCTCAAACGGAAATAATACTGTAGTGTACACTATGTTACATAGTAAGCCAGTCAGGACAATAAAGGAGCACTTCGGCGCTCATTAGCTCCACAGGAGTATGAACTACTCGCGCATGTCCACGACCGTTGCCCACCAGACTTACCTGAGCCTGCTTTTGCCCAATCTAGACGCTATATTCTTGGCTCGGCGGGCGGAGAGCCGGAAAAGCCTATGTCGCAGAAGAAACGAAAATGTCTTAACCTTCTTCTGGGCGTAGTTCACAAGCACGTTTCAGATCAACAGACAGTGTTGGAGCCGCCAAAAGCGGCAATTCTGGAGGTTGGGGAGGTAAATAGCCCCTTGCCGCACCTCGAACGTCATCATCGCGGTTTGTGCCCATGTACCTGGAAGTAGTGTCGCTGAAATGCGCCCAAAAAGGACGCGGTTTGGTGACGCAAGTTGTGGCCCCTGACCATTCTCTCGCATACGTCTCCGAGACCCCACATCTCCTACCCTCGCCTTCACTCCTCTTCTCTCTAGCCCCAGCACTCCCTTGTATTCTTACTTTCTTGGCACCATCTGTTAAGGACTTCGCTGTACACAACACACATCCGCTAACAAGGGCGTTTAACACCACGCTCAGCGCAAGCTGAGGGCGGCGATGGCACCCAACCCCGCGGACCAGGCGCGACTGCCGCCCCAGGAACAAGAGCCGATGACTCCCACGAACGCCCCAGGAGCTAGAGAAGCGCTCCTCCGGCAGGCCCCACGCGCGGGTCTTGCCGAATTACTGTTGCCACGACGCGCACAGCAACCCGACGACTCTCCATTCGGCTCCACGAACAGCGACAATGCCCACACCGACACCGACCAGCCAGATGCTGTAATGGGAGACGCAGCAGACGAAACCGAGACCGACGAGCCGGACGACCTGCCCGAGACTCAAGGCCCAGCAGTAACGGTTGCCCACGCGGCAGAGAGACTTATCGCCAACCAGATGGAAGCACAACAGGCAAAGCTGGCCGTCTTCCGCGCATTCTGCACCGCCTTCGACAAGACGGCTGCCCAGTTCAACTCGGGCCACGAGCTCAGCTTCGCGAAGGAATTCTCGCGCGGCTTCATTAGCTACTGGGACGACGCGCTCAACGGCGCCCCACACGCGCCGGTCAGAATGTCAACAACCGCCACGGCAGAGACGGGACCGCACCGACCTACGCCGCTATGGCCCAGAAGGGGATGGCACAGACAAGGGCTCCCCTGCCGGCACGCCTCGGCCCGAAGCCCCGGAAGGCGCCTCCGGTCCAGCCGCCTAAAGATGACCTGCGTGTCTTCGTGCGGCTCGACGACAAGTCCCCAGCATGGGGCTATCAGGGGCATGCCATCAGAGCTCACGTAGCTAAGACTCTCAACCTAGGGACAGAACGCATGCCACAGATCGCCCGGGTTAAGACTGGATGGGCTATACGGGCCTCAGACCGGGAGGCGAGGACCTGCTTGTGGAACGGCAGGACGACTGGGCGGCCCGCCTCGGGGCCGTGGCGGTTGAAGGCTTCCAGAAGTGGCACACGTACGCTGTGGCCGACTGCCCCAGGCAGCTCACGGATATCTGGGGGGCCGCCGTGGACTATGACCAAGCTATCAAAGAAGAGATCAAGCTCCAGACAGGTGCCGAACCAATTGATGTGCACATTGCTAAGAGATACTCCGAAAGCTCCGACCAGCCCACTGTGACAATGATTGTGTCCTTTCAGGCGGCGATACAGAGGAGATGGCGGCTCTTCGGCACCAGCCGACTAGCCCGACTGATCGCCAAGACCGCCCGGCCCGCGCAGTGCGACACCTGTTGGGATTATCACTCCCGCTACGCCTGCGACCGAAAACAAGCCTGCCGACGATGCGGCGGGAAAGACCATCGCGATAACGACTGCAAGCAGCCGGAGAGGTGCGCGAACTGTTCCGGCCCTTCCCGGCAGACCATAGGAGTGCCCTGCCAGACCTAGGCGCTCTCACGGCCAACTCGTGCGGCTCTCCAAGATCGAGAAGTACGCCGTAAGGAAGATCGGCTCTCAGCTATACCGGCAAGCCAATATGGAGCTCGAACGGGCCACGGCGACCGCCTCCCCAACCCTCCCAAGGACCGACCCCATCGCCCTGCATGAGAGCTGCCGAGGCCCGCCTAGGCAAGCAACAGGACCAGCAGCAGCAACAGCAGCAGCAACAGCAGCAGCAATGTCGACCCCAGCGGCTGTCCCCACCAGCGCGCAGGCGCCAGACTCACAACGCTCCCTCCACAACAGGAAGACAGATCCGAGTCTCCTATGAAGAGGCGCCGACGAAACGTATCCCTGGACCCCTATGAACAATAGGCCCCAACACTAACAACTCGCGACAGGAGGACGATCCGAGTTCTCCAGGCCAACGTGGCCAAAATAGGGGCCTATCATAGCATAGCCCTACGACTAGCGGAAGCGAAAACTACGACGTCGTGCTCATCCAGGAACCGAACGTTTGGATAGAAAAGAAGGCGGAGCCTGCAGGACCCAGACGCACCGCTCCTTCCACGCATTCGCCCCAGAACGCGCCTGGGAACCGGATCAGGCCCGAGTGATCTCGTATGTCCGGAACCACCCAGATATACGGGCAGAGCAACTCTGCCCCGCCCTACGCGTGATATCCTGTGGCTCGGGTAAACAGCACCCTTATTATCAACTTCTATCGACACGCGAAGACACCCGAGCCACTCGACTACCTCCTCCACCAGCAGGACGTCCCCGAGAGATGCCTCATCGCGGGCGACTTCAACGCCTGTCATTTCTCCTGGCAGCCTGGAGCCCGGAGTGCGAGGAACGGAAGGACATCGCCCAGTGGGCGGCCGACAAGGGGCTCGGACTGCTCACCACGCCAGGCGAGGCCACACACGCCCGCGGAAATACCATTGATCTAGCCTTTGCCAATATCCCCTCTGCGGACGCGCTTATCGAAGAGCACCTTCATACCGGCTCGGACCATTACACGATCAGCATTACGCTCCCGGCGGATTCCCCAAGGACGATAGCTAGACCAAGGGTAAGCTCCGAGGAAGAAATGAAGCGATTCGAGGAACTTGTGCGGGCTGGGGCCACAGCACTACCCCGGCTGGCCGTTGAGCCCAGAGGCCTGGAGGCTGGCCGAGGCGCTGTCTCGCCTACTCAAGAGGCGGCCGACGCAGCGGGCCGACGGCCCAGGAAGAACGCGAGAGGCACCCCATGGTGGAACGATCAGTGCGCCGGTGCAGCGGCCGAACTAAGAGCTATGCGGCGGATCTACCCCACAGGGCACGGCAGAGAGGTCCAGACTGCCCGGCGGGAGCTGCGCCGGGCGGTACGGCGGGCTAAGAGACATTTCTGGCAGACTGTTCTAGAAGGCGCCGAGAGCAACCAGGATATCTATAAGATCATGCGGTGGTCGAGGAAACCGAGCCCGTTCCGGGCCCCGCCTATACAGGTAGGCGACCAGGTCTTCGAGACCCAGACGGAAAGGCAAACGCGCTCCGAGTCGAGATCCTAGAAAGGCGCGGGGCCGCGGACGACATCCGGACCCCTGGGCCCCAGAGGTGCTGGCCCCAGGAGGACTCTCGACTGCAGCGTCACGCTCGCGGATGCGGCATGCGCCTGCACCTCTACGGGCAACACCTCCCGGGGATCGACGGCATCACGGTCCGAATGCTGCGTCGCGTCTGGAACCACATCGGCGAGGCGGTGAGGGAACTATATGAAGGCTGCCTACACGTGGGCTACCACCCCGCCTGTTTCCGCGCAGCAGAGGTCGTAATGATCCTAAGCCTGGCAAGAGGGACCTGTCTATTCCGAGAGGCTGGAGGCCGATTTCTCTCTAGCTTGCCTCGGCAAGGGACTCGAACGCCTAATAGCCCGGCGCCTAGCCTGGGCTGCGATCACACAACGAGTCATCCACAGCCAGCATGCGGGTGCCCTGCCCAAACGTTCAGCGCTCGACCTAGCGCTAGCATTGCTCCACGACGCGGAGACGGCCCTCACCGAGGGGAAAGTCGCCACGCTAATCACGATGGATATACAGGGCGCCTTTGACACGGTTCTGCGGAACCGGCTCCTCCTACGCCTACGGGAACAGGGCTGGCCAACAAACCTGGTCCGGTGGGCAGGCTGCTTTATGGAGCAGAGATCGGCCAGAATACGGCTCGAGGATATAACGACGCCGACAACCCCCCTGACGTGCGGGCTGCCACAGGGCTCCCCGGCCTCCCGATTCTCTTCCTCCTCTATACAGTGCCCATCTACTCGACAGGGGAACCGAACTCGCGCTTCGGCTACGCAGATGACGTGGCCACCTGATCCGGGGCCGGTCCCTACAGGAGACGGCCGCCCGGGCCACGCGCGCCGCGGGTGAGCTCATCCAGTGGGGAGCCGATAATGGCGTAGTGTTCGACCCGGGCAAGACAGAAGTCATCCACTTCACGAGACCGAGATACAAAGGGGACCTGCCGTCGGTCTGGCACGGGTCCGTAGAAAGGAGCCACAGCAGGACCTGCGCTGGCTCGGCGTCTGGTACGACAGAAAGCTCTCATTCCGCACGCATGTGGAGAAGTGGGCCGCGAAGGCGATGACGGCCGCAGGGTTCCTCCAGAACCTCTCAAACACCCGGCGCGGAATCCCTCCCCGGTCGACACGGCATGCGGTCACGGCCTGCGTCCTCCCGATCCTTTATACGGCGCCCATGTATGGTACCCGGGGCGCTTCGGCCTGTGTGGGGACTGCCCGCTTAGTTCCGTCGCGGATCACCTACCTGAAGAATAGGATCCAGCTGACCTTAAACGTCGCAATGCGCGCTATCGCGCCCGTCTGGTGTACCATGCCGATTGTGGCCCTCCACCGAGAGACCGGCATCCCCCCTGCCACGCTGCTCCTCGCAGACGCCCAGAGACGCGCCGCGGTCCGTCTACGCTCCCTAGATGAGCGGCACCCTTGACCCCCGTATGAGCATCCTCCCAACGCCTGGCCGGGAGCTAATGAAGAGGCACGGTATGCGGGCCCCTCGCGCGGCAGAAGCAGCACGCCTCGAGACTCCTGCGTCTTCACCAAATGACGGCCCATGCTCCGAGGCCCCGACTTCTCCCCCCAGCACCCCCTCAGCCCGACCCGACAGGGGGCGTAGACAAAACGCAGGCGGCTCGAGACTTCCACTCGTGGCTCCGGGTATGCCCTGAAGATACCCTCATCGTCTACACTGACGGCTCGCAGAGCGAAGACGGCGCCTGCGGGTATGGGTACTCAGTGTGGCTAGGCCCTAGCGAAGTGACCTACGGCAGCGGTCGGGTCCTACTCGCTGAGGTCTACGACGCAGAGGTGGAAGGCGCCCTCGAGGGCTTCGAGCGGCACTCACGTGGTCCCCAGAACCCCGGACCAGCAGTGGCCGATAGTCGTCTGCCTTGATAACACTGCGGCTATAAGAGCCGAGGCAGCCCATCGATCTCGTCGCAAGCGGCTGCGGAGAAGTTCGCTGAGGCCGCGGCTCGACACGGAGATGTCAGCACGCGTTGGTGCCCCGGCCATACGGGGATCGCCGGCAACGAGCGGGCCGACCAGCTAGCAAAGGAGGGCTGCCGGGCCGAGGTCCGGACAGATCGCCGACCTACGCGAACATCAAGAGACAGGCCAAGGCTGCGGCCAGGCGCGACTTCCAGGACTGGTGGGCCGCGGGGCCCGAGCAGCTACAAGAGCCTAGAGCTCAAGGCCTCGCTCAGGTGCCCCCGGGCTGCACACCAAACGAGAGCACCTCCATCACCTGCTCGCTGCGAGGAGCGGGCACGGGGACTTCGCCGACTACCACGAGGTTTAACCACGAAGAGGCCCGGATCGAATGCTCTTGCGGGAGGAAAATCACCGACACACCCCTTCTACTGCCGGAAGGTAGGTACTCGACACCGCCTAAGGCTAGCCCCCACGGCGGGCAAGGCTATCAACCAGGCACTAGGAAGGGGATTTGACCGGTTCCTCGGGCTAGTAACGGAGGCAGAATTCTTTGATCGGATCTGCCACCGCCACTAGCTCGAGGCAACCCTCCAACCTAATATGTACAACTCTCTCTTTTCTATGTTTTCTGCCCGTAGGCTCCCTGTGGGCCTACGGCCCAGCTGACTGCGTGGGCTTTCTCAGTCACCCGGCTCTGACCGAAGACTGACTAATATTACGGCTTCGCCGCCGTGCCCGAACCCGCTGACGGGGAAGGGACCTGAGAATCCGAGCGGCCACAGAGTCCAGAATTGCTAGATAGGGAGTAAGTAAGGAACGCGCGACGGGTCTCCGACGAGCATCCCCATCTTGTACTATACCTAGCCTAGCACGTCTTTTGCCCTTATAGGGATGTCCCAGACGGTAATCAATACTACTACTACTCTTCTCTCTAGCTCTACTTTAAAGTACTTCTGCACTATCCCGCTTCATCGCGCTCCAACCGAGCTGCTGCCACGAGACCCTCCACTACGCCCACCTTCGGGGTTTCCCCCCTCCATATGCCTCTAAACGCAGCCATCTCAAGAAGAGGGCGTAGTGCCTGGTACAACGCAAAAATCTGGCAGAAAAAGTGCTAAGAGAGGTGGAAGCACACTGTGGCTGCGGCATAGCAGCTCGTAGAACGAAGACGTCAGGTCATTGCTGTGTACATATTGCAACCATCTCGAGAATGTCGGGTGAAGCAGAAGCGCGATTCGGCCAGCAGTGCAATTTCATGGTTAACTAATCCTTTCTGGGCTGTGGCGGCAGCCATCCGAGAACAGGTGGTAGGATTGATGACCTGCAGCAAAAGATGCAGGACGCTGCTGACCAACGATCTCCATGTGCAGGGCACCCTTCTTGAACGAATCATCACCTATGCATGGCCTAAACCAGGACCCCTTAATCGTTCTATGCGCGATATTTATCTTCCATGTGTCTAGCCGTATTAGGCAAGGGCGCCTCACACCTAGCGGTAACTTAGCTATGCGCGTTTCCCCTCTGGAAATGGCGCTGTCGTAAGTCACGATTGGTGAGGCGCACTACACTATCGACAAACATGTCTGACATAACATAGAGGTGTCGCGAAGCCAGATACTTAGTGTCATCTGAATCATTAGACAGTAGCTCCAACTTTTCGTAACATAAGGCAAAGGCAATTGGCATCCAGAAAGTGAGGTTATCGCGAGATTTAATTACTATAACTAGTAACTTAGTAGTATTGATTACCGTTTGGGACATCTCCAAAAAAGCAAAAAGACGTGCTAGGCTAGAGAAGACTAGATACATAAGGGCTTAAGGTGTTACGCATTAATGTATTGAAATGTCAGTAGCTTTTACGTCTAGGCCCTATAGGAGAAATCCTCCGGGTGAAATACACATACATACATACTAGATACATAAAGTAACTTATCCTGAGTATCCGTACCTGGGGTTGCCTCGAGCTAGTGGCGGTGTGTCACACACAATACGAGTCAGGGGTAAGCTTACAAGTGGGGGTCTAAAGACCCCCCGCCCTTGGGCTAATGATCGGCTGCAGTGAGATCGTGCTCGAACTACCCCTGCCAATTAGTTTGGGCCGCCACGACATGACGGGGACAAAGACGAGACAAGGCAAGACAAAATGTGGCGCGACGTGACGAAAGCGACCCACCTGCGCGCCATCGAGGTCGGCATGACGTCTGCGATGTTGTGTTGCAGCACGTCGGTGCTGTAGTGACCCAAACACCAAACCTTGTTCCCCTCTACTCCGAGCTCATGCAGACCAGGGCAACCATATGTACATACATATAAGGTTATTCTCAGCAAGCTGAGAGCGCGGGCGGAAGGATAAGGGCAGGCACAATTGAGTCCAAACGATGATGCATGTTTTCTATCTATCTGTGCGACATTGAGGGGGTATTTATACGAACAGATACCAATCTGGGACCCGTGGTGGCCCTGAATCAGTGCCAATTCCCGTGCATCCCGATTAGGGCAATGTTCCTCTACTGTATCGATACCTGACTCAAGTCCTTGTGTCTGACCTGCCTCTTTCACCGGAGTTTATACGTGTGCGGATTAGACTGTCAGTCTGCTCCCTCTGACAGTTATACATACATAAATACAAGATATATATGCATGTACGTATGCACAAACATGCCTCGGGGCCGGCACGTTAAACCTTGCCATGGACAGCACGTGGCGATCGCGGCCCTGACCACCATCTCGCCGTGACGCCTAAGCCATGTTGTCTTGATACCTCAGGGTCTGACCTCGACTGGCCCCAGGCACGATAGGCGTACCTTACATAAGGAGGCGGTTCCTTTCCACGGGCCCCTACTGCGCTTGGCAGCAAAGACAATGCCCCGTCGAATGCTGATACGAATGGCTTGTCAGAGGTGCCGCAAGAAACGAGCAAAGGTCAGTCGATAGCCCACCCGAAGCCAAAGCCCAAAGAGCCCCAGTCGTCTGTCTCATCCCATATCCTGCCTAGCTGGATACTTTCACTGATTGGTTTCTCGCTCTCTAGTGTGATGATGGCCAGGCACCGTGCAAAAGATGCGACGAGGCCGGAGAAGGACGCGTATACGACCACCCGCGACGCAAGTCCAAAGACGATCTACGGGCCGAGATCGATAGTCTACGGCGGTACAACGAGGAGCATGACCGACTACTCCGCGCAATATGTTCAATCAACGACGTCGAAGTCAGCAATGCCTTTATACAAGACTTGGTCGAGGGACCAAGTCTCACAAGCCATTCTGCAGGAGCTGGCGCACCTGAACGGTGAAAACGGGCGTGGCTCGTCAGGTGGAGGTGAACAGGAATCATCGGCGGGCTCTTCCAGCTCCATTCTCGACGAAGCCGTCTGCCCGCACTGCCTGAGCCGACTGCCGTCGCCCACCATGCACCGTTCTGCCTCGGGCTCGAGCGACCTCAGCACACTGACCGAGGCTCCCAAGGCGACTTCGACACCGGCCCTGGCGGCTCCTGTTTCCCCGTCATTGCCCTTTGACGATGCATCACACGCGCAAACCGACAGGTGGACGTGCGCTGGGTGTACGGTGGCTTCGGTTCGGCAGATCCTCGACGCCCTCCTCACCTGGGACTACCTCCCCTTCTGCCTCATGTGCAAGGACCCCTTCTGCCTCATGTGCAAGGACCCCTTCTTCCGAGACTATTGCAGCGGCTCGAGCCGGTACTGCTCCTCTGCCCTGGTAAACGCGCTCATCGCGCTGGCAACCCGGGTGGTCCACGAGATCAGCGACGAAGCGGAGAGCCCGGGGCCTGGCTTCAAGTGCGGAAGCAAACCACTTTCGACAAGGCCGAGGCCATTATCCGCAGAACCGGCCCCTCGGCCAACCTCCCAGATATACAGGCCATCGGGATTCTCTCGCTCTACCAGATTACCTGCGGGCGCGAGGCCGAAGCTCAAGCGCTTGCCGACTCCTTTGCCGCTAGGATAGTCAATCTTTGTCCTCAAGAGCCCCTGATGGGCTCCGAGGCCGAGAAATATGCCAAAGTTTGGGCTACTTCGTACCGCGGCGCCGTGTCCCTGATTCGGTCTGTAAACCGCTTGCAGCCCCTGTTCCCGACTCCTCCGAAGCATAAACTGATGGGATTCCGCACACAGCATACTTCGTCTCACGACGGGCCAAGTCTTCACCATGTCTACGAGTTGCAAGCTACAAGACGACTCAATATTTCTAGACCAATCCGCCTGCAGTGCCGAGTACCTGTTTGGCGGCCAGTGCGGCAGCGGAACTACACCAGGTGAATGCATCAAGTTAGGTATACCCAGGAATTGTATCCAATCAGGAGTCGCACCGTAACACGGCTGCAGACCCTGCCCTGAAAGCACGCGGCTCGCAACTGCGCAATCTACAGCTCATTCCAGCAAGAGTCTTCCAGCTCACGGAATGGGTGTACAAGCTCCTCTCATCAGCAACCCATACCCCAAACGGACGATTCGATACAGCCGAGGTCATGGCAGTGTATACCGAGTGTCTCGATTGGTACGAAGGATTCTTCTCCTACCCAAAACCGGCGGCAGTGACACCCTTTGTACTCTTTATCCAGTATGTACACAGACACAAGAACCCGGCTCACAGGACTCGGGAGGGGCCGAGAGACACAGAGGGAGAAGAGACAGCATCATCCGGCTGACTGCCCGCATGTAGCATGTACTATCAGTTCTGCCTACTCTGCCTGTTCCGCCCTCTCGCCAACCTTGTCCTGGCTGATTCCGACGTCCGACCCCGCGAAATCTGTCTCCAGGCTGCGGACTCTATCCTCACCCTGTCGCAGTCCTACAGCAGGCTCTTCACCTTAGACGCGTCTCCCATTCGTCCCCTATTTTGTTTGTGCCTCTGCCCTTGCATGGCTTACAATTGAGTCAACATGCAACTCTGTGGCCTTGGCTGGCTCGCAACCTTTCCAACCAAGAAAGTTGTCCTTGGCGACCATCTCGGATGTTTCAAGCGTGGACGGGTTTAGCACCTATCAAGACGTGTCCCCCTCCCCGACTGCCGCCAAAGCGCCCATAATGGCCCACGCGAGCCAATTGCTGGCAGAGATGAGCTCCAACCGTCGAATGGCCTCATCCATAGAGAAGATGCTTCGAGGATATCTTACCGAGTTATGGTGATGCAGAGTAGACTCGACAGAGTCTTGTTGTACCGGTAACTTAACGGGTTCTCGCATCGGCCGGGGTCTTTTGCGGGCGCGCTTCAGTACAAGTAGCAAGGCAATCGCCTCACCGGGTTCGAACGCCGTTGGACAAGGCAGCCACAGTGCTTTTGCTCTCTTGCCAAACGCCGAATCTTGATAATTACCCACCCATTGCGTAAGTCTTCAATATGCATACACATATTTTCTAGTCCTGTTTTACGCGTTTGACTGTACTATGCCATGCACTGTCCGAATCCACCCTTCTCTTCGATGAATCGACGGAAATATTATCAGGGCTCGGGAGCTCAACCGCTTCCCCCCCGTTTTCCTGTTGCCTCTGATCTGGGCTGGTGGCTTGAATGTCCAAAGAAACTGAATCGACGCTAGGAGATCGCCTTGATGTCCCAAGGCTTGATGACCCAAGCCAGTGCCTGTGACCTCGCAACCTCCTTAGCCAAGAATTTTCTTCCCCTTCGCAATTGTCAGGTATCTCTGAGCATTTTTGAGCCATTCCCTGCAGTTCGTCGAAGCTAGTGGTAGCAGTGAACGAGCGATCGCCATGTATCTTCAACACTCGTGGAAACCGTAGAGTATAGTACCGTGCATTTGCGGGCTTGTCGAAGCCAGATCCCACGAGTTCTACTATAAATGGATGCTGAAATAACGCCTTTGGGCGTGGTCCACGGTCGGGTCCAAGACCACGTCAAAATTTGGCGTGGACTCAATGAAGGGTATTTGTGTGAAATATCCATGTCGGTTGAGATATTGCATATGGTCTTTCGGGATGCCATGTTTGTCGATGATGTCGATGATGCGAAGTCTTGGCTTAGAATTATAACGGCAGACCTCATCTTTATTTTCCATGCATCCGATAAAAAACGACGTCCACCAGAGCTTGCCAATTCCAATCTCTTGTTCGTCCTCCGCGCTATGGTTGCCACCGACAATAGTGAAGTCGGCAGAGTCACCGAGGCCTGGAATGTAGTCTTTCTTGAGTTTGATGGATGACTTGTCGCAATCGGAGGTGAAGTAAGGGTCGTTGCAACCTTTCAGCACCAGTCCCTCCCACCGTTGTGTAATGGCTCGTGCGAATAGTTCAGTGAGCCGCTCAGCAGCATTGGCTGAGGAGAATGCAACCACTTCGCGGAACCCGACCTCGGCAAGACCAGGGATCCGGCGAACCAGAGACCGAAGTAGTCGTCGCCGCTTAGCATGGCTTTTTCTAGCGCAGACCGTGTCGTCCAGCAACAGAAGATCGTAGAACATAATCATGAGATGTTCATTCATATTGAATGGGGGGGGTCTTGGGCCGCTCCAAGGAGCCGTCCTGATCGTCTGACGTGTTTACGAATTTTGTGGAAGGGCTCGATTACCCTACTGTCGTCGTTCCATACCAGCAGCTCGCCCTCCAGTATGCATTGTTTCTTGATCCTGCAGCCTGCCGTGTCAAGGTCGAGGCTTTCTCGTAACGCGCGATGAAGGCCAATGCGGTCGATGGTAGAGTCCCTCCCACTCTTGGAGAATATTTTGATGCAGGCTCCGGGTTTGCTTAAGTCAACATGAAGTTGACAGTATTCTCCATCGTATTTCCGCTCCACGCTCATTAGTCTTGAGCCAGCCAAGTGGCAGCAATGCTTGATGCTCCTTGCTTTCGCATAAGCTGGCCGTTCAATCATGACTCCAACCTGCGGCTGTAGGACTTTCCTCAACTCTTCCCAGGGATTTACCACGGCCTGTAGGGGTGTATTCCGGATCTCAAGTCCCCCCTAGGATACTTACGGCAACTTGGATTGAATTCTGAAAACGGAGGAGATTCCACAAAAACGGATGAAATCTGCCCATCGCCAGTCTTTCTGGGACAGAGGCCGGATTGTAGTTTTTGGATAGCATGCGAACCAGCCATTTGGCCTCAAAGCTGTTCAATCTTCGGAACAAACTGACGAGCAGATCGTCCGAGCTGCTGCAGGGTTGACGGTATTTCCGCTCAGTTTCTTCTCGCAGATCAGCGGACGAGAAAGGTGAGAAGGCTGCAATCCGATCGAGCACATCGTCAAGTTCTTGCAGAGTCACTTTCGGACCCATCCTTGGTTCGCAGTCCGTTATAGCCATAACGCGCTCAACACAAGTGGCGAAGTCCGGGCTGTTCCTGGTTTGCCATATCTGTAGCTCCTTCATTCGGGACGATCCAAGACATTGTGCTTGTTGGACAATCCTTTCGAGCTGAATTTTTGACAAGCCGAAAACTCGGTCCGGCCTGCGTTCGGGAAAGAGGCATGACAAGAATGCCACGGCTTCTGACCCTAGACGTGGGATGGCTGTATCATGTTTGTCGAACCAGCCAACAAGACTGCGCACATCGAAGTCCTGGGTCTTCTGAATACTGAAAGACCTCGTGTGATTTCTTTCGAGTTCACTGAGGAGTTCACATAAGAGATGCAACGGAAATGGCATATTGGCTGAATATTTGTAGTCCAGGGCTGTTCAACCAGAGGATGGCGAATGTATGACGGAATGAGTCTTAGCACAAGCTCTGGGATGAGCGGAGGGAGTCGTAATCCAACTTATAAACGATGTCCTCCCTGCTCCATTTCCACTGAATCTATGGCCCTCGAGGCGAACTCAGACTTGTAGCATGCGGGTGGGTTGCTCCGTCTAATGACGACGTCGTGAATCTCGTCGCTGCGGCTGACAGCCCTTGCGACATAAGTACCCATTCTGCCTTGCCAAGTTATTTGTCGTGACTGGATTCGGCACCTCTAGTTCGAAGGTTAGGTGGGACTACTGACCTCGCAACGCAATAGCCATGAACGGCAAAACATGTTCACGGCTGGACGCTCGAATGCGACCTCCTTGGCATCCTGTGCCAACCCAAAACGGCTTCACGGCAACCGGCGCATGTATATTGTCACTTGATCTCTGCCCCAGCGCTATTTCCAGAAAGTAGTATCCCACTCGTATCTGCAACAAATGCTGCGTCTCGTTGCAAACCGTACAGTACGACTAGGCTCTAGCAGACTATTGTGATCCGTTGTACTCATACTTGACAAACCCGCCAATCCCTACACGCCTGATAGGGGTTGCAGAGCATCTCAAACATCTCGTCGTAACCGATGAGGAGATTCATTTCCCTCAGCATATCCTGCCCCTCGAAGGCTTCGGTCTCGTCATTCCATTGCAGCGTTATGGGAAAGTGGCTGCCGCCGTTAATCTCGACTTCAAGAAAAGAACGTCCGTCATCAGCGCAAAATGTACTCCTTCCAGCGTGGTATCGGCCCCGATTGTTTCAGACCTCCAGAGCCCTCCGGCCCTCCACCATGCTCTCTTGGGCCTTTCAACGTATACTCATGGCGGGCACTCCTTGGTTATTTCGAGCCAGACCCGTGAGAGCTTGACTTTGTTCACTGTTTTCGCGGCTCCGCTCGCCCCTCTGGGCAAGTCTTCCGATGCCTTCCACCGCTTCGGCGACGCGCGCGTGGTTCGTCATCCAGCGCCTGCTCTGCGGGCCCATGAGGTGGCTGGTCTCGCTGCTGCTGCGGGTCCTGTTTGGCATGCCGTTTGCGATCCTTGGTGCTGTGGCACTCCTGACAGACGGGTTTGGTATTGGCAAGTTGAGCTTCTAAGGCGCCGAGACGAGAGCTGATGTCGGCCAGCTGATTTCGAATTTCGCAGTGCTCGTTGTAGCAAAGGTCTCTGATCTTGCGGTCCGTCACAGCAAAGAGGCTGCCACATGTACAAGTAGTGCTCGCAGCGGCAGTTTCATTACAGCCGACATGATCGATTCCACTGTCTGCTGGCATGTGGCAGGATTTAAGTGCCTCGTTCACATAGGTAAGTTCTTCCAATTCGATGTGACCTTCGAAAACGGGATCACAACTGGAGTCGTCGACATTGTATTCGCGAATATATTTCGGCCCGGATTGACCCTCTCCGCCCCAGGCTGACCAGCCGGTGAGTTTGTCGCTATTTGCTTCTTTACTTGCCATGGCGCTGTGGACGGGGAGAGAGTGGAGAAGGATGGAAATACGTGACGAGGATAGTGTAGAGGTAGGATGAGGAGACGAAGACACATGGAGTCGGAATGTATGGTCTTTATAGGCAAACCCTCGCGTAAGGACATCTCGTGATCTTCTCCTACACGGATGTCGTTCCTGTGATGTCGGCGCAATGGAACTTCGCCATGTATGTGGTTAGGGGGCACCTCCGCCTATTTTCGTTCTCCTGCGGGTATGCGAGTCGCTGTGGGCAGCCCCGGAAACGGTGTGATACGAGACGCAAATCCAGAAGCCCAAGCCATTCTCCGTCCGGCGTATCTGGCTACCATCTAGAGGCTAGCTCTAGACCGCGCCGTCACGTCGCAATTCATCGCCGAGCAGACCTTTGAGCTGGCAGCCCTCCACCCGCCGCACTGACTGCTGTCCACGACTGGCTCGCCGCCATACCGCCGTAGGCTCCGCCTAGCAAGCCTCCGGGCCGAGAGATGTACGATGAGGTGACAATGTGCTCCAATCAGAAGCGTCTGCGGCTTTGTGAAGCGGTATCAATCTGACTGATGATGGATCAGTGGATGAAGTCGTTTCCCAGACGTGGCGGCCGGTCTATGGTCCAATGGCCTGCGTGCTCCTCTGCACCCATGCCAGTATCGAGAGATACTTGCCCCGTTAGGGCCAACAGGCGTAATGAAGAGGCGATCATTCAGTGCGAGATAGCACGTATAATGGAACTTGTAAAGGCAAATATTGCTCCCGCTGATCGGTTGGAAAGCTCTATAGCCCCGCCAGGCAGTCATTGTAACGCCTCCCATGTCTCCGCTTGTAGTGGAAACGCAGCTGGGCTCGCGCGAGGTGTCATCGTCGTTCGCCGGTGAATACAACTGCCTGACGCTTGCTGGTTTGTGCGAGGCTGTCGTCCTGTGAGAGCTTTCAAGCTTAGATGGGGTCGTGCCCTCGGGTTGTCAGCCTGAGTATCGACACCGCTTTCGAAGTCGTCGTTATTGTCGTTGTCATTGCCTCATTTTCTGGGAAGCGATACTTCTGGCAGGGGTCGGCCAAGCAGGGGGACTCTGCTCGCAGGGACTTGGCTGGCCGCGGTTGTGATTGTGCCGCCGGTATGAGCCTTTGAACATGTGCCTTTGGACATCTAGTAGCGGCTCTATCCTATGGCGGAATAATGGTGAACTCAAGTGAGTGGTTGGCGGATGATTGGTACTGTAGGACAAAATTACCAGCTGTCGCAAAGAGAAGTTCGGGGAGAAGGCTGGGTACAGAAAACGCGGGTGTCGCTCCTAGACCCTTCCGCTCATCATGGGTGCCTGGATTCCCGTTACCGTACCTGCGGCCGATTCTGGCTTCACAACAGTGCAGCAAGTCCTCGTCTTGGGCGATTGACAGCATCCTAGCTTCTGGCTGCTTGGTAGTACTGAGCTGTAAGGACTGCAACCCTTCTTGGTAAGCAAAATCGTCTTCACTGCAGCCAGAAAGTGAGCTGGCGCCGAGCACCAGGCAGCAGCGGAAGGGTCTAGGAGCGACACCCCGAGTTTCCTCGACCAACCCGTTCCCCGCCACTCGCCTCTACAACAGTTGGTGATCTAGTCATGCCAGTCCTCCGCCAACCTCTTGACTTCACCATCACTCTACCACAGGTTGCAACAATTCTCCGCTCATAATCGGCGTCCCGGTATAACATGGAAATATGTTCTGACGAAGATGGCGCATGGTATGACCAGTGCGTCTTTCTCCCGCCAATCCATCCGAGACTGGCCATGGACGAGCCGGTCCGCTTGGTTGGCAGTCACACCTCGACACGATCTCTGGCCGTGTTCGCGGCCGCCCCTTAGTCTTTGGAGAACCCGCAGGTGGAAGTGGATCGTGATACTGTTGATGAGCGCTGCGGCAGTCCCTGATGTCGCCGTGATCAGCAGGCGATTCGAAAGGCTCCTCCTACTGAACAACTCGACGAATGCCTCGATGATTCGCGACTTGCCAGTCCTGCCCTCGCCACCGACGAACTGGCAGAGTTGGCCGACTTCGCCTCCGTCGTTTTGTCGCATCAAATCGAGCTGGCAGCATATGATTGGGAAAGCGATCGACTGCGTTTTGTTCAGCGTCGGCCGTGTTGCCAACTCTCTGCCCGCCAAGCCTGCATTCCCGCCTCTACGTCGTCTGCGGTCTCGTCGAAGTCCGCCATCGCCATTTCGACATCGACCTCCTCGAAGCCAGCTAAGCCGACCATGACCCTCCGCAACGCAGCACGGCAGTCGCTTTCTCGGACCACGGTTATACTTTGTATGCCTTGGATCATCCTCTCCCTCTCTTTCGAGGCACTCATCTGCTGCGACTTGGTGGCCCTGACCTGATCCTACGGTGGCAGTGCGACCCCGGAAAATACCCGCCCCTACATGCTTATCCGTCTCGCCCCTTGTTCGGGTACTGTACCACGGCGGCCTGCAGCTCGGCCGTCGAGGAAAGCGCTGATCGATGGAACCGATAGAGCTGTTGCATCATCGCCATTGCTCCGGCGACTTGGCCGTCACCTGATTCGAATCCAGTGCACCTCGGACGACGTCGATCAGCTGCGTTGCGTTTCCGATGCTGTTTGGACCGATACGTCGCTGTTGATTCTGCGCCCGCCTCGTCCGTCCCGCCCCTTCCACGTGTGCGACCGTCGGATAGGCATCTCCGGATGAGGATGCCCATTGCTTAGCGTCGCGTTTTGCGTCTTCGGCTGATCGTCGAACCAGCCGCACGATATCGGCACGATGTCGTCGAGACATGATATTCTCGGAGCCAGCGCCTCTCGCGCCCGCGCCCAGATGCTGTTGATGTCGCCCATTTCTTCGCACATGAAAGACTCCCATGGTACAAATAGCACAAAGTGCTGCACGGTTGCCCTTTCAAAGGTCGAAAAAAATTAGCGTCTCCCATGTCCTCCGGCGAAACGGTTTCCGCGCAAACCTCCGATGACACGAGTCCTCGTCGTGGGCAAAGTCTTGCTCAGGTAGCCGTCAAGGCAAACGGTGGCCTGCTTTCCCGGCCGCCTGAGCACCTGAACCCAGCGTCTTCCTGGCGCCCGCCCATCATCGAAAGGCACCTCCCCTAGCCCCACAGCTCCCGTCGTTGCTGTTGCGTTTGAGTCTGACCAGCGATACGTAGTCGTACAGGCATAGGCCTCGCAGGAGATCTCCACGGTGCTGATATGCCTCGACGCGGGAGATCCTGGGGCCTGCTTCTTCGACGACGACCGACTCATCCAGGGGATCATCTGTGACCCATGCGCTACTTGTCGCAGATGCCGCAATCGTCGAAAGACGTGCCAGTACAGCTAGTACCGGTATGTGTTTAGGTACGCCTAGGCGCTGCCATTGGAAAATTCGGCTGGATATCCTAGAAGATGAGCGACGACCTCGACCTGCGACAGGGGACGCTCCGTGAACATACGGTTCGTCACCCTCATCAAGAACTGTATGGTCCGATCCGTGCTCCATGGGGTGTATATTGCATGTCACCATCTCGTCTGCCGGTTCGGTTCGGCCGACGCAAGCACTAGATCAATCGTGCTTTCCGAGTCTTGGCCCTGCCACGTCTTGGTGCCTCGCGGCAGGCTGCAGAGCCCACAGTCATTCATCAGGTCGATGATCGGCTGCGCTTCCCCTTGTCTTCTTGTTGCTACCTCATCGCCTCCCCAGAGCAGATCGTGGCGATTAAAGTCCCCCGCGACGACGTCCAGTTCCACCACCTAGAAGGAAGGTCCAGGCAAGAGCCTGCCAACCACCCCGACGAATGCGGTGAGAAAACCCGGAATAGCTTCGTAGCTGGTCTCCAACATCAACAGCGCCCATTTCATCATTATACGCAGCCGTGACTGTAGGCACAGAGACTTCCTTGATGTGTTCATCGCCGAACATTGACTTGACAGCTCGAGAACGTGGCTTTGTAGTATTTGGTCGCTTTCGAATGCGTTGTGATATCTCCTTGCCAGTAAAGACGCTAGAAAGAAGCAACACAAGGGCGTTATCTTTCCAGGCTATCTGGTTTACCTGATTATCTGGCGTAGGGACCGTTTTCATCGCGCCCCAAGTCCACTGAAGCTTTTCAGCTGTGTCGGTTGTCTTTGCTTCAACTAAGGACTTAGAGATGTGTTGACTTGATATGAGACATGGACCAAGACATGTTTAGGCAGCACTTACAAGTGGTGAGTCACTGGATAGTGGCACGGACGTGCCACTATGTATATATGTATGTTGAGAGCTGTCAGACAGAATTGAATAGAAGTAAGTTCAATCGCAACACAAATCAGCAGGGCCTCATCGCCGTAAAAACGAAGTACGAACCGTTGCATGACTCCCATGTCCATCCAGAATGATAAGCCTGGCCTCAGAGTCGTCGTCAGGTCGCGTCTGAGGCAAATAGACTTCCTCAAGCCATTCGACGGCAATGTGGTTGTCCGTCCATCCATTTGGTGAAGTTATGTAGTTCCAATCCGCAAATTCTCGAAACTCGTCCTTAAACCACTGTGCCTGGAGATCTTTGCCCTTAAATATGATGCCAGGAGTCAAGGCGCGCCCGTCAGCGGTGATGGCCTCTATAAAAGTGGTCCAGCTGCGGGACTGGGGTCCCTTGAGAAGAGTCTTCCGTTTAGGGTCCGAACTTCCAACCACCAGACTGTCCAGACCTAGCAAAGAAATTGTATTAGCTTATATCGCCTATGGAGAGTTGATTGCATACCAAAACCCGACATAATCCCCCCTTCATCAACATTCACCGTGTTCTCCGGCTTGATCCACCCGTACTCCTTCTCCCTGACGTCAAAGTACCAGTGCACTGCTTTGGGAGTAAATGAGTCGAATCTGTTGGCTTCCTGACGCCTACCGACCTTGCTTCTAAGTTCCAGATGGCGTTGAATGAACTTTTCTTCCCAATGACGTCCCAATCTTGAGTCGCAGCCTTGCTGTTTCAGAACGGCAACAACGCAGGCGCGGATTTGACTCTGGGACGGAGCGTAACCCAGAGATTCTTGGCGAAGAGTCCATGCAACCAAGTTGGCCTCCTGGTCTCTGGATAGGAGTTTTCCAGGTTGTTCCTGGTCGGTTAATGCCGACTGACCTCGCATTCTGCTGGAAATAGTACTCTGGGGTATGCCCCATTTCTGAGAAGCCTGGCGCTGCGACAGACCGTTATCAGTGACATCGAGGATTGCCTCGGCCATCACGTTCTCTGTATAGATCGAACGAGGCCTTTTTGGAGCCATTTGTGACAGGTGGTGGAGGATGAGCAATAGTGGAAAGCAAAGGAGGCAGGAGGAGATTAGGGGTCGAAATTGCCATTTTGCGATGCCGGAGTGTCACGGGCCACGACACCTGTGGTAATCAGCTGACCTCACAAAAATGTAAGTTCAGTCATTTCTATACCCGCTACAGGTGACTGTTCGTCAAAAGCTTTAAAATTGAGTAGATTCTGTATAAGTGAAGTTGGTACAATTTGTATGGAGCGGCAACATTTTTGCGGAGCATAAGGGGTTGAGCAGAAGGGGGTAAGCATGGTACTAGTGGATTTCCTTCAGACTGAAAAATGGCACTTCTTTCCCGTTCGGGCTGTAGCCAAGGCGCGATGGCTTTGGATCCTTGCTTAGCGCAACAATCCCTGCAATCTGACTGTCCGAACCTGACTGTCGGAGCCATCCCGCAAGCAAGAGGTCGCGGTGATGATACTTGCAGTGCAGAAAATGTAGACCAGTGTGGCGGGGCATCGGCCAAGGGATGTCGAGGATTTTCCGGTGATCTGCCGGGCCACGGTTACTTCGTAACCTCGATTTAACAAGCCTGTCTTAACTGAACTCTTCTTGCCAGGGAGCAGAGAGCCTAACAGGAGCCCGCTACCCGCTCTCGCATTAAGCACGTCGTGCTGTAGAGCCGTCGTCGTCAGAGTATCATGCTTACCCCCCGTTTGCTCACCCCTCCCCTTATGCTCAGCCAAATGACACCGGCCTCACCAAAAAATCCGAATTTTGAACTGCTTGGATTTCAACTAAAAACGGAGATAAAAATATAAAAGCTACATTATTTGAAAGAGAATCGAACACACTAATTTGTTCTTGGACTTTTTATGACGCGACCCTGTCGCGTGGTGCGCTGGGGAGGCCCAGGTACCTTGACTTCAATCACCGAAGCTGTCTCCGTCTCCGACTCCGCCTCATCCTCTGACGAGTCGCAATCCACCACAACAGCCTTCTTTGGACTCCCAATTTCGGAAACAATCTCATCAGCCAGCCACCAGAGCTTCGGCGAGACGCACGAAGCGTCTATTTGGGTTAAGGATGGCTTTTCTCTTTCTTCCTCTCTTCAGCCTGTCCACTTCCTCCTCCAGCCTAGCAATTTTACCATTTTGCACGCCCACACAATGTTACAACATCGCATTAGCGCAACATCAAAGGTGAAGCTTTTTCGCGATCAGAGACGGCCCGACATCGTCAACCTGCCCCTGTGAGACATTGTCGGAATTGGATGTTTCATTCATCGCAGCCTATTACTTCGGTCCCTATCCACAGTCATCTACCAAGGGCCCATCATCCCCCCTCCGCCCTCCCCCACGCATAGCATTGCGGCACCGATATTCCAGGCGAGTGAGTGATGCTCGCGCACCGTCCTGGTCGGCATAATGTGAAGGCGTTGGTCGTGGCTCGATTGTTGTCCCCGCCCATCCCTCAGACACGGCGCTTCTTTCTCTTCTTCTTGCCTCTCATCTCGGCGCGACGAACGTTGCCCTTGCTATCCATCATGCCGTCCTGGGCATCGTTGGGTGCGCCCAAACTGCCGTCGGCTGCCTGCATCCTGACGCTGCTGCTCCCCTCGGACGCGGCAAGGGCGCCGCTGGCGAGGCAAGCCGCGAGAATGGCTGCAAAGGCCTTCATCGTGTGAAGTTAGGAGGACTCGATGAAGATGGTACAAAGACGATTGAAAGGATTATACTGGGTTTGGGTGATTGGGAGGCACAAGAGAGGGCCTGGAGCCGAGATTTATAGTCGCGAGGTGCTCATCATCTTGGGCCAAGGGCATCGACTTTTTACTGCCGGCCATGTCATAATGACAGACCAAGCTGGCTTCAGACATGTTCTCGGTCGCTGATGAATCCTAGACGGCGACTTGAGGTTGTCGCACCTCGGTGATTGTCCTGAAGCTAGCTACGAATATCCTTATAAGTATTCCGTACAGAGGTCTAAGGGGAAAGTGGTAGGGTGGTAGGTAAAAAGGGCTAAAGGGGTATAAGTAATGAAAATAAAGGGGTAAATTAAGGATAAATATTATAAAAATATTACTTTTTTAGGTGATCCCGGCCTTCCTTCTGCTCATTCCCTCCCTGTAGCTCAACGATCTTTTAGATATGCGTTAGAATACGCTCAATCCATCGTTGAATTTGCTCTTGAGGCAGCCCCCCTTTCCATGCTGCATTCCACGCTAAAATAGCTCATAGACAAGCGGCACAAGAAGAGGAGGCACAGAGTCAGGAATAAGGAGGTTCGCGACGAAGCTGGCCATATACGCCGCTGGCTTCGCAAGGTACGCTTCAACGTCAGGATTAGCATCACAGAGGCGAAAATTCGAGACATCAGAGGTCTCTGGGCCAAGGGCGACAAGCGCGCACACCTCAATTGCAATGAGTGGATGTGCGCAAGCTACAGGATTCTCCGCGAGCTACACAACCGCGGCGTAGGGAAAAGCAAGGCGATCATGTGGCCGGAGCCGAATTAGTGGTGATGGAGGCAAATAAGCGTACTATTTGCCGTCAGACGCTTTCCTTGGAAGCTGACGGCATCGAGATGCAATGAAGAGGAATCATAAGACGCGCTCGAGGCTGGGAAGGAAGAAGAAATCGATTAGAGCTCAATTCGATGCCAAAACACCAAAAACACCTCAAAGGCAGTATGGTGATGCATTTGCATTGCTATGACTAGCTTGCAATAAAGCGAACATGTGTTGCACTTATCGCGGGAAGAGAGTTACTTTTAAGTTCTAGCAAAATGGCGGGGCTCTTATGTACTTCTTTTTTTTCAGGTCAACGAGCTTTTTCTAGGTCAACCGCCCCCCAGTGGGGATTGGCCGACTTTGAGGCCTCCCTAGTAAGTGGGTCGTGGCACGAGTAATGCATTAGTGCCACGACGCAAACAATGGTCAATGCTCTCGACCGAGTTCAGGTACTTGGCCATGCCCACACATTTTCCTCCCACATTTCAAGCCAAGACCATAATCTGCTATTGTAATCCGTGTTCGATGGAACAGAGCTTAGGTGGGGGCCTGACAAACGACTTCGACTTTCCGTTTCACTTCGACTCAAAAAGTTTCGGGGTTCGCAACTATATAGAGAGAGGGCATACGTGGCGCAAGTGCCAGCTTGAATGAAGTAATGCTTCTATCCTTATTTGTCTATGCAACATCTTATAGACCGGTCTTTTCCTCCGCTCTCAGCCGCCTCTCTCAATACTTTCAATCTTTTGCGTGAAGGTGACATGATACGGCTCCGTGAACAATACTCCCGTGCCAGGATTAGTGAAAATCAGAGGCGTAACGTTTCGGACATTCATACGCCTCACGGTCGCCGTCCCCGCACTCAAAAACCTTTTGCACACGCTTGGCAGCCAGATTGCTCTGGCCTGGGCGTCACTCCATAGACCCAGAAGAAGCCAGTTTGCACGAGGGATGTATCGTCCCATCCTGTATAGCAGTTCGCAGCCCCGAGATAGTGATTCTTCATGAGGGCCGGGTAGCGTATTGTCGAGAAGCAAACTCGCCACAGCAGTATGGCAGGCATGAAGGAGCCAATACTCGTGTTGCATCCCGAACGATGTGCGATAGTTCCATATAGTTGAAATGATACCCTCGCTGTGCGACTGGGAGAGAAACCGAGCTGTCTTCCCACCCCCAAATTCCAAGAAAGACAGGCCCGTGAATGGCTCAAGGAGCTTGATAGAGACAACATGGTAGGACGCCCTGCTAGCAGTTAGTGTACTCTTCTTTGTCGCAATGCCGTTGCACCAGGCAAAAGTAGAATGCACACTCCAACAGGTGCGCTGATGCATTGGCTGATATGTCGTCTGTGTCGCTGCTCTGGTTGCAACTTTCTTCCAGTCATATCTTTCGTCCTGGACTATAGTTGTCGACCAGGGATTCTGGGCCTCGAGATAACGGCTTTCTCCAAACGAACATATATGTATGGCATGGGCGTACACAAGCAAACGGTGGACTCACATCAAGCATACCCAAGCTGGTACAACGGATGTTTGACCCTGAAACCGTTGCGATTTTGACTCCTTCCATTGTAGCAAACGACGATATAATATCTTTGCACCAAGATAATCTGGTACTGGACTTAAACGGTTGTCTTTGATAGCAGGCAGAATCTCGCGCGCTAACCAACTAAGCTCATGCTCGGCCTCAAGGGCGTCGTTATAGTACGACAGCTGTGGCTGTGTCGAAATCGGGTGAGGGATCCACAGCGCATCGATCATTTCTCCTTTTTTTGACAACGGGACTTCATCTCGAATGCTGTTGATCCAAGGGATCCGAGAGGGAGGCGTCGCAGGAGCCACGATTAGCTCCATCTTACTGCGGTGCGGCAAGTGTCATTAAAATTACCCGGCGCTTGGAACTCTTCAATTGGCAATTTACACGTCCAAGTAATGGAATCCGTTGGAAATGAAGGCAATTGCTTGTTGAAGTTTGTTTGCTCTCGGACTTCCGTAGTTGTCGTACGACAAAGGGACATCAAGAATCTCCGAGGTTGACCGTAAAGTGTACAGGGTGTCGAAAAACAAGCTGACCCCCCTGAGCGGGTCGCCAAAGGCTTGCTCATAAATTGACATTATGGCAATTCCTTGCAGCAAGGGTAATTGCGCTGCATGATCTTGCGACGCAAAGAGTCGGAAAGCCTCGTCCGCGAAATCCCGATGGGTTGGAGGCTCGTCAAAGTCGGTACTCTTAAAAAAATCCTAAAGAGAGGCGTGTCAATGTTACGTCTGTTTGATGTCAAGGTATGATTCACTGTTGTTGTTGAACCACATACCATAGAGACTGCTAGCATTGAGTTGATCAAAAAGTCTGAACAGAACTGTGCCTCAGCTTCCCTCGGCGCGCTTGAAGTGGCATCCCGCTCTGCATACAAAGTGTCCAGAAGCAGCTCGCGATGCAATATCGTCGCAAGGGTGCTGTCCCAAGTCCAGAACATTGTGAAAAGATAGGTGAGCAGACTATCGTCATTGCTGATGTTCGTCCATCGAGAGAGGGGCAGTTTGACCAGTGGGGCAAAAGAAGGACGGCAGTTGGGCATAGACTTGAACATGCTTTCATTCATTGCCGATGCGTGAAGCCCGTCTTGTCTTGACTCCAGTTGAGGGATGATTTGTAGGTAACCGACAGCATGGGTATCCCATATTGGAACTGCTGAGCTTTGACTTGCTCTCATATGTTCTGCCGACTCCACAGCACTCTGCTTTGTGGTGTCACGCATTGCGTCAAAAGATTGCCTGATATCTTCAATCGCAACCTGTAACTCTTCGAGGTGTTGCCGCATGTTGGCTTCAGGAGGCGATATGTACATTTCACCTTTGCCGTACTGCACGAACGACATGACGGGCTTCGACCGTCGCACTGCACTTTGTTAGCATGTCGTCTGTTCATGACGCCCTTCTGGGGTTAGTGTCGACCTTGGCCTTCCGCTTCCGACATCCTATTGAGGATGACTTAGATATTTCTCCCCAGAGGTGCGATGAATGGCTTACTCTCGCAGGCCAACTTTACCTGCTGACGCTTCTGCCTTGCAAATATTTCAGATGGCTCAGTCGAAGCTGGGTTCAACGGTGCTTTGGGTAGAAGCTGCCTGCTGGGCAAATTCGACCTTGAGCGTCCATTTGGACGATGCATTGTAGTTGAAGTGAAAAGGCAGATCAGTAATGGGCGTTTTCTGACTTCTTTCTAGATTATGACATCAAGTGGATGTCACAGGTCTGGTTTTGGTGGGCGGTCAGAGGATTACCCGCAGATTACCGCCGATTACCCGTTGCCCTTGACATCACCTCTGCCGGGTTGATGTCATCTTCGGAGCGCCATAAAGCGCGAAAGCCGGGACCGACGACGAGAAAAACTGTTCGACTGGATAGCCTGTGTTCGTGCGATCAGAATGCACCCTGTCTAAGGTCCTACATCCTGTCGGTTGCGAGGTCGCGGTGATTTGAAGCATTTTCTAGCCTTGACGCACTGGAGCTACAGCGGCGATAGCGAGATACACCCTATCTACAGGCCACTACCGCTAACTGTAACGACGTAGCCCTTGGCGGCCTGGGGGCACTTTCGCCGCCAAGGTCCTCGTCATTCTACCAGGCGGTGTTCAAATCCACTGCGCCATCGTCGTTTGCTCATTACCCATAGCAAAAGCCCTACAAAAGGCAGTGTGGCTAACAGACAGACTGTCTGAAGGTGGTCTGATAGACCGCACAACGACCGACCGCCAATTCTCATCAGACCGACCGACTGGACGGAACTGGTGTTCCTGTGATGCCATTGGTCCGTTCCGCCTAAGGTAGCACCTACCGGTAATGTCAACAAGTTACGCGTCTGCACTGCCAACTTTCGCGTCTTCCCATCCATCTACGATATCATTCGGTAAAAGGGAGCCAATTCCTTTGAGGGCGAAGCAAACAAAAATCCAGAGGCGTTCCTGCCGCCAATAATTATTTACCTTATATCAATCTCGACCCCGGCAATCCAAACCCGTATGATTTTGTTGCTAATAGCCAAGTTCTCCAGTGGATTGCCATCTACAAGTAACAGATCCGCTCTGCAGCCCGGTTCAATACCTCCACGATCGCGCAACCCGAATAGTGCAGAAGGAACGCATGTTGCAGCCCGGATCACTTCGATATTGGATAACCCTGCCTCAGCGAGGAGCTGCAGCTCCTCATGCAGGCTCTGACCAAATGACACGGCCATGCCATCTTCCTCGTTCGCGGATGTCCCAGCACATATCCGAACCCCTGCCTTGTGAAGCTGCTTCACCGCAGCCATGGCATGAGCAAAGTCATAGTCCGTGTTATCTGCCATATGGACTGCTTTCTGGAGATAGGAGAGGTGGGGACGACGCCAATGCTCTTTTGCGCAAATCCTCGTACTACTTCGGCGTCGAGCGCACGGTCCACAGGAACGGCCGTAACAATGTCAAAACCAGCGTCAAGCGCGAGCTTGTAAGCATCAGCTTGAGAGGCGTGCCCGATAGCCAGGCTCCCGTGCTGGTGAGCTGCCGTGACCGCAGCCGCAATTGTCTGGAAGTCTAAGCCGGGCTGGTCCACGATTATCTTGATGAAGCGTGCTCCACTTGAGGCAGAAACATTTTTTGCCACAACGATTTTCGCCTCTGCTGGAGTTGTAGCAATCTGGACAGCGCGGAAGGGGAACGTGCCCAGAAAACTGGCACCTCTAGGCCCAATAGCAGAACCGGTAGCGAAATAAGATGGGAGAGATGGGTTCTCTGAGATAGCCAAGTGCATCGCCTGACTTTCGGCGTTTGTGCTTGTAGAATCGATGACAGTTGTGATGCCAAAGGCTGCAAAGGTGGAAAGCGCACCTGGCGACGCACCGATGTCTACTTTGGCATCAATGAGGCCGGGCATAAGGGTACATCCAGTGCCATCGACATAGACATCTGGATTCGATTGTGGAGTGAGAATATCTCCAGGGCTCCCTTGGAAGCATTGATTGGGTACACGTTTGACGCAAAGCCCATCGAACACGTCAGCGTTCGTTATCGAAATAATTGGCATTGGGCCTAAATATATTGTCAAAAATCTGCGGGGTATTGTTCGGCCTCGCCCTTGTTATAATGTTGTTCTGGTAGAATGATTTAATGCGGCACCCAGGCCCGCAGCGCTGATGTGTTGAACGGATTGCAAAACTGCATACAAGCATAAACAGGCGATCGTAATCTACAGGTTTCTCCACAAAGTTACCGCAGCATGGGTTTCCGTCGTCGTCGTCTACAGTGACTTCAGCTCGGAAGATGTTACGGCCAGGCACATACGAGCCTTGACGGCTATAAAGATGTATTGGCACTATGAACGAAGACTCAAAGCTAAGGAGCAAGAAAGAAAGACTAGACTACACGACCGAGCTGGCCCTTATGTGCATATGCACGAGGTTACCTCAGCAGCGCTCAGGTAAGCACGAGGTCGCACGTGGGGACGTGATGCTGCTTGGGCACGTGACACTGGTGAGGTTCTGCGCTGGTGTCTCTACGCTGGCGCGCAGGGTCGTGACAGAAGAGACTGGTTGTCTCTAGAAGATCCGTGGTCACGTCGGCCCCTGCCAGCTATGTCCATCTTGGCATTGCGAGCTTTCCCATACTCCCTTGAAGACCCATAGCATCACCCATAGCATCACCCGTATGTTATCGTGGGGCCGGGTGTGATGTTGAGGGCACGGCGTATCCGCAGGACATACTGTCAGACAGTGCACCGGGACGTATTTCCCCTGCTGTACACAGGTCCCCTGAACCCCCGATGCCTCTGTTTCTCTCTGTGGTGGATTCTCCCTTGTCCCCCCTGGTCTCTATAGGGTGGATCCCCCTTTGTTCTGGCATACATTCCTGTTGCCCCTTTGTCCTGGTATGCAGTCCTCTCTGCTGTGTCCACCTTTATTGGCCCCTCTTTGCTCTGGTATGCATTCCTGCTGCCTCTTTGTTGGTCTACATTCCTGTTTCCCTCATATATGCACTAGGCAATTGGGGGCTGCTGCTCTATAGAGACATTCGGGGTCTAGAGCCTTCTGCTCTCTCTTTTCCCCCTGTTCTCTGTTGCTTCTGCTTGCCCTCTTTCTCTCTATACAAAGCAGGTAGTCTCCTCCTTAGATAGAGAATCAAGAGCTTTTCTGTCTCGATCTCGCTGCTCACTTTATTCCCTTTGCTCATCAGATACAGCCACCTCAACTGGCGGCATCCAATGTTGCTGTTTTCTGTATAGCTCGCTGAAGATCATCTTCATTATATTTGTCTTCATCATTGCTGTTGGAGTGGCTCTGGTGGATTGAGCGGGTCTCCGGCGCCGAGCCCAACATGGCGGATTTGGGTGACTGCTTTGTCGCTCTGTCGTCCTTTCCACGTCCCATCGTGGTGCCAGTATGACCTTGGTGCTGTAAAACGGGACGGTGTCCATCTCGGCCATCAAGAGCCGCCGGGGAAGGACAACACCCAGTAGCCTAGGGCCCTAGGCCAGGGTTACGGGAGCTGAACATCCAGCTGCCAGCTCGCAAGCGCTCATTGCCTCTCCAAACCTCAATGAGGTATACCCCGCAATTGACGCCTAATCCATCAGCCAGTCGCCACCCGTCTCAGTCTTTCTTAAACTTGTATGCCAGACCTGCAGGAGCTGTCATCTAACACGCGCGGGCGTTGAACGCCGAGGGCTATTTCTTTCGTATCACATTCAGAGTCACAAGATGAGAAAGGGACATAAGATTCGAAGGACTGGGTGCTCGTTGATTCTCAATCTAAGGAGATAATCTAGTTGGCCTAGTATAGCTAGAAAGAGTGTCTGCTGAGGGTATCCTCGAGTATCCCTTTGAAGCTACGAGTGGCTGGTAAATTCCTCCTGTGGGCTGAAGCGGTCGTGGTTGCCTTCCTTGATACAGGGGATGTGAAGTGCCCTGTTTGACACTACACTCGGTCTACTCTTAGTGGTCTGCCTTTGTAATGTCAGACACCCATGCCCAAACGTACTGCTTGACCTCTTCGATGCTACGGCTCCCATCAATAGTGACCATATCCCTCTCGTCCTCGGTAGGCCATTCGAGGATATCAAGCTGACTCTGAACCATATCGGGTCTCATGTAGTGGTCCTGCCGCTTCGTGACCCGGTGGAGCAGCACCTCCGCGGGCGCGTCCAAGAATAGGAAGTGAACAAGTATGTTGTGGTTGTAGCACACCGCGACTCGGATCACATCCCGATACTTGCGCTTAAGGGCTGAGCAAGTCACAACGACGCCCTCGGACCCTCCTTCGACTTGTCGCATAAACTCGTCGCGGAGTACGATAAGCCAGTCCCAGCGGTCTGCGTCTGTTAACGGGATGCCGCTACGCATCTTTTCTACGTTGGCTTGGGTGTGGTACTACATTATCACATTAATGTCAGTGTATTTATTACTGTCAACCAAATTGAAGTACATATACAGTCCCTTACCAAATCGCCTTCAATATAGGGCATCTCGAGCGCATCTTCCAGGTACTCGGCCAATGTTGTCTTGCCGCACCCAGCCGGGCCCGAAACCAGCCATATGTGGTGGTGTTTTTGTCCTCGACCGTTTGTCTGGGCCTCAGCTGCCGAAGGTACCGTCTCGAAAGAGGACATCTGAACGGAAGCAGCAGTAGCTACTGACGTATGCCTCTGGCAGGGAGGTTCAGTCTTTGTCAATACCACAGCTGTATATTTGCAGGTGTGGAAGCAGGCACGAGGGAAAAGGAGGCATGCGGGAGAGGTGCATGAAGAAGATGATGAAGCTACTATGCAAGCGTGGGAGCGAGAGCTACTTAACTAAACTCAACTCACCACGCAGAGCAGGTCTCACTTCGGTGAGCTAAGATATACACTTACACCGTACAAATCAGCTCAACCAACTCAACGGAACAACTTAAATGTTACAGTATGGTTCAAATACAGCGTCCGCTCACTGATTATAGAATTTTTTGGGGCGACCACTTCCATATTACAGTGCGCATATATAGAGCACTGTGTACCCATCAAGGCCACCTTAACATGAATTAAAGGTGCCCTTACTCGAGCCGTTGGCTCATTATTGAGCTTAAAGAACGAGACACTTTCGGCAATCTTCGCATTCGAAAATCCTCGGAGGATCATGGACAGGATCTGTTCATCCTGGGGACGTTGATAGCTGGGGAGCCATGCACACGATTTCAAGCGTCTTTGGGCTGCTGCGCTGTGTGAGATTGCCAAAATACGCCGTAGTGCCCATGGAGGCCTCCTTGGATTTTGTCATCATTCTTAGTCATCCATATCCTCACGAGTTGCTGTTAAGATCATGAGTAGTGCCTTACTTCAATGCGGATTACAAGCACTGTCTGTAGACCCACTCAAGCCAAATCTGGAAAAGCTTGTACATTTAAAGGTGGACGCTGTAGTGCACTAGTATCTGTGAGATCATTGAGATGGAGTGGGTTGAATGGATATCATCCAATGAACTTCGTCGGAGTAGGCTCCGGCTGGGTTAAGATCTACATACGTATTGCCTTTGTTCGGGACGTGTCAACCCTAGACGCTGACTCTCTGTTAGAAAGAAGCCCTGTGAGGGACTTTTGATGCGATCTCAGCCCTCGATCTCTGCTATCGCGGCGGAGGCTCGGCAGGACATGGCTTTAGAAACCCTTTGTCTAAGCTACCTGCAAAAGAGGCCCTTTAATCGTCCTGTACGCGATTATTATCATCCCTGTATCTAACCGTATTGGGTAAGGGGAACGCGCATCGGGCGGTACATATATCTAGCTTTATGTTTACTTGTACGCAAGGTATTTGGTGATTGTAGGTTGCTGCGCTGCGTGACAACATCGTACACATAGAGGCAGCACATCCCTTTGACTGTGGAGGAGGAGCAAAGGGGTCACAAACAGGGATCTCGACCAATAAGGCTACTAGACGATTAGGGATACATTATTTTACTAGCAAATTAGGCTATGGTAGAAGTCCCGGTAAGCCAGCCGGGTACAGATCGCTACATCACACTGGTTGCATCCCTTGCGAGTCTACATCGCCGCCTTCTTGCTACTTCGTATCTCACGTGTAGCTACGTGCTGTGGGGCCCGTGACCCCTTTGCTCCTCCTCCACAGTCAAAGGGATACGAATACGTACTAGTTAAAAGGCCACCCCGTCACGCTAAACGGCCACCCAAAAGTGGGTCAACTGTGGCTTGGTCGCCGCGCAGCGCCGATGCCGCAAAGGTGTGTGCGCGCATTCGCTGCCGGCATCGAGGTGCGCGCCAGAGGGCATGTTGAAGCCGCAATTGAAGCCGCAAAGTGAAGCTGGCCGTGATGCAAATTCAAGTACGTAGGGCCATGTTCTTGGGGTCGTAGAAAACACACTTCCGTCAATTCAAATGCAGCGGTAACGCCGGTAGCTATAGTAGACCCTCTGCACACAATTCCTGCTGTACAGACTCCTCCTCATCCACCTGCCGGTCCATCTCGTTAAAATCGGCTAAAGGGTCGTCTTCATCCTCTATATCCTCACCTCCTTGACGAATTGAGGGTATCGGCATTGGCTGCGTGGCACAGCGAATCGTGCCCTGCGTCTCGCCCGGGCCAGTAAGCTCATCGTCAGAGTCAGGCGTGCGGCGTACGGCACGCTGATACGCTCGTGGCATCGCTGTGCCAGGCTCGTACGAATCGCCATTGGCTTGAAGGTATTCCAACCTCCGTTTGGTCACATCAGCAGCGCTGCCGGCGGTGTTGACGGTAGCAGCAGCAGCTTTCCCTCCAGCCTTGCCCCCAGCCTTGCGCTTCTTACCCGTAGCCTTCGTCTTCGTACTTTGGAGAGCCGCCGGCGCTGTGGACGGCGGCGGCCTTGTGGCCTCGCTGCGTTCGTCGGATTCCGCGATATCGTGTGCTGACGGCTCTCTCCGCGTGGCCGTTACGACCTCCTGCTGCCTCGAGGTTCAATGAGCCCTTGGGCCGGCCTTTCCCGTGCATAGGAGTGGATCGTGAGGAGCATCGTTAGGGCTTGTGCTCTGCCATGCCAGAGCTCGTCAACGTCATTCATTTCGAAGGGAACGGCGGCGGCGGCATTGGGCCGCTTGAAAATATCGTGACGGCAAGGAAGGCCAACCAAGACTTGACTTGAAGCCGCAGTGATGAAGAAGATCACAGCGGCCGGGCGGCGGCTTTTCTTGGTCGCTTGAAGCGGCATTCCTTGCCACAGCGCGGTATTCGCCCCCTATCTTCTGGAGCCCAAACTTTGCGGTATCGGACCTTGCGCGCGACCAAGCCACAATTGACCCACTTTTGGGTGGCCGTTTAGCGTGACGGGGTGGCCTTTTAACTAGTACGTACGAATATGCCATTTTTATGTATTTATTCATTATTGAGATGTCTGATACAATGGGGCTCGAAGGAATAGCTAGTCAAAATTAGAGGCGTTCAACGCAAAAGTCTTGAGAGAAGATCGAATCGTCGTACCACCCTATGAGAGGAGAGGACTGACGGCCAAGGTTCCAAACCACTCAATTCTGTCACGAAAAATCAAGCCACCTGTTGTTCAGGTGACATGTTCAATTGAACATCAAATCTGCTTCGCGACAAATTCAATCAACCGCAGGCCTCGGTTACGTTGGGTTGACCATATCAACGGTGGTCTCCGGTAGAGTTGATCAACTGCAAGCCAAATTGAGTTGAATGGACACCGGTTGACGTACGTCCCTCTTGAGGCGCATCTATTTACAAGGGGAAGGTGGGAGACGTGGGGTCTCAGACGCTTGCGAGAGAATGGCCAGGGATCAAAACTTGCGTCGCCAAACAGCGTCCTTCCCGGGCGCACTTCAGCGGCAATACCTACTCTCCTCGCGAGAATAGTGGGCTGGCTTATTTTACACGTTATGCGACAATTCGACACCCAAAACGTGAAATACATGGACCTTTTGTCAGCATATCCGCTCGTTGCACTATTGTTGTTCACCCATTTATCACCCAGGGTGGCCTTTATTCATTCCGACATGCTGCGGCCGTATGACCTCCCGCCGCGGCCTCCTCGTCCGATGTCTCCGCAATTGACGAAAGTACTGGGAGAGAAAGAGGGAACACCGCCGCCCTCGCAGTCCAAGACGACCCTGGACCCAGCGACTGGATGCTCGGAATACTCGTGAGTGCTGGCCCCAGTTGAGAACCCTGTACAACGCGTTAGGCAGTACGCTGACGTATGGGGCTGTGCGCACCTACTCTTGGTTCGCGTCGGAGCAACTTCCATCGTCCAAGTCTGGAAGCCCGCTCGTGCCAGTCAGGATGGGGAGCGGGTGCCGTGACATCGGAGGCCGCTGGTGGGGCCGGAAGACCAGCCATTGCGGGAGCCCAGCTTTAATTTTTCGAGGACTGGGAAATGGGAATTGACGCCGGTGTTTCGGATTACTGTCAGATCGAGGTTGGGCATACGCTGGGCTGGCGACAGCGATGATAAAAGTCGAAGCCGATGCCTACCGCATACAATTAGCGCATCACACACGGTCGAAATGTTCAAGCTTCAATAAGTCGAAGTATTTCGTATGAAGGTTTCTGTCAAAATTGGTCTCGACTGTTCTAGCGATGGGCTGAGTTGCGTTGGTTGGTTGTATTCCGGGTGATCCGGTGCCGTAGTTGCGTTGCGCACTCGTTGGATGGGTGCTGTGCAACCAGAAGCCGGGTTAACACGTCATCGCCAGGATAGTGCCAAAGTAAAGATAAGAAGAAAGGGAAGTGAAGGTGGGAGACGCGGGGTCTCGAAGCCGTTTGTGAGAAAATGACTAGGAGCCAAAACTTGCATTGCCAGCGTCCCGTTCGAGACGCACTTCAGCGAAGTTGTTGGTTAGTGTCTTGCCATAGCCTTGAGGCTTCTATCCGTAATCGTGATGTCAGTGCACCTCTCTACTAGCGCAGAACTAGCATTTTCTCCGTCACATGTTCGGCGTTGGCTCCGTCGAGATTCGTCCAATGAAACAAGCCTGCTGGATGACATACGGTGGGGCGCGCTCGCGAGTTCCAAATAAATATGGGGCGCGGCGCGGTACACCAAGTCCGTTTATGCAAACTAAAATAAGTTGCATGCACGATCGGGAATTGCACGGAGTTGACTCCGGCATATCCAACCAACGGGAGACTAGGGGCCCCATCCGTGAATCCGACCAAAGACAAGAGCATTACAAGGGATCATTAGCCCCAGCTGATACCGCGAACGGCCTAACGCAGTATATTTGGTCTAAACTCTTTCAGGTAATTGCTGCCTCTATCTAGTCCAGCCTTGTCTTCGCGCTAGCCTTCACCGACCGAAAAACAATGAAACGTCTAGTGTGTACCGATCTGCTCGAACTCCTCAAAGTGACCTTGCACAGTTAATTGGAAACCTCGATGATAAAATAGTCGGGAACATTCTCGGGCAACAGCCATATAAAGACAAGTGTTAGGTAATTTAGCCCCGCAGACCCTGTGCTTCCATGCGGCAGCCATAATCCACTTGCAAGTCGATCACATCCAAATGTCGATCGCGCTAGGGGCCTAGGCTACAGAAGAAGGTTTGACCGTGATGATGGCGCGGTGACAGCTAGGTGACGGGGTAAAGATAGGGATCTGTGCGCCGCAAAACCTCTGGGGATACCGGTATCTTGTCGCAAACGCCCCATCTAGCTTTTGGGCCGTATTGGCCATTAATGGGTGTTAAATTGGTGGTGTTAGAGGCACTCTAGACACTGGCTAGAGACTAGCTGCATCAGGGAGCCTTCGCAAATATCTTAATTGGCCGACCCAGCTTGTGATACTCTCGCGAAGAGAGGATGCAAGTGATGAATTCATTAAGTTCCTTGTCCTTAGATTCTTCCTCCTCTCTAACAAAAAGCGACTTCTTATAGTTCTGTCACCTGTGGCTGCCTTCTGGTGGCGATGTCGCCACCCAGCCCGCCTAGATGACGTTGTCATCTAGAAGGTTCGATACCACCGCTTAACAACAACATTATTCATCCTTCTCAGTCACCTTTGCTAGAGTCAGCCCGACTAGGTAACTGTCAGAGGGAGCAGACTGACGGTCTAATCCGCACACGTATAAACTCCGGTGAAAGAGGCAGGTCAGACACAGGGACTTGAGTCAGATATCGATACAGTAGAGGAACATTGCCCTAATCGGGATACACGGGAATTGGCCCTGATTCAGGGCCTCCACGGGTCCCAGATAGGTATCTATTCGTATAAATACCCCCTAAATGTCGCACGCACAGATAAGTCCCTGCACATAGAAATCGGCACCCCCCTGTTATCGGCACCCCAAAAAATTTCCATCCGTTTTGACAACCATCAATTCAATCGCCGTTTACTCGCCCCCAACATGCACCACAATACAATCATTACCAATTTCTGAAAGCTCCGCCTCGGTTCCATCAGAGTCTTCATTCCCAGCTGCATTGACCTCCTCCTGCGCCCGCTGTATCGCCTCGATATCGGCGAACCTCGAATTCGGACTCGTTTCCACCTTCTTCCTCTTCTTCGGCTTGACGGCCGCCAATTGTGTTTCCAGCGCCTGAATCTGCAATTGAGCTTTTGCCAAAAGGCCATCCTTCTCATCAAAACCCTTTGTGATCTTCCTGAACAGCAGTCGCTTCGTGGGCACATCATCGTCCAGCTGGTTGAATTGAAGCACTTGGACCTTCAAATCTTGAGACCGCCTCGGAGTCGACCACGCAATCTGAGATGCTGCCGACTGCCAATTATCGGTAGAGTAAGGTGTGTTTGATGTACTGGGAGCATTTTCCGGTGCCTTCTTACGCTTGTTGCTGTTCTCCAGCAGAAGAGGGCTCAGAAGTGGCTTCGCCACCGACACCGGCCACAAACCCGTCGCTTTCCAGCCACCCTTGATGTTTGACGCAGTGAGCGCTTGCTCGCGTGCTTTCTGGTAGCATGAAAGAAAGTTTTGCTTACCGACCGGGCTCGAATCGGTCAAGAGGCTGAGAAATCCGACCTGTTTGCGGTAGTAATGCTTAAGAGGGGAGAAGACAGACAAATCGAGCGGTTGCAACACATGAGAGGTGTGGGGAGGCAGAAAAAGAAGATGAATCTTATGCTGGTAGCATAGATACATGAAGTCAACTGTCTCGTGGCTACCATGGCCGTCCAGTACTAGCAGTCTTCGCTCCAAAGAGTCGGATGGCCGGGTCTTCGGGATGAACACCTTTTCGAGCCACTCCACCGCCGTCTGGTCGGAAGTCCAGCCGTTCTTCGTCGCAGTGAATTGCCAGTCTCTAAAGAGACTGAGGTCTTGTAAACCATTGTTGCTGGACCGATTTGCCCTTGAACATGACGAGAGGAGGGAGGAAGGTGCCCGTGGCTGAGACGCACTCGATGAACGACGTCCAGACCCGAGCACCAGGCGTTTTCTTCTGAACAGACCGTTTTTCTGCATTGCCAACAACCAATCCATTCTCTCCCAGCCCTTCCATGATACCCGCTTCATCCATGTTGTACCTGTTCTCGGGCTTAATTGCCTGAATCTCAGGAAGGAAGAAATTGTTGAACCAAGGCCGAATTACCTCGGTAGACGCGCCATTGACAAGGGCAGAATATCTGTGATGGCACTTCTGGGTCCGAGTTGCAGGATTCCGCCTCAAAAATGCTTGCATCCTGTGTTTTCCGAGCGGGCCGTGGTCTCCCTTGACAGCCAACATGCGCTGTGCGAACTGCCTGATCTGCGAGTGCGTGGGAGGGAGCCCCAGGGCGTCCTGGATGAGAACCCATTCGGTAAGCTGATTTTCCTGCGTCTGGGAAAGCCTCTGAAGAGAAGAAAACGCATCTTTTCTACATTCGCGGCCATGCATTCGGTCATAGAGAGTTGCCCTTGGGACACCCCATTGTCGGGAGGCCTTTTTCGCGGATATTCCATTTGCGATGGCCTCAATCGCGTCATGAATATCAGACTCGGTATACTTAGCCATCAACTACCGGATTAAAAGCTTGCCAAGTTTGGCAGAAATTGAAGCAACATTGGTGGAGGCGTGCGCGATTGAAGTTGGAGTAGCGGTGAGGTTGTCGAGCTTTTGCGGGGTGCCGAAAAGCGGGGGATGCCGGGATCTACGTGCAGGGACTTGGATAGAAAACATGCATCATCGTTTTGGACTCAATTGTGCCTGCCCTTATCCTTCCGCCCGCGCTCTCAGCTTGCTGAGAGTAACCTTCGGACTTAGATCGTTAACCCGTTTTCACGACAGATACATGTGCTCAGGCTACCAATGATGAAGGCCGGAGTTAGTTCTGACTGCCATGTAGAACATACCCAACCCTCGCTTCAGTACACTACTTTGCTCCTCCATGCATGGCGCAGTCGCTAATTGGACCAGCGAAGAGGAATGTATTCCAGCAGATGCAGCTACCAGTAGCTAGTAGTGTGATTTACGCAATGATTTCCACCGTGTAATAGAAAGCGCTTAGTTCCACGAAACTGTCAAGGATAATATCCGTTTCCACCAACATGTCAAAATCAAGGACTGGAAATTGTTACTGTACAGGTATTTCGTCGCTAATCTTAACCTTGCGGAACATGGCGGTGCTTTTCATGCTCTTGAACGAATAGTTTTTGCCTGGCACAGAAGACTATGTAGCTTCGTGTTCCCAACTATTTAACTGCTAGCTGCCGCACTCCATGCTTGAAGCAAGCACGACTATCTTTCACCAAAGAGTATCTCAAAACTTCGAAGTCTGCCGTTCCCCAAGAGTTTATATCTGCGCCGGTAAAAACAGCAGGTGAATATAGCGCAGGATGTGCGCTGCGCGACCGTCTCATCTCCCTCCCTACCCGGGTCCACCTCCTACGTGTCCGCTTCCTCCTCTGCCCGAACGGCGCTCGCTGGAGAATCACCTGTTGTGATGTGAGCTTATAACGCGTTCAACTTCCCATTTGATAACGTTCACTAACAACCTCGCCAGACCAATTGCGCAGCTCAGACTTGCAAACAAATAAATCAAATCAAATATACCCGTTGGCTGAAGCTAAGTGCGAAGCACCTAGGCGGCCAACTAAGTGCTTGTTGTGACGGTTCAAGAGCACGAGCAAGGTCAAATGCGACTTGGACAAAGTGATTACTGTCACGTATAAGGATGTGTCAGGGGTCTTCAAAAGAAGAATGAATGTTCACGCTGCGAGTCGAGCTCTTGCAGGCCGACAAGATTGCTGCTTCGGCGGATGTAATGTGAGCTTTGCCTTGAGGAACGAGGAACGAGTGACGAAAGGATTTTCTTGCCCTGCGAGCCACAACCCCCTTCCCCTTTGCCTTGAGGAACGAAAGGCTCTTCTGGACGGGAAAAAAACCCAAAACTACTTCACCCTCGAAAATCTTGGCTTCTGATTGGAGAACCTTTCTTGCCTGCTGATTGGAGAACCTAAAATACTTCGAACACCCATTAAGTTGCCAAGGCAAGGGGCTCAACGGCTGAATATCCAGCCCGAAGGGTAAATATCGTATACCTGCAATTCACTTTCCTAGGGGGAGACCCCCTAGAACCCCCCATTCGCCTGCCGCGGGCAACCAGCTGTTTAAATCGCTCCAAACCTGCACTAAGGGAATTGATAGTTAGGAGTCTCTACTACTTCCTAACAGGCCCAACCTAACTATAAACTATATACTATATATCGAACCTCCCTTTTCCCTACAGCCGAGAGGAAGATGTCGTTTAGTCAAGGTAGCGTGGTGTATATGGTGCGTCGGTCAGCTGTTGAGCCTGACGCCGTTGTTGGTCAGCGAGGCGCATCTTCATCCCTGCCTTATAGTTAGTCGTGAACGCGGTACGTAGAAAACGCAGACGTGTAAACCTTCCGTCGGCGTGTGGTTATAGAGGCTCTGACGATCGAAAGGCGCCTCGAGGAGTAAGCCTTGCAGCGACGTAACCCGTGAGACAGCAACATAGCTAATGCCGGCCTGGAAGTCGCGTGTAGCGAGATCAGTAACTATTTGATCCTTCGTTAGGCTCTGGCATTTGTGAACAGTGATGGCAAACGCCACCATCAGGGGAAACTGCGTGCGAGCGCAGGTCTCGTTGCCCACAAGGAAGTCTCGCCTGACTGGGAGGATGGGTGAGATTTTCCTGCCCTCGTTAGTTGTTAGATATGGCGGTCCGTCGTAGCTATCAAAGTCCACCATAATAACGGCCGGGGGATCTTCCAATGGCTCGGCGCCTGAGTTCCAGGCGATATCGTATACAGTACCCTGGGCACCGTTAACTAGGCCAGCTGGCTGCCATAGGTTAGTAGTGAGCATTACCCTGGCGCCCTTAGCAACAGGGAACTTGTTAGATAGATTGCCAGCATTGTCGCTTGGTGCCTGCCCCGCGCCCTTGCCCTGATTCTTTGCCTCCACCTGTATTGCCGGGGAGTTTAGATGAACCATATGCTCGTAATTGTATTCGTTGACCCGCGCCCTTGTAGAATACACCCGCAAGGCGGCCCTGAAGCTGTCAACCTCGCTCTGCGTTAGCCTGGCCTGTACCCGACTGCTAAGGAGGTTCCAGGACGGTATGGATAACTTGACTTCACGCAGTTCCTGCAACGCCTGACGGAACTGGGCCTGATCATCACCAGCCTGGCGCTGTACTGTGGTCAGGAAGACGGTGCGGTCAAATAACCGGTAGGCCACATGCCCTCTCCTTTCCAACGCAGACAGGCTGGTGCTAGTCGAATACAGGGGCTTTTGCCGGACTGGTGGTAACTGGAAGAAATCACCCACAAGCAAGACGCTCATACCACCAAAGAACTCGAAGCTACGCTGTGGAAAGGCCTGTCGCAGACGGGAATCGATCCGCGCGAGCTGCTCAATCCCCAGCATGCTCTTTTCATCGATCACGAGGTATTTGACGTGCCGTAGGCGGGACTGAAGGGCGGCTGCGTCGGCTGGGGGAAGGTCGGTAAAAACACCACCTACTGGGAGGCGTAGCAATGAATGAATGGTGCTGCCCTGTATCTGGTTACTCGCAACGCCTGTTGGCGCTACGCGGCAAATAGGGCTAGGATTCGGTAGGGCGGCCGCCTGAAGATGGGAGGAAAGCACCTTGATAAGGAACGACTTGCCGGTGCCACCACCACCATCAACGTGGAGAAGGATTTGAGTAGGATTTTGCGCCTGGAAGTGACCCATGAACGTGTCGTACACGAGTCGTTGTTGCGGATTCAGCGTATTACGCCAGTGAGGGCCAAGGACCTCCACATCGTTGGCCATGGGGTGGCTAGCGATAAGGTCTTTCCAGTAGCTATCTCGAAGTTCCGGATATGTACCCACATGCCGTGTCCAGTCGTAATTGACGTCGATATCGCGGCGGCCAAGAAGGTCAAGATCTTCCTGGGTAAGGGGGTTCCCAGGTAAAAGGGCGGCGAGGCGAATCCAGTCTTCGTCGTCAAATTCTTCCTCCACAGGCAGAGCCTCATATTGATCATCTTGGGGCTGTAATCGAGCCTCTTTTGGCCGACCGTAATGGTCATCACCATGACTGTGGTGCTGCCAACAATAGGAGAAGGCCTCAGCGTGAGAACCAAAAAGCTGGCCGTCAAATGTGAGGAGATCATCAACCCGCCGATGTGGGGTGGTTTAATGTTAGCTTTACACGGCAGTAATCTGGCCACTGTTGACCTTCTGGACCAGCCTGATAGCGAGGAAAGTAAACCAACACACGAGACCTGCCGTTAACGTTGCCTAGCTGCCATTGCTTCCACTTGGAAGGGTCCCTAGGACGGAAATTCCAGCACTTGAGGAAGGAGACATAGCTTACGTCCGCTAGGGCTTCCGGGCGTTGAGTGTACTTTTCGTAAACGTTGGGGGCCTCGTCAACCTCATCGCCGTCAATACGGAGGGAGCGGGAATGCCTGTCAGGATTACGGCAGTCAACGTACAGGCAGGTTCGTGAGCCTTCCTGTAACGGCAGGCCGAGGAGCAAGTGGCTGACCTCCTGCTTCGAGTAATCCCGCTCAGCAACCAGCTGATTAAGGAGCTTTGACGTGAAAGAAATAAGGGGGTTGTGGTCCTTGACCCGGGGCATCAGGGCCTTCCCGATCTGGGCAAAAGACTCGCTCTTCTTTTCCGACTTGGAGCAGTATTTGGCCGCGTAATCGATTACCTGCTGGAGGCTCGTGCAGGGCGAAACATCTGTATTGGCTAGCCACGCAACGGTAAGCAAGCGGTTGTAGTGGTTAATCTGGCCATCGTTCCTCTCGCCCTGAAGTTCCAGTGCTTAGAATGAGGAACCTTGTCAAGGGAGGCTAGCAGGCGCTGTCCGTGAGGAAATCCAAAGCGGCACTCCACCTGCTTGGTATGCTTATTGAGCTGCATACAGTAGTTGTTGCAGCGGTGGCGTTGCACGCGGTTGACCACCATTGATAGGAACTGAACCGTAGGGGCTGCTCCAATAGATTGCCGATCAGGGGATTCCCTTCCCCAGGCGCCTGTATTCGCTGAGGCTCTGGGTTGACAGCAGATACGTGATATCCCCAGATGCGGGCGAATTGCTCCCGGGACGGATCGTTGTCAGGATCTAAGTCTGGGTGGCCGCTTAGCCAATATAGGCCGTGGTGGTGACTGGAACCCCTGCCCTGCCACTCGTAGCGGCCCCAAGAGTCCGTTAGGTTGAACTTCTGCTTCAGGACAATAGTCCTAAATAGCGTATAACGCTTATGGAAGTGGTAAGCAGCGATGTGGGCGTTGTCCCGCAGCAGTTGCCGGGATAGAGCCATCCGCGCCACCTCAGGAGCTGTTTGCCACTCGTCAAATCGAGGCATATGACGGTATAGGGATTCCCAGTGATGATCGGCTGCACTTGCAGTAGCGAAAAGACCAGGCTTGCCTAGATTATAGGCATATGCTTCCAATTCCTTCCTTTGCTTATACCAATACGGCCGGGTGCCCCTGATTACCGCGGCTTGGCGCGTGATTGACTGGATCAGGGCCTGAGCCTCCGGCTCGTCAGGCTCAGCCATCGCTTCCTCTAGGTCGGCGCGGGTAAGGGGTTGACGGCGGCTGTCGCGTTGCTTGACGAAGTAGTCACTTCGCTTTCGGACCTGCGCACGTAACATCGTATTGAGGGCGACGAAAGGCCACGTCTTATGGCGGGCAAAACGTCCGTCATGCCAACTCATCACATGGCCAAGGTAGTCCTGATACGTGATGCTCCGTAAGCGAGGCTCCACGAAGTCGGCCTTGCCGTCAGGGTAGAGGGTAGGGAAGGCGAGCGTTAACAGCGGCCGGGAACAGTTGAATTCGTCGATAGGGGTCCTGCGAATGGAAGGCAGTGGCATCTGGTGTTGAGTCTGCGCACTACGCGGCATATACTCCAGATCAGTCATGCGCTCAGGGTTAGGGGTCCCATCAAGAAATCGGGGCTGCAGAGCGTTCAATTCGGTATCAGTGACCTGCGAATTCGGGATCGCTGATGCATCGGCATCGCTAGGGTCCTCTTCCACAACCTCCTCAACGGGACCTTGGGGGGCCTCGCCGTCAGCTGTGTCAGCCACTTGGCTGGCAATGGAAGCAACTATGCTGCCATCAAGAGGAATCCGTTGCAGGCGATTCTGGCTCACAACGATATCGCGATAGCCCGGGTGGTGACGGTGTAGGTAATGCAGCCAGGCCGACAGGCATGAGCGACGTACCCGGAAATCGCGAGCAAACTGTTGCCGGAAGCGAGGGTCGCCCTGCATATTAGGAGGCCGCAGGAGGACGATATCTAGCTCTTCAGGTAGGACTGGGAGCTCTTCAAAGAGCCTGCCAACATTGCGAAGGAAGTGGACAACGTGACCGCGATATTTGTATTGAGCGCCACGCACCTGCAAGACTTTCACATGCACGTGAACCCTAGCGATGAGCATCTCCTCGACCATCGTTAGATCAGGTAGATTGGCGGGGACTTGCCCAAAGTCAAGGTTATTCGCAGCGCTAAAGAAGTAGGGCTCGTTAGGGGCTTTCTTCCTGTCTCGACCAATGCAGCGACTGCAGATTTTCGAGCTATTTCGCTTCATATCGAACCAACGCTCCTGGCAGCGAATGCAACTATGCATCTTGTCGTCATTTAGGGCAGTATAGAATTCCCGCACAAGCGCCTGATCTTCGTCACTAAGGGCGGGCAGATTAAGGTCACCTGTAAAGGGCGGATCAATACTCTGATCAAACAGTCGCGCTTGAGGCTGTATGCCTTGACGAGTATACCGGCCGCGGTGATGACCCTGTGGCAATAATGAAGGAGTGGTAGGAAGCGATTCCTGTGGTATGGGAGTGCCTTGCACGACAGGAGCTGTAGAAGCAGTGTCTTGAATCGGCGTGCCCAGAACTACTGTTGGCAGGCCAGGGGTAGGAGGGATGGGGGAAGGTCCCTCTACAGCGCTTGGGGTAGAAGGCCCCAGCGGAGGTCTAGGCATTCTCGAGGGTGCGGGCACCAGGCAACGGAGTAAATCAGGCGTCGTAGGAGGCTGTAAGCCGTTCGAAGACGCAGGCATTGGTGCAGTCCGCCTCGGAGGCGTCAGGTTAGCTACTGAGTCGGTCCTCTTCGAGGCTCTGCGTGGCGATGGCCTCGAGGCGATATTCCGCACGGCGGCAAGGACGGCTCGGAATTCGGGTAACCGCTCCCTTCGGCGTGCCCTACAGTTGACACACTCTCTTGTAAACTTTGTAGGGTCCTTGACGCTTCGAAACTCGACTTCAGGCACGTCTTGCTTGCAGGTACGGCAGTTGCGGACTGCCTGGGGCGTATCGTTCTCCATCTGGCCGTATATATATCCACCTCTTATACACTTTGACTGCTAGATATCGTTCGGGCAGGGAGGCTTTGCGAGGGCTTGGTGATGCTAGGAGAGCTGTCGGATGGTCGAGAGGTCCGAGACCGTGGTGGATCTCGATAGGGAGACTGTCTTTGAGGTAGTTGGCTCAGATCTAAACGATCTGGGAGGAAACTGTATTGCTTGCCCGGGTAGGTCGGCTGTCGAGGTGATATGCGAACCTAAATACCGTTAGCAAACCGATGGGTTCGATAGATTCGACGGGAAAGGGAAGTAGAAGCGTGCGTATAAACCATCAAATTGATTACGTTGAAGAAAAGAAGAACTGAAAGCTGTCAGCGAGCTCTCCGAGAGCTCTCTAGTTACCCAGTCAACGCTCAGGGGTTTGTAGTGGGCCTTCATTTGGTGGCGTTATCAGCCGACCAATTCGTTCACGAGTTGAGGACAGGGGAGGCCAAGTAGCCAATCAGAAGAGCGTTTATGCTCTTCTTTCTGACTGAACAGGAGAGGCAACCCAACGGGGGTTGCGCACGAGGGGAAGGCTCGCCAGCCGCGGCTCGCGCAAAGAGGCCTTTCGGAACGAAAGTTGGCGATGGCGACAGGAGAAAGTCGGGGAGAGGAGAGAGTTGGCGACAGGAGATAGGAGACAGGGGAAGTGAGAGGAAGACAGGAAGAAGAGTGAGATAAGAGATATGAGATGGAGATCCGGCGAGAGACGTAGAGCATTATCGTGAGTGAAATCGAGACAGAGCGTCAGAGAGGCAGCCTAGGCCGCTGCAAGGGAGATTTTGCTTTGCAAAGGCGCAAAGGGCGTGGAGAGGCGGCAGGGGTGAAGAGAGTTGTGGGTGGGTAATGCATGTGGGCGAGTGGAAGGCTCTGAGGATTTACAGGTGCTATAAGTGGTGGATATAAACAGAATAAGGAGTATATTGGAGAAGTTTTGACTGGATTGTCTTTGTGAAAAGGAGAGCAAGAGGAGAAGGAAATATCCCATTAGGGCCTTTCGCACTTGAGTTTGAGGATGATGAAACATGTTCCTTGTCATGTTGTGTTGTTTCGTTCGTTGCTTTACAGAATATTCTTGGGCGGATGTCGGGCGCGGTGGGGTCGGGAAGAGATTGACGCCGGAGGTCTGATAGGGCCAGAGGCGGATGTGGCTGGGTGATTGACTGGCTCGGTGTCCGTCTCTGAGTCTCCGGGGTCTTCGTGGGACAGAAGGGAGGAAGTGTCGGATTTGGCGGGGCCTCGACTATCACAGGCGGCGACTATGGTGGAAATTTCTGGAGAAAGTCGCGGTCTCTTGGTTGGGGTTTGGTCGGGATCGGGCAATGACCGCTTTGATGTCATCATAAGGGGATCGACTGACCTAGATGCAGGCGGCGTGGGGGAGGCGCCGCTTGGGGCGGCATTGCGTTTTTTGGTAGAGGTAAACCTGGCCAACGCATCGCTATAGTCCGAGGGGTTGCCGACTGAGCCCTTGGGTGTCGTCGGCAGTAGCTGTGTCGCAGAAGCCTGGTTGGACATGGCCCTGTCAAGGAAAGTCCATGTATCGGGGACGACGATGAAGATATAGTCTTGCTCGAAGGCCGGGGCATGTGTCATGATCTGGTGATCGAGTAAGCCGGCGATTTTGCCCGTGCAGGTGAGGAGAGCGTTCGGCTGGAACTGGCTATCGCGCCTCTCGGTCATCTTCTTGCATAGGGAGGTCCAAGGATTGGCGTGAATGGGAAGATGACGAAAAGTTGAAAGGGATGAAAGCCCTTGAAGGGTGTTTGCCCGGAATCCCAGGACAGATAAAGGTCGAGAGCTGGACAAAGCCGCAACAGCTCAGCTGGGTGTCGTCAAGGGCCGCAGCCGAGTTTCCATGCAGAAGGTCGCGGCCGGAACCGATGACAGGTCCCGTGAAGGAGACAATGGGTTGTATCGCTGGGAAGGCATCCGCCGAGCCGAGGGTGCGAGGATGACTCTGTGGCCATCGTCAGAGATGGTAGTGGTGACGGAGGTCTGGAGCATACACCTACGGCTGGTAGCTGTGGTCGCGGACGATGAGAGCCGGGATGGTGTATTCTGTAATGTTGTCATCCTCCGACTCGAAGCTATCACGTCGCTCGATTTCCCACGTCAGGGCAAAGGGATGAACACGGCCGACCATAAAGAACCACTGCTCGGTCCATTCCGAGGGATTATCTGTTGGTTGTATATGGAAATATTAAGGCTCAAGAAGATGCAGGTCGATGGATTGTCAGGATCTGACCGGATTGCTGCATACTCTGGAGTCGACAGCCATGAGGGCGTTGGAAGGAAGACCCTCGCTAGGGTTTCTGCGTTGAGCCCTTTGACACGATGCTCATTCTGGTAGGCGAACCTAGACGGGCAGCCGGGCTGGACAAAGGCCATCATGGACATGTCGGCGCCAGCATTTTCTGGCTGTCAAGAGGTTGCCGCGGGGAGGACGAGGTATCGACGTTGAGCTGGGAGGCCGACATCGTGAGAACATGGCAGATGTGGTCACCGTGGAAGTGTAAAGGAGGGGTTAGGCAGAGTAGAGGTAGGCATCCTATAAAGCAGGTTTTCTTGCTGCTCGAAAGAGGGCTCGTGGCTCGGGTCGGGAGACTTGAGAGTCAGTGAATGCTACCTAGGTGATAGATCAGAAGCGGGGGTATGCGGGAATGAGCTGGCGAGGTTCTCGAGCAGTCTCGACCATCTGGTTCTGTGGTCGTGAGTGAAGTAGGGAGCCGGGGGTTGGAAGTTGAGTAGGGGTGATGGCTATGTTGCGAGAAGTTGGAGGTCGGCGAACGGTAAGGTTAGTGTGGGTAAGACTGCGGAGAAAGAAAGTCCAGTAGTCCCCTTCGGTGTCATCGTTGCATGGAGTAGATAGCAAAGGGGCAATAACGAATGAGTGAAGGAAAGAAAGAGGTTATGGTAGTATTGCAGGACTCCTTTTGACGGTCGTCGGTAGTTGGATGGGCATTGCGTGCGGCTGAGCGAGGCGGGTGCCGACCGTGTCGAGTCTACTATTGGGACACGGTGAAGTCGGATATATGGGTCGACCTGAGGAGGAGGATGCGAGTTGGTCACGAGAACTTTCAAGAGGGTTTGCAAGTCGAGACTCCGGTGGCTAGCGACTACAAGAGGACAGGCAGGGGTCCTGGCTATCGCTTTAGCATTAAGGCCGTTGATGCGACATTGGTGCTGGCGAGGAGCAAATCTAGAAGGGTAGTCCGGCTGCATGAGGACGTCATGGACATGTTATCGCCGGCAGCCTTGTGGCTGTTGCTCGACGAGGCGGATTGGCGGGTATTGATGGTGAACTGATGCGCAAGGTTGGTAGGATGGTGTTGGAAGGGCTGAAGAGTATGGTTTGAAGTGTGCGGCAGGCGGTTGTCGCGGCCATCTCCATGTGCCGGAGGTCGGCAGTGGCCAGGGATTCGCTGGAGTGCGCAAAAGAGAGCACGGCGATGGAAGGGTCGCTTTTGGCAAAGCCGGGGTAGCAGGTCGCACGTGGAGACCAGGCGAGGCCGGGACGGTGGACGCACATAGATAGGCATGGTAACGGGGGAATATAGAGGGGTAGTATTGCATCGCCTCGGTACCATAGGGAAGCATTTTATAGGAGGGAAGAAATGCCACGGCCATGAGGAAGTGATGGCTAAGGAGCTTCCCATTCGGGAGAAGTAGCGTCGTCAACAAGCGAGACTGTCCAAGTGGAGGTGCTCCGGAGCCAAAGCTTTATAGCCTGTTGCCAATTTACGGCAGTCGACGTCGAGGAGGCAGCAGCATGGCGGACAGTCCTGCAGTGAAGTTAAGCGAGGCGGTTGCTCACCCTGAAGCCTGTTCGTTGTCAGTCGGGGATGGAGAAGAGGGTGAGAACGTGAGCGGGTCGGGTTCGGGGCTCGGAGATGGTGCGACAGGAGCCGGTGTAGATGTGGTGGCAGCTTCTGAGAGGGGCCGCAGAGCACGGGGGGAGAGCCTGGGACGGTTACGAAGATACGAATCACGGGCGAATGCGGCATCAACGTTCCGGCCGATTCAGCCTAGAAACCTGTGGTTGAAGACACCGCATGGAGACAGCACGCAGAAGCAATTGCGAGGTCGTTGCCGAGAAGACCGCCGCGAGGCGGTTGCGGTCAAACAGAGCACGGAAGTTCCATAATATGGTTAGCAGCGGAAGTTCCGCGCAACATCAGTCACCGGGTCAGCTTCCGAGGCCCTGTTGCCTAGGAACGTGGAGATATGGGGTAGCGGACTCTGATCGTCCGCTCCTCATCGGCACTTTCTGCCTCAGGAGGAGATCCTGAAGATGAGGAGCAACGTGTTACGGCGGCGGCGGGCGATGTCCCGAGTGTTCATTCGAAGGAGGTACCGAAGCTTCGATCCATCCAGCCTAGGGAGCCGGTATTCGACAACTTAAGAGAAAACGGGCAATTAGCAGCAGCGATTGCGTCTGGTTTGCCCAAGCGCCGTCGGGGACGGAGTTGGCGGGTAAAGGGAGTACCAGGCCGCAGGGGTGTCTCCAACGCAGCAGGTACGGCGCAGCATCCGGGGCCGTCTCCTGTGGGGTGGGCGACGCCGCGGCAGAGCCAGCGGACGCTTCGCTGAGCGGGCGGAGGCTGCAGCAAAGGGAGGTGGGCGGCTCATCGCGGGTGGCGGCTGGGAGCCCGTGCAGTTTGATCGGCAGCAAGAACGAGGAGAGTGCTGGAAAGGGCAAGGACTGAGGTCAAGGTTCGGCGTGGAAAACGTTCGCCAGCACGGCCCGGTGCCTGTCCAGTGCAAAGGGCCGGATGGCGTGTCAGGATGCGCACGTAGTCGGGCAGTCGTCGCCAAAGCTGCCGCATCCGACGGCTTGCGAAGAAGCGAATCAGCCACGGAGAGAAGAAATCATGGATCGGAGGCGGCCCGGAGGCGGCCCGGAGGCGGGAGAAGAAAACGTCTTCCTGGTCCGGACGAGCGCCCGAGAAAACAGATTCGGAGTGGAATCGGAAGGCAGAGGAGTCGGGAGCTGCGGGCCGAAGACCTGGCGAGTGTGCTGCGTTTTTTGGAGGAAGACTTCGCCATGAAGGAGAGGCTGTCTAACGATCAGACGTGGTGTACGCCAATACCGCACGACAGGAAGGTGTCGACGGTGCGGGATTTTTATCAGGCGTTCCACGATGCGAGCACGTTGCCGATACGGACCTGCATGATGTGCTACCGCAAGCGTACGAGAAAAGAGCTGAGGAGATCAGATGGGATCAATGGCTGTCAAGCTGCGTGCCAGAGGGCGGCCGCTCACCATTTTCATGCCGGAGCTGCTTTCCGAAGGCGAGCCCGTGTCGGTGTGTGGAGTGTGCCCGATGCCTGGCGCGCGGGAGTCTGTCGCCGGCGGTCCATCTTCACACTCGCCTTGGCTGTGAGCACATGTTCCCTGACGAGCTCAAGGGACTCACGCTGGTCGAAGAGAAGCTCGTCTCGCTCAACTCCTGCTATGGGTTTGTCACGAGATATAGCATTCCGGGCGGGCAGAGGCAGGCCGTGAGGTATCCGAGGCACGTCAAGGGCCACATCACAGTGTTTCCCAACAACGTGCAGGAGCTGGCGACCAGGTGCTCCCGCACCCCTTTGCAAGCACTGGACGAGATCCACGTTTCGTGGCAGGGCGTGGAGAAGCCGGCACCGAGCGACCTGTCGAGTCTCTTGTCGGTGAGGCGGCGGGTCGTCGAGAGGGCTCTTGTTTGGCTGAAGAGGAGCAACCCCCACTACGCCGAGATCGAGATCGACGTGGCGGAGATGGAGAGTTGGGAGACCCGATAGACGGGGTGCCGGCCTTGGTGTATGATCGCATGGAGCGGAACGAGCCGTCCGCATGGGAGAAAACGCGGACGGCGCACGTTGTGCCGCCCACGGAGCGCGCCATGGACGACGAGGGTCGGTGGAGATCGAGGAACTCTTCGCTCTGCTCAACCAAAGGCAGGAAACGGGAGGCGAGGCTGAAGGGCACGGGCCCAACGAAGAAGGCGCGGGTCGTGATGGAGTTGGTGCTAGCCCCGATCAGAACGTTCGACCAATCAACGAGGTGACGTCTTCCGGCATGTTTGGGCTGGACGGACCGCCAGACGTGGCGGATGTCGAGAAGCTGCGGTTTGCCTGTGACGCTGTTGGCGCAGGTGCCGACGACGGCCGCGCGGGCCCGAGCGTGGGTCGGATCCTCGGTGGGGTCGAGGGCGTGGCGACGATGGCAGTGAGCCATACATTCGAGTCTCGCGGGGATGAGTTTGCCGACTCCTTTGAGACGTCCTTCTTCGCCAGAACGTTCCCGACCCTGTTCCCATTTGGCGTTGGGGACCAAGGCTGGCCGAAGAGGCCATAGCCGAGGCGGGAAGGCCCTTACCAACTTGCGAGGCACCGGTAGAGCTGCTGAGGCAGGGGCGGCAGCGGGAGACATCGTATCCTCCCGAAGCTTGAACCTCCGGATTTGGGCCGACATCGTGCTCCGGCGCCATGGTGGCCGGTTTGCGTTGCACCACATATTTGCATTTCTCGTCTTCAACATGGGGGTGCGGTCGAGGAACCGCCGCGTCAGCATGCTGAGTGTGGCGAGGAAGGACTTCGGCAAGGTCGAGCGCGTTGCCCGCTCGATGACCGCGCAAAGGTTAGCGGCGGCGAGGGTCGAGTTGGAGAGCTCGGGCAAGACGACCGATGAGGGCGTGAAGGAGCTTCTCAGGAGCCTCTCGCTGTACGGCCACCGGCAACCCATGTCGAGAGAGGTTCGGCTCAATATGCGGCGGAAAATCCAGTCGCTCATCGTTGGCTACGGCGTTCCGGCCATCTGGTTCACCATCAACCCAAACGACATTACGAACCCGGTGAAGCTGCGACTGGCGGCATATCGGACACGCGATCCCGGCGCGGCCGAGGAGTTCCTAGAAGGCCTTGGGAGTGCGTACAAGCGGACAAGGCTGGCCATGTCCGATCCGATGAGCGCCGCCGTATTCTTCCACCGGGAGATGAAGCTGTTCTTCGATCATTACGTGAAGGTCGGAGAAGAGTCGGTATTCGGGCGCATCGGCAAGTACTATGGCGCTGTGGAGACCAACGAACGAGGGCGCTTCATGTTCACGGCTTGCTCTGGTTGCACGGAAACGCGCATCTCAGCTCGATGCTTGCCGACATCCACGGGGAGGATCAGGCGGCGTATCGCGAGCGAATCATACGATACGTCGATAGTGTCTTCTCCGAGGTAAGAATAGCTAAGACGTGTCACTGAGAACCTGAATTGCTCGTCCGATGGACAAACGGGGCCAGGCTGACGTGCAAGATAGGATCTGGATCAGGAAGGGTTCTGCGCCGTGCAAGCGGAGCGATCTGTGACGTCCGATATTTCCTCCCTGCTGGACAACACCGAGCAGTTTTCGGCCGCATTTGACGAGGAGGCCAACTTCTGTGCCGGCGCTACACAGGTTCACACGCATAGCCCGACCTGTGTCAAGTATTCCTTGGGCAAAGGAGCGCGGAAAGGAATCTATGCCGGTTTAAGTCTCCATGGAGGTTGGTCGACAAGACCGCCATCACGGCAGACGGGGTGTTGCAGATCCGGAGGACTCACAGCATGGTCAATCGATGGAACAAGGCTATCGCTGTTGGGCTCCGGCACAACCACGACATTTCCTTCATTGCGACGCAGCGCAAGACCATGGCCCTTATGTATTATGTCACGAACTACGCGACGAAGGTGGAGGACCCGGTGTGGAAGCGTGTGGCGGCCGCGGCCGATCTCTGGCCGCCTCAACGGGTGACGGCACGGCCAACGGAGGACAGGACGACGGTGGAGGTGCTGTTGGCGATGACGCCGCCAATGGGAACAGGACGCGACAGTTCTTGATGAGGGTGGCGAATCGTGTGTTCACGGAGCGTCCGCTATCTCAGGTCGAGGTCGTCGCTCATCTTCTTGGATATCCGGCCGAGTTCACCAACAGCAGCGCCTGGGCGTACCTGAACACATCTCTGCTGTACTGGGAAGTCTTTCGACGGTGGCCGTATCTCCGACGAGCAAGTGGCGCGGCGGCCATAGATGATACTCTGGATGAGTCGGTCGTTGTCGAAGAAGCAGGCCTGAGGATCTCCCACGTTGAGGCGTACCAGCACCGGGAGAGCTCCTGCGAGGGCTATGCTTATACGACTACATATCGCTCGTTAGACTAAAACGCACCAGTAAGGACGAGAGCTGTGCGGCCTGGGGGGAGGTGCCCTTCGAGGATGGATGGGCGCCAGGGAGACGCTGGGTCCAGGTGCTCAGGCGGCCGGGCAAGCATGCTACCGTCTGCCTCGATGGCTACCTGAGCAAGGACTTCGGCCACAACGACGACGAGGAGTCGTGCCACCGGAGGTGTGTATAGCAACCGCCCTGCCGGCAGGCATCATCAGAGTGGCTAACCTCCCCTCCCCTTACAGGGCAGCCGTGCAGCATCTTGCGCTATTTGTGCCGTGGGAGTCCTTTCTGTGCGAAGAAACAGGTGAGATCAATAGCATCTGGGAGCGGGCGCGAGAGGCGCTGGCCCCGAGAATATCATGTCTCGTCGACAACGTGCAGCTGCTTCGACGATCAGCCGAAGACGCAAAGCGCGACGCCAAGCAATGGGCGGCCTCATCCGGCGATGGCGATTCCACGGTCGCCCACGTCGAGGAGGGCGAGACAGGCGAGGCGGGCGCAGAATTTGCAGCGACGTATCGGTCCAACAACATCGGAGACGCAACGCGCCTGATCGACGTCGTCCGAGGCGCAGTGGGCACGAATCAGGTGACGGCCAAGTCGCCGGAGCTCATGGCAATGATGCGGCAGCTCTGTCGATTCCAGCAATCGGCGCTCTGCTCAACGGCCGAGCTCGAGGCCATCGCGATTCCCGAACAAGGGTTGAGGTGCATAAGCATGCCAGGGCGGGTATTTTCCGGGGCCGCACTACCGCCGCAGGATCAGGTCAAGGCTATCAAGTCGCAGCAGATAAGTGCGTCGAGGAAAGGAGAGAATGATCCAAGGCGTACAAACCACAGTCGCAGTCCGGGAAAGCGATCGCCGAGCTGCGTTGCGGAGGGTGATGACCGGCTTCGGGAGGACGACGTCGAAATGACGACAGCCGACTCCGACGAGACGGCTAGCGACGCAGAAGCGGGAATGCGCGTCCAGCTTGGCCCATCGACCTCCTTCTTCGCGGCGGGCAAGGAGTTGTCGACACGGCTAACGCTGAACAAGAGGCAGTCGATCGCTTTCCTAATAATATGCCGCCAGCTCGATTTGATGCGACAAACGAATAGGGGCGATGCCGGCCAGCTCTGCCAGTTCGTCGGCGGCGAGGGGGGCACCGGCAAGTCGCGGATCATTGGGGCACTCGTCGAGCTGTTCAGTGGGAAGAGCCTTTCGAATCGTCTGCTGATCACGGCGACGTCAGGGACTGCCGCGGCGCAGATCAACGGCATCACGATCCACCCGCCTGCGGGTTCACTAAAGACCAAGGGCGGGCGGCGCGAACACAGCCAAGGACCTTGACGGGGTGCGGCTGACAAAACGGGCGGAGCGGTTCATCCACGGCCAGTCTCGGATGGACTGGCAGGAGAAGGACGTGCTTGTCATCGACGAGGTGAGCATGCTCGGAGCGCGGACGCTGCACGCCATAAACGAGCGACTCTGTCGGCTTCGCGGATCGCAGAAAGATTTCGGGGATCCCCATCGTCCTCTTCTGCGGAGACTTTCAGCAGTTCCGGCCGGTCAAGAGAGGTCGATCGTCCTGCCGAGCGCGGCCATCTCGTGGGACGTAGACAACTCGTTCAAGGCCGAGCAGCGGCACCAGCACGACAAAGCGCACGCGCTGTGGAAGAGATTCACGACGGTCGTCATGTTGAACGAGCAAATGCGCGCCGCCGGTGATCCGGAATTGCAGGGGCTGCTGAAGCGGATCCGGCAGGGTGTGCAGGACCGCACGGATCTGGACCTCCTCAACTCAAGGTGCTACCGCGAGGGCAGGCGGATCCTTGGGAGACTGGCATCACCGTGGTGACGCCGCTGAACAGGAATCGGTGGAACCTAAACATGGAGGCAAGCTTGGCGTTCCGGGTCCAGCAGCGGTCGACGATGCGCATCTTCATCTCCGAGCACAAGTGGAAGGAGGGCCTGCCGACCGAGGAAGAAGCGATCATGGTACTCAATCAAGGCGACGATAGCGCGATCCCCGTGCCGGCCGTCTTCATGTTCGTGGCCGGGATGCCGGTCGTCGTGAACCACAACACCCATCAGGGGCTGAAGCTGGTGAACGGCGCCGGCTACTCGGCGGTGGAGGTCATTGTCGACAAGGCGTCCCCAGGGCATCGAATCTCGTCCGACATGACGATCCACTTCGGGCCGCCGGCGGGATATTACTGGAATCGGCGACGACAAAGGACCTCCACTTCGTCGGGATGCCGCCGGGCACGATCTTGTTAACGCCGATGAGCGTCAGGATACACTGCCAACGAAAGCGGCCGTGGCAGCAGAACGACGTCAGCCGGAAGGGATTGCCGTGCGCAGCAGCCTTCGCCTGCACGGACTACAAGGTGCAGGGCAGAACGCTAGAGCGCGTGGCCCTGGAGCTGCGGGGGACACGGACGACGAAAGTCGATGGAAGGGCCGTGCCCTCGCAATGCGACCCGTACAGCTTATATGTGCAGCTATCGCGCTGTCGAACGCTAGACGGCATCACGCTCGTGTCCAAGGTGCGGAGAGAGACTTGGTGGGCAACCGAGTCCCCGAAGAGATGACCGCCGCGCAGGCCAGGCTGGAGGTGCTAAGCGAGAGGACTGTCGAGGAAGCTTTGCGTCGGTCGGATGGCGACGCTGAAGAGTCAAGGAGAGTTGTCAGGGTGAGGTGACGAGGGGGAGAAGACGGAGGAGCGCGCCGGCGGGCAAGAAGACAAGGGCACTGGGCAGCAGCGATCAACGAGGGGCGACTTTTAGACTTGAAGGAAGAACCCGCTAGAAAGGCATGAACGAAAAGGGCAAAGACAAAAGACGCAAGTTTTAGACACAATAAGAAAACCGGCGGACGAAAGGAAAAAGGTTGGCATTGGCATTGGCATTGGCAAGGGGGTGAACAGGAGTATAAACGGGGGGGAAACAGGGCAAGGCATGAGAGGGGCAAGAGAAGGCGGCAGCGACCAATGATGAGGGAGGGACGGAAGGGTCGGCGACCAATCACACGGGATCTTTTATTCCGAAAGAGGAAACGGGAGAGGCAACCCAACAGGGTTGCGCAAAGAGCCTTGAGGAACGAAAAAAACGTCTAGACAAGGGGCAGACAGATGTACAGAGGCAGAAAGGTAACGACGACCAAGGGGCAGCCAGGCTGGACGAAAAACACTTCCCATTTAAGGAGTTATAGCAGCGTACGCTATTCCATTTCCGTAGCTTTCTTAGATAGGTGGCGGTTTCGAAGCGGACGGGCCGGCGAGCCCAAGCCATGGGCGACAATGGAATCGAGGAAGAGTCCGTAAGTCAGGACCCGGCTTAGGGTTGTCCGGCTCATGAGCGGCGGAGGCAGCCGAAACAGAGAACGAGTGGGTAGCAGAGGAGGCGGGCTTAGGGGAAGACGAGATCACCGGGGCCTTATGCAGCAGACACGGTCGCTTCGTCGGCGTATCGGCAGGCTCAGGGCAATATCGTTTCCCGGGCGGCGTAAGGTGGCCGGTCGAGGGCGAAGCCGAAGCCAAGGGTGGAGGACTGAGCGGGAGGGTGCCAGGGGTGATCAAAGACAAAGAGGCAGCGCGCACGTCCCGGAAGGCCGCGGAAGCGGAGGAAGCTTGTTGCCTCTGTGGCGTAGAGAGAAGCGGTGCCATCGTGGTGACGGCGGCGGCGGCCTTGTCGAGAAAAGTCCAGGAATCCGGGACGACGATAAAGACGTTGTCCCGGTCCGAGCCAGGGGTAGAGCATGACATCATGACGGAGCAGGCCAGCGACCTTGCCTGTGCAGGTAAAGGGGACGTTAGGCTGAAATTGAGAGTCCTGCCTCTCGGCCATCTTCCTACACAAGATGGCCCAGGGTTAGCGCGAACAGGAAGATAACGAAGACCTGGAACGGGTGGAAGCCCTTGAAGGGGACCTTATTAGGCATCCCAGGAGCGACATAGGTAGAAAGGCGGACAAATCCGCAACAGTTAAGTTGGGCGGCGCCTGGACCGGGCAGTAGGTCCCGCCGCAGCGAGGAGTGGCCGGTGCCGACGATAAGGCCGGTAAAGGAAACAATAGGCGGGATGCAGGGGAAGTCGCCCATGGAGGCAAAGAGCCTAGGGAGAACACTTCAAGCCCATCTTAGCCATATACCGTTTCGTCGGCACTCGCGAAGGGTCAGGGCACGGCTTACGGCTGGTAGCTGTCAGAACCTTGATGAGGTTCTCGTCGGATAGGTCACGGACACAGCAAGAATGGTACGATCGGATGAAGTGAGGTATGATGTGTGTCTGTCTGTGTCCCCCATTTGGGGGTGCTCTGCCCAAGCCCTATATCAAAGGGCGATGGCCTCAATCCCTATGACATGCCATCACGTCATATCTCTGTAACTGTCTCATAGATGTCCTCGTGGCCTCATCGGCTGCGCTACCTGGTGCGCTATCGTCTGCGCTACCGTTGGCGCTGCCACTAGTAGCCTGACGCTATCGTAGCTGCATCTACCCGGATTCTACCGGATCTAACACACCCTCCCAGCTGAGCTCGCATCGCGAGGGAAGCTGCCAATGATCCGCTCAAATCGTCCAAAGCCATTGTGTATGTGAATTGTTCTTTCGGGCCGGAACATCATCTCTCCCGGGGCGAGTATCGTGCCTGTAGATGCGCTCGCGGCTCATTGCGCCTTCTTCGTGATTTCGTCGCTGGTCATTCCTTATCTTCCTTGTGCCACACCTCATATATCTGTTCTTGGAGTTCTTCGTCATCTGTTTCGGGAGCGACCGGCCGGCGAGGAGGCTGGTGACGTCTTCGAGGCCCATTTGCTTGACGAATGCTTCAAAGTGAGGTCCTTGGAGCGCCTTTGTCAAACCATCGGCCATCAGCTCGGCGCTGGGTGTATACGTGACTTCGATCGTGCCGTTGGCTACTTCTTGACGAAGCCAATGGTTGTGGATGTTGACGTGACGAAGCTTTGTCTTCAGCGCTGCGATCTCTGCGTTGACGAGCCGGATTGTTTGGTTATTGTCGCATTGAATCCGAATGTGTGAGGCATCCAGCTTGACACCCAGCTCGTCGATCAGCCTGCTCATGTATATTGACTCCTTGGCGGTTTGTGACAATGCCAAAAGCTCTGCCTCAGTTGTCGAGGTTGTGACGGTATCTTGCTTGTTTGCCCGCCACCCGATGAGACCTCCAAACAGCTTCATGGCGTAGGCCTGCGAGCTTTCCGGTCGGTCGAGTTGTCAGCAAATGATGAGTCGCTTGCCACTTCAAAATCATCGCCACCTCCCAGCCTGAGGGCCAAATTCTTTCTCTCGACCAAGTAGCAAATTGCTCGGTCAGCAGCGTCTTGGTGTTGAGGGCTGGGGTTGGACATGAAGTTTGCCAGTTTTGAGGCGACAAAGGCTACATCTGGCCTTGTGATGACTGCTGCATACAAGAGAGATCCGCTTTCACCTGGTAGGAGTTTACTTCTCCGTTCGTGGCGATGCCTTCAAATGGGAGTAGCTCTTCAGTCCCCATTGGAGTGTTAAAAATTCTGCGTTTGTTTGCTAGGCGGCCGATCTTCTCAATGTATGAAGCTTGTGACAGCCAAATCAGGCGTCGATCACGGTTGCGAATGATTTCGATTCCTAAGAACCATTGGAGGTCGTTTCCTCCGGTCAGTTCATATTTTGAACGCAGTTGGTCGGTTAGAGCTTTTGCCCTCAGTCCGTCTTCCTTCCGAAACGCAAACACAATGTCATCAACGTAAAAGAAGACGAAGATGCCGTCGAGGGTTAGGCAACAGGGCTCATGAGGAACCGTCTTGAAGCCAATTTTCTTGAGCGTATTGGTCAGCTCGCGATGCCACAGCAGAGGCGACTTTCGCAGCCCGTAGAGTGCTTTCAACAATTTCAAGATTATGCCGTGTTTCCTGTGACCCGGCGGCATACGCATGTAAATCCCGTCGTCCAAGTTGGCATTCACAAATGCATTGACGGCGTCGTATTGGATCAGTTCGAGGTCGAATCTTGCCGCAATTGCCATCAGTGATCTGAAGCTTCTTCCAGCCAACGTAGCTGCATATGTGTCTTGGGTGTTTCGACGTTCTTGGTCGCCTCGGACCACAAGGCGAGCTTTGCATTTCACCAGCCTGCCTCGCTTGGTGTACTTGTAGACGTAAATCCACATGCAGTCAAGAATTTGTGTTCCATTTGAGATTGTGTTGAGGGCCACCTCCTTCCAAGAACCCATTTTCTGGTGGCTCTGGAGGTGGTCTCGTTCGGCTTGCTCGAACATGTAGCGGAAAGTGTGTGTCTTGAGATCGTGGTGACTCTTTGGGAGAGGCGGTAGGTCTTTTCGATCGATTTGTTTCTTGAAGATGAGTCTTTCTAGGTAGGCCTTGTCTCGAGGCTTCCCACTTGTCTTGTCTTTTGAAATGGGGTTTGCAACAGTCCCTGCTAGGAAAGCTGACGCCCAAGTCTGTCTTGCAGAGTTTTTTTTGACGATGTGGTTCTGGCTCACAGGAGGGTGACAGCCCGTCCTGGTGCCCATCTGTCAAGCTCTGTGATGTTTCAGGCATTGTGAGGTCATCATGACTCTCTTGCCACCAGGGTCTGTCCTGGATTTTTCTTTCCACAAAGGGGTCTTGTATCATTTGTATTGAGGCTGCAAGGAGAGCAGCCGGAGGAGTCTGCGGAGGCGTTGGCAGGAGTTCAAAGCGTGCCTCAGTGTATTTTTCATTGAATTGTTCCTCGTTTGGTGGATCGACCATTTGTTCGTCGTCGTCGTTGAAATCGAAGACGGGCTCATCTGGAGCCTGCGTTGTCATTAGCGAGGAAATTTCATCATTCTTTGGGAGGCCAATCTGGGTGAGAGTGTCTGCCAGTTTGTCAAGGTCGGCTTCCCTGACCGATTCAGCGAGGCTTTGGAGCGTTCCATCGAACACTTGATCCTCATCGAAAACGACGTCTCGTGTGAGTATCACCTCGCCTGTCGAAGGTATCCAGACCCTGTAGATGTTTGAGGAGGAATACCCGACGAGATGGCCAATCAAGCCCTTGGGTTGAGCTTTTGAGTCGTTGTTCTTTCTTTTGGGCCACCCTTGTCATGGCGAAAACCTTGCACCCGTAGGCGCGGAGGTGTTCGAGGGGTGGTTTCTTGCCTGTGAGCACTTTGTAAGGTGATCTCCATTTCTTCCCGTATCTTGGGGTGCGGTTGTTGAGATACACCGCGGCCCTGTAAATCTCTGTCCACAGCTGAGTTGGAAGCATTCCCCTCATCGCTCGAGCCTTGTCTTTGATCGTCCCGGCTGAGCGTTCGGACAATCCATTTTGACATTGGGTGTTTGGGGCCGATGGCTCGACCTTGAGGAACTTCTCGTGGACGAGGTAGTTGAGAATTTCTGGTTTCCCCGTAGTCAGCTCATTGTCGCACTCGACGATTTTTGTGATAAATTCGTATTGATGTTTCAGGTTGCTCAGAAGGTATTCAATCGAAGCCTTGACAGTCTCTGTTTTGCGGTCTTGCAGGTAGAAATCCCAGGCAAACCCGCTTGCTCTGTCTGTCACCAGCATCAGCGAGTTATATCCCTTCTTGTCAGGCTCGAAGTCGTGGAAATCGATTCCGAGTCTTTCTCCAGGTTTGCAGTCTTCGCGGGGTTCTCTTCGTATCTGTTTTCTCAACTTGCCCATTACGCAGTTATCACAGTCAACGGAGGGGATTCCTTTGATCTTCACTCCTCGTGAGCAGTTCACGAGGTGCTCCATGGCTCTGGGGCCTGGGTGCCCGAGCCGCAGGTGCCAGAGCTTTGCAGATACCTTCTGAGGGCTTCGTTGTGTTATCGAAGTGTACTTGTTTCGTCTGTTGAAGAATGCCCTTCGAGTGACGTCGCTGGGGATGTGTTCCAGCACAAACTGGTCGTGTTCCTGGCTGACCAGGCCGATGATGCTCAATCTGAAGCTCGAAGGCACGACTGTTGGCCTGGACTTTCGTCCCACCAGATGCCGTGTCTCTTCAGGGTTTTGTAGGAGACTAGGTTGCACGCAAAATTTTCGCAAAACGCGACATCAGTCAGCCGTAGACAGCGTGGGCCTTGAGGGCCTTTGATCCTGATGTCGACATCACCATAGCCTTGAATAGGCACTTGGCTCTCCCTGCCCAGAGGAAGTCGCCTTTTGTCGCTCTCCTGAAGTTGAGAAATCGTGAAATTTGGTTGAAGATGTGGATGGTCGAAGCAGAGTCAAGCAGGGCCGAGCTGCACAGCGGATATGACTCGACAGAAAGCTGCTTGGCCAGGTTGATGAGCGATGGCGAATGAAGCGGAGCACTTCCCATCGCTCTTCCAAGTCAGGCTGGAGTTAGATCTTGAGCAGGAGCTGGGGTTGAAGCTGGCTCCCGCTTCGTGCTTGGCATGAATTCCCTTTCTTGCCTCTTTCCACGGTATCTGTCCATTTGTCTTTTCACTTCTTCAAGCTTCGAGTTTCTCTCGACCGCTTCGTTTGGAGCCCACCACTTTGGGGCTATATCTGGGTTGATTGCGTAGCAATTCGAGAATGTATGGCCTGGTTGTTCGCAAAGGTTGCAGAATCTTCTGCTTGGCTCGTCATCTCGAGGCCTCTTGTATGTATCTCTGTCTCTTGTATCTCTGTTGTCCCGGCCTCGATCTCGGCCTCTTCCTCTTCCTCTTCCTCTTCCTCTATTTCCTCTCGTCTCGTCAAGTGTTGGGCCGAAGGAGCCAGGCTTAATCGTAGAAGGAATCATTTCGGAATCGATATAGTTTGTGAAATGGTTCGTCATGGTGTGTATATCAAAATCATCGTCAGTATCTTTTTCGGAGAGGTAGAATTGGGTTACCCAGCCGGAACATTGAGGTTTCACAGCCTCCAAGAAGTCTCTGATCCATATAGCTGGGTGTGTCGCTTCCGCGAGTTTCTCTCTGATGCCCTCGTGCATCACGTTCTTCCATGACTGGATCCAGCTTTCCCAGTCTTGCGGTGGTTTGGTGAGAGGTGTAACCGCCTTTCGATACCTATTTTGCAAGGCCCGAGTCATCTCTTTCTTGTTGCCTTTGGCCTGCTTCTTCAGGCTGGCGTACCAGTCTTTGAGGACTTGGCTGGAAGACAACAGGTCTGAAAATATGGATCATCAACGGTCTTTGCCACCCAGGCTCGCAGATCTTTGATGCTTTCCTCTTGTTTTTCGTGCTTTCAACCTTGAACTGGAACATACGCCAGTCGTTGGTGGTGTCCCTGAGAGTAGCGTCAGCTGCTCAGTGGTTACTCCCGTTTGATTAGCAGTTGGCTGTGGTTCTTCGAGAAGGCTTGCTCCTTCGACTCCAGAAACCCAGTTCCAGAGCTTGTAATCGATGGCAAGTGCCTGGAATTTGGTGTCCCATAGAGACCAGTCCTTGGGCTGGCGGAGGAAGGCTTCAGAAGTCGGAGTCTTTGCGAATGAAGTCATCGCCAATTTTTAAAATTTTTTTTTTTTTTGAATTGCTTAACCTTAGTTTTTCAGATGCGGGTTCTTCCACTCAATTGGTAGAATTGAGACTCTTAATTGTCAGAACCTTGATGAGGTTCTCGTCGGATAGGTCACGGACACAGCAAGAATGGTACGATCGGATGAAGTGAGGTATGATGTGTGTCTGTCTGTGTCCCCCATTTGGGGGTGCTCTGCCCAAGCCCTATATCAAAGGGCGATGGCCTCAATCCCTATGACATGCCATCACGTCATATCTCTGTAACTGTCTCATAGATGTCCTCGTGGCCTCATCGGCTGCGCTACCTGGTGCGCTATCGTCTGCGCTACCGTTGGCGCTGCCACTAGTAGCCTGACGCTATCGTAGCTGCATCTACCCGGATTCTACCGGATCTAACAGTAGCCCTGATCGCGGACGACAAGGGCGGGCATCGTATAGAGAAAGGTGCGGCCCGTGTCAGACTCGAGGCCGTCGCGTTGCTCAACCTCCCATGCGAGCGCGTAGGGGTGGACGCGGGCATGCATGAAAAACCACTCTTCGGTCCAGTCGGAGGATCAATAGGCTGGCCGTAGATGGAGAGGTTGAGGCTAAAAAGACGGATGTCGGGGAATCATCGGCATCCGATCGGAGGGCGCATATTCCGTCGCGAGCAGCCAGGCGGGAGGAGGCAGGAAGACGCGGGCCATGGCCTCGGCGTTAAGACCCCTGATGCGGTGGTCGTCCTGGTGGGAAAATCTAGCAGGACAGTCCGGCTGGACAAAAGACATCATAGACATCTCACCGCCAGCGCCCCTTTGGCTATCGAGCGGCTTTCGAAGGTGCGGTGCGGGCATATCGGTACGAAGTAGAGAGGAAGACATAGTGCATCTGCGCAGGTCGATAGGCCACTTGCACGCACTAAAAGGACGGGTTCTCAGCGTCAAGAAAGGAGTAGGGAAGAAGTCGAGCGTAGACGCACTTATAGTAGATCAATAGTGGTATGGATTCGCCGGGAAGAGCGAGGAGCCTTGCCGCTGTAAGTAAGCAGACGTCAAAGAGATGCGTCGTGGTGTTGCGGAGCTGGGTACTGATCGGGCAGCAAGGGCGACGCGGATTAAAGTGTCCGGCAGGGCTACCGGCATAGGATGGCGAAAACTAGGGCTGTCGGCAGATAGGCCTGTCGATAGGTACAAAGGAAGCCCGGCAGGTCCGAGAGAGAGAGGTCTAATGCAGAAAGGGGATATTAACAAGGAAGGATATAACCGTTAGCAAGAAGAATGCCAACGCGGCGGAACGCCATTGCCAGGAAGCGAGACAATCTCGGGTATATCCCGGGCGAAGGCTTCCTAATCTATCGTTCGTTTGCGGAGCCTTGCCGATAAGACAGCACCAGCATGGGGGAGAATCGTAGCCGCGAGGTAAGATCGGTGGCAGGAGAGTGCGAAACGGGGACAGCAGCAGCGGCCGCTGCTGCGACGAGGAGTATCGCGGCGGCGAGACCGATCGCAATGGACGAAGGGCCGAAGCGGGCGTCGGGCCACAAAAGTCAAGAAACGCGGCACCCAGGTTCCGGCCTATTGAGGCCAAGCCGGCCGCGGCGGCCGACGATGCCTCACGAAGAGAGCAGGCAGAGGCACTCAAAGAGCGTTGCCCAAGGGAAGTCGGCGAGGCGGCTGGCCGCGGAAAGGACGACTAACGTCGATAGTTCCTCCTCGAAGGGAGGGCTCGTGGAGGGCGTCCAGAGGGCACGTCTGGAAGGCGAAGCCGTGGTGCGCGGACAGGGCCAATGGGCTCCGAGGACACCCAAGCCGCCCAGGAGGACAGGATCGGCCGGCAAGCCCTGTCGGGAACTCGCCTAGAGTCGTCAGGAGCTTCTGGTTCGGCCAATCCGATCTCAAGAGATGGATGATGGCGCAGGAGATACGCAGTCATCCGGACGGTGGCCACCGCCGCCATCACGCCAGAAAGGACAGGGTCGGCCGGCAAACAGTGTCGGGATTTCGTCTACAGCCGTCAGGAGCGCCTCATTCGGCCAATCCAACCTAGAGCAATAGAAGATAGAGCGGGAGATATACAGTCATCCGGATGCCAGGCGGGACAGGATTGGCCGGCAACCGCTGTCACGATGTCGTCTGGAGTCGTCAGGAGCCCCTCGTTCAGCCAACCCAACCCAGAGATGCAAGGCAGGGCAGGAGATACGCAGTCATCCGGATGGTTGCCACCACGGCCATCACGCCAGGCGGCGGCGGGAGAACAAGATCGGCCGTGGCGAGACGAGGCAGCGGAAAGATCCTCGCAGGCCGTAGAACAGAGAAAGAGGAACCGCCAGCGTGACCGAGACCAGACCCCGACGAAACGTACTCGAGGAAGCCATCCGAGGCAGAGGAGGAGTGAGCTGCAGGCAGAGGATTTGGCCAGTGTCTTGCTTTACCTCGAAGGGGAATTCGTCGCGAAGGAAAGGCTGTCTAAGGAGCAAACCTGGTGCACACCAATACCGCATGAGAGGAAGGTATCGACGGTGCGAAAGTTTTATCGGGCGTTCCACGATGTGAGCACCTTGCCGATAATGACCTGCAGGCTGTGTTACCGCAAGCGTACAAGGAAGGAGTTGAGGAGATTCCGTGGGATCAGTGGCTATCAAGTCCCGTTCCTCGGGGTGAGCGCTCACCATTTGCGTGCCGAAGCTGCTTTCCGGGGTGAGCCCGTCTCGGTTTGTGTGGAGTGTGCCCGATGCTTGGGGCGCGGGAGCCTGTCGTCGGCGGTCCACCTTCACAGTCGCCTCGGATGCGAGCACATGTTCCCCGACGAGCTGAAGGGGCTGACGCCGGTCGAAGAGAAGCTCATCTCGTTGAACTCGTGTTACGGCTTTGTGACGAGGTATAACATTCCGGGCGGGCAGACGCAGGCAGTGAGGTATCCGAGACATGTCAAGGGCCACATCACGGTGTTTCCAAACAACGTGCAGGAGCTGGCGAGAAGGTGCTGCACCCGCTCTGGCAAACAATGGACGAGATCCACGTCTCGTGGCAGGGCGCGGAGAAGCCAGCACCGTGCGACTTATCGGGTCTCTTGTCGGTGAGGCGTCAAGTCGTCGAGAGAGCGCTTATCTGGTTGAAGAAGAATAACCCCCATTACGCCGATATTGAGATTGATAGGGCGGAAATGGATAGCTGGGGAACACCATCACACGGTGTGCCGCGGGTGGTCTACGACCGCATGGAGCGGAACGAGCCGTCTGCGTGGGAGAAGACGCGAACGGCGCAGGTCGTGCCGCCCGCAGAGCGGGCCATGGACGACGATAGTCCGGCGGAGATCGAAGGAGTCCTCGCCCAGCTCCTCCAAGGACAAGACGTATTGGACAGGGGAGTCGAGAATCCGAGGAGTGGAGCGGACGGGACTGACGATGCTGAGCCCGATGACAGAGCCAAAACGATCAACGAGATCACCTCTTCCGGCATGTTTGCATTGGACGGACCGCCGGAAGTGTCGGACGCAGAGAAGCTCCGCTTTGCGTGCAATGCCGTGGGTGGCGATGGGGCCGAGAACGACCGCAAGGGGCCGAGGGCATGGATAAGGTCGGCGGAGGCGGGTCAAGAAGGCACGGATGTCCGCGAGCCATACATCCACGTTTGTCGCGGAGACGAATTCGCCGACTCGCTCGACGCCTCGTTCTTCGCCAAGACCTTTCCCACCCTACTGCCGTTCGGATTTGGAGGACCACGGCTCGCGGAGGAAGTCATCTTAGGACCCGAGGGCCGGTCAATTGGCGGTACGGCTGCTGGAGAAGAGACGGCGGCGCGAGATCTTCTGTCGTCTCGGAACATAAGCCTTCGGACCTGGGCCGGCATTGTGCTGCGGCGCCATGGTGGCCGATTCGCGACGCATACCATCTTCTCGTTTCTCGTTTTCAATATGGATGTGCGGTCGAAGAATCGTCGGGTCAGCATGCTCAGCGCGACGCGGAAGAACTTCGCCGAGGTGGAGCGCATCGTACGGTCGCTGACAGCGGATAGGTTAGCGGCCGCCAGGGCGGAGCTGGAGACGTCGGGCAAGACTACCGACGATGGCGTCAAGGAGCTTCTAAGATGCCTTTCGCTGTACGGCTATCGGCAGCCCATGTCGAGGGAGCTCCGTCTGAGCATGCGGCGCAAGATCCAGTCACTCATCTTATGTCGTGGCGTGCCTGCAATCTGGTTCACGCTCAACCCGAACGACATCACGAACCCGGTGAAGCTGAGACTGGCGGCATACCGCACACGTGATCCCGCAGCGGCCGAGGCATTCCTGCAAGGCCTCGACAAGGCGTTCAAACGTGCGCGGCTGGCCATCTCGGACCCGTTAAGCTCGGCCGAATTCTTCCACCGAGAAATGACGTTGTTCTTCGAACATTACGTGAGAGTGGGCGAGGAGTCGGTGTTCGGGCGCATCAGCCACTATTACGGTGCCGTCGAGACCAACGAGCGTGGAGCGCTCCATGTTCACGGACTGCTCTGGCTGCAGGGCAACGTGCATCTAAGCTCGATGCTTGCCGATATCGACGGCGAGGATCAAGCGGCATACCGAGAACGCATCGTCAGATACGTCGACAGTGTCTTTTCCGAGGTATGAGCGGGGCCGGCGTGTTGACCTGCGTCCTCCGTCTGTCAAAGCCGAAAGCTGACGAACAAGACAGGATCTGGACCAGGAAGGCTTCTGCGCAATGCAGGCCGAGCGATCGGTGACGTCAGATATATCGCAATTTCTGGGCGACGAACGGCAATTTTCAGCCTCGTTCGACGAGGAAGCGAACTTCTGTGCCGGCGCGACGCAGATCCATACCCACAGCCCGACCTGCGTCAAGTACTCGCTGGGCAAAGGGGGGCGCAAGGGCGATTTATGTCGTTTCAAGGCGCCGTGGGGACTGGTCGACGAGACGGCCTTCACGGGAGACGGCGTGCTGCGGATTCGGAGGTCGCACAGCATGGTGAATCGGTGGAACAAGGCCATTGCCGTGGGCTTCGCCACAACCATGACATATCTTTCATCGTCACACAGCGTAAGACGATGGCCCTCATCTTTACGTCACAAACTATGCGACCAAGGTGGAGGACCCTGTATGGAAGCGCGTCGCCGCCGCCGCGGATCTCTTGCCTCCCAGGGCAGGTGACGGAATGGCCGACGGCGCGGAGGTTCGTGGAGACAGTGGTGCCGGTGACGATGGCAGGCAGAATAAGACACGGCAGTTCCTGATGAAGGTGGCGAATCGCGTGTTTACGGAGAGGCCGTTATCGCAGGTCGAGGTCGTCGCGGACCTCCTGGGATGCGCGACTGAACTGACGAATGGCAGTGCTTGGGCGTTCCTGAACGTATCGTTGCTCTACTGGCAAGTCTTCCGACAATGGCCGCACCTTCGACGAGAAAGCGGCGCAGCCGTTGCAGATGGCTCTGTGGACGAGTCAATACTCGTCGAAGAAGCAGGCCAGAGGATTTGCCGTGTCGAGGCATACCGTCATCGGGGAGACGTCCTTCGAGGGCTGTGTCTCTACGACTACGTTTCGCTGGTCAGGCTGAAGCGCAACGAAAGGGACGAGGGCCCGCCGGCTGGGAGGTCCCGTTCGAGAGCGGCTGGGCTCCGGGAGGCCGTTGGGCGCAGGTGCTCAGGCGACCGGGCAAGCAGGCCACGGTCTGCCTCGACGGGTATTTGAGCAAGGATTTCGACGAAGACGACGAAGGGTCGTGCTACCGAAGGTGCGTTTGTCGTCGACGGGCCGGAGGCGCCGGGTCGAGAAGGCTAATTTCCATGGCGAAGAGCGGCTGTGCAGCATCTTGCGCTGTTCGTGCCGTGGGAGTCTTTCTTAGACGAAGAAAGGGGCGACATCAACTGCATATGGGGGCGGCAACGAGCAGCCCTGGCCCCGAGGATATCATGTTTCGTCGATAACGTGCAGTTGCTGCGACGGTCGGCCGAAGATGCAAAGCGGGACGCACGGCAGTGGGCGGCCTCGTCCGGTGACGGCGACCCCACGGCAGTACGTCCGGACGAGGACGGCACCGGGGAGGTGGGTGTCGAGCCCGGATCGGGATACCAGGCCGACAGTGCGGGAAGCACGAATCGCCTAATCGACGTTGTCAGAAGCTCGATCGGGCCGAACCAAATCACGGCCGGCTCGCCGGAGCTCACGGCGATGATGCAGGAGCTCAGCCGATTTCAGCAATCGGCGCTGTCCTCTTCTTCCGAGGTCCAGGCCACAATACTACCCGAACGGGGCCCAAGACGAATCAACATCCCGGGCGGGCATTCTCCGGAGCCACCATACCGCCGCAAAGTGAGGTTAGGGCCATAAAGTCGCAGCAAATCCGCGCATCCAGGGAGAGGAGAAGATGATACGGGGCATACAAAGCCTGTCCACGGCACCGGTGACTGGTCGCCGCGCGGCGGTGCGGGGCGTGCTCACGGGTTTCGGGGATGACGACGTCCAGATGACGGCAGCGGAGCTCGAGGAAGGAGTAGCGGGGCCAGCGCGGGAATGGAGATCCGGTTCGGTGCCTCAACCTCCTTCCTCGAGGCGGGCAAGGCCCTGGCAGCGCGGCTCACGCTAAACAAGAAGCAGGCGATCGCCTTCCTAATTATATGCCGCCAGCTTGACCTGATACGGCGCGGGGAGAAAAGCAACGTACGCCAGCTGTGCCAGTTCGTCGGTGGAGAGGGCGGAACGGGCAAGTCACGAGTCATCGAGGCGCTCGTCGAGCTCTTCGCGTCCAAGGATCAATCGAATCGTCTGATGATAACGGCGACGTCGGGGACGGCAGCAGCGCGGATCAACGGCATTACGATCCACTCCGCCTGCGGGTTCTCGAAAGATCTCGCGGCAGCCGCAAACGCGGCCAAGGATCTCGACGGGGTGCGACTGCCGAAACAGGCGGAGCGGTTCGTCGACGGGCAATCCCGGATGGACTGGCAGGAGAAGGACGTGCTCGTCATCGACGAGGTGAGCATGCTCGGGGCGCGGACGCTACACGCGGTGAACGAGCAGCTCTGCCGGCTGCGCGGGTCGCACCAGGATTTTGGAGGTATTCCGATCGTCCTCTTCTGCGGAGACTTCCACCAATTCCGCCCCGTCCAAGAACGCTCGATCCTCCTCCCCAGCACCGCCGTCTCGTGGGACGTAGACAGCTCCTTCAAGGCCGAGACACGGCACCAGCACGACAAGGCGCACGCGTTGTGGAAGAGATTCACGACCACGGTCATGCTGGACGAGCAGGTGCGCGCCGCGGGAGATCCGGAATTGCAGAGGCTGCTAAGGCGGATTCGACTGGGCGTGCAGGACCGCTCGGATCTGGACCTCCTCAACTCAAGATGCTACCGGGAAGGCAGGCGGATCCCGTGGGAGACGTGCATCACCGTGGTGACGCCGCTGAACAGGAACCGGTGGAACCTCAACATGGAGGCCAGCTTGGCGTTCCGGGCCCAGCAGCGGTCAGTGATGCGCATCTTCATCTCGGATCATACGTGGAAGGAGGCCCTGCCGACGGAGGAAGAGGCCATCATGATGCTGAACCAGGGCGACGACAGCGCGATCCCGGTGCCGGCCGTCTTCATGTTCGTGCCGGGGATGCCGGTCGTCGTGAACCATAACACCCATCAGGGGCTAAAGCTGGTGAACGGCGCCGGCTACACGGCGCTGGAGGTCGTCCTCGACAAGTCGTACCGGGGCATCGTATCACGGCAGACACGACGGTCCATTTCGGGCCGCCGGCGGGATAATGCTGGAGTCGGAGACGACGAACGACGTTCACTTCGTCGGGATGCCGCCAGGCACGGTCCTGTTGACGCCCATGACGGTCAAAATACAGTGCCAGCGAAAGAGGCCGTGGCAGCAGAACGACGTCAGCCGAAAGGGCCTGCCCTGTACGGCAGCCTTCGCGTGCACAGACTATAAAGTGCAGGGCAGGACGCTCGAGCGTGTAGCTCTGGAGCTGCGGGGAACGCGGACGTCAAACATCGACGGACGCGCCGTGTCCTCGCAGTGCGACCCGTACAGCCTGTACGTGCAGCTGTCTCGCTGCCCGACGCTGGACGGCATTATGCTGGTCTCGAAATTGCGGGAGAGGGACCTGGTGGGCAACAAGGTGCCAGACGAGATGACAGACGCAGAAGCGAGGCTGGGCCAGCTGAGCGACAAGACTGTCCGCGAGGCCTCGGGATGGCTAGACGTTGATTCCCTGGACTCTAAAGGCACGGGCCTGGACGTGTAGCTATCGCGATGCCGGGCGCAGGGCGCTGGACGGCACCATGCTCGTGTCAGGGGTGCGGGAGAGGGTTTGGTCGGAAAAGGCCAAAAACCGGTTTCACGAGGAGCTGAGTCCTAGTCGCGAGGTTAGGTCGCTGGCAGGACCGGAGAGGGCGAACTGCGCCGGAAGGCGAAACAAAAGGGCTAGGACGAAAGGGTAAGTAATCATTAAGCGACCAAAGGGAAGCCGGGATTAAAAGCTCTCAATCAGCAGCCAAGATGGGTTCTCCAATCAGAAGCCAAGGGTTTCGAGGGTAAAGTAGGTTTGGGGGTTTTTGGGGTTTTTTTCGCGTCCAGAAGAGCCTTTTCGTTCCTCAAGGCATAAAATCAGCCAATCAGAGGCGGAGGATGTGGGGGTGAAGCAGTCTGGGGCCTTTTTTCCCCGCGCGCTAATGAAGTCCTTTCGTTCCTCAAGGCAAATCAGCCAATCAGAGGCGGAGGATGTGGGGGTGAAGCAGTCTGGGGCCTTTTTTCCCCGCGCGCTAATGAAGTCCTTTCGTTCCTCAAGGCAAAGAGCCTTGAGGAACGAAAGACTACAGGGAAGACGCGAGGAAAGATTTGAGGAGAGACTTAAGGATGTAGCAAACGAAACTGGGGAAGGATTGAGGATTGAGGATGGAGTAAGAACAGGGAGGACCTGAGGACGGAGTAAAGACAAGGATAGAGACAAGGTAGAGTTAAGGAGTAGGATAAAGTATAAGATTTAGCGACGCAGCGGAAGACCATGGCTCTCGTCTATTACGTGACGAATTACGCGACCAAGGTAGAGGACCCGACGTGGAAGCGCGTCGCTGCGGCCGCGGAATTGCTGCCCGTCGTCGCGGCAGGTGGCCAGCCGGGTGCCGGGGAGGATGCCGGAACTGGCGTCGTCGGCGGCGACGGCGACGACGGAACCAAGAATAATAAGACGCGGCAGTTTCTGATGAGGGTGGCGAACAGGGTATTCACGGAGCGGGCTCTGTCGCAGGTCGAGGTCGTCGCCCATCTCCTGGGATACCCAAGCGAGTTCACGAGCAGCAGCGCCTGGGCGTACCTGAACGTGTCGGCGCTCTACTGGCACGTCTCGGGGCGCTGGCGACACCTTCGGCAGGAGAGCGGCACCGCGGTCGCAGACGTGTCCGTGAACGAGTCGGTCGCCGTGGAGGAAGCAGGCGAGAGGATCGGCTTCGCCGAGGCGTACCGTCATCGCGGACACGTCCTACGAGGCTTGTGCCTATATGACTATGTTTCGCTCGTCAGGCTCCAACGCGTCGGCGAGGACGGGTGCTCCGGTGCCTGGGGAGAGGTGCCTTTCGAGAGCGGCTGGGTGGCCGGCAAAGACTGGGTGCAGGTATTGAGGCGGCCAGGAAAGCACGCCGTCGTCTGCCTTGACGGCCACCTTAGCAAGGATTTCGAGCAGGACGACGAGGAATCGTGCCACCGCAGGTAAGTAAGTGCGGTGAATGGCCGGCTGAAAAGCGGTCGCAACGCGCGGTGACTCACCCTACCGTTACAGAGCAGCCGTGCAGCATCTTGCCTTATTCGCGCCGTGGGAGGCCTTTCTTAGCGAAGAGCGAGGCGACATCAACGACATATGGAGGCGGGAACGAGAGCTGCTTCCGCCGAGAACCTCGTGCCTCGTCGACAACGTTCAACTACTCCGGCGGTCCGCCGAGGACGCAAAGCGAGACGCCAAGCAATGGGCAGCCTCGCCTGGCGAGGGGGAGGACGAAGGGGTTGGGGAGGGGCCGGGCGAGGCGGACGGCGAGGCGGGATCCGCGTACCAGTCCGACAACGTCGGAAACGCGACGCGACTGATCGATGTCGTCCGAAGCGCGGCCGGCGCGAACCAGATCACGGCGGGGTCGCGCGAGCTTTCGGGGATGATGCAGCAGCTCTGCCGCTTCCAGCAATCAGCGCTAGCCTCGTCGGCCGAGCTCCGGGCCACCGTCGTGACCGAACGGGGTGGGAGGCACATCAGCATGCCCGAGCAGGTGTTCTCCGGGGCCGCAGTGCCGCCGCAGGATCAGGTCAAGGCCATCAAGTCGCAGCAGACATGCGCCTCCAGGGAGAGGGTGAAGATGATCCAGGGCATGCAAAGCATGGCCCCGGCCCACGGTACCGAGCGCGGCGCAGCGGCGCGGGGCGTGCTGAACGGTTTCGGGGAGGAAGACGTGCAGATGACGCGAGGGGAAGCCGAGGAGAGGGCAGGCAACGCGGAGGCCGGCATGGAAGTCCGCCTCGGCCCGTCGACCTCCTTCCTCGAGGCCGGGAAAGACTTGACAACGCGGCTGACGCTGAACAGGAAACAGGCCATCGCCTTCTCCATAATATGCCGCCACCTGGACTCGATGCGGCAAGGAGACGGAGGCGACGTCGGCCAGCTCTGTCAGTTCGTCGGCGGCGAGGGCGGCACCGGCAAGTCGCGCGTCATCGAAGCACTCGTAGGCCTCTTCGCCGTGAAGGACCTCTCGCATCGCCTGCTGATCACGGCGACGTCGGGGACCGCCGCCGCGCGGGTCAACAGCATCACCATCCACTCTGCCTGCGGCTTCAGCAAGGACCAGGGGCCCGGCGCGAACACGGCGAAGGACGTCGACGGGGTGCGGTTGCCGAATCAGGCGGAGCGGTTCGTCAACGGCCAGTCCCGGATGGACTGGCAGGACAAGGACGTGCTCGTTATCGACGAGGTGAGCATGCTCGGCGCGCGGACGCTTCACGCCGTCAACGAGCGGCTCTGCCAGCTGCGAGGATCGCAACGGGACTTCGGCGGGATCCCCATCGTCCTCTTCTGCGGAGACTTCCACCAGTTCCGCCCGGTCCAGGAGCGGTCGATCCTGCTGCCGAGCGCGGCCGTCTCGTGGGGCGAGGACAACTCGTTCAGGGCCGAGCAGCGGCACCAGCACGACAAGGCGCACGGGCTGTGGAAGAGGTTCACGACGGTCGTCATGCTGGACGAGCAGATGCGCGCCGCCGGCGACCTGGAGCTGCAGAGGTTACTGCGGCGGATCCGGCAGGGCGTGCAGGACCGCTCGGACCTGGAACTCCTCAACTCGCGGTGCCCCCGGGAAGGCAGGCGGATCCCGTGGGAAACGGGCATCACCGTGGTGACGCCGCTCAATAGGAACCAGTGGAACCTCAACATGGAGGCGAGCCTGACGTTCCAGACCCAGCGGCGGTCGACGCTGCGCATCTTCCTCTCCGAGCACAAGTGGAAGGACGGCCTGCCGACCGAGGAAGAGGCCATCATGATGCTGAACCAGGGCGACGACAGCGCGATCCCGGTGCCGGCCGTCTTCATGTTCGTGCCGGGGATGCCGGTCGTCGTGAACCGCAACACCCACCAGGGCCTGAAGCTGGTGAACGGCGCCAGCTACACGGCGGCGGAGGTCATCGTCGACAAGGCGCACCCGGGCATCGCATCTCGGCCGGCATGGCGATCCACTTCGGGCCGCCGGCGGCAATCATACTGGGGTCGGAGACGACCAAGGACTTCCACTTCGTCGGAATGCCGCCCGGCACGATCCTGCTGACGCCCATGAGCGTCAGGATCCAGCGTCAGCGGAAGCGACCGTGGCAGCAGAACGACGTCAGCCGCAGGGCCTGCCGTGCGCCGCCGCCTTCGCGTGCACGGACTACAAGGTGCAGGGGGGAACGCTGGAGCGCGTGGCGCTCGAGTTGCGGGGCACGAGGACGACCAACGTCGGCGGACGCGCCGTCCCGTCGCAGTGCGACCCGTACAGCCTGTACGTGCAGCTATCGCGGTGCCCGACGCTGGACGGCATCATGCTCGTGTCGAAGGTGCGGGAGAGGGACCTGGTGGGAAACCGGGTCCCCGGGGAGATGACCGCAGCACAGGCGAGGCTGGAGGGGCTAAGCGACAGGACCGTCCGGGAGGCGCTGCGCTGGCTCGGCGACGAGGTCGAGGCCGCGGAGGAAGGGGGGAAGCCTTCCGCAGACACAAGATTTTGAGGTCGTCAAGGTCGGGGGCGGGAACGGTCGAACGAGGAGGGCGAGGGAGGCCAAAAGACGGAAGAGGCAAATTGTCGACTAATGGGGCAGGACGCGCCAAGGTGGACCAACCAGAAGCCGGGATACGGGGGGGAGGGGAAAGCCGGCCAATCAGAGGCGGGGATTCCGGGGGGCCAAAAAGGTCGGGAGGCGGCGCGGGGCATAAGTCCTTTCGTTCCTCAAGGCATAAACGCCCTTCGGGCTGAATTAGCAACACTGTTCACAGAGCTGCAAGATTTGCCCATCCCCACCCTCAGAATCCTGATCAGCCCTCGCTTGGGACGCTGCCATTGCGGCAGCGAGCCCTTTGGTTTGACCCCCGAGAACGACTTGAGGCGGTGGGCAATCGTACCAGACCAATTCTGCTAATTGGGCATTCACAAATTCGAAGGCCTCGGCTGATTCAGAGGTTATAAACGCGAAAGCCAGAGGAAATGTCTTGCTTGTGTTTGTGATTCCCACTATGACGGATAAAGGCAAGTGGAGGCAATTGGTGTTGAACGTCGCATCGGTTTGCATGAGGTGTCACGACCCTGCGCGCCAGCGTAGAGACACCAGCGCAGAACCTCACCAGTGTCACGTGCCCAAGCAGCATCGCGTGCCCACGTGCGACCTCATGCTTACCTGAGCGCTGCTGAGGTAACCTCGTGCAGATGCACATAAGGGCCAGCTCGGTCGTGTAGTCTAGTCTTTCTTTCTTGCTCCTTAGCTTTGAGTCTTCGTTCATAGTGCCAATACATCTTTATAGCCGTCAAGGCTCGTATGTGCCTGGCCGTAACATGAGGAATCCGCTGACGAATCTTCTACCCAGGCGGATCTGCTCGGAAGAACAGAAGAACAGGTGCTCGAGTACCCTCGCTGTTCGTCGTCCTTGGTCGTCGAGAAGGTATTTGAAGAAGCAACGAACACGGAAGTCTTCGAACTCCAAACAAGTAAGCAAGAGGTCAAGCGCTTCTTGACTGCTGCGTCTTCCTTCAGACCGACTCAGGTTGTAGAACTCCTTTGCGGAAAGACAATTGCCTAAGCCGTGTTGGTCGAGAATCCGGGTTGATTCAGTCGCTGACAGGCCGGCAGTCCGATGCACGAGGGCCAGATCGACTGCTGCAGCGCGATCTGGGATACGGGATCTATGACAGGCGTAATGGAAGGGATTTTGAAGTGGCGGATGCGTATGGTACGCGAAGGTGAAACCGGCCACCCAACCTTTTCGCTCCTCCACCCCTCCATGGCCGCTCCGGATAGTTCTGTAGGAGACATAAAGACTGTAGGGACACTCCTTGGCCTTGATGTATGCGAGCTTCTTCTTTCGGTCCCCTCCCTCTGTGACGGTGTTCGACAGCTTTCGCGTGTTTCGCGTGCCTCTACCGTGATGGAGGCAGTTCACTCGGAGACGGTCGCGTACCTTGCTGGCAGTGACGAGAGCAAAGCCCTGGGTGAAGGCATAGTCTTGGAACCAGCGAAGGGCTTCTTCGGGGCTGTTCACTTCGTCACCGGTAATAGGGGCGCGTCGATGCTCTTGTGGCAGGGCTTCTACAGCTTTGTCGAAGGCGGAGCGGACGTCGTCAGGGAGGCTGTCGCGGTACTGGATCTCCATCGGGTTTGCTTTCGTGTCGGACGTGATGCTGGATCTCCATTGAGCTTGATCAATTGAAGGACGCGATTCTTATTGCGACGCGCACCTGGCAAGGGGCGATTGACGGTTATCCTATTTGGGCTGTAGCCAAGGCGCGATGGCTTTTAATCCATGCTTAGCGCGATAATCCCTGCAATCTGTCTGTCCGAACCTATCTGTCCGGAGCCATCCCGGCTGGGTAGGGTACAAGATGAGGGTGCTCGCCGGAGACCCGTTCGCGCGTTCCTTACTTCTACTCCCCTATCTAACAATTCTTGGACTCTGTGGCCGCTCGGATTCTCAGGTCCCTTCCCCCATCAGCGGGTTCCGGGCACGGCGGCAAAGCCGTAATAGTAGTCAGTCTTCGGTCAGAGCCGGGTGACTGAGAGAGCCCACGCAGTCAGCTGGACCGTAGGCCCCGGTAGTGCGTGCAGGCGGTTCACGGCTGATTGTGATTGGGAGCCGACAAGAGTAAAAACTTTCACTACTGCCGTGTTCTCTTTTCCTGCTCTCCGTCCGCTCGTGGTCATATCGTTGTCGCGTCGCTGGCAGACCAGCTTCCGTAAATGCAATAGAGTGTCGGGTACTTCGTATGACAAGGTTCGACTCTCCTGTTTGGTGACTGGACCGGAGTTAACTCCGAACAATCTGATTGGGTATGCAACAGCCTAGAATCCCAGCCGTTGTTAGGCACTGCCCCGGATTGGTCCCAACGCTCTCTTCCACGGCCCCTTAATCGTCCTGTGCGCGATTATTATCCTCCCCGTATCTAGACCTAAACAGGCACAACCCGCACGCGTAGACGCAAGGTACATCGTACACCAGCGAATTACCTATAAACCATAAAGTACAACCGTCGCTATAGAAAAGATTCCCCTGTAAACACCACCCACAACACTACCCACAACACTACCCACAACGCTGCGAGATTATCCGAATAAACCGCTCCTCAACGTCGACGGAGCCGGAGGGTCCTCCCAGTCGCCTCGGCACATAACATGGTGCAAGGAATGCGGAATGATGAAGGAGCCATCCTTGCAGAAAAGTATAACCCACTCAGCCGAAAACTGGTGAACCCCATCCTGCGCATGAAACCTCTATTTTTACTACCGGAAGTCTAACCCTCAATATTATTATGTAAAATAGGAACTCAACAAGTTGGCGTCGATGCGTTTTTTGACAAAGTTCTATCCGTACTGCTAGTGGTATTGGGTTCTAGTGGCTCGAACAGGACTCGAGAGTTGCCAGCAACTTCTCTGGCAAACCAGTGCCCTCACCCGCATCATGCCGACCCAGTCTCACGTCGACGCTTCTGCAAAGCCATATTTGGCGCCCGTCAAGAAAAGAATTGGCCGGGCGTGTGATCGATGTAACCAACTGCGGATGAAATGCGACGGGGTCCACCCCTGTTCTCGCTGTGTCGGTAGGTCATTCTTGCAAGATCCCCAAGCCTCTCCTCGCGTGTAACTGGCGTCGCCGTTGACCATGAGACCCTCCACAGAGCAGAAGCTCAGCTGCGAGTACAAGCGCGAAAAGAAGACGCGCGGCAAGGCGCCCCGAAAAATGCTCGCCGAAAGCGCCGCTGGTCACAGCAACCAGGCCACGCGTCACAACCTCAGCGACATGCCGGAATCATCTTCCCATGTCGCCAACGACGCTCGGGCTGGCCCCCTGGACATCGAACTCAGTGGCTACGGAGCTGAGCACGAAGTGCAGAGCATTGTCAGCGTCATAGTGAAGGGTAGTCTTGCGGATCAGGGCCACAGCGAGCACTACCGATACCAGATGTCGGGCTACCAGGGGCTCGCGTTCGGGCTGTCGGCGGCCCCGTGTCCCGCTCGCTTCGACAACAACTTTGCATTTCCAATGGGATACAGGCCCCTCAACGGATATCCCATGGCCATTCCGTCTCTTTCTCCTGTCTTGGGCAGCATGGCCATGTCCCCAATGCCCCCCAAGTGCCGCTATCCTGTTCTCGAACCCCTGATCCCTCACCTGGGGAGTGCAATCTCCGTCTCCCTGGCCTGCAACCTGCTCGACATCTACTTCTCCTCGTCATCGGCCCAGATGCATCCCACGTCGCCGTACGTGCTGGGCTTACTTTTCCGCAGGAGTGCAATTTTGCATCCGACCTGCCCGAGGAGATGCAAGCCAGCACTCCTCGCCAGCATGCTATGGGTGACTGCTCAGGCGAGCGACGCTCCCTTACGGACGAGCTCGTCGTCTACCCGGAGAAATATTCGCCAGACTCTGCTGGGCCTCGCCGTGCGGCTCCTCAAGCCACTGATTGATAACGCCGCGGCGGGGAAGGCGCCCCTGGGAGCAGCAGCAACGGCGGAATCAGCGGCAACAGCGGCAACTGTGGCAGATGCGGGAATCGGGGTTGTCCATGTGGATGTCGCCGCCCTGATGAGAGATGCCGATCTTGACGCTGCTGGGGCCGCCGGGCAGCTCGACGACGTCGCGACGTACATACACCTGGCCACGGTCTTTTCTGTGAGCGAGCACAGCGATGTGGGTCTTCAGTGGTGGATCGCTGCCTGGTCCCTGGCCCGAGAGCTCAAGCTTGGCCAAGAGCTGCCTCTTGGTGAGCCACGCCCTAGATCCAGCAAGAAAAGAGAGGCAGCCGAGCACGAGGGCTTCGACGAGTGCGATATAAGCCGAGGCATTCCCGGATTTATCACTGAGGAAGGGAGGGAAGAACGGAGAAGGGTTTGGTGGATGGTCTACATGGTCGACCGGCACCTGGCGCTCTCCCACAACAGACGTCTGATCCTCCTCGATGTCGAGTGCGAGAACCTCCTCCAGCCCATGAGCGACATAGCCTGGCAGAAAGGTGACTTTGAGGGCTTCACCAAGCCCAACCCTGGCTCAGGTGCGCCGAGTACCGTTTCACATGGCGCGAGCTTGTCTCGATTTGAGTGCAGCGACCATGGCATCTTTGGATACTTCTTGCCGGCCATGACGATACTAGGCTATATTGTCGACTTGCACCATGCAAAGAGCCCTCCCGGGTTTGTCGTCGGCTTCCGGGATGGCCACGAGCTTGACAGCAAGACGCGAGAGATTGATCGACACCTCGACGTCTACGGGCGGAGCCTGAAAGTGTTCGAGGAGCGCTACGTGCGCAGGGCTGCGGAATGCGTTGACGAGGGAGAACAAAGTCGCAAGTTGAGGGGGCTCTCGAGCACGATGACCGAGGGCGAGATCAAGGCTCGCATCGTCCTCGCCTACGCCACTCACATCATGCACGTGCTACATATCCTGACTTTTGACAAATGGGATCCCGTAAGCCTCCTCGACGATAAGGACTTTTGGATCTCGTCGCAAAGCTTCATCACAGCCACGACCCACGCCGTTTCGGCGGCCAACGCCGTAAGCCAGATGCTCGAATACGACCCGGGCCTCGAGTTTATGCCCTTTTTCTTTGGAATCTACCTCCTGCAGGGATCTCTGTTGTTCCCCTTGGTTGCAGACAAGCTTCAGCGCGAGACCTCACACAGTGTTGTCGGGGCTTGCGAAGTAATCGTGCGAGCCCATGAGATATGCGTCTTGACACTCAGCACAGAGTACCAGGTACGTATCGTCTCGCACATGTTTATGGTGACCCCAAGGCTGAATAATCTGACCAGCGCAACTTTGGCAAGGTCATGCGCGGCGCCTTGGCCGTTTTGCGAGGTCACGTCCCTCAGCAGTTTTTAGAGCAGTGGCAGCAGCGTTGGGGAGAGCTTCTAGGGCTGTACCGATGGACGGGCGACGGTACCGGTCTCGCTTAGCCTTGCTGTCGGATCTGACCACGAGGCACGCACGAGGGACAAGTCGGATGTGAAAGCTGATGCCGCAGAAAAGGGGTAAAAGAAGTCTCTCCTCCGAAAGAGAGTAAAGATCGTTGGGTGTCCGCTGACCCAGCTTAAATAGGTGTCAGGAGGGACCCCGATATCTGCATACACGGGAACCAAGTATCCTCACAAGCAGTCGTTTCGCATGGAAGCTTATGCCGAGGACGCCAAGATGTACGACGGCGTCAAGTATGAGCGGAAGTCGACCGGGCCGTTTACGGGAAAGTTCGTGTCGCAGGGCAGCATCGTTCATATTGACAGCGAGGACTATGTCGAGCATCGTGTTCTAACCAAGCCATTCTTTTTATAATACCGAGCGCGTACGTCAATGCACTCGCGGGCTTTCACGTCTTATGGTCTGCCAGTGGTTCGCCTCGACGACTGACAATGAGTGCCACCAAGAAGTTTCGACAAGCGCAGACCTTGCAGCTTGCCTGAATTGTCTGGGCACATTCCCGAGGACTGCGTGACTACTGGGACAAACTCCATACCCCCTCATGACATAGCCGTGGATCAAAATCTTAGGAAATTGGTTGGCTAGCTGGGGCTCCCAATTGAAGGATAAGTGCGAACTATAAGAAGCCGGGTGTTGTCCGACCATAAAGCTACTATGGATTGGCCTAGACCTCGGCAGGGACTTCCTCCTCTCCATGATCCTCCTCACCGTAGACGTCGTCATCGATGCCCGCGTCCTGATACTGCTGGTACTCTGCCACCAGGTCATTCATGTTAGACTCGGCTTCGGTAAACTCCATCTCGTCCATGCCTTCTCCAGTATACCAGTGCAAGAAGGCCTTGCGACGGAACATGGCCGTGAACTGCTCGCCGACGCGCTTGAAAATCTCTTGGACGGCGGTCGAGTTACCGACAAAGGTGGACGACATCTTCAGCCCCTGCGGCGGGACAGAGCACAGCGCCGTCTGCACGTTGTTGGGAATCCACTCGACAAAGTAAGCCGAGTTCTTCTGCTGAAGCTTGCGCATCTGGTCCTCCACCTCCTTCATAGAAACCTTTCCGCGAAAGATGGCCGAGCACGTCAGGAAGCGACCGTTTCGGAAATCGGAGCCGGCCATCATATTCTTGGGGTCAAACAACTGCTGGGTGAGCTCGGGGACAGAGACGGCGCGAAACGAGTGCGAGCCACGGCTAGTGAGGGGCGCAAAGCCGACCATGAAGAAGTGCAGGCGGGGGAAGGGCACCTGGATGAAGAGACGGGAAACGCTTAGCGATAACATTCTTCAACGACGGTCATATGGGTCTGGATGAAGGAGTCAGCCTTACCATGTTGACGGCCATCTTGCGAAGGTCGGAGTTCAGTTGTCCGGGGAAGCGCAGCGAAGTTGACACGCCGGACATGACGGTTGACACGAGGTGGTTAAGGTCGCCATACGTAGGAATCGATAGCTTCAAGGTACGCTTGGAAATATCGTACAGAGCCTCGTTGTCGATACAGAAAGTCGCATCGGAGTTCTCAACCAGCTGGTGGACCGAGAGCGTAGCATTATACGGCTCCACGACGGTATCGGACACCTTGGGAGACGGCACTACACTGAAGGTAGCCATCATACGATCCGGGAACTCTAAAGATATGGTCAATCACGTGAGTAACAGTGCATCGACATGTCTATCACAACATTGATGTCAATCCTACCCTCACGAATCTTGGAAATCAGCAGCGTGCCCATGCCGGAGCCCGTACCGCCACCGAGCGAGTGCGTGATCTGGAAGCCTTGGAGGGAGTCGCAGCCTTCGGCCTCGCGGCGGACAACGTCCAGCACTTGGTCAACCAACTCGGCGCCCTCGGTGTAGTGGCCTTTGGCCCAGTTATTGCCGGCGCTCGAGTGTCCGAAGACAAAGTTGTCGGGACGGAAAAGCCGACCAAACGGACCGGAGCGCACCGCGTCCATCGTGCCGGGTTCCAGGTCAACAAGCACGGCGCGCGGCACATACTTGTTGCTGGACGTCTATGCAAGCCCGATCAGAGACCGAGTGTAACTTGGGATGGTTCACGGAAGCAAAATCGCGCACTTCGTTAAAGTAGACGTTCATACGCGCGAGCTGGAGGTCAGAGGTTCCGCTGTACCTAGATCGATGCGTGAGAAGGAGGGATATTCGGCGGCGGTTCGAATGGCTTGCCTACATGCCACTGCTATCCAGGCCATGTTCGCCCGAGATGGTCTGCCAGAAAGCAGAGCCGACTTGGTTGCCCTATTACGTTCAATGGGACGATAATAAACTTGTGACAAGGGCGGGATACTCACACATTGGCCCACTTGGAGATGCACCTACAAGAGAAATGGGAGCTCAAAGTCAGCAAGCATGCAGAGCTTGGTCACCAATGCGGCATTGGAGGCGGACTCACAATCTCACGCATGGTGAGATGGATCCGGCAAGTCGTGGGTATTAGGCACCGATGGATAAATGTCAGAACCGAAGGTTCTAGGTGATCCTGAATAGGAAATGCACAGTTGTGATGCAGTGGAACAATCGTATGTGGGAGTGCAGGCCGATTAGGCTTGCAGAGATGTGTGTATTGTGTGTGTGTGTTGTTCTCCGGAGCGCGCCCGGGGTCCCTTTTTGGGGTCTCTCGGGCTCTATTCCAATGAGTCATCTGCTTATCTCCCTATCGCACATGACCCCTGCTCCCGTTGATTCTGACAATAAGTCTGGTCAAATTTTGCAAAGATGGGGGAGAATGCCGCGACGACGGGTACGTACCCGTGCCACGCCCACTTTATTTGTAACTCGCGGACTCGCACCACCTGCCGTGGGCATTCTTACTTTCTTGGCACCATCTGTTAAGGACTTCGCTGTACACAACACACATCCGCTAACAAGGGCGTTTAACACCACGCTCAGCGCAAGCTGAGGGCGGCGATGGCACCCAACCCCGCGGACCAGGCGCGACTGCCGCCCCAGGAACAAGAGCCGATGACTCCCACGAACGCCCCAGGAGCTAGAAGCGCTCCTCCGGCAGGCCCCACGCGCGGGTCTTGCCGAATTACTGTTGCCACGACGCGCACAGCAACCCGACGACTCTCCATTCGGCTCCACGAACAGCGACAATGCCCACACCGACACCGACCAGCCAGATGCTGTAATGGGAGACGCAGCAGACGAAACCGAGACCGACGAGCCGGACGACCTGCCCGAGACTCAAGGCCCAGCAGTAACGGTTGCCCACGCGGCAGAGACTTATCGCCAACCAGATGGAAGCACAACAGGCAAAGCTGGCCGTCTTCCGCGCATTCTGCACCGCCTTCGACAAGACGGCTGCCCAGTTCAACTCGGGCCACGAGCTCAGCTTCGCGAAGGAATTCTCGCGCGGCTTCATTAGCTACTGGGACGACGCGCTCAACGGCGCGCCCACACGCGCCGGTCAGAATGTCAACAACCGCCACGGCAGAGACGGGACCGCACCGACCTACGCCGCTATGGCCCAGAAGGGGATGGCACAGACAAGGGCTCCCCTGCCGGCACGCCTCGGCCCGAAGCCCCGGAAGGCGCCTCCGGTCCAGCCGCCTAAAGATGACCTGCGTGTCTTCGTGCGGCTCGACGACAAGTCCCCAGCATGGGGCTATCAGGGGCATGCCATCAGAGCTCACGTAGCTAAGACTCTCAACCTAGGGACAGAACGCATGCCACAGATCGCCCGGGTTAAGACTGGATGGGCTATACGGGCCTCAGACCGGGAGGCGAGGACCTGCTTGTGGAACGGCAGGACGACTGGGCGGCCCGCCTCGGGGCCGTGGCGGTTGAAGGCTTCAGAAGTGGCACACGTACGCTGTGGCCGACTGCCCCAGGCAGCTCACGGATATCTGGGGGCCGCCGTGGACTATGACCAAGCTATCAAAGAAGAGATCAAGCTCCAGACAGGTGCCGAACCAATTGATGTGCACATTGCTAAGAGATACTCGAAAGCTCCGACCAGCCCACTGTGACAATGATTGTGTCCTTTCAGGCGGCGATACAGAGGAGATGGCGGCTCTTCGGCACCAGCCGACTAGCCCGACTGATCGCCAAGACCGCCCGGCCCGCGCAGTGCGACACCTGTTGGGATTATCACTCCCGCTACGCCTGCGACCGAAAACAAGCCTGCCGACGATGCGGCGGGAAAGACCATCGCGATAACGACTGCAAGCAGCCGGAGAGGTGCGCGAACTGTTCCGGGCCCTTCCCGGCAGACCATAAGGAGTGCCCTGCCAGACCTAGGCGCTCTCACGGCCAACTCGTGCGGCTCTCAAGATCGAGAAGTACGCCGTAAGGAAGATCGGCTCTCAGCTATACCGGCAAGCCAATATGGAGCTCGAACGGGCCACGGCGACCGCCTCCCCAACCCTCCCAAGGACCGACCCCATCGCCCTGCATGAGAGCTGCCGAGGCCCGCCTAGGCAAGCAACAGGACCAGCAGCAGCAACAGCAGCAGCAACAGCAGCAGCAATGTCGACCCCAGCGGCTGTCCCCCACCAGCGCGCAGGCGCCAGACTCCACAACGCTCCTCCACCACAGGAAGACAGATCCGAGTCTCCTATGAAGAGGCGCCGACGAAACGTATCCCTGGACCCCTATGAACAATAGGCCCCAACACTAACAACTCGCGACAGGAGGACGATCCGAGTTCTCCAGGCCAACGTGGCCAAAATAGGGGCCTATCATAGCATAGCCCTACGACTAGCGGAAGCGAAAACTACGACGTCGTGCTCATCCAGGAACCGAACGTTTGGATAGAAAAAGAAGGCGGAGCCTGCAGGACCCAGACGCACCGCTCCTTCCACGCATTCGCCCCAGAACGCGCCTGGGAACCGGATCAGGCCCCGAGAGTGATCTCGTATGTCCGGAACCACCCAGATATACGGGCAGAGCAACTCTGCCCGCCCCTACGCGTGATATCCTGTGGCTCCGGGTAAACAGCACCCTTATTATCAACTTCTATCGACACGCGAAGACACCCGAGCCACTCGACTACCTCCTCCACCAGCAGGACGTCCCCGAGAGATGCCTCATCGCGGGCGACTTCAACGCCTGTCATTTCTCCTGGCAGCCTGGAGCCCGGAGTGCGAGGAACGGAAGGACATCGCCCAGTGGGCGGCCGACAAGGGGCTCGGACTGCTCACCACGCCAGGCGAGGCCACACACGCCCGCGGAAATACCATTGATCTAGCCTTTGCCAATATCCCCTCTGCGGACGCGCTTATCGAAGAGCACCTTCATACCGGCTCGGACCATTACACGATCAGCATTACGCTCCCCGGCGGGATTCCCCCCCCAAGGACGATAGCTAGACCAAGGGTAAGCTCCGAGGAAGAAATGAAGCGATTCGAGGAACTTGTGCGGGCTGGGGCCACAGCACTACCCCGGCTGGCCGTTGAGCCCAGAGGCCTGGAGGCTGGCCGAGGCGCTGTCTCGCCTACTCAAGAGGCGGCCGACGCAGCGGGCCGACGGCCCAGGAAGAACGCGAGAGGCACCCCATGGTGGAACGATCAGTGCGCCGGTGCAGCGGCCGAACTAAGAGCTATGCGGCGGATCTACCCCACAGGGCACGGCAGAGGTCCAGACTGCCCGGCGGGAGCTGCGCCGGGCGGTACGGCGGGCTAAGAGACATTTCTGGCAGACTGTTCTAGAAGGCGCAGAGAGCAACAAGGATTTTTAGAAGCTCATGGGGGGGTCGAGAAACCCGACCCCGTCCCGGCCCCCGCCTATACAGGTAGGCGACCAGGTCTTCGAGACCCAGACGGAAAAGGCAAACGCGCTCCGAGTCGAGATCCTAGAAAGGCGCGGGGCCGCGGACGACATCCCGGACCCCTGGGCCCCAGAGGTGCTGGCCCCAGGAGGACTCTCGACTGCAGCGTCACGCTCGCGGATGCGGCATGCGCCTGCACCTCTACGGGCAACACCTCCCGGGGATCGACGGCATCACGGTCCGAATGCTGCGTCGCGTCTGGAACCACATCGGCGAGGCGGTGAGGGAACTATATGAAGGCTGCCTACACGTGGGCTACCACCCCGCCTGTTTCCGCGCAGCAGAGGTCGTAATGATCCCTAAGCCTGGCAAGAGGGACCTGTCTATTCCGAGAGGCTGGAGGCCGATTTCTCTCCTAGCTTGCCTCGGCAAGGGACTCGAACGCCTAATAGCCCGGCGCCTAGCCTGGGCTGCGATCACACAACGAGTCATCCACAGCCAGCATGCGGGTGCCCTGCCCAAACGTTCAGCGCTCGACCTAGCGCTAGCATTGCTCCACGACGCGGAGACGGCCCTCACCGAGGGAAAGTCGCCACGCTAATCACGATGGATATACAGGGCGCCTTTGACACGGTTCTGCGGAACCGGCTCCTCCTACGCCTACGGAACAGGGCTGGCCAACAAACCTGGTCCGGTGGGCAGGCTGCTATGGAGCAGAGATCGGCCAGAATACGGCTCGAGGATATAACGACGCCGACAACCCCCCTGACGTGCGGGCTGCCACAGGGCTCCCCGGCCTCCCCGATTCTCTTCCTCCTCTATACAGTGCCCATCTACTCGACAGGGGAACCGAACTCGCGCTTCGGCTACGCAGATGACGTGGCCACCCTGATCCGGGGCCGGTCCCTACAGGAGACGGCCGCCCGGGCCACGCGCGCCGCGGGTGAGCTCATCCAGTGGGGAGCCGATAATGGCGTAGTGTTCGACCCGGGCAAGACAGAAGTCATCCACTTCACGAGACCGAGATACAAAGGGGACCTGCCGTCGGTCTGGCACGGGTCCGTAGAAAGGAGCCACAGCAGGACCTGCGCTGGCTCGGCGTCTGGTACGACAGAAAGCTCTCATTCCGCACGCATGTGGAGAAGTGGGCCGCGAAGGCGATGACGGCCGCAGGGTTCCTCCAGAACCTCTCAAACACCCGGCGCGGAATCCCTCCCCGGTCGACACGGCATGCGGTCACGGCCTGCGTCCTCCCGATCCTTTATACGGCGCCCATGTATGGTACCCGGGGCGCTTCGGCCTGTGTGGGGGACTGCCCGCTTAGTTCCGTCGCGGATCACCTACCTGAAGAATAGGATCCAGCTGACCTTAAACGTCGCAATGCGCGCTATCGCGCCCGTCTGGTGTACCATGCCGATTGTGGCCCTCCACCGAGAGACCGGCATCCCCCCTGCCACGCTGCTCCTCGCAGACGCCCAGAGACGCGCCGCGGTCCGTCTACGCTCCAGGCGGCTCGAGACTTCCACTCGTGGCTCCGGGTATGCCCTGAAGATACCCTCATCGTCTACACTGACGGCTCGCAGAGCGAAGACGGCGCCTGCGGGTATGGGTACTCAGTGTGGCTAGGCCCCAGCGAAGTGACCTACGGCAGCGGTCGGGTCCTACTCGCTGAGGTCTACGACGCAGAGGTGGAAGGCGCCCTCGAGGGGCTTCGAGCGGCACTCACGTGGTCCCCCAGAACCCCGGACCAGCAGTGGCCGATAGTCGTCTGCCTTGATAACACTGCGGCTATAAGAGCCATACGAGGCAGCCCATCGATCTCGTCGCAAGCGGCTGCGGAGAAGTTCGCTGAGGCCGCGGCTCGACACGGAGATGTCAGCACGCGTTGGTGCCCCGGCCATACGGGGATCGCCGGCAACGAGCGGGCCGACCAGCTAGCAAAGGAGGGCTGCCGGGCCGAGGGTCCGGACAGATCGCCGACCTACGCGAACATCAAGAGACAGGCCAAGGCTGCGGCCAGGCGCGACTTCCAGGACTGGTGGGCCGCGGGGCCCCGAGCAGCTACAAGAGCCTAGAGCTCAAGGCCTCGCTCGGGTGCCTCCCCGGAGCTGCACACCAAACGACAGCACCTCCATCACCTGCTCGCTGCGAGGAGCGGGCACGGGGACTTCGCCGACTACCACGAGGTTTAACCACGAAGAGGCCCGGATCGAATGCTCTTGCGGGAGGAGAAAATCACCGACACACCCCTTCTACTGCCGGAAGGTAGGTACTCGACACCGCCTAAGGCTAGCCCCCACGGCGGGCAAGGCTATCAACCAGGCACTAGGAAGGGGATTTGACCGGTTCCTCGGGCTAGTAACGGAGGCAGAATTCTTTGATCGGATCTGCCACCGCCACTAGCTCGAGGCAACCTCCAACCTAATATGTACAACTCTCTCTTTCTATGTTTTCTGCCCGTAGGCTCCTGTGGCCTACGGCCCAGCTGACTGCGTGGGCTTTCTCAGTCACCCGGCTCTGACCGAAGACTGACTAATATTACGGCTTCGCCGCCGTGCCCGGAACCCGCTGACGGGGGAAGGGACCTGAGAATCCGAGCGGCCACAGAGTCCAAGAATTGCTAGATAGGGGAGTAGAAGTAAGGAACGCGCGACGGGTCTCCGACGAGCATCCCCATCTTGTACTATACCTAGCCTAGCACGTCTTTTGCCCTTATAGGGATGTCCCAGACGGTAATCAATACTACTACTACTACTACTACTACAATTGCCATTTGGATAGCCCCACTTTTCTCCCAAGACGATAAACATTGAGCTGCTCCTATGATATCGGCGCGGAGTCGGCCTCTCTGAGATGTAACCATCTGTCCTGCAAGGCTGAATATTCTCTCCGGTTCGGAAGACATCGCTGGAATTGAGAAGAGATCAATGGCCATCCGCGACAGACGCGGAAACTGGCGTCTTCGGAGAAGCCAATACTGGATCGGATTTTCCACCAAACAATCGCCCGGATCGGTAGTAGCCACCCACTCTGCGTACTCATCGCGCACAGCTGATAGTAAAGGTGCAGACTGAGTGCCAAGTTTTCTGACCGAAGCCATAAAGTCATCTAAGTCGGTTGTTTTGGTTGCAATAGTGGGTTGCTCGGGTATCGTATCCTGCTCCACAGGGAGGTTTCGATACTCCTCCCATAGCCCTTGTACAGCTGCCTTTCCTCTCACCAACCATTCAGGATGGTCTGCCCATTGTGACTCGACAGTTGACCAGCGAAAGGCAGGATGGAGGACAAGGGCGGCGAGATATGCGGGGCTATCTTCGGTTAGGCTGTAGTATTGGTCAAGCTTCATCCAGCCCAGATTGCAACCAATGCGTAGGTACGGTTCTTCATCTCGTTCATGTTTCAACTTTGACTCTTCCAAAATCTTCAGAAGCCACTCCATCGTTAGTAAAACCTCCCAAATCGCACCGAATTTACCTAAAACATGTAAGCATAACCCTTGCCACGAGAAGCTACGTCCAGCTCACCTTCCTTAGGTCGGCCTTCTAGACGTTTGGTAGCTATCTTCAACGGCTTCAATATGGTCAGATACTCCGCAATCACTGACCAGTCCTCAACAGACATCTTATCGTCAACAATGGCCGGCTTCTTCCTACTCTTCTTTGGCATCGGCTTTGTCCCGTTCTGAGTCCTCCTGGCGACGTATTGGTTCCATTCCGTAACTTCTGCCTGAACCATGGAATCAAGCGTGTTCCGGAGACGGTAGCCTCTCTGCATCATCGCCTCCGATGAGTTCCAGCGTGTGGCATTATCCGAGATGACATCGTATGTTGTCTTGTCTTCAAGGTTCAAGGCGGTGTTCTCAATAAGCTGGAGCTTGTGGAGCTTCTCAATGCGCTGGCCAGATCTTTGCACCCAGTGAACAATATTGTGCAACTTTCCAATTGGGCCCTCCGATCTCCAGAGCTTCATCTCATCTCGAATCTCTTTATGGGCTTGGCAGTCCTCCTCAAAGGCGTCGGGGTCGGCGCCGAAAAGAATAGATCGGGCGACGAGATTAATAATATGCCCACAGCAACGGAGCCGTCGGTGCTGCTTATTGAAGCCAAACTCAACGCCTAGGTCTTCCAGACATGTGTCGTTACTCTCTGCATTGTCTGTCACAAAGTACCCGATGCAATCCTCTAACCCATATTCGTGAATAATTTCGCTGACGCGGTCTGCAAGGTTCTCCCCGGTATGACGGCCTTCGATTTGCGGCAAGCCCAAAAGGAATGTTCGGAAGTTCCCTTCGTCATCAAGAAAGTGTACTGTGAGGCCGAGGAGGGAGGTAAACTTGCGAGAGGACCACCCATCAAAGGAGATGTTGATGCGGCTAAGCGAACGACCAAGGAGCTCAGTCACGACGCCTTTGTGACGGTCAAAGGACCGTATAATCCATTCGCGAATAGTGCTATGGGTAGGGAGGCTTCCCGACTCAATAATAGCACTATTTACGTACTCCATAAGCTCGCGGAAGTACGGACTCTCAAGCTTATGAAAGGGGACGTTGTCGCAGGCCACCCAGCGTATAAGCAAATTCTGAAAGTGGAGAGGATCGAACGACGCAATGAAGGCGTTCATCAAGGCTTGATCCTTCGGTCGATGCGAGTCTAGACTGGCCATGTCGAAGAGAGTGCGTTGTTTCTTCCTCTGTGGTGACATAGGCCCGTCTCGATTGATGCGGTGGACATCTTCCATATGACTGTTTGCTTGGCTCGTGGATGCAGCGTCGTACATATGAGTGGTTGTGGCTTTCTTTGCGTGACACTCTTTGCAGAGCCAGAATCTGCGGCCGGAACCATCTTTCTCGATGTCGAATCCATACTCCCATACCCATCCCGTCCGCTGCCTTCGTCTGTGTTTCCGGATACAATACCCTGAAAGGCGGTTCCAATCGATGCCTTCATAACCAGTGTAGTCAACCGAGGATGAAGTATCTACTGTCGCCTCTCTGTTGGTGGCAGATGCATCGAAACCAGGGGAATCTTCAAGGTCACTGGGAGTGGTCGAAGGAGCAGTCAAAAGCATTGTTACTGCAATGTCAGGAGTCGTAGACGGAGCCATCTGAATGGTTCCCTGCAGGGAGTAGTCGAACGGTGAAAGTTGAAACTGCGATGTTCAGCCGGTTAGACTGTACCCTCAAGCGAATTTTGCTCTCTGTGGACGAAGCTGCTTGAAGATTTTCGTGACTTGAACATGACGCTGGTACGGGAATCAAGCCCTTACAATAATCTGGGCAGGTAAATTGCGAGATGCGAACCGATTGCCAAATTGGGCAGGAGAACTGGGGCTGACCCAAAGCGCTGATTGGACAGTAGTAGCTTATCCAAATGAATTCAAATATCCAAATAAATCAAGGCCTTATGATTTGATTTGATTTGAATAAAATTTTCTTTGATTTGATTTGATTTGATTTGGATAGATTTGGATAGATTTGATTACGATTTATTTGTTTGCAAGCCTGAATTCCCACCGTTCATCATTGTTTCGGGCAAGTGCCACCTCTCGACCTGGTACGAGGACAGCGATATACCGCGAGACTGGGTGATCTCCACGTCTGATAACGGTTGGACCACAAATGAGAGAGGCCTGGAATGGATTCGACATTTTGACAGGCACACCAAACCGCGCTCTTCGGGCAACTATCGCCTCCTCATCCTTGACGGCCATGAAAGTCACCACTCGACGGACTTCGAGCTCTACTGCAAGGGGAACAACATCGTCACGCTCTGTATGCCTCCTCATTCTTCTCATATACTCCAGCCTCTGGACGTTGGATGTTTTGGCCCGCTCAAGCAAGCGTATGGCCGGCAAATCGAGAAGAAGATGAGGGCCGGTACAAGCCACATCACCAAAGAGGACTTCTTTCCCGCGTTTTTCGCGGCATTCCAGGAGGCAATGACAGAAAAGAACATCCAGTCAGGTTTTCGAGGGGCAGGAATTGCTCCGCTTGACCCTGACGCTGTGATTTCCCGCCTGGACGTGAAGCCACGGACGCCGACACCCTCGGAAGAGGGTCACGGAAGACCCGAACCCTGGGTTTCTAAGACGCCAAACAACCCGACTGAAGCGAGTTCCCAGACGGATTTTATCAAGGGGCGAATCTCTCGTCATCAGAATAGCTCGCCGACATCTATTTATGAAGCTGTCGACCGGCTTTCGAAGGGGCGCGGGAATCATGCATCAGATTGCCCTGCTTAAGTCTGAAAACCGGATCCTTCGAGAGGAGAATGAGATACTCAGCCGGCGTCGAAAGGCCAAAAGTCGCGTCTCCGAAAGGGAGGAGCATGACACTATCCGAGGGACAGGATCTGCAGGCTCAGAACGAGATGGATGCGCAGTTGAGGCAGGAAATGAGGCAAAATGGCGGTCGCAAGTCGAGGAGAGTAGTGAAGGAACAGCGCTGTGGCGTCTGTGGCAAGACAGGACATAACGCACGAAATTGTGAGATAGTAGTGGAAATGCCTTGAGGAACGAAGAGACGAAAGGATCCTTCTTTCTTCCGCCCCCTCCGTAAGCTCGGGCCACTTAGCGCCCCGTGCGAGCTGCGCCAGCCTTCACCGCCACCTTCCACTCGGCTTCATGCCTTTCCCGCTTTCCCGAGCCACACAACAACCTCTCCCCCCCCTCTTTTTCCGTTCTCGCCTCCACCGCCCGCGTTGACCGCTCCGGCTCCGGCCCCGCCGGCCGGGCCGGAGCCCTACTTCGACCATGGTCCAGCCCGGCCCCCCGATTGTCCATTTGGATACGGATCCTGTGCTGGGAGACGGTCTACCCCAGAAATCGACGTCATGGGGCCCTTGTCGTATGGGCAAGGACGCCATCCACTCCGCCAAGAACCGTACAACACATGATTGGCCCTCCCGTTTTGCGGGATGCTTCTAACCCTAAGCCCTCACTTCGTAACCGCCGCCATCCCCTGCGATAGCGGAGCCATGAACCCGACGTCTCCGTCTGCCCATCTATCCTTCACGCAAGCACCTCTGAGCTTCGGCAGACTACCCCGTCCATGAGCATTCGAAACCTTTGCTGAGTTTCTCGATCACATGTCGTGGTCGCCGTCTTGCTCCCAGGTGCCAGTAATAGACTGTTTCTTTCCTTCTTCCATGCACTCGTTCGGAACCATCCCCTTGCACCATGCCGCGAGAACACCCAGCCACGGTCTTACCCGAAGAGGTTCGCCGCACCTTACGGGATCTTGAATCGCGCCGGTCCTATCAGCGCCGGTCACAGACTGTCAGAGTTCCCCATGACGAGATCCTCCGTGTCTTGCACGATATGGATCGCCGGCGCGCCGAAGACCAAACCCGCCGCCGTGAAGCTCAATACCAATATGCCGCACACACGCAGCCGCCAGCCACTCCATCACCCAAACGACCTAGAGAAGAGCAAGCACTTCCCACTCCACCGCCCACGCAGCCAAGGCGCCCCAAAAGGCCCCGGCCGATGCGAGAAACCGTTCAACTCCAGCGGGACTCTGTCGAGTCCACTCTACATCACTATGACGCCTGTTTCCGCGTCAAGGAGCTTGCGTCATCAACGCGATCCTGGTGCCACGAAGTTCCACTTGCCCTTCAGGTTGAGGCCTCCAAGTCTTTCTACCAAGCGTTTACGGACGAGAGGACGTTGCCGGTCTCCCACTGCGTCTTCTGCTACAGGAAGACATCGCCTTGCGAACTCACCACCATGCAGTGGAGGGGTCGTCTGTCACCCTTGCTGCTACAGACGGCCATGGCTCTCCAGGAGTGTGATGCGTGCCTTCCGTCGCACGAGGGCGCCGGAGTTGACGTGTGCCGCGAGTGTCGCGCCAGCTTCGACAGTGGGCGGCTGCCTAAGGCCTGCTCGGTCAACAACATGGCCATCGGTTGTGAGCACCGGTACCCGAAGAGCTTGATGACCTCTCTCCGTCGAAGAGAGACTCATTGCCCTGCATGCACCTTTTGGCTATATCACTAAGTTCACCGTCGACAACAAGACCCGTTCGGGAATCAGTTACCGCAAGCACGTGAAAGGACATATTGTCGTCTTTCCGAACAAAGTGGACGATCTCGTGGCCACGGTTCTTCCTCATCCCTTGCTGCAGGCCATCGAGAACATTCACGTCTCTTGGAGCGGTTCGGCTAAACCTGGCTCCGCAGACGTCAGAAACCTGCTTCAGGTGCGCAAATCTCGAGTGGCAGCTGCCTTGGCATGGCTACAAAGGAACAACCCGCTTTATGAGGGTATCGCAATCAACCAAGCAGAGATGGACGGCTGGCAGTATGCCGACGGCTCCACTGTTCCGACCGTCATCATGGACCGCATGCGAAGAGAGGAACCGTCGACTGTTGAGAAGACACAAACGGACCACATAGTCCCGGACACCGATCGAGGCTTGCAGGAAAACAGCTTTAGAAGCATCGATGAACTGGTGAACTCGATCGATCCTACTTTCATCGCCGAATCTTGCGATTTGAACTGTACTCTGTCGACCGAGCAGACTCAACCCTCTCCTGGTGAGCCGGTGACTCTTGTCCCCGACTCGGCTGCCATCGGCCAGGAAGTGGACACTGTCTGTGAGACGTCTACATCCGGCATGTTTCCTCTCGATGGTCCGGCTGCCTTCGCCGAGTCCGATAAACTGTCGTTTCTGGCCGACATCGTCAACGCCAATCCGGATCGACATGGCAACTCTGTGCTGTGCGTTATGCAGGTCCAAACTACGGGAGACCAGCCGTTTGTCCGAGTAGAGCGTGGTGCGGATTTTGCAGACAACCTGCACGAAGATTTCTTCCCTCGAACATTTCCGAAGCTTTTCCCGTGGGGAAGGGGCGGCCCGAAATCGAAGTGCGACTCGAGTCACAGACGACAAGGCGGCCCTGCCGACCGTCGTCCGAATCACTCGCTTAATTACTGGGCCAAATACGTATTGCAACGGCATGGAGGCCGGTTCGCCACCCATCCTGTCTTTTGTTTCTTAGTATTCAACACCCTCCTCCGCTCCTCCAACCGCCGCATCAGCATGGTTCGTGTCGCTAAAGATTCCTTCAACAGGTTTGAGCAGGCCTATGCGAACTTGACCGAGGACCGACTGAAGAGGGCCGAGGCGGAGATGCGGGAGACAAGGACTACGTCGGACCCCGACATATCGCTCTTGCTCCGCGAGCTGTCGATTTTTGGTCATGCACAGCCGCTCTCCAACGAATCCCGTCTGCTTATGCGGAGGAAGATCCAAGCTCTGGACATTTGGGCCGGTATGCCTGCAATCTGGATTACCATCAGTCCCAACGACATAAATAATCCGGTAAAGATGAAGCTTGCCATTCATAGGCTCCATGATTATGACTCTGCAAAGGAGCTTTTGGCCGATCTCCGTGAAAAGTACGACAGAATCGCCCTCAGCACCATGGATCCGGTCAGCTCGGCCATCTTCTTCCACCGAGAAATATCTCTATTCTTTGACAAATACGTGAACACAGGCCAGGAATCGATCTTCGGGAAGATCAGCCACTACTACGCCACGGTGGAAACGAACGAGCGAGGCAGCCTCCACTTGCATGGACTCCTCTGGCTGGACGGCAACATGCGGTTACCGAAACCTGATGGACGACATGGCCAATCCCGCGGAAGAATCGTATCGTGTAGATGCGTACGCCTACCGGGGCCATGTTCTACGGGACTTATGCCTGTATGACTACATGTCGATGATTCATTTGGTGCGTCGAAAGGGTCGGAGTGAAGATGAATCTCACATTTTTCTCGATGGGCAGGATTCCGACTGTGACGGCTGGATGCAAAGCTTCGACGGCCCGACCAGTACGCCGTCCCGATCTTCCAAGGATACATCAGCGACGACCATGACGACGATCACCCAGTGTATATTAAGCGGTACTCTCTAACCCCCCGGCACCGTTTTGGCTCCGTCTGACGGCCTGTGCAGAAATTCTGTCCTACATTTGGCGTTATTCGTCCCTTGGGAAAACTTCATTTCTGAGAGCCAAGGCGATATAACCGACATATGGACGAGGCATCGAGCGCGGCTTTGTCCCCGCCTCCGTTTCTACGTCTCCAACATTTGTCTTTTGAGAAAGTCTGCCGAGGATGCGCGTAAAGACGCGAAGCTCTGGGCCAGTCGATCGGAGGGTGACGACACAATTGACGTCGAGTACCCACTTGACGATGGCCGCTACGAAGAGGAGCCTCCAGCGATGGCCCATCGTCAGGCCTACAGAGCCCTACTCCAGATTTTGCGAAATGCCGTGCAAGATACAGACGCCACGAAAGACTCCCCCGTCCTTGGAGGTTTAATACGCGACCTGTGCGAAGAGAACCCGGCTGAAGAAGAACAGCCTTTTGTGCTACGTCAGGACGATCTATACCGGAATATACCCCATGATCAAGGTGACGCCTTGTGCCAATTTCCAATCTCTCGAGACGATGTCCAAGCAGCGGCCAAAGCCCAACAACTATTGCATCTTCGGATGCTGGACGATATCGAGGCTGGTTCTCAGCGCACCGTGCTGTCCGCGAATGGCGCCGACATTGACGATACCCTAGCTCGTTACGGCGATATGGAGTCCGCCGCCGCGCTCCCGGGTAGTGACCTCGATGAACAAGGCCCTCGGATGCTTGTCGACGTCAGCCCGGTCACTAGCTTCGTGGAGATGGGACGCACCACGGCCGCTAGCTTTACACTGAACTATCTACAGACCATGGCCCTTCAACTCGTTTGCGTATTTCTGGACAAGTATACTGCCGATCCGGACTCAGCTGGTCAGCATCTTCAATATACCGGCGGGCCGGGAGGCACGGGAAAGTCAAGGATTATCGATGCCCTGAAGGGCGTGTTCGCGGCGAGAGACCAGCCACATCTTCTGCAGATAACCGGCACATCGGGCAGTTCGGCGGCCCAGATTGGTGGCACGACAATCCACTCGGCCTGTGGGTTGGATTCCAATCGCAATCCAAACAAACCGCCTCCCCCCTTCTCGGAGGCGAAGAAATGGATATGGAAACTGAAGCTGGTACTCGTGATTGACGAGGTCAGTATGCTGGGAGGAGCCACTCTGCACAACGTCAGTCGTCACCTGCAGGCACTCCGTGACTGTCCGGACGAGCCGTTTGGTGGGATGCCTGTCGTTCTACTGATGGGAGACTTCTACCAGTTCGCCCCCCGTGCGGGAAACAAGCCTCCTGATCAACAGACCGCCGGACCGAACACAGACCCCCCCCTGCGACAAGCCACCATCTCTCACCACAGCGGCTGCAGATTGTGGTACATGTTCAAAACCGTTGTGCTCCTCGAAGACCAAGTCCGCGCACGCAACGATCCCCAACTCCGCGCACTCCTGGATCGAGTCCGTAACGGCCGGCAGACCCAGCAAGATCTGAGCTTGCTCAATGCCAACATTGTAGGACGCTCCCAAATCACCTTCCATGACGGTTTGCGTGCTATAACGCCGCTGAACCGCACCCGCTGGGCCCTCAACATGGAAGCCGTCGTGGGCTGGGCGCGCTTCAACAGGCAGCATATCCGTATCTTTGTCTCGACTCACACCTGGCGCAACGGCACGCTTTCTCCAAACATCGTAGCGCGAACCATAGGACAAGGTGACGACTCCGCCTGCAAAGTCCCCGGCGTCTTCTTCTACGCTCAGGGCATGCCTGTGGTTGTGAACAAAAACATCTACACGGGTTTGAAAGTGGTGAATGGGGCGGACTTTACTGCCGTGGACGTAATACTCGATCCCAATCACCCAGGATACCACTTGGCGGATGACGTGACCATCCACTTCGGGCCGCCGCTCGGCATTCTTCTGCAGTCCGAGGAGACGAAAACCTTGGCGATACCCTCCCTCCCGGTGGGGACGGTTCTCATCCGCCCCATGTCACATACACTTGATTCGACTAACTCTCACTTCAAATTCTTGTCGGCAAGATGCACGCGACGTGGATTGCCCGTCGTACCGGCGTTCGTTCTCACTGATTACAAAGCCCAGGGTAAAACCTTCGTGGAGGTACTGTTGGAGCTGCGTGGAAATCGTGTGACCAATGGTGAACCCTCCAAGTGCGATTTTACGAGCCTCTATGTGCAACTGTCCAGGTGCACCTCGCTTCGGGGCATCAAGCTTCTTGGTCCCGTGAGGTACCATGATTTCATTGGCAATGGGCTGGATCAGGCCATACTTGATGGAATGCAGAGACTCAAGAACTTGGCCGCGGAAACGAGACGGTTATACGAGGCCAAGGTTTCGAAAAGTAGTGGCAGTATACTAACCATCCCGATAGTTTGACCCTTTCGTACGTCGTAGTCACGATCGGCCAGCTTCTACTCGATCTGCGGTGCTGTCGACTAACCAAGCGTATCCCTTCACCGCCGACCAAGCATGGCTGCTGACATGTCCATCATATGCGACTCCATCCCCTCTGCTTTACCCTGCTCCATCGCGACCATCATTTGACTCATCGCCGTCCCACTTGTCCCGCCCGGAGCTCGACCGTACACGGACTCGGCAAACATCCGAAGCTGCATCGGGAATCGGGAATCCCCATATTGCTCGATGATGTCGCTCTTTTCCACCGCGCTTCGTAGGTCGTGCCATTGCGATGGGGTCATACCGAGTGTCTCACACTCTTTCTTCTTCTTTGCATCCCACCACGGCGGCAGTATACCGGGACAACGCTCGACGCGCTCCAGGAAACGCTTGAAGCCACGCAACCCGTTGGCGGCACCACCATATATGCTATCCGCGTCTGCTTCGCCTTCAATGTTGTACATGTCCTCAACGCGCAGTCGGTAGGCGTCGATCAGCAGCCCGTAGACATCTCTTTCCGATCGATCATGCAGCCAAGTGCGATTTTCAAGACGCGTGAAGGGGCGGATGACGCCCTGTTCCAACCCCTTCGGAGGCGATGAATTTCCGTTGTAGGCCCATCTTGGAACGATGTCGTGGCGTCGGCCTGTTTGCCACAAACCTTCTTATGGACCTTCCAGTCTGCCTTCTGGCAATCCCTGGAGCAGTACGGCGTGGTGGAACATTTCGCGCACCTCTTGAGGAGGGCAACTTCAGGCGGCGACTTCTTGCAGCTATTGCACTCAAGGGCCATGATGACCTAATTCCGATGACCAAATCGTTGAAGGTTGCTTGTGTGAAGAGGCTGAATCAATTTGAAGCTCATTTGTGCCGCAGGGTGGAGATGAGGGGTAGGCTTAAACAGGTAAGGTGCTGTAGCGGGTCCAAGCAGCCGCACTACCACCTCTCTTTCTCCAACAGACTTGTTTTTATAAAAACAACCCGAATGCTCGCGCTCGGCTATGCCCAACTCTCGTCCCGTTCCTCAAGGCATTGGCGGACCCTGGAAGGGGCCGGTCTCCTGTTGATTCCAGGTGTTGTTTGTTTTTTGGTTGATTTATGCCTTGAGGAACGAAGAGACGAAAGGATCCTTCTTCCGCCCCCTCCGTAAACTCGTAAACTCGGATCACTTGGCGGCCCGTGCGCTTTCCAGCCACTGCACTGCCACCGCCTGCCTGTCAAGCCACAGCGGCTTCTTCCCCGCAAAAAAGACCGTCCGCCCCGCTGACCGCCCCGGCCCCACTACCCGGCCGACTGACGCCCCCTCCGCCAGCTCCAGAGACCTTTCGACAGCGCCTGGGAGGCAGCTCTTTCAACACCCCAGAGACCTTTCGACAGCGCCTGGGAGGCAGCTCTTTCAACACCCCGAAGTCCTTTCCTTTCCTTCTTGCTGACGAACCTGACTGGGACTTAATTCTTCTTGTCTTTCTTCTTGAACAGAACCGGTCTTTCCTCCTCCGGGCACTCGATCTTAGTCATCCCCGATCGCAATGCGGGAGCCAATAGAGGCGCGGACCCCCGCGCCTTTAAAGTCGGCGCGGACGTCCGCGCCTGTTATGTAAGCCTGGCAGGCCATTTGGGCCGCCGCCAACTGCGCTCGCAGTCGGCCTCACCGATACAGCATGCTTGCTGCATACATATAGCTTCAATTAATTGCAAAGGAGGATATCCCTTAGGGTTCGAACCCATAGCCTTCCTATTTGGTAGATTGACGTGACGCAAAGGGCGCCGCTGTTGCGTGGCAAGGAGGGTGCGCGGAAGTTCACCGCCTTAAAATTGGCCAGCTACAGTGCTACACGCCGGTGCATGTCGGTGATCTCACGATCTGCCTCACATTTTCGCATCGCCGGCATCATCACCACTTATATATGTGAATAAAATGCCTGCTGTTCCTCTGAGTCTCTCTCGCAGTCAGCCCATATACCTGCAGTACCTCTTTCTCGTGAGAAAGGCTGCACCTGAATTTCCTCGGCCACCCGGGCATCTAATCGCTCTTCTTCTGCCTTATCCCAATCAAGGTATGCCATCATCTCTACCTTGGTCCATTGCCTCGAGCCGCAGCTCCTTGACATTTGCTTCCAGTCGAGGCACCAGTCATATTCAGTCTTGCTGTAGCGCAATGGCAAGCCCATTGCCTTTCGGTATGCCTGGTTGGTCTTGAGACTGCCGCGAGGCTGTGCTCTATACCAAGAGTCTCTTTCCTGACATACCTCTGATAGATGGCTCGTGGGTCATCATATAATAGATTCTCTGTAGTCTCTGTAGTCTCTGCAATTGCTGTAGAGACTGTAGAGACCGTAGTGACTGCAACTGTCATTTTCTCCATGACTGCTGCAGTCTGCGCAGTCTCTGGAACTGCTACCGTCTGTACAGTCTGTGCAGTCTGTGCAGTCCCTGCAATTGCTGCAGTCTCTGCAGTCTGTGCCGCCCGTGCCTCTGCCCGCTGCAGTATGTCGCTATAGCGTAAAGGACAATTGCGAGATGTCATGATGTGCCCTTGCTGGTGGCATTTGCTGCATGTAGGCGGCGCCTTTGGCCGTAGATCTGACTCTATGGCTTCAAATGCACTTGGCTCGCGCTGTGTGGATGACTGTGATATCCTTGATGCGGCGACAAGTTGGTCTAGTCGCCGACGAGGCTCTATGAGGACCTGACCAATCTCTTTGTTATCCCGTCGAAGGCGCCAATGTGTATGAAAATGTTGTAGCCGGAGGGCAGATCTTCCACTATGAGAGACTGTAATGCGTGCGCACAAGGAGACCGCGAGACTTGGTGAAGCTGCCTGTGCAAGATGGGGTGTTTTTCTCGTTGAGGCGCTTGTGTTGCTTTGCAACCTGTCGCAAGGCTTCGTGTGATACCCAGCCACGTACCGTGCTATATACGGTTCCAGAGAGCTCAATTGGCATCCGTATATGCTGCCTGGCTTGGTTGGCTTGTAGCTCGGCCAGTTGGTTGAGGAGAGCTTGCTTGATTGCCCTCGTTGCCTCGAAGAGGTCTAATGTTGACTTCTTAAGGTGACTCTTCAATAATGCGTGGATGCCTTCCACCCGGAAGTAGCCACATTGCCGAAGTGAGCATATTGATCGACCCAGGCCTTGACGAGCTTTTCCTTATACGGGTCCAACCAGGTTTCCCGTATGTAGCTAACCTCCTTGACGTATCGTGGCACAAAGCGCTTCTCGAGCTCTTCAACTTGTTGATCAAATGTCTCCTCATCTTTCGAGCCCACGATTGAGTGCCAATACCCAAAGAACTCAGCCCACCTCTCATCACTATTAGAGTCCTCATCGTCACGGTCGAAAGCTGGTTTGCAATAGCTAAGCACCGCCTTATTCGCATGCCAGATGCAAAGCAGAGACTTGGACGCAGGAAAGCACCGGAAATTGCGTTTATGCAGGCGAGGCAGCGATCTGTCAGGATAACCGATGGCTGGCGAATGTCATATAACTCGTATATCGATTGGAGTTGGTCCAGTGCCCAGATATAGTCATTTTCGTCTTCACCACTGAGGAAGGCAAAGGCAATACAGAATGACCGCTGACAGGCATCAACGCCGATCATATCGAGCAGTGGCATCTTATATTTGTTCGTCTTGTATGTGCAGTCTAGCAGTAGTAATTCTGGGTATGCGTTGAGGTATCCTAGAGACGCTGGGTGTGCGAATAAGACTGCTGTGACTCGGCCATCATGATCAAGCTGTATGCGGCTCTGGAACCCCTCGTTGTCAAGCTCATTGGCAAGGGCATGCATTGTGCTCTGGCCAGCAAGGAGCTCTCGTCTGCGCTGTGCGATACAGTTATATATGTCTTGCTGTGTCGCTCCTTGGGCAGTCTGAGAGCTCTGGCGCATATATGTCCGGATATCCTTTGGTGCTATGCCAGCGCTTGAGAGGTTCCCAATAGCTGACTGGTCAGTTGAGGAGAGGGCACGATGAGCTGGATGTGCTGTAATATGCAGACTGGGCTCATGGTTGTGGACCGACTTCTCCTCGCCTGGGCGATGCCTGACATACCAGTACGACTTATCAAGGCTCTCTTTCGCATTGATGGAAAACTGGCATCCAGTGATACGGGAGCTTGTAGACCGTTGCCGATCAGCTGGCTTCTGGTCCTTGCTTGTATGAGCCCCAAGTCTACCTCCACGATCGCAGGCAAATATGACTGTGCGTCTTCCGGACCGCGGGTCTCTCGTGGACTTGCCTGTGGTGAAGGCATAGCCTCTTGGAGCCGCCCACGCATTAATTGAGGCAAGAAGAGACTCTCGCGAGTCGAACTGGCCCTCAGGAGGAAGGCAATCGTCAGGGAATTCAGTAAGCCCCATATTGGAATTATCTTGAAGAGCTAGCTGTAGTGCACGACAGTGAGCAGCTCTTTATACACAAAGGAAAGGAAACTCCTGCTTTGTGGACGTGGTGCAGAACCCTTGTAACCGAGGCCGCCTGCGAGGTTTAATGCAGCCTGCGTTTGAGCTTTGGCCTCAATGGGGTCCAAGCACCACGCATGCAGGCGCTCGACCTTAATATGCGGATTATAGCATCGCTTCCGCGGACAACTACTCTGAGCGCAGATGGTATGCTATATGAGGCTGGCTCTCTGTGCGACAGTTTGCCACATGCAATAGAAAAGGAGAGTACAGGTCAGGGGGCGGCCCGACTATCTTCCGCCTGGGCTTACATAACAGGCGCGGACGTCCGCGCCGACTTTAAAGGCGCGGGGGTCCGCGCCTCTATTGGCTCCCTCGCAATGCCGCGAGAACAGACGGCCAGGGTTTCCCCCGAAGAGGTTCGCCGCACCTTGAAGGATCTTCAGTCGCAGCGCCGGCCACAGCCTGTCAGAGTTCCCCACGACGAGATTCTTCGTGTGTTACAGGATATGGACCGCCAGCGCGCTGAAGACCGAACCCGCCGCCGTGAGGCCCAATACCGACATACCGCACACACGCAGCCGCCAACCACTCCATCACCGAAACGACCTAGGCAAGAGCAGGCGCCTCCCACTCCACCGCCGACGGAGCCAAAGCGCTCCCCCAAAAGACCCCGGCCGATGCGAGAAACCGTTCAACTTCAACGAGACTCTGTCGAATCCATACTGCATCACTATAACGCCACTTTCCGCGTCAAGGAGCAGGCATCATCAACAAGATCCTGGTGCAACGATGTCCCCGTTGCCCTCCAGGTAGAGGCTGCTAAATCTTTCTACCAAGCGTTTACCGAAGAACGGACGTTGCCGATTTCCCACTGCGTCTTCTGCTATAGGAAGACACCGCCTCGCGAACTCGCCACCATGCAGTGGAGGGGTTTCTTGTCGCCCCCCATGCTGCGGGCGACCAGGACAATCCAAGAGTGTGGCGCGTGCCTTCCGTCACCAGAGGGCGCCAGAGTTGACGTGTGCCGTGAGTGTCGCGTCAGCTTCGACAGTGGACGGCTGCCTAAAGCCTGCTCGGTCAACAACATGGCCATCGGTTGCGAACATCGGTACCCCGACGAGCTTGATGACCTCTCTCCGGTTGAAGAGAGACTCATTGCCCTGCACGCACCTTTTGGCTATATCACCAAGTTCACGGTCGACAACAAGACCCGTTCGGGAATCAGCTACCGCAAGCACATAAAAGGGCATATCGTCGTCTTTCCGAACAAGGTGGACGATCTTGTGGCCACGGTTCTTCCCCATCCTCTACTGCAGGCCATTGAAAACATTCACATATCTTGGAGCGGTTCAAGTAAACCTGGTTCCGCAGACGTCAGAAACCTGCTTCAGGTGCGTAAATCTCGAGTGGTGGCCGCCCTCGCATGGTTGCAGAGAAACAACCCCCTTTACGAGGATATCGCAATCAACCAAGCAGAGATGGATGGATGGCGGTATGCCGACGGCTCCAGTGTTCCGACCGTAATCATGGACCGCATGCAAAGAGAGGAACCGTCATCCGTTGAGAAGACACAAACAGACCACATAGTTCCGGACACTGATCGAGGCTTGGGGGAAAACAGCTTTAGAAGCATCGATGAACTTGTGAACTCGATTGACGGTACTTTCGTCGCCGAATCTTGCGACTTGGACTGTACTCTGTCGGCTGAGCAGACTCAACCCTCTCCTGGTCAGCCGGCGACTCTTGTCCCCGACTCGGCTGCCATCGGCCAGGAAGTTGACACTGTCTGCGAGACGTCTACGTCTGGCATGTTTCCTCTCGATGGACCGGCTGCCTTCGCGGAGTCCGATAAACTGTCGTTTCTGGCCGAAGTCGTCAACGCCAATCCGGATCGACATGGCAACTCTGTGCCGTGCGTTATGCAGGTCCAAACCACGGGGGACCAGCCGTTTGTCCGAGTAGAGCGTGGTGCGGATTTTGCAGACAACCTGCACGAAGATTTCTTCCCTCGAACATTTCCGAAGCTTTTTCCGTGGGGAAAGGGCGGCCCGAAATCGAAGTGCGACTCGAGTCACGGCCGACAAAGCGATGCTGCCGACCGTCATCCGAATCACTCTCTTAATTACTGGGCCAGACACGTATTGCAACGGCATGGAGGCCGATTTGCCACCCATCCTGTCTTTTGTTTCTTAGTATTCAACACCCTCCTTCGCTCCTCCAACCGCCGCATCAGCATGGCCCGTGTCGCTAAAGATTCCTTCCACAGACTTGAGCAAGCCTATGCGAACTTGACCGAGGACCGACTGAAGAGAGCCGAGGCGGAGATGCGGGAGACAAGGACTACGTCGGACCCCGACATATCGCTCTTGCTTCGCGAGCTGTCGATTTTTGGCCATGCACAGCCGCTCTCGAACGAATCCCGTTTGCTTATGCGGAGGAAGATCCAAGCTCTGGACATCCGCGCCGGTATGCCTGCAATCTGGATTACCATCAGTCCTAACGACATTAATAATCCGGTAAAGTTGAAGCTTGCCATTCATAGGCTCCACGATTATGAGTCTGCAAAGGAACTTTTGGCCGATCTCCGTGAAAAGTACGACAGGATCGCCCTCAGCACCATGGATCCGGTCAGCTCGGCCATTTTCTTCCACCGAGAAGTATCCCTATTCTTTGACAAGTACGTGAACACAGGCCGGGAATCAATCTTCGGGAAGATCAGCCACTACTACGCAACGGTGGAAACGAACGAACGGGGCAGCCTCCACTTGCATGGACTCCTCTGGCTGGACGGGAACATGCGATTACCGAACCTGATGGATGACATGGGCAACCCCGCGGAAGAAGCATATCGTGCCCAAGTGATCCGATACGTAGACTCTGTCTTTCACGAGTGTTTAGATGAAGATGCCGGAAAAGCCGTGCGACAACAGAGGAAGCCCATCCATCCCGTGGAGGAGGTCATGACCAGCACCTCGGCTCTCACTGCGGCCTTCGAAGACGAATCCAACTTCGTCGCGTACTGTTGCCAAGTGCACTCCCACACATACACCTGCCTTAAGTATTCTCTGAAGGCGGTCATTGATCAGGGGGCAGATCAACAGAGACGGACAGCCTGCCGCTTCAAGGCACCGTGGAGGATCGTCGAGCAGACAGGGTTCACAGAGGATGGCTTGCTTCAGATTCGGCGCAACCATCCACTCGTCAACCGGTATAACAAGTCGTTGGCGGTCGGCCTTCGCCACAATCACGACGTCTCGATGATCTTGACCAAGACCAAGGGCCTGGCCATGGTGTACTACATCACGAACTACGCCACCAAGCTGGATACGCCGATGTGGAAGCGCATTGCTCGCCACCGAGGTTGCCCGCCAACTTCGCGAGGCCGGTCGTCCGACGTCTCGCGCGCCAGGTCCCGCCCTGCCCGACGAGAGGCACCAGGCGGTATTGAACGAAAGCCGTCAATTCCTGATGAGAACGGCAAATCGGATCTTCTCTGAGCGACAACTCTCGGCTGTGGAGGTCTGTTACCACCTCCTTGGCTATGACACCGACTTTACCAACGTGCCGCATTGGTCCTTTCTGAACTTGACGGCCTCTACTGGACAATCTTTCGGCTATGGGCACATCTCCGCCATCAGGCCGGCGAGCTGACGGACGCCGAACCCCCCCGAGACAATCCCTCTGAGGCAAGGAGGGCGAACCCTTCTATGCCTAGAAGCGTACGCCTACCGCGGTTATGTTCTACAAGACTTATGTCTGTATGACTACATGTCAATGATTCACTTGTTGCGTCGAAATGGTCGGAGTGAAGATGAATCTCACATTTTTCTCGATGGGCAGGATTCCGACTGTGACGGCTGGATGCAAAAGCTTCGACGGCCCGACCAGTACGCCGTCCCGATCTTCCAAGGATACATCAGCGACGACCATGAGGACGATCACCCAGTGTATATTAAGCGGTACGCTCTAATCCCCCGGGACCGTTTTGGCTCCATCTGACACTCTGTGTAGAAACTCTGTCCTACATTTGGCGTTATTCGTCCCTTGGGAAAACTTCATTTCTGAGAGCCTAGGTGATATAACCGAAATATGGACGACGCATCGGGCGGGCCTTTGTCCCCGTCTCCGTTTCTACGTCTCTAACATTTGTCTTTTGAGAAAGTCTGCCGAGGACGCGCGTAAGGACGCGAAGCTCTGGGCCAGTCGATCGGAGGGCGACGACACAATTGACGTTGAGTACCCACTTGACGATGGCCGATACGAAGAAGAGCCTCCGGCGATGGCTCATCGTCAGGCCTACAGAGCTCTACTCCAGATTTTGCGAAATGCCGTCCAGGACACGGACGCCACAAAAGACTCACCCGTCCTTGGAGGTTTAATACGCGATCTGTGCGAAGAGAACCCGACTGAAGACGAGCAACCTTTTGTCCAACGTCAAGAGGATCTGTACCGGAATATAGCCCACGATCAAGGTGACGCCTTGTGCCAATTCCCATATCTCGAGACGATGTCCAAGCAGCGGCCAAGGCCCAACAACTATTGCATCTTCGGATGCTAGACGACATTGAGGGTGGTTCTCAGGGGACCATGCTTTCCACGGATGGCGCCGACATCGACGATACCCTAGCTCGCTACGGCGATATAGAGTCCGCCGCTGCGCTCCCAGGCAGTGACCTCAATGAACAAGGCCCTCGGATGCTTGTCGACGTCAGTCCGGTGACTAGCTTCGTGGAGATGGGGCACACCACCGCGGCCAACTTTACACTGAACTATCTACAGACCATGGCCCTTCAACTCGTTTGCGTGTTTCTGGACAAGTATGCGGCCAATCCGGACTCGGCGGGCCAGCATCTTCAATATACCGGCGGGCCGGGTGGCACGGGAAAGTCGAGGATCATCGATGCCCTGAAGGACGTGTTCGCGGCGAGAAACCAGCCACATCTTCTGCAGATAACCGGCACATCAGGCAGTTCGGCGGCCCAGATTGGCGGCACGACAATCCACTCGGCCTGTGGGTTAGATTCCCATCGCGATCCAAACAAACCGCCTCCCCCCTTCTCGGAGGCGAAGAAATGGATATGGAAACAGAAGCTAGTACTCGTGATTGACGAGGTCAGTATGCTAGGAGGAGCCACTCTGTACAACGTCAGCCGCCACCTGCAGGCACTCCGTGACTGTCCGGACGAGCCGTTTGGTGGGATGCCTGTCGTTCTACTGATGGGAGACTTCTACCAGTTCGCCCCCGTGCGGGAAACAAGCCTCCTGATCAACAGACCGCCGGACCGAACACAGACCCCCCTGCGACAAGCGACCATCTCTCACCACAGCGGCTGCAGATTGTGGCATATGTTCAAAACCGTTGTGCTCCTTGAAGACCAAGTCCGGGCCCGCAACGATCCCCAACTTCGCGCACTCCTGGATCGAGTCCGTAACGGGCGGCAGACACAGCAAGACCTCGACTTGCTCAATGCCAATATCGTAGGACGCTCCCAAATCACCTTCCATGATGGTTTGCGTGTTATAACGCCGCTGAACCGCACCCGCTGGGCCCTCAACATGGAAGCTGTCGGGCTGGGCGCGCTTCAACAAGCGGCATATCCGTATCTTTGTCTCGACTCACACCTGGCGCAACGGCACGCTTTCTCCAAACATCGTGGCGCGAACCATAGGACAAGGTGACGACTCCGCCTGCAAGGTCCCCGGCGTCTTCTTCTACGCTCAGGGCATGCCTGTTGTTGTGAACAAGAACATCTACACTGGCTTGAAAGTTGTGAATGGGGCAGACTTTACTGCCGTGGACGTAATACTCGATCCCAATCACCCAGGATACCACTTGGCGGATGACGTGACCATCCACTTCGGGCCACCGCTCGGGATTCTTCTGCAGTCCGAGGAGACGAAGGCCTTGGCGATACCGTCCCTCCCGGTGGGGACGGTACTCATCCGCCCCATGTCACATACACTTGATTCAACTAACTCTCACTTCAAATTCTTGTCGGCAAGATGCACGCGACGTGGATTGCCCGTCGTACCAGCGTTCGTTCTCACTGATTACAAAGCCCAGGGTAAAACGTTCGTGGAAGTACTGTTGGAGCTGCGTGGAAATCGTGTGACCAATGGCGAACCCTCCAAGTGCGATTTTACGAGCCTCTATGTGCAACTGTCCAGGTGCACCTCGCTTCGGGGCATCAAGCTTCTTGGTCCCGTGAGACACCATGATTTCATTGGCAATGGGCTGGATCAGGCCATACTTGATGGAATGCAGAGACTCAAGAACTTGGCCGCAGAAACGAGACGGTTATACGAATCCTGATAGTTTGACGTTTTGTACGTCGTAATGTGGTAGGTACGTGGGCGGCGGGGTGGGTGGTGGCGCTTGCTGGCGCGATGCCTCTGGCTCCGAATCGGTGTCCATGTTGTCCCACTTTGAGTAATCAATCGGAGCCATTGCGTCGATTCTTGACAAATTGTTACACTTCACTGCATGATTCGCGAACGGTTCGGACTCCTTCGCCCTTTTTTTTTTTTTTTTTAATATATTCCGCCATTGACGATAGTCAGAGGCACTGCGTCAGACTCGCTAAGACTAATCTAGAGCTGTCCAATACTCGGTTCCGAGCCCAAGGAATTCGTCCCGATCTAATCCCTGAATTTCTCTTACATCCTTCAATCCGTCTCTTGCTCACTTGACCTGTCCCTTTCCAATTCTGGAGCCTGTCTGATGAGGTACAGACCACTCTCCTCCGCCGCATTTGACGAAGAGTCCACCTGCCTTTAGCCGTCCGGTGTAGCTAACCTACCAGCTGTGGGGCAACCACAGGTATAGGTAGAGGGTTTGTGCTGAAAAGAAAAGGTTAAGACAGGGGATGTATGTTAGTAGGGCGACGGTCGTAACTTGGCGAGTTCCCGGCTATATACCGGGCACCCAGGATCTGTAGCCTTGTGTGCTCCTTTTCCACCGCACGCTGCACACTTAAAAACGTCCGAGGTGCAAGTCGACGCAGAATGGCCCGGTTGGGCGCACTGTCCACAGATCGGAGCTGGCGCCTTGCAGCGATAATGCAAGTGTCCGTAGAGGTGGCAACGGTAGCATCTCGCTGGTTGAAGTCCCTGAACAAATGGTCGCGTGTATGCACACTCGCCATTCGCCATCTCAACCGTTCGTTGTGCAAGCAACCTGTCCACCTCCTCTTTCTTATCCAGGTGTACCACCAGAGAGCGGTATTCCTTGTCGACAGACGCTGTCCCGAGCCATCGCATCTTGTGCACTTTCACCCCGTTCATCCGCTCAAACACGGCGCATCCGATATCATCCGTCGCAACCCCACGATGGGCTCTATCAACCCGTAGAGGGTACCACTGTTCCCCATATAGCGTTCCTGTCGAAGTGTGTCTTTATCCAGGTGTCGTTCTGCCGTACTTTATCGACGTCCGTCTCTCGAAAGAGAAGCCGAAAACGCCCTTTTCCTTAGAATTGACGCCCAGACAGGTCACACCCAACTTCTCGAGGGCAGCGTTCGCGCGCCGACGAATAGTGCCGGCGTTGCCTTCCTTTATGTCGCTGTCTAGGACCCGACTCACGTCTAAGCCAATGCCAGGCAGTGGCCCTGGGACTGGAGAGGGTGGTGGCGAAAGTGGCAGGTGCTGTTGCTGTTGCTGATGAGGCGCACTTGGAGTGGCGGACTCGGAGGGCTAGCGACGCGTGGGAAGAGCTCGTTTCGAATGAACTCTTCCAGAGACTCGACGCGTTTCTCCGCCCTTTCGGCCCGCTCCTCGACGCGTTTCAGGAGAGCTTCGATTCGCGCCAATGAATCCTCGTTGGCATTGGGGTCGGCATTCGTCGGTTTCGCTTTCGGGACGGCGGATTTCTTTCGTGATGGGCGCGGTTCAGGGTCGAATTGCAGCGTCGGTTTCAGAGGGCGACCGCGGGCGCTGGTCCTTGTCGCGTCGGCCGCGCTTGTCGAATTGGCCACGATGCTACAGGCCACATTGTCGTTCGTACCGTCTTCCTCGTCATCGAGCAACTCGAATTGGTTCGAGTTGCGCTTGGTGCTGTTCTTGCTCTTCCGCGGCATTGTTCCTCGGATTTCGCTTCCTTCGCCCTTCGAGATGATGGCCCCTTTAAAGGTTTCCTTTGCGTCCTTACCCCGCCCACCGTGTTGTGGCGGGGTAAAATGGCGTCCAAACAGCCACACTATCGGGAGCAAGCCTCATCTTCTCAACAGACCTATCAGAGCGAAAATGTGCGAAAATGCGAAACCCATACTGAATACTCCAGTCCCGTTCCTCAAGGCATTGGCGGCTCCTGAAAGGGGCCGGTCTCCTGTTGGGGATGAGAGTCGCCTAGTTACCATGTGGCGCGCCACTCGCTTGTTCGCGCCACTCGCTTATCGGTGGTGCCCGCAATTGCGTCGTAATTCACTTAGACCACGTGACCACTTATTGCCCGCAAAACGCCGCCCGTGAAATCGTGTGCAGGACGCCTGATAAGTGCATTTGATAAGTTCCCACCCGACTTATCGGGTTTCCGGCCAACCGAGCCCAGACATTCGCCCGGAAGGTTGCCCGATCGACCGAGATGGCCGCGGACGACTCGTACACGGCAGCTGACGAGCGCGCCCGTGCCGCCCGGAGGGCGGGCATCCAGGCGAAGAAGGACGAACAGCCGGCGAACACGACGCGGAGTTACGCGGCGAAGCAGCGGGAGTGGAAGGCGCGTCCCCCGGCCGGTCCTCCACTTCGATCCCTGTCACGTACGGCCCCCTAGGCGGCTAACAGACAAATGCGTATAGGCCTGGTGCCATACGCCCGGGCTGCAGCAGACGGCTCGCTCTATAGCTGGCCCGACGGCGAGCTCGTAACGCCGGACAAGCTGGCGGCGTGGCTCAAAGAGGATATCCTGTTACGACGCGTTGTGCCGCCGCAGAAGAAGCCGCGCGCGGGGTAAGATTAGGGCAACGGCAACGGCGAGGCCGTACAGGTACGGCAACAGCGCGAACAGGAGCAGCTCGAGGCCGCGGCCATGGCAGAGGCCGAAAGCCTGGCCGAAGCTTTGAGGTCCCCTGGCCGAGGCCGCCGAGCTGCTCGCTGACGACCGCGAGGGCTACGTGCCACCCACAGGCCTCGCGACGGCTGCAGTAGACCTTACCGAAGGGTCTTTGCTTACGAGGGGCACTATCGACGCCTATATCGCGGCCGTTATCGAGCTATGGAGGCTCCAGGTGGCTCACGGCAACGCGAATACGGAGAATCCCCGGGCGCCGCCGTACGAGGATTCCTTGAGCAACGGGGCCGCCAGCGGGGAAGCACGACCGCGCCTCCTTTAAAGACCGCGGAAGCGACGGGATCCAGGCCGGCTACCTCCCGATGAATGGCTTCGGATCCAGGATCTCCTTCTCACTGGCGCCGCGTATACGCCGCAAAACCTCCGTACGCGAGTCGACCTCCTCTTCGGCCACTACTACCTCTTACGGGGGGAGAACCGGCGCAAGATGGAGCTTGCAGACCTATCCCTACTCGACTATCCGCCTTCGGAGGCCCGACCCCTGTGGTTGCCTGGTAAGCCTTTTACGGGACGGCAAGCTAAATAAGACGGCGAGGAAGGAGTTTATGGGCGCGCTCCGGCACAAGGACCCCTTATTCTGTACGCAAGGCCCTAGCACAGCTCTTCTTTGGCGCTGGCACGTCGCCGGCGAACCCCGTCCTTCCGGCGCCGTCAGGACTGGTATCGGATCAAGGTCCTCGTCGGGCGGGACCGCGAGCAGGAGCTCGTACCCGACACAGCTACAAGAGACCTGGCGTATCTTCGGCGCTGCCGGCCTTATCGCGTCGAAGAAGACGCACCTCCCGCGCAGGGTGGGCGCCCAGGACGCGGAGACCCATGGCACGTCGCTCGCCCAGATCTCGCAGGCCGGCCGCTGGAACCAGAGCGTGCTCTGCCAGGCATATCTTACGCACCTACCGCGGCAGTTCATGCGTATCGTCGCCGGCTTCTCGGCCTCCCGGGGACTACTCGCGCGTGCGGCTCACGAACCCCGTACGTCTTACAAAAGCAGCTGTGGCCGTGGATCGAGGAGTGGGAACCCGCTTTGAGGCGCGCGCGCGCCGGCAATGCTGGGCAGAAGGCGGTCTCGACGACGACGACCCAGCCGCTGACGGCTTCCTTGCTTATGCGGCGCCTGCGTATAGTACTTCTGCAGGACCTGGCCGTCCCACAGCTCCGCTACCCGTCGCTAGCGTTCTTCGCCTACGCCCCTTTGGCGGGCCCGAGTGGGACGAGTTCGCCGTCGCCGTGCGGTCCACCGCGGTAGGGGCTATGGAGCCGGTAAGCCTGCTCGTACGACGCGCGCTGCCGGAACTAAGCGGCGTCATAGAGAGCACGCGGGAGGCCCTGTTACAGAATAGTCAGCGGCTCGCCATCCGGCTTGAGGCCCGGCTGGACGGGATTCAGGGCGGCCTCGATGCCCTCCTCCAAGGCAAGGTCCCTATCACCTTTACCGGCTACTTCGGAGCCGGGTCAGCAGAGGCGCTGGCCCCAGCCCCGGCCCCGGCCCCGTCAACAGTACCTACCTTGAATCTCAATACAGCCTGCCCTGGCCCCGGCCCCGCCCCAGAGCCTCTGGTACCAGGCATGCCTATCGTCACAGCCCTGGCAAGGGTCTTTACGGTGGGGACGTCTGGAAGGAGTGGGAGGAAGGGTTTGCAGGTCAGAAGGCCGTACGGGAGCTGGAAGAGACGTGGAAGCCGCTGGCGCCCGGGGAACGGGGTCAGAGTGCAGTTCTGTCGCCGGAAGGTGATCTGGGACGAGCTGTTGGCCCGTATGGCGTCCGGCAAATGCAAGGAGGCGGCCGTTGCAGAGCTAGAGCTGTTACGCGCCGGCCGAAGCTTGAACCGACTCGTCGACGAGCTCAAACAGCGCCGACGGCGGGGCCAGGATCGGGGCCAGGGCCAGGGCCAGATACGGGTACAGGTAGGGACCCCGTGCCCGATGACCCAGGTCCAGGCCGGGACCAGGTCCAACTCGAGGTCAGGGCCGTCGGGGGCGGAGGACCCGGCTGGGAAAGCGGACCGCCCCTCGTCGACGTAAGCCAGCCGCCTCGTAGAGTCTTTATACATATTTATATCCATGTAACTAGACATATTTTTGAGGATCAAAGGGCCGTAGGATCAGTGCATTACTATCTCGCAGTTCCTGTAGCCGAGCCTAGCCCCCCCATTACCCATTCGCGGCGCTGCAACGCAAATATCTCGACGGACAGTAGCCTATACGGAGTGCTCCTCGACCAAACGCGCCGCCGGAGTGGATTAGTCCCCCAGGCCCCGGAATGGCCTCGATTGGGCTGCTGGCCGTGGAGATATTCGCGTGCGCGGCGCCGGGCACTTATCAGATGGTAGATATGTAATCGCATACGATTTCCCGAAATTACTCCGCAAATCGACCCCACGATAAGTCCTGCTTATAAGCATCTGGCTTTTAGGGGATCCAAGGGCTTCAGTGGGGAAGAGAGCGGTGAGATGCTCTAGTGCCAGACTGCTATAAGTAGCGGACCTCTTCAACGGATCTGGAATCGTTTCATTGCCAGCATTTCAATCCGCACTTCAAGCTCAACCTCAATCTTTGCGTCCGCATCCATATACTCTTCGTTAACGCGAGAGTCATGGCAAATAAGAATCCACAACCTGACGAAAGAGTTGTATACTTAGCTCTAAAACCGGTATTCAAGGGCCAAAACGCTGAAGTCCGCAAAGACAAGACCGTACGTAAACTCATAACGAAGCACCGGGCACAGAAAGATGTCGCGGATCTAGTTCGGGAACACAACTTTGAGGTTATTTGTAACACAGCACGGGCACTCCTGTGTGATGAGATATTTGCGTCTACCCTCAAAGCCAAGATCCGTTTCCCCGAGCTATTCGACATATCGCCTAATCAAAGTGCGGAGAGGGAAGCTTCCGAAGCTGAAGCTGCTCGACTTGAAGCGGGTGACATTGAGAATGCTGTTCAGGGCCGCCGGGATGCTCTCGAACCCGACACTGATGCGACCAAGAGTAGGTGATGCGCGCTTCGAAAAGCAGCCGATGTTGACTTGATATATTAGCCGAAAAGGAGCAATGCAGCCATCCACTACCAATTTCGTCTGCTTCAAAAGAGCCCATCAATGCTGCGTTGCCTCCACAGGGCCCTTCTACAATACCGCCGCTCTTTCCAGTTTATCTCCCTTTCGAAGCTCAACATAGGATTTTGGTGCATCTTCAAAATCTTTTGGAGTCCTCTTGCTATAAGTTCGGGAATCAAAAGATGCATCAAGTCTTGCAACAGCGTGGTTGGGATTGCGCCGAGTCGGTGGAGCTCAATCGTTGGACCGAGGAATTTACAAAGACACAAAGCCTTTTTCCGGCTGCCCAGCCAGGTCAGAAGCCGCTCGATCAGCTTTTCCGCTCTATCGCCAACATTCGGCATTCTGCAGTTCATCGGATCCGTGTCAGCGCGAAAAGCATCGAGCAGTTCCTCCTCGATGCTGAGGCTTTCGCCATGCTGTTGGTGGACGCCGACGATATCGAGCAAATTGCCAAGCTCCGGCGTAAAACGCAGACAATCATGGAGGAACTTGAGCGGAATAAACACTTCCTCCGGTCCAGGCTAGATGAGACTTTGCGGGGAATAGCGGCCAAGCGCGAAGAACTCCGACACTTGGAAGAAACAGCCGTTACTGAGATGGAACGAGAGGATGTAGAGTACCAGATGCTGGCTGGCAGAAGTGTAGAGGAAATTGTTGCGCCTTCTGAAGCTTCCTTTTCCACGGCCATTGACACTGAAAAAGACACCACAACCGGCGTGGACGATACAGATGACATGGATGAAGACGAACACGACACCGACAAAACGGAGGACAATGGAATGTCAGACTTTTAAACACGGAGAAGCACTAGTTCAAATGAGACAATAGGTAGCGTGAATGGGGATGACGACGAAAACTTGGAAGGGATGAAAGCCCTTAAAGGGTGTTTTGCCGGGAATCCCAGGACAAACGAAGGTCGAGAGGTGGACAAAGCCGCAACACCTCAGCTGAGTGTCGCCAAGGGCCGCAGCCGAGTTTCCATGTAGAAGGTCGCGGCCGGAACCGATGACTGGTCCCGTGAAGGAGACAATGGGTTGCATCGTTGGGAAGGCATCCGCCGAGCCGAGGGTGCGAGGGACGACTCTGCGGCAATCGTCAGAGATGGTAGTGCTGACGGACGGGTCTGGGGCATACACCTACGGCTGGTAGCTGTGACCGCGGACGACAAGCGCGGGGATGGTGTATTCTGTGATGTTGTCATCTTCCGACTCCAAGCCATCACGTCGCTCGATTTCCCACGTCAGGGCAAAGGGATGAATACGGCCGACCATAAAAAGCCATTGCTCGGTCCACTCAGAGGGGATTATCTGTTGGTTGTATATGGAAATATTAAGGCTGAAGAAGATGCAGGTCGATGGCTTGTCAGTATTTGACCGGATTGCTGCATACTCTGGAGTCGACAGCCACGAGGGTGTTGGAAGGAAGACCCTCACTAGGGTTTCTGCGTTGAGCCCTTTGACACGATGCTCATTCTGGTAGGCGAACCTAGACGGGCAGCCGGGCTGGACAAAGGCCATCATGGACATGTTGGAGCCAGCATTTTTCTGGCTGTCAAGAGGTTGTAGTGGGGAGGACGAGGTATCAATGTTTAGCTGGGAAGTCGACATCGTGAGAACATGGCAGATGCAGTCACCGTGGAAGTGTAAAGGAAGGGGGGTTACGCAGAGGAGAGGTAGGCATCCTATAAGGCAGGTTTTCTTGCTGGTCGAAAGAGGGTTCGCGGCTAGGGTCGGGGAGACTTGAGAGTCAGTGAATGCTCCTTTTTAGGTGATAGATCAGAAGCGGTGGTATGCAGGAATCAGTTGGCAAAGATTTTTGGAAGAGCCAGGTGGTAGATCAGAAGCAGGCGTAGGTAGACATGAGCTGGCAAGTCTTTGGAGTCCCTCGAGAGCGCCCTCGACCTCTGCGTCGTATACCTCGGTCAGTGGCATCCGGCCGCTGCCGTAGACCACTTCGTCTGGGCCTAGCCACAGCGAGTACCCATACCCGCAGGCGCCGTCCTCGCTCTTCGAGCCGTCAGTGTAGACGATGAGTGTATCTTTGGGGCATGCCCGGAGCCACCCACGGAAACTCCTCGCCGCCTGGGTCTTGTCTAAACCCCCTGTCGGATCCGGCTGCGGAGGGGCTGGGGCTTGAAGCCTAGGCCTCGGCGCTTGGGCCGTCATTTGGTGAAAGCGGAGCAGTCGCGAGGCCTGCTGCTTTCGGGCCGCGCGGGGCGGCCGTATGTCGTACTCCTGCATCAACTGCCGGCCAGGCGTTGGGAGGATGCTCATGCGGGGCGTCAGCGGGTGCCGTGCATCCAAGGAGCGTAGGCGCACCGCAGCGCGCCTCAGAGCGTCCGTGAGAAGTAGCGTGGCAGGCGGTATACAGGTCTCCCGGCGGAGGGCCGCAATCGGCGCGGTGCGCCATACAGGTGCGATAGCACGCATCGCCACGTTCAGCGTCTGCTGGATTCTATTCTTCAAGTAAGTGATTCGCGGCGGGATCAGCCGGCACGATCCCCACACAGGCCGGAGCGTCCCTGGATGCCAGAGGCCCCATAAAGGAGGATCGGGAGGACGCATGCCGTGACCACATGTCGCGTCGACCGAGGAGGAATTCCGCGCTGCGTGTTCGAAAGGTTTGGATGAACTCGGCGACCTTCTTCGCCTTTGCAGCCCACTTCTCCACATGCGTTCGGAACGAGAACTTTCTGTCATCCAGACGCCGAGCCAGCGCAGGTCCCGCTGTGGCTTCTTCTCCACGGATCCATGCCAGACCGACGGCAGGTCCCCCTCATATCTAAGTCTTGTGAAGTGCATGACTTCCGTCTTCTCAGGATCAAACGTCACGGCGTTGTCAGCGCCCCACTGGATGAGCTCGCTCGCAGCACGCATGGCCTGGGCGGCCGTCTCCTGTAGAGATCGGCCCCGGATCAGGGTGGCTACATCGTCTGCGCAGCCGAAGCGCGAATTCGGTTCTCCTATGGAGTAGATGGGCGCGGTATACAGGAGGAAGAGAATCGGAAACGCCGGGGAGCCCTGCGGCAGCCCGCAAGTCAGCGGGCTCGTCGGCGTCGTGGTACCCTCGAGCCGTATCCTGGCCGACCGTTGCTCGATGAAGCACCCTACCCATCGGACCACGTTCGTCGGCCAGCCTTGTTCCCGCAGCCGCAGGAGGAGCCTGTTCCGCAGCACTGTGTCGAAGGCGCCCTGGATATCCATCGTAATGAGCGTGGCCACTTCCCCTCGGGCAAGGGCCGTCTCTGCGTCGTGGATCAATGCCAGCGTCAGGTCGAGCGCCGAGCGTTTGGGCAGCGCACCCGCGTGCTGGCTGTGGATGACTCTTTGTGTGATGGCGGCCCAGGCCAGGCGGCGCGCTATCAGACGCTCGAGTCCCTTTCCGAGGCAGGCCAGGAGCGAGATGGGCCTCCAGCCTCTCGGGGTAGACAAGTCTCTCTTGCCCGGTTTGTGGATCATCACCACCTCCGCTACGCGGAAGCAGGTCGGGTGGTAGCCCTGGTGAAGGCAGCCCTCGTACAGCTCCCTCACAGCCTCGCCGATGTGGTTCTAGGCCCGACGTAGCATCCGGACTGTGATGCCGTCCACTCCCGAAGAGTTGTTCCCGGTAGAGGTGCACGTGTGCGCCGCTTCGGCGATCGTGACGCTGCAGTCGACGGTCCTGTGCGGGGCCGGCACCTCCGGAATCCAGGGGTCTCGGATGTCGTCTGCGGCCGCGCGCCTCTCCAGAATCTCAGCCCGAAGTACCTTCGCCTTCTCCGCCTGGGTCTTGTAGACTGTCCCGCCTACTTTGATAGGCGGGGCCCGGAATGGACTCTCCTCGACCATCGCATGATCTTATAGACGTCCTGGTTGCTTTCGGCGCCTTCTAATACCCTCTGCCAGAAGCGCCTCTTAGCTCGCCGCACCGCCTGGCGCAACTCCCGTCGGTCTACCTGGACGTCCCTGCCGTGCCCTGTAGGAAATGTCCTTCTCATCGCTCTCAGTTCTGCTGCTGCGGCGGCACACTCGTCGTTCCACCAGGCGGTGCCTCTCGTGTTCTTTCTGGGCCGCCGGCCTGCGGCATTGGCCGCCTCTTGAAGCAGGCGAGACAGTGCCTCAGCCAGTCTCTCTAGGTGCTGGGGCTCAGCTGCCGGTCGGTCAGCTCTGCGGCCCCGTCTCGCACGAGCTCTTCGAATCGCTTCATCTCTTCCTCCGAGCTGACCCTTGGTCTGGCGGTTCTCGCAGGAGGGATAGTTCCATCAGGAAGCGTGATGCTGATCGTAAAATGGTCTGAGCCTGTATATAAGTGTTCTTCTATACTGTATATAAGTGTTCTTCTATACTGTATATAAGTGTTCTTCTATACTGTATATAAGTGTTCTTCTATAAACGCGTCGGCAGCCGGGATATTAGCGAACGCCAGGTCGATTGTGTTGCCCCGTACGTGCGTGACCTTGCCCGGCGCATTTAGCAGCCCAAGCCTGCGATGTGCCGCCCAATCTGGCGGTCCGCACTCCAGGCTGCCACGAGCAGTGGTGGGCGTTGAAGTCGCCCGCGACAAGGCATCTCTCGGGCACCTCCTGCTGGTAGAGGAGGTAGTCAAACGGCTCAGAGGTCCCCGCGTGTCGGTAGAAGTTGATGATGAGGATGCCGTTGACCCGGAGCCAGAGTATATCGCGCGTAGATATCGGACAGATTTGAACAGAATTCTTCATTTTCGACTTTGCATCCCTGCATCGACCACAAACAAGATGGATATCTCGAACTCACCCATCGAAATGCGTTTGAAAGCCGCTGTAGAGTATCTAGAGCGCTTTCCTGACTCCAAAATGGCCAAGGTGGCCCGAGATTTCGACGTTCCGCGACTGCGCCTGCGACGTCGCCTGGAAGGCCGGGGACCTAGAAATGGGAATTCTGAATTCCACACAAAGCTTACCAAGGCCGAAGAGACGGCGTTGTGTAGGTACATCGACCGCTTAGACAATATCAACTTGGCTGTGCGGAAGGAGTTCGTCAGGACACCGCCAATTGCATCTTGAAGGCGCGCGCTTCCAAGAATGACAGAAGCCCACCTCAAGTCGGCTTGAAATGGGTTGGGCTGTTCATCAAGCGACATAGCTACAATTTATTCCCATCAAAGGTCTTAGATGCCAATCGACAAGCATCGGAAGACGTCGAGATGCTCAACGAGTACTTCCAGAAGCTTCAAGCCGTTTAATATGACCTAATTTTAAATCCTTACTCGGTGATTGTGTTTCCAAGTTCGATGTTACCGGATCGGTAATGCAGTCGCGCGACAAGTCCTGTATCCGGGTCAAGGAATCGAACGAAGCTTTCATACAGTAAGAGATCCATGCCGCACTCACACCGCAGATCGCCGTCATTTGCACCATTGTTCAGGGCAACGACAGCAACCATCAAGCGTTCCTCGATGTCATCGTTGCCTCCTTCATCAAACGCTTGTGCCAATAGCTTCCATGCCTCATGCCCTTCCGGAGAGGTGTCGGGGTTATAACAAGTGCAACCCCAATACAGTCTCCGAACCTTCTCCTTAACTCTCTTGTATGATTCTCCATACGATTCCAACTTGTTGACTGTTACTGCCACTGGACGAATGATTTCCGCAACGTCTTCCAATTCGGGCGGTCTGCCGGGTATCCTGTCCCGGATGCTGATCGCAGAATATCTTGCCAGTTTAGGTGCATTGTACCTCCAAAAAACTAGGTAAAGAGCAATGGTGCCGATCAAAAGGTCGGTCAGGTCATAGTCGTGGTTATCCATGGACCAGCGCAGGCCTTCGAGGGTCCATGCCGCAGCATCCACAACTTGCTGATCGCTGGTGAGACTTCGAACTAAGTTGTTGCTTTCGCCACACAATACGTCTCTCTCATAGTCGAGGATATCATTGAGGTAACACATGAAAGATGCTCCCATAAGACCCCGTGGAGTCCCCATCTCTTCCCCCACGGCGTGATAACTAATGAAGTTCCCGGCTCTGTCCTGAAGCAGCTGATACCTCCGTGCCGTGGTACTGCTGTTATCAGGAACATATTTTGTTGGCTTCAAAGTCTGGACTCGTTGCTGCTCTCGCCTGATCAGCTCCATCGCATCACTCTTTATTACTTCTGCACAGCGTTTGGCAACGTCAAGAGGTGTGCTCAACCACAGCCATTGGGTGGCTCGCATCCAACTCGCTTGCCGGTCACGGAATACTGCTCTCGTAGGCCCATAATCGATGACCGTGAACCATTGGGAAAGAAGAACTTCCAAATGGTAGCCTGGTCTCCATCTGCTGTCTCTGGAGATCAAGCAAGACCATCCGTTCCTGGGTTCCATGCCATCCATACTTCAACATCACCTCGTTGCCATACTCCTCCAGGCTCTCTGTCGCATCGGTCATTGTAATTGCAGACTCTTCGATTCCCAGAGTCACGCTTGAGCACAGTGCCATTCTCCGATACACCTAACCACCCTCGGACCCCTTCCCCAGCAGTTTTTCTGGTTCAGAGTCCATACCACCCCGGGTGGTCCGTCCCTCAGGTCGGTGTGCAGTTGCCTTGGCTATCATCTCGTGAACTCGATCCATAACATCTCGGTCCAGTATTTCGACAGAGTCGAATTTGCCCGCCTTTTGTTGGCAACCAATGTTTTTCGAGAGCACATGTTCCGCCCACAACCGTCTCAGCCGTGACAAGTTCCTTCCTCCCACCGTAACAGCAACACCATCTGCACAGTCTGGACTCGGCTGGACATTGGTGATGGTGTCCCCATTGTAGGATACCCATCCCCCAAATACACAATGGAGACCAATGATCGCAGCCTGGCGGTCTCTTCGTGACCAGTATCCTGCACAAGGCTCGCAGTTCAAGTGTCCTGGACAAGTGATGTAGTGAACTGTAGACCCGATCTTGGCCGTGATTGTGCCTGTCCAAGACGGCGGCATATTCTCCTCGATTCTGGTTGGACCCCACCTTTTCACACGTCGTTGCAGCCATCTCTCACAGAGTTCTGACTTGATCCTTTCTGCGCCTGCTATTTCTTCAGGTTCTGGGATCAAATGACCCGAAGTATCGGAAGCTCCAACTTGGGATTCCATCGTGAGTAAGAGTTGCGAACCCAATGGAAGACTAAGTAAGCAGAACTGATTTGTCCTCCATGGATGGATGTATGTATATAGTAATATAGTACTAGTATGATTACGGGCAGTAGGCATGCATATATGTAACCATTGGTCTACAACTTAGTGGTCTCCGCCAGTGGTGCCCCTGCCCCACCAATACTGGAAGATCAGTGAGACAGGCCAGCAAGTGAGACAGGCCAGCCCTCCTCTTCACAGGTATCGCACCGAGGATGAGCTGAGCAAGCATGAAGATCGGGGACTGAACAACTCTTGATTCTCTATCTAAGTGATGGTGAGAAGTTGGCTTCTTATACTTGTGACGTTGGGTTGAGTGGAGTTGTCGCCACCCAGGCAGCCTAGATGACGATGTCATCTAGAAAGTTCGAACCCATCACTAATATGGCATTACTAACTGCCACGACCTAAAATATAGGCTAACTGTGCGAATAGGGGAATCAGACTGTTGGAGGCTGATATACTCTGTGTGACAACAGGACCTAAGTACGGCAGGCTATAGGGGTGACTGTTGCAAAACCCCAAAATCCGTCACCCAAGTGTCAAAATAGGTTAGCGGCATGGACATCCCGCCCCGCAGTACATTGTCACGTAGCGGAAGGTGCAAATACAGCGGCGGGGACGCTGCGGACCAGCAGAGCGCATTTCTATCACGCCCCGCAGACATTGCCGTGAATTGGGCAGCATCAACGCTCAATTGTTCACCTCCTCCTCGCCTTCCTCTACTTCTCCTCCTCGTCCGGCTTATTGAGCTGCTGAGCATGGAGTTCGTAGTGGAAATGTATCTGACGACTTAATCCCGCTCACAATCCAGAGCCGAGCAGCCTCGGCAATGGTCTCCAGCGCCATGATCTTTCGTTCCTCGGGGCTCTTCTCAGCTATCTCGCCAAAAGAAGCCATAGCGGGAGCTGGACCTGGAGCTGCAGGGAGAGCCGCACTGCTTCCGCAAGCTCGTAGTTGTTGTGCTGCGCTGTGTGCAGCTGTACGTCAGGCATCATCTGGGTCGGCATTTGCACGCTTGAGCTGCCGATTCAGCTCCCAAAAGACACGAACAGCACCCAAAGCATCAACAGGAACCTAAGGGTTCAGCTTAATTAATGACTCATCACCCTAAGCAAGCAGAGACGCTTACCGGCTTGCATGTGTGGCCGTTCTTTGCGCAGTCCCAACAGGCAGCACCAGTATCTATTCCGTATTGCGTCAGCGTAACAGGTGTTTACTTCTGAAGCAACCCAACATACTGTCCTGGGAGGCACATTCATGGCCGGGGCCTTGGTGGCGCGCGTGACGCAGGGGCGACATGGGAAGTCACGCACCGAGCCGAGGGGAGGGGCCTTCTTCGTCTGCTGCTTCTTCTGCTTAAATTACCTTGTGAGCTGCCGTCTCTCCATCAGAAAAGGACTGGCCAGATCTCACAATTTTTTTTCCTATGGAATTGCGGGCACTGGGTCGGATCAATCCCTTGCGCTTCCTGGACGAACTCGCATTTGTCGCGCCAGCAGCTGCCTTTTCGACCATGGAGAGGGAATCGGCTGTGGACATGACGACGCTGACAACCAGTAGCTTACCGACAGCAATTAAGATGCATGAGGAAGTAAGGAGCCAAATTTGAAACGAGCCCTCGCTCTGTAAATATTTGCGGTACTGCCAAAGGATGAAGACGACTCTAAATTCATCAGCGCATCGCCGTACCTTCGCGAATGAGGGCTCGGTGACGTTCCACCAACAGCCCCTGACGCTAGGCCGCTGCTGGCCAGCGTCAGCATAGCAGCGGGGCTTTGCGGTGAGCCGTCTGGGGACAAAGACGCGGCTCTGCCTTCTCATGGCATCAACACCAAGAAGCATGTCTATGCCTTCGACAACTGCTTGTTGAGTCGCTAATTCGTACGTGCCGCTGGAGAGATGGAAGCGATCAAATGTCATGAACTGTAGGATCGGGTGTATAGGGACTATTGAGTTGGCCGTAGAAGTCTTCCAATGGTCTTGGACTATTGTTTCCCTATGTAAGCCCATATAAATAAGAAGAGCAAGCCAGAGAAAGACCTCCCCAAGAGAGGTCTCTGTCCAAAGACTCTCTCGCGAACGTCGCTGCTTTGGGCCCTCTGGACCGGGCTGGGGACCGCAATTCCTGTATTCGACCCATTGTTTAACTAGGAATATAGATATATATAGCTGGAAAAGTAACAACGGCGTCGGTGGCAGCTATCGGACTTGAGGCTTGCGCTCGGGCACAGAAAAGGGGGTAAATTCGTGGCCCCTTTTAGGCTCAGGGTCGAATTGGGGGCGGACTGTGCTGTCAATAGGCTGCTCACGCTGACAGTGGTCAAGCCGCACAAAGAGGGTCTGTTGAAAGTTATTTGTAGGTAGAATAGTCTCTTGCGACGCTTGTAGATCTTGTTGCGAAGCCATAGAGCTCAATTTGAATGCATTGCTAAGAAAATTGACTGTTGAAGGTTTTGCTGATGCTGCTAGCCCCTGAATTTGTATCTGACATGTAGCTACGTACTGTGGGGCCTGTGACCCCTTTGCTCCTCCTCCACACTCAAAGGGATCTGCTTGCCCACACCAGCGACTGCCGGACGGGACAAGCTCGTAACACACCTTGAAGCCTTCTCCACAGCACACTCAAGCTCTTTTGCAAAGTCGTCCATTTGTTTCTGCCAAATTATGCGCTTCCTTTTCCGACTCCGGACATTAGGAATCATTGAGCTGAAAGGCTGGCGACCGCGGAACTCCGCACGCTCGAAATCCACAAGCATGAGCCTACCGCTATTAGTATTATACAGAATGTTGCGTGGTTCAGCGTCACGGTGAAGAACGCGGAATTCGTGCACTGCCTTGAGCATTGTGATGATGGCGTCGTCGATGCCCGGTTTGACGGCCTGGTCCACGCAGTCAAAAAGGGGTTGTCCAGCCCAACTAAGGAACATGAAGTGCACGTAAACACCGCTGTCATAATAGTATGGCCGGACCAAGTCTATTCTGCCAAGACATACGGGTACGTGTTTCCCCTGAATGGGCCGGAGTCGGTCGTACACCTCGTTTTCGTGTTGCAGGCAGCCATGGTCGAGACTCTCCACACCCTTGGCGACAAGTGTATAACCGTAGGATGACAGCCGCACCTTAAAGAGTGATCCGCGCGCTCCAGACCGATGGAGCGGCGCACAGTCCGCATCATAGCCGCGGTCTATGGCAAGCTGACCTCGGATGAGTCGGAGAAACTCGACTCGTTTGATGTGTCCTTGCCCATGATGGTTTGCGTTAGGGCAGCTCTCATCCGTAGGTCCGCCATACGCTAATCCGAGGAGACAGTGTTGAGTGCAGAACGGCCGGTTCTGTATATCTGGCTTCGTCGTTTGGCCCTGCTCCCGCCGCTCGCCTTCGCGCCGTCCTCGATTCCCACCACCCCGCGAGCCAGGTCCTACCTGTGGCGCCGCTTTCTTGGCAGTGCGAGCTGAATTAGGAGTCGGAGAAGGAGGGTCTTCGTCGTCGTCCTCTAGACGTCTAACTTCAACGTCTACTCGCTGGCAGCGAGAGCGGGTCTGGATTGGCGATCGCTTGAAACCCTTCCAACGCTGGGGCTTATAGGGAGAGACGCGGGGTTCTTTGCGTCTACGCTCCGTCGCGGGGATTTTCCTCAGAACATCGTCGTACTCGACAGCCCAGGTATCAAGCCTCTCAGCTTCATCATGCCATGACTCGGGCGGTGGCCTCGCGCGGAGAGCCTGGAGAATGAAGGCAAAAACTTGCGCGACGGCCGTGCGATGGAGCCTCGTCTCATCATCATCCATAACGTCTAGATTCGGTACGCATATCGAAAAGTAGACATTAGAAGGTTCGTCCGGGATATGGAGGAAGACGAAGGCCTGCCCCGTGCACACGTAGCCGTACTGGATGCCCTTGCCGATCATGTAGGAGAAGAGTTGGGTGACAACGGCGGCGGCGAGTGCTTTGGCCGTGAAAGCAAAGCCCTGGCCGTCCTGGTTAATCACGTCACGTTCCGGCCGAATTTCCGACTCGAGGCCCGTGACGACCTCGTCGACGCTTAGTTTGTGTGGCGCTTTGTATTCGATAGCGAGAGCGGGGATATTCTGGCCGTCCGAAGTCCTGTATATACAGAACTGGTCCGCCCGGTTGCCCTTACCCCTAGCCCTACGACGGACCTTAGGAGCCGCGGGCTGTAGGGCAGAGGCCGACGCCACGGCACCAGAGCCGCCACTGCCAAGACTCATATGTTCCAGAGGCTCAGGGATAAGGTCGTCGTCAGCGGTGCCGAGATTCGTATGGCTTTCGAACGTTATAGTTCCCTGCAGACCGAGTTTGCGCCGCAGCAGCGGATCCATATATGCGCTATTAACCAGCTTCTGCACCGCGTTCTCGACGACCTCACGCTCAAAGTCCCGCAGCCCAAGCTCACTACTAATTGGCTTGAGCAACGACTTTACGTATTCCAACTGATGGTGCGATGGAAAGGTGGGCACGGAGAGCAAGTCGCCGACAGACAGGTCGTCCCATATCTCCTCTTGCCTCGTTGCAAAGTTAGTCCAGGGGATAATTCGTCGAGGGAAAATTCGGCCGGTCGGGTTTGTAGTGTCGCCTTGTGTAGTCAAAGATCGGTCAGTTACTACCTGAATTGCCAGGTTCAGCGAGTGACAGGCTTCAAGATAGTTCTGAAGGATCTGCGGCTGTGACGCCTCAGAAAGTTCTTCGGCTACTTCGCGTCGGCGTTGCTCGACTTCGCGTCGGCGTTGCTCCTCTTGGGCACGACTCTCCGCCTCTCGGAGCCTTTGTCGCAGCTCTTCGATCTCGTCCATCGTGATTGTTACGTAGGCAAACAGTCCGTTCGCTCAGGCAATAAGAAAGCTTGAGTCCGAAAAACAACGTCTCTGTCAAGCTGAACGGTCCAGTGCTAGCTCTTGAGTCACTCACTGGGTTAGAAGTACATACGGTGGGCGAACAAAAAGATGAAAATGTTGTAGTATCGGACCAGGACCTTAAATTTCCGGTAATAGTCGAGAGTGTGAGAATGTATCGCCCGGACGCGTCGTCAAACCAATGAATGAAGTCGCATTTGGAAGGCGTCAAGTTACGTCGAGACCGGCTAGCAGTCAGTCTCGGATCAACGTTAGAGCGCCCGGGCCCCCGCCGCCACGGAGCGGAGGCTCATTAATCCGAATTACGCCCGGCGGGTCGCTAGCGTAGCGCTCGTCAGGCGGACCGGGGACAACTATTTGGGCGGGTTCGATTTCGACATGGCGCTCTTCGATCTTGTACTGTTCGTCGGTAAGGTTGATGTTGAGAAGGTGGATCGCCAGAGGATGTTCCTTGAGTGTGAAAGCAAGAAGAGAACGATAAGGGATTTACCGGTGATCTGCCGGATCCCGTGACCCGCCGGACTTACACGCCACCACGAGCTCGACATCAATCCACAATAGCTCAACAACCATGACGCCGATTGACGAAACCTTGGACTCCCTGAAATCACCGGGCTCGTTTTAGTTTTAGAGCTTGTTAAAATTTTATATGGAGAGATACTGCGCTACAATGCCGACATCAAAGCAAGCAGCGGTCAAAATGGGATGCCGACAGATTGTATAAGTTATCTCTGTCAAAACAACAAAAACAGAATCTTATTGACCTTCTTCGTAATCTTCAACAACGTAGGATTTCATCTACTCTATCTATAGTAAAGAATTTTGCTCTGGATACTGTGAAAATGGAGGTCGGAAGGACTCGCCGTATAACTTCGCTCCGCGCAACCGTGATGAGCCAGATTGCACATGGTTCGACGGCATGGACACTCGCCCGTATATGATCCAATGATGCATACAAGTGTAAGGCTTATTTCTAGCTCGAAGCTCAATGCGTGAAGTTCCCCCTTCACACCTGACAATGGGAGATCCGCACGAAAATCGAGAAATTCGACCCCCTACCCTAAAACACGTATAACATAGATGAAAAGGGATTTCTCTTCGATATGATCATTCGAACAAAGAGAGAATTTCCTCTCAGTATCAAAAAGCAAGGCAAATTGCTCGGGGCATAGCAAAATGGCAATCAATCCTCGATTACGTTCCAGGCGTGCGTCAGCCAAGAGATGACATCGCTGCCCCCATTCCTCATCCACCAAGGCAAGCTAGGACAAATCCTGGACTTTTGGTTCGCAAAATACTGACCCAGATCATCAATAAGTACTTTTACCACGCCAGGAATGAGGTGGACGAATCACAATCTTGGAAAAGAGCAGCTCATCGGTACGTCCGACCTGTTTACCAAGGCGAAAGCTCGAAACGGTCGTACTTATCGCCTTCTAACTATCAATAACCACTTAACCGTGAGGACCCCGTGTGGAAGCGGGTGGCCGCCGCGGCCGAGTTCCTTCCCGCGCTAGAGCCGACGGGAGAGGGCAACGGAAGTGGCGCCGACCGCGACGCCGGCCGGGGGGGCGGGGCCGAAGGGGTGTCGACGGTGGCGGACCCCATAGGGAGGAACAAGACGAGAACGTTCCTGCTCAAGGCGGCGAACCGAGTGTTTACGGAGCGGCCGCTGTCGCAGGTCGAGGTGATCGCGCACCTCCTAGGGTACCCGGCGGAGTTCAGCAGCGGCTCGGCGTGGGCGTACGTAAACGTGAACCAGCTCTACTGGGCCGTCTTCCGCCGGTGGCGGCACCTCCGACGGGCGAGCGGCGCGGAGGCGACGGGCGACGCGCCGGACGAGACGGTCGTCGTCGAGGAGGCCGGCCCGAGGATCCCCCTCGTCGAGGCCTACCGGCACAGGGGCGAGCTCCTGCGGGGCCTCTGCCTTTATGACTACGCATCGCTCGTAAGGCTAAAGCGAAACGGCAGCGGCGCCGACGGTGGGACGGGCTGGGGCGAGGTACCCTTCGCGGAGAGCTGGGCGTCGGGGAAGGGCTGGGTGCAGGCGCTTAGGCGGCCGGGCAGCGGGGCGACCGTATGCCTCGACGGATACCTCAGCAAGGAGTTTAGCGAGGAAGACGACGAGTCGTGCCACCGAAGGTGCGCACTACAAGACGGGGAGCGCCCAAGGGGAAGGCAGCGCAGCTAGGGGCATCGGCTAACAGCGCCTAGGGCGGCGGTGCAGCACCTGGCCCTGTTCGTGCCGTGGGAATCCTTCCTCGGCGAGGAGGCAGGCGACATTAACGACATCTGGGCGCGGGCGCGGGGGTCGCTGGCGCCGAGGGTCGCGCGGCTCGCAGACAACGTGCAGCTCCTCCGGCGGTCGGCGGAGGACGCGAAGCGCGACGCCAAACAGTGGGCCGCCACGTCGGAGGAAGGCGAGACGGCGGCTGCGCAGGCCGAGGGCGGCGAAGGGGCGTACCGTGCCGGCGGCGCGGGCGACGCGGCGCGGCTCATCGACGTCGTACGGAACGCCGCCAGTGCAGGACAGGTAACGGCACAGTCGACGGAGCTGCTCGCGATGACGCAGCAGCTCTGCCGGTTCCAGCAGTCGGCGCTCGGGTCGGCGGTCGAGCTCGCGGCGACGGTAGTGGCGGACGAAAGGGCAGGCAGGAGGGTGAACCTGCTAGGCTCGGCGCTATCGGGGGCGGCACTGTCGCGGTAGGAGGAGGTGCGGGGCATCAAGTCGCAGTAGAGGAGCGCGGCGCGGGAGCGGGAGTGAGCTATCTAGGGCATCCAGGGCGGCGGGGCGACGGCGGGCATGGGGGCCGACCGCGGCGCGGCCCTTCGCGGGGTGATGGGGGGCTTCGGCGAGGACGACATGGACGTAATGGCGGCCGACGGTGACGTAGACGCAGGCACGGCGGCGGGGATGCACGTGCGGCTCGGCCCGTCGAGCTCGTTCGTCGCCGCCGGCAGGGAGCTAGCGGGGCAGCTAACGCTTAACGAGAAGCAGTCGGTCGCCCTCCTAATCGTATGCCGGCAGCTCGACCGGATGCGGCTGGGCGACGGGGCAGGCGGCGATGGCGGCGGCCAGCTCTGCCTATTCATCGGCGGCGAGGGCGGCACCGGCAAGTCGCGCGTCATCGAGGCGCTCGTCGAGCTGCTCGCCCGGAGGGACCTATCGAGCCGGCTGCTGGTGACGGCGACGTCGGGCACGGCGGCAGCACGGATCAACGGCATCACACTACACTCGGCCTGCGGCCTGCGGCCTTACGGTCGGCCAGGGCGGCCGGGCAGGAGGGGCGACGAGGGACGTAGACGGCGTACGGCTGCCGGGCCAGGGCGAGCGCTTCGTCGACGGCCGGTCGCGGATGGACTGGCAGGAGAAGGAGGTGCTGGTGATCGACGAGGTCAGCATGCTCGGGGCGCGGACGCTGCACGCCGCCAACGAGCAGCTGTGCAGGCTGCGGGGGTCGGCGCGAGACTTCGGCGGCATCCCGGTGGTGATCTTCTGCGGCGACTTCCACCAGTTCCGGCCGGTGCAGGAGCGGCCGATCCTGCTGCCGAGCGCGGCGGTGGCGTGGGACGAGGACGGGGCGTTCGCGGCCGAGCAGCGACGGCAGCACGACAAGGCGCACGCGCTGTGGCGGCGGTTCACGACGGTCGTCATGCTAGACGAGCAGATGCGGGCCGCCGGCGACCCGGAGCTTCGGCGGCTGCTCGGGCGGATCCGGCGGGCGAGCAGGACCGGTCGGACCTGGAGCTGCTCAACTCGAGGTGCTACCGGCCGGGCAGGCGGATCCCGTGGGAGACGGGCCTGACGGTGGTGACGCCGCTCAACCGGAACCGCTGGAACCTTAACCTAGAGGCGGCGCTCGCGTTCCGGGCGCAGCGACGGACGGCGGCGCGCGTCTTCCTGTCCGAGCACAGGTGGAAGGAGGGCGTGCCGACGGAGGAGGAGGCGGCGCTAATGCTAGGCTACGGCGACGACAGCGCGACGCCGGTGCCGGCCGTCTTCGTCTTCGTGCCAGGCATGCCGGTCGTCGTGAACCAGAACACGCACCAGGGGCTGAAGCTGGTGAACGGGGCCGGGTATACGGCGGTGGAAGTCATCCCCGACCGGGCCTTCCCCGGCCACCGGGTGTCGGCGGAGCTAACGATACACTTCCGGCCGCCGGCGGGCATCGTGCTGGCCTCAGAGACGACCATGGACTTCCACTTCGTCGGGATGCCTGCCGGGACGATCCTGCTGACGCCCATCAGCGTCAAGATCGACGCGCAGCGGAAGCGGCCGTGGCAGCGAAGCGACGTCAGTCGCAGGCCTGCCGTGCGCGGCGGCCTTCGCCTGCACCGACTACAAGGTGCAGGGCGGGACGCTGGAGCGCGTGGCGCTGGAGCTGCGGGGGGCGAGGACGACGACGGTCGAGGGGCGGGCGGTGCCGTCGCCGTGAGACCCGTACAGCCTATACGTGCAGCTGTCGCGGTGCCCGACGCTCGACGGCATCATGCTCGTGTCGGAGGTGCGGGAGCGGGACCTGGTGGGGAACCGGGTCCCCGGGGAGATGACGGCGGCCCAGGCCCGGCTGGAGGAGCTGGGCGGGCGGACGGCGCGGGAGGCGGCTGGCTGGCTCCGCGGGTAACGCCCGCGCCGCCCGCGCGCCGCCCGCGCGCCGCCCGCAGCGTAGGAAGGCTCGCCTAAAGAACTGTCGAATGGGCTATAAGGATGACTGGCCATTGCCGCGGCGTTACGTCTTAATATTGGTGGTTAGGCGCGTACAGTTGCATAGGCACCATATATATATATATTTAGTCATGGAAGGTAGCTTGCGCAAGCAGCTATTGCAGCGACGCCACCGGCTTAACGATAGATGGGGCCACCAGGCCAGCGTAGGCGGTCCGCGCTTGCATCCATATTATCCATATAAGGAGGGCCCTTTAAGTGACAACCAAACGGACGGGAAAGGGAAATGGGAAGAAGGGCAGCATGGGGGAGAGGGCAAAGAGGGCCAAAAAGAATGAGGAGGGGAGGCGACCAATAGAGGCACGTACTATTAATGATTAATCAACGAATTAAAAGCGGGAACACCGACGAATCAGGCACACCAGCGAATGAAAATGAAAAGCGAGAAAAATGCTAGCCAATCAGAAGGCGGGAAAAGCCGGGGGCGAAACTCGAGGAGAAACGGGTAAGGCAACCCCGCACGGGTTGCGCAACGGGTGGAAGGCTCGCCAGCCGCGGCTCGCGCAAAGACGCCTTTCGGAACGAAATTGGCGACAGGAGAAAGTTGGCGACAGGAGAGAGTTGGCGATAGGAGATAGGAGACAGGAGAAGTGAAAGGGAGACAGGAGAAGTGAAAGGAAGACAGGAAGAAGAGTAGGGCTGATATTTGAAGATTTTGAAGTCGAATCGGCCTCGGGACCCTTGAATTGAATGAAGCCGAATCGGGTAAGGTCTTCAAATTCGACGAATCAAAAATCAGGAGTCTTCATTCAATTCATTCATAAAAATTGTGAATGAATGGCGATATGGTCGAAACGTAAGGCGAAAAAAAATTATCACCCCGCTTCGCGGCCAAGGGACATACAGGAGGAAAGGGTCAATACCGAAGCCACCCACCAAGGGCCTCTTCCTGTTCTTCCTCGGCAGGCTCACATACACATCAATAAACAAGCTGCTTTGACCCCATCATTAGGGTTTGCCCGCGCGGACACGGTAACTTCGAGTTCGGCCGCGCTTGTGATGACGCTCTGCGTATTTAAAAGTCTGTTGTGCGTGTTTCAGTTGGATTCCACCGTCCACACTCCACTGGCAAAATCCTAGTCCCGCGCCGCCCGCGTCTGGCGGGGCGTCGCTGGGAAATCGAGGCGAAGGACGGCAGTTAGGGCGTCCATATATTGTGGTATAACGACCTAACAGTGCCTGATACGCCACCGTTTCAGCAATCTTGCCACCCTATACGGAGTATTAAAAAACACCATGAAGCTCATGAACAGTGCCATTTTATAATGCACATGATTTAAATGTAGTGCCGCTCGAATGTTCTGGATTTTCTCGTTCGGATGATATAACCCTCGATAGTTACATGTCGTTAACATTTGCTCAAGAAATGCCACATCATCTTGAAGGCAATCAATGGATAGCCCATTTTTTGGTTGGAATACTACATTTCAAGCACATATTAAGCTCGGCAACCCATATTCTGGATATATAATATAATAATTATACCGCTGTACAGCCCCAGCAAGCTGATTCGAAAACGCGTTCAGATCCTCAACATCTCAATACTGCGCGAACAATTGGAAGTGACACGAATCGAGTCAGCTCGCGATTTGGAGGCTGTTAGGGACTTATCTACTCCTCGAGCCCAATATGACTGCTACTTGTTTGTCCATACAAATTAGCCGATCAGGAAGTACCCGAAAAATCTGCATGATAAGGATATATTGTGCCAACTAGCCGCGTTCAGACGCGTTATTTCCGCTCAGTTGACCACCTGTTAATTCTACTGCTGTCGGAAAGACAGGGTCGTCAGCCCATCCACCTTTGCCTGCGTGGCGCAACGGTCTTCGCGACAACTGCCACGACATTATTTTACCACGACCTCGCCTAATTCCTGCTTCGATATTCCGACAGCGGCTTCGGATCAGCCCCCGAATCAACGCCCTGACCGACGACCTATCCTACCCGTTCAACCCCGACTCCTTGACACTTTATTGTGGTTTATTTGGTGTCGTTCCGACTACCTGTGTCGCGTCCATTCTCGAGCCTTTCAGCCAAGATCAGGTAAAACTTCATTACTCTCAATCTACCCTCCTTATTTAATTACCTTACGAGTGGATAGCTAATTATAACATGATACGTAGTATGGCCCTGCTGAAACAAAAACATCTGCCGCAGCGAATTTCTTTGCTCCAAGGACCCGGCGTAAATTGCCAACGCAGAATTATGCCCGCATCGAACGTCCTCAATTCAACCTCGAATCCCGCGCGCGCGCGCTGATTCTAGCGCAACTCCGGCTCCTTCCTCTCCTCTTCCAACTGGCGAAGATACAATTGTCTGCGCGCCCCCGGGTCATCCTGACTGTGAGTCAGATGATGACATGCCCGACGCGGATACACCAGAGCCGCCATTGAACAGTAGTCATATGACGCTCGCAGAGAAAGCCGGACTTATCAAGAAGTGGGCCGACAACAAACAAAAGCATGTTCGCAAGAAGAGAGACAAGAACAGCCACGTCTATTGGTATATGCAGAGGAAGCTATAGACAGAAGCTTTTACTCAGAGGATAAGGATGGGCCGAAGATCTTCCAAGAGTTCCGGTGGACTTGTATAGAGTGCCTTCAAAATCCCAATACTCTTCGGAAGAGATTCCAGGTCCTCGAATCGAACCGCCGAGGGGTTACCTCTGGCATGGGAGACCATTTAAAAATCCACGGTATTACGAAGGAATCTCACCACGCTCGAATTAATGGATACGGCCGCGCCATTGGTGGAGGAGATTATACAGAGGCAGACGCATGGAGCGGTCGACCTAGGCAGAGAGCAAGACTCACGGCAAAGGAGTCTATCCGCCGGTGGTTTGTAAACACCGACAACCCTTCTCTGTTGTCGAGACTCCTGCTTTTCAAGAGATGTTCTTGGCTCACAACACAACATGTGTGTACAGGAGTCGTATAACGTTACGCAATCATATATATACAGACTTTGTCGAACGCAGGAGAAGCTGAAGATTGAGCTTGAGTACAATTGTGCCACCATCTCGTTCACCCTTGATATCTGGACAGCACCGAATCGGGTGCCCATTTTCGCCATTATTGCGCACTGGATTACACCGGAGTTTGAGGAGAGAGGAAGTTATTGAGTTTATTGAGCTCAAAAGATCTCACACTGGCAAACAATTAGCTGAGATAGTTGAGAGGACGCTTGAGGAGCTCAGGCTCAAGCCTAAGCTTCTCGCCATTACGGGAGACAACGCCGGCAATAACGGCACGCTCTGTCAGTCTTTGTACGATTCTCTCAAGACCAAATTCGACGACAAGGTGAGCCCAATAGGAGCCCCGCATGCGCTTTCACGGCAGGAAGAGTTGGATCCGCTGTCTAGCTCATATTACCTCGCTCATTTGTGAGGGCGTCTTGCAAGATCTCAAAGCAGGCACAGCGAAGGAAGCCAAGAAGATGTTTGACAAGTGGGACGAAGAGAATAAAAGCAACAACTACACCATTCCGGGAGACTCTAGTCGAAGTGGGATTGCCAAAATCCGCCTCCTCAATCTCTGGATGTTGAGATCCGGGTCTAGGGAGCAAGACTTCAAAAGCATGCCGCGCACGCACTACCGGAAGCCAACCTACGATGTCGACACTCGCTGGAATTCGGCCTACGACATGATTGACCAATTCCTCGAGCTTGAGGCAGAGTATACTGAGTTCGTTGATACTCACCCGCAAGTCAAGTGCCTCCTGCCCTTATCAGAAGAGATTGTCGCTCTCTATCAACTGTGGAAGGTTCTGAAGCCGTTTAAAGACCACACTCTGAAAGTCTCCGAAGTTATGCCGCCGATCTCACAAAGTCTCGATATCTATTGGGATTTGGAAGCTCTCCTGATGATGTAGTCGAAGGAGTTGGCGACTTTACAGACCTTGATATGTCCATTCGAGACGCCTTCTCGAAGGGCAAAGCAAAACACGTTACTTATATGAAGAAGCTTGACGATCAAATGATGCTATTCGCAGCTCACATCCTGGATCCGCGTTATAAAACTCACCAATTGGAAATGATGATACCGGATCAATACTCTGAGATTATGGCTAAAGTCAAGAAGTATTTCAAAACGGAGTGGCCGGAGCTAGCAGCATTGAATGCCACAAACTCAACTATGAGCCAATCCAGGCCAGCTGAGCGTCTCAAGGAGTCTCCATTGCGCAATGGAGAGCCATCCAAATGAAGAAGGCGAGGGAGGCGGAGACGGGCGCGGCGATCCCTATTTCGGAGCTTGAACGGTGGCTTGCAGCTCCTCGAATAGAGTTCGACGAGTCTATTGCAAAGTCTCCAGACTTCCTACTGAAGTGGTGGAAAGAACACAAGGTCGAGTGGCCACTTTTGGCTGCGGCGGCGCGTGATCTTCTCTCTGTCTCTGGCTCTGAAGTTGACGTGGAACGCCTCTTCAGCGGTTGTAGAGACGAATTCGGTATCCGCCGTCACGCCTTGAAGGCAGATACGGTGCGAGTACTAACACTTTTACGGAGTGCTTATACTCAGGAAGATAAGATCGATCAGGCGTTGATCAAGGCGGCCATGGAGTATGACATCCTGCCCTTTGCCAATAGTATTATTTGGAGACCAGACCACATTCCGGGCAAGCTGGAAGATGGTATGTATGGATATACCCTCATTATATATGTAGGTATATGCTAATCTGTGTTCAGGCGAGAATCCTCCTCAACCTCTTCCTCCCACCGAGGCTCCCACTGAACCCCTACCCCAAACCTCCTGCATCCCAAGCCGATAAGTCTGCGATATCAACCCCCTGTCTAGATACAATGGAGGCTTCGGAGGATTGGGGCTCTAAGAGTGTAGCCGTGTACAGTGGCGGATTCGAACGCGTTGTACCGACGTATTTTGAGGATTCGGCAGAGCTTTGAAAGTGCTTATTTTCAGTCGATTTGCCTAGGACAGGCGGATCAGTATTTATGTAAGTTAATTTTTGTAGTATTCGGGATTATCGACTTCTTAGAAGGCTATAACTTAAAACTATATACTACTTATTGGCGTTTTTGAGGCATCTTTGCAATCGCTCAGGTACACACCAAATTCACTTCGTTTAGGGGGATCCCTTCAAACCATTCATGAATGGCCTGAATTGGCCCAAACCCAACTTGAATCGCGAAAATTGGAGCTTGAAGATTTTGAATCAAGATCCAAAAAATTCAATTCATTTGATTCATCCTTCATTCAAAATCTTCAAAATCTTCACCTTCGTCTATCACCCCTAGTTGGCCATTGTAGTATCAGTAGATCAATGCGGCGAACTGATCACCATTAAGTTGGGCGTGTGATCGTGTTTAAGTACTCGCGCCTTGCTGCTTCAGACTGAGCGAGCCGATGGTCATAAACCAGCCGACAATCGCGTTTAGCGGCCATGAAACCAATGTTTACCTGGCAAAATACTGTAAATACACGATGTTGATAACATTACAAGCTAAGTATTGCGACGAGCCATTGTTGATTTTGAGACGCTCTTTCCATGCGCCGTCTATCACGATGGCCAACCTAGGCGATTTAGCAAGCTGTAGACAAGTATGTCTGAACTGAGATTAGCAAGGTGCTGGCAGAGGACCATCAGCCGAGAATGGCCCGGAATGGACTTCAAAATTTTCGTTGCGTTAGTATCAATTTCCGAACGCTGTGAATTTCCAGAACTGTACTGTACATATCTATTGCACGGGTAAGCCTCGAAGCGAGCCATTGTTGACGTTTGGCCCTGTCCTGCGACATGCTTTGTTATGGAACAACGCAAGCTTGGCCATGATGTAGGGTGGACGGCCAGTTGTCTGACCACCTGGCAGTGCCATAAGCTACTCAGTCGGTCTGGGGATTGAACATTGGATAGCTGAGATGCAAGCTATACTTACATTGGAACGCATCTTTGGCCCTCTTTTGCTGGGAATAGTGCCGACCTCTCTTCACCCGTACAGGCCAAATCACCGGCTTGCTGAATCACTAGATCACGATTTATGCCCCATGGTTCAAGCGAAACTATATATTATCGTCATCCCCGATACTTGGACTGTCCTCGATACGACCATGTCCAGCTGGGCATCTGCGACGGGATTGCGGCCGATGCGTAATTGCCTCAAAAAGATGGGATATCACGATTGATGGGCAGGAACGGTACGACGATGCTCTGAGGTGAAAACTACTTACACCTCAACTTTCCGCGACCGTACGGTCAAGCTTCTAAGAGTCGAGTGATACTTCCAGAACTGAAGCCTTGGTGTGGGTACGGGGTACCATGACGCCCAGCAGGTTAGTGGAGGTACACGGTTTCAGGGAAGCCCCGCGACGCGCACGTGACCAGTCGCGTCGTTTTATTCCAGTTAATTTGGTTACCTCTCCCTCGGTTTCTCGTTTTTCCTCCACCAACAATCAATCAGCCCATGCTCACTGTCCAAACCCAGAATGACCCTTTCAAAGCAACAGATCAGCATCATCTTAAAGAATCCGCTCAATGATACGTTAGATCGCTCCCGGGTCAAGCTACGCGGTTGCGACGAAACTGACCAAGCATGGCGGGATGAGATCGCTAATCTTCTATCAGCTTTGGTGGGTTCCACGGCGGCGTTTAACCTCCCTGTTCCAGATGGAAGCGGCGATGTGGCGGTGAAGCTCTTCTCCATACAACGACTCGTTCGAGGAGGTAGTGTGAAGCTCGACCAATTCCGCTCCCTCGTTTGCTTTGTCGTCGACAATGCTCCTGATGTCGACATTTGGGATGCCGTCTTCAGTCTCATCGACACCCTTAGCACCCTTACTCCCCCTCCGTCCAGCATCGCCCCAACCTACAAGGGAACACCCGTCAAGACCAGCTCGAGTCGACTTGCCGATAGCGAAACGCGCGACATTGTCGAAGGGGAGCTCTTCTTCGAGATAAAAGACTGCACCTTTCGCAATGTGGGGGGATTCTGCGACAAGTTCTTCGACTCCAAGAGCTGGCGCAAAGAACAGAAAGAGATGCTGAAGAGGATGATGGTGGCGCACGACGGAAAGAAATGGACGAACTTCCGTCCACTCCCGATGAAAAACAGGTCTGGACATGGCTCTGTGCGCTTGAAGAACGCTTCTTGACTGATGCACCCCACACGTTATACACCACCCGAACCGCCAACCAATTCAAGGAACGGAAAGGCCAGATGGATCTCTTCTTTCAGACAACAGACAGGGAAACCAACAGCACCTTTACCTACAAGGATGTCCTTGTCGTTGGAGAACAAAAGAAGTCATACGATACAAGCAGGTTCAAAGCGGATATCCTCCAACTTGCGCGGTATGTACGAGGTGTCTTCGCCGACCAGCCGACACGCCGATTTGTCCACGCTTTCTCCCTCTGCTCTTCCAAGATGGAGCTCTGGGTCTTCGATCGGTCCGGGCTGTATAGCTCAGGCTCATTTGATATTCACGACGAGCCGGACAAGTTTGCGCAGGCTCTTGTTGGATATGCTACGATGAGTGACGATGCTATGGGCCTGGACGCGTTCATCGACCGAGAAGAGGGCCATCGCTATGCCATCCTGGAGGACGCAAGCGGCAACGAAACAAGAATCAGGCTGGAGGAGCTGATAGTCAGGCAGCGTGCGATCGTGTGTCGCGGGACTACTTGCTACCGGACCCGAAACGGCCATGTTGCTAAGTTCTCCTGGGCATCGGATAAGCGGAAACCAGAGGTGGACCATCTCAAGCTGGCAGGAGTGAAGGGCGTCAAGGGGGTGGCGAGAGTGGTGGCGCACCGTCAAATCACCACCATTGCAGACATGCGGAAGGGACTGGAGTTTCCAAAATCTCACCGGTTTCGGGATGATGATGTCCACTTCAGAGATCTACCATCGGCCGTAGGAAGCACGAGCACAGCAAGTCGCAAGCGCAAATCGTCCTCTGACAACACGTCTGACAACACGTCTGGATCCAAGAGGCCGCCGTCCAAAAGCCAAAAACCGAAGCTGGCTAAGGAGTTTAAGGAGCAGCTGTCGATCGGCAAGTCCAAACCAAGCTTGTATACTTCCACGAGCGAGGATCCATTTGAGAACAGGATCTATTCTTGTCTCGTCGTCTCACCGGCCGGCCGTGTCATCAGCGACTTCAAGTCGATCAGGGAACTGCTGGAGTCGCTCCGAGACGCCATCAGGGCACACCAGTCTCTCTACATCGATGGCAACATCCTGCACCGAGATATCTCCTCGAACAACATTATCATTACGGGTTCGAAGACAGCTGACGGCTTCAAGGGCATGTTAATCGACCTCGATCTAGCTAAAGTCAGAGACAGCGGGCCGAGCGGAGCACGGCACCAGACCGGCACGATGCAGTTCATGGCGATCGAGGTGTTGCGGAAGGTTGACCATACCTACCGTCACGACCTTGAGTCCTTCTTCTACGTTCTCCTCTGGATATGTGCGCGCGACTCATGGATGAACAGGTTCGGCGGCGAAGAGGAGCCGCCGAGGAAAAGTCTTCTTCGTAAATGGGAGATTGGGAGCTTCAGTGACATTGCCGATGCCAAAGAGGGCCACATGACTGTGAATAGTCTCGAAAGGATTATGGGCGAGTTTCCAGAGCGGCTTGATATTGTGAAGCCTCTCTGTCTGAGGATCAGGTCGATAATGTTTGGAGACACAGCGAGGCTTAACTTTGGAACCCCTATAGGAGATTCAGACCAACTTTACAAGCCCCTCGTAGCTGCCTACGATGATGCTATCAGCGAGCTCTAGAGAATAGCAGGTTGGTCTCTGGCGATGAGATGGGGAACTGGCGGATGGCATGAGAAATGCATTTTGGCTTGCTTTTTCCCCCCAAATAATCAGGACGAAGAAGTGGAACTGGATTTCACTCTCCTCATCGCAAGCCAGTTAATATCACCATGAGGTTCTGTCAGTATTCTCCTCGAGGGTCTTGACGACACACCAGGCAACGCGAGCAGAAGGTCCATGACGGAGTCTCCGAGAGGGTGGATACGGGGTTCCAGCGCCTAAGCGAAGATGGTCATCCTGCCCGGCACCGGCAGCGGGTGACCCGCCTTTGAGCTTTTGCGAGATAGCAGTGGGTGCCACCCTGGATCGCAGACCAGCACGGTTCCACTGCATTATTGTAGCTGTCAAGAGCGCAGAAGGTCCACCGAAAACATCGCGCCGCCTCCAATCCCGCCACCACGACTACAAGCAACCGGCGATGCTGTCGCTGTCCCCGCCTCGGCCTATCCTCGTTTTCTTGTACGAACGGAGACACCAGCGGAGAGAGGAGGGCACTGCTACTAACATCCAAGCCGTAAAACTAGGCGAAGGCTGGAATAGAGGGCGCCAGCTTCTCTATCACCGGGAAATAGTTCGAGTCCGTGGACCCAACACGGACGTCATAATCTTCGTTCAGCGACACGCCCAAACCTTAAGCCTTACTGCAACATCGACACGTCATGAGTCGAAGACCAGAACAGAGGCGTCTGCGACACGTCGTATTTAATCAGCGACCCTGTACGCCAAGAGCGAATTCGGTTTCCACCATTGGAAGCGTGACTGTTTGAGAACGGATCCGCGGTACTTTGCAATACTCAGAAGGTACATGAGGATACGCAAGTGGAGCATCCACACCAGCAATGTTCATTCAAGTACCTTAAAGTAGCGGGGACCTAGCACATCACAGGTCAGACGGGAGTGCAGATCGCCCCGATGTAATAACTTCAAGGCCGCGTCTGGCGCTGATCACCATCCATCCCTATTGTAGCCCCTCGGTGCGCCAAGCTCTGTCGCACATTATATTAAGCTACATCTCATGCGCGTATCTCCATCGCCCGTCGCGTTGGCAGCAATTCAAAGCCTGCCACACAGCGGTTTCCCCTGGAGTTTGGCAGGCACGTTGCTGCAGATGCGGGAGAACAAACTCGTGAATATGGCGGATACTCGTGACACAAAGAATGAACCAGTAAAAAGCCAGCATTTCGATCACGTAACATAGGGCGAGAACCGAGCTGTCTGACTCACTGAAGGGTTAGACAGTCTCCGCCATGGTGAGGCCTCGGATCGGAAGGATAATAAGTTATGCCGGCTCAAATCGCCCAGTGATTGGTTTACACAACCCAGGGCATTGGTGGGAGCTGAACATTGAATACGCTGGGAACGGTCCGTGAACCCCTCCTTGGTCAACCCAACTTTGTCTCCACGATTGCGCGGCTCCGTCCCCGTCCCTGATGCTCCGGCGGGCTCCGCTCTATTCCGACACTTAAGGTAACCCAAATCGCAACGATCGGAACAGCAAGAAATCAAACTTCAGGATGACCACGCGCACTGTGGAGTCTCCACCGCCCCGCCCTACTACTCGTCATGGCTTCGAGATCGCCATTATTTGCGCTCTTACCCTAGAGGCAGATGCCGTTGACGCTCTTTTTGACCTCCCAGTCAACCATCCTTCCTTGTATTTTTACTTTCTTGGCACGCAAGTGTTAAGAAAGTAGCCTATTCTCACATACTTTCGCTTAACAAGTGCTCTTGACAAAACACCAATTGAGCCGCGCGCAAGCGCCGGCAGCGACCATGGCACCAGCCTCAGGTTCGCATGTCGACTCCAATGCCTCGAGACAAGGCATACGATCGCCGCCAAATCCGGCGGCTCACATATCGCATCTCCGACCTCGCTACCCGACGGAAGCTCGCCGAAACGACTCGTTTCCCGCGGCCCAGCAGCTGGCCCAGTCAATCTCGTCCACCGAAACGCCTGAAGCTGCCGTCACGGAAGGAGCGCAGCTGGAAGAAGCCCGAATCTCTTCGACTCGGCCCAGCCCACTGAGCACGCGCCAGTCTCAATCCTCGAAGCGGCCACGAAAATTGCTCGCGACAAAACGGCAGCCCATAACGCCAAGCTGGCAGTCTTACGGGTCTTTAGCGAATCATTCGAACAAGCAGCAAAGCAGTTCACGTCTGGCACCGAAAACAGCATCGCCAAGCAAGTCGCCACCAAATTTCTCAAATTCTGGACTCAATCGCTTGCCGAACTCGAAGAACCACCGAAGCCCACGTACAGCAGCGTTCTCGCATCCGGCAAGCCGAAGCAAGGACAGCTGGCCTTTACAGCCTCCGCCCCACCACAGCGAAAACCACAGACCACCACTCGTCTGCCAGGACGACCGCCCGTAGCCCCACCGAAGGAAGACCTCCGTGTCTTCGTCCGACTTGACGCTGACGCTCCGGCCCGAAACCACGAAAGATACGCAATCCGGACCCACATCGCCGCTAGAGTCGGTATTGACCTGCGCCGCATTCCGGCAGCCTTCCCGGTAAACACGGGCTGGGCCATCCAGGCATCGGATGTGGCCACGCGTGACTTACTTGTGCAACGGCAGGCGGGTGGGCTGCAGACCTGGAAGCCGCGGCCGTAGAGATAAGCCAGAAATGGCATTCGTACGTGGTAGCCGATTGTCCTCGTAGGCTCACAGACCTACGAGGTGTCGTGATCAACTACGAGGAGGCGGCCAAAGAAGAGATTGCCTGCCAAACCGGACTGAAGCCCATCAGCATACGTCTATCGCGACACGACTCGGGTGATATGCCCACCCAGACCCTGATTGTGTCCTTCCTGGAACCCACACGAAGACCCTGGAGACTTTTCGGCGCCAGCCGTCTCGCCCGTTACATTGACAAACCCAGCATCCCTAGCCAATGCGATAAATGCTGGGATTTCCACGCTCGCCACAGCTGCGACCGGACGGCGCGCTGCAGACGTTGCGGCAAGACCAACCATCGTAGCCAAGAGTGCGCAGCCCTCGAGCAGTGCGCAAACTGCCTCGGGCCACATTGCGCTGATGACCCTAAATGCCCTGCCCGCCCCATGCGCGTTCATGGCATTGTACGGCGCCTGACGAAAGAGGAGAAGGGTCTGGTGAGGCAGGCGGGAGCTCAGCTCTTCGCGCAGCAGAAAAGACAGACACCAAACCACAACGTGCCCGAGCAGTCTTGTCAGAGCCCTGATTCGAGTCAGTTACGTTCTTCGGAGTCGCAGGCAGCTGGAGAGGATGGAAGCTCCGGCAGAAGCGCCACCCAGAGCGAGCCGCTTCCTCACCCTTGCATTGTCGTGGCCACGACGCCGCCGCACGCTAGCGATGACAACCAGTTCACCCCTGTCGTCCCGTCGAAGAAACGACGCACTAGCCCTGTGACGCTGCCCTAATGCATCACCGTCATCCCAACAATCGAAGCGACAGGAGGTCCTTGCGAGTCTTCCAAGCCAACGTGGGCAAGATCCTCCGGCGCATGACACTGCGCTCGCGCTGGCTGATTCGGAGCGATACGACATTATCCTGCTGCAGGAACCATGGACAGGACTTAAAGACGGCCGATGCCTCACCAAGACGCATCCGGCCTACGACACATTCTCACCCGTCACCGACTGGGACGGCCGCGACACTCGTCCGAGAGTCATGACATACGTCCGGCGCTCCGCAGGCCTCGTCGCTGATCAAAGAGACCTGCGGCGACTCGTGACATCCTTTGGCTCACCGTGAACGGGACGACGGTAGTTAACTTCTATCGGCAGCCGGACTACGACGCGGCTCTGGAAATACTGCTTGGTTGGTGCGTGACGGATAAATGCCTTGTATCTGGCGACTTCAACGCCAAGCATCCCAGCTGGCAGGCCGGTCGACAAGAGCACCGCGGCGAAGACATCGCGTTCTGGGCCATGGATAACCGACTCAGCTTATTGAATGCTGTCGATGTCCCGACTAACGCGCGCGGCAGCACGATCGATCTCGCCTTCTCCAATATACCTTTGGCGGACGCGGTTGTTGAGGATCATTTAGCAACCGGGTCCGACCACTTTACCCTTAGTATCATGCTGCCTAGTCAAGCCCTAACACCCCTTCCATTATGCAAGATCCGCCTCAACTCCGATGAGGAATTGAAGCGATTTGTCGAGCTGGTAGAAGCCGGTGCAGCTTTCATCCCGACTACAACCTCAACTCCCTCCGAGCTGGACAACTTTGCGTCGGCGCTGGTGGACCTTCTTGGTTGTGCAGCGAGAGCTGCGGGCCGACCCGTCCGTAAGACGACGCATGGGGCGCGGTGGTGGAACGAAGAGTGCGCAAAGGCGGCGGCCAATTATCGCGCGTGGAGGAGGGTGTACCCTCTCGGCTTCGACCGAGAAGTGCAGCTAGCCAAGCGGGAGCTTCACAATGCAGTGCGCCGAGCAAAACGCCTTTACTGGCGCGACTTGATCGACAGCTTTGCCGACGGCGACTCCGTCTTTCGGGCGGTCCGCTGGCTAAAATCCTCAGGGCCGTGCCAGGCACCCCCTGCAAGTAGACGGCCGAGTGTACGAGACGCAGCTGGAGAAAGCCACCGCCTTGCGGCGAGCAACCCTGGAGCGGCGCACAGCGAGCGACGACATCCCAGACCCGTGGATTCCGTGAACACGGATAAGATGATTCCTTTCCCAATCAGGTCTCCTTTGAGGAGGCTCGCGACGCCACTCTACGCACCGGGAACACATCTCCAGGCTCGGACAACATCACGGTGCGGATGCTTCGCGCTGTCTGGCATGCAATCGGCAGTCTCGTCCATCAGCTGTATCAAGGCTGCCTCACCATTGGTCACCATCCGAAACCTTTTCGGGAGGCAGAAGTGGTTATGATCGCCAAGCTAGGACGCAGAGATCTGTCTACACCCCGCGCCTGGCGCCCCATCTCCTTTTGTCTTGTCTCGGCAAGGGCCTCGAGCGGCTCATTGCACGGCGTCTAGCGTGGGGCTCAATCCACTTCGGCGTACTACACCCACAACAAGCCGGCGCGCTCCGAAGAGGTCGGCCGTGGATCTCGTAGCTGCCTTGGTTCACGACATCGAGGAGGCATTCGCCCGGAAGCAAGTCGCAACCCTGGTGACCTTGGATATACAAGGCGCCTTCGATACAGTTCTCTGCAATAGATTGGTCCTCCGCTTACGAGAACAAGGATGGCCATCGAACCTCGCGCGCTGGGCCGGCTCGTTCATGCAGGACAGATCGGCACGCATCCGTTATCAAGACATCGTGACGGATTCATCGCCCTCCAGTGCGGTCTGCCGCAGGGTCGCCCGTCTCGCCGATCCTCTTCCTGTTGTACACGGAGCCGATATATCGCCCAGGTCACTCTCAGGGACGCTTCGGCTACGCGGACGACACTGCCATTCTATGCGTCGGTAATAGCCTTGATGAAACGACCGCCGAAGCATCTCACCATGTACGTGAGCTTCTTTCGTGGGGCGCCGCTAACGGGATCTCTTTCGACCCCGACAAGACAGAAGTGATGCACTTCTCTCGAACGAAGCCCAAGACGGCGCCGCCGGTGCTCCACGGCGAGTTTGAGAAACGGCCGGATCGAGCGATGCGTTGGCTCGGCGTTTGGCTCGACAGCTCTCTTTCAAGACACACGTCGAGAAATGGACGGCCAAGGCGCAAGCTGTTGCCTTTCATCTTAGGAGACTGACGAACACGAAACATGGCCTCTGCCGAGTGCTATGCGACGAGCCGTCTGCGCTTGCGTCATCCCCGTGCTACTGTACGCGGCGGAGGCCTGGTACCCTGGTCCGAAAAGCCCGCGCTGGACGAAGCCTTCCAAGGAGGGGCCGTCGGGGATTGGCAACCTCGTCAAGAAGATGAGCAAGGCACTCTACACGTCTCTTCGGGCTATTCTGCCAGTGTGGAGGACGACACCGACGAACGTGCTGCACAGGGAGGCGGGAATACCGCCCGTTCCTCTACTCCTCGAAGGGCGTCGGACGGCCTTGCTGCGCGCCTTAAAGCTCTCGACGAAGCTCACCCGCTCGTCCAGCGCACGTCGCGACCAAAAGCTCCCGTCGTGACCGTGAACAAACTTATCAAGTTGAAGTACCAGAAACAGCCACAGCCCTTCCGTACCAGACTGCGGCGAGCCGACGAAATGCTATCGAGCTGCCCGAGACCTGCTTTACTGCAGCGCGGATTTGCCGAAGAGCAGACTGCGCCTCTGCAGAGTGCATCGAAACACGAGACGAAAAATTTCGCGACTGGCTTCAGGCACTATCGCCCCGAACTCTTGTCGTCTACTCCGACGGGTCTCGTTCTGAGGAAGGCCACATCGGATACGGCTATGCTGTTCACCGGGACGGATCCACCGTCTTGAGCGGCAAGGGCCGTCTTGGAACAGCTGAGGTTTTCGACGCTGAGGCGAAAGGTGCATTGGAGGTTGAAGGCAGCGGTGAGCCTTCCAGAAACTGACCGCATCTTTGTCTGCCTCGACAACCTCGCGACCGCAACATGCTTACGGGCACGCCGAACGACTCCTCGCAAGAGGTCTTCTTGAGTTCCAATCTTTGGCGCGAAAATACGGAGCTGTGGAGGTCCATTGGATCCCCGGCCATGCTGACATCCCAGGCAACGAGGAGGCTGATGCTCTGGCAAAGGCGGGAGCATCACTGCCAGAACCCGCTGATGGCGAACCGACGCTAGCGCATCTGCGAAAAATTGCCCGACTGCAGCGGAAAGAGGCTTTCAGTGCCTGGTGGGAAACCTCTGCGCCGGAGCGATACAGAGACCTGAGGCTTAAAGCCACAACCAGCTGTCCGTCAGAATTGGCGCTCTCTCGGCCCCTGCTTCATAACTGCTTGCAGCAAGAACCCACCATGGGATTTTGCTGACTACCACGAAAGGTTTGGTCACGACGATGCGCGACTGACGTGCTCGTGCGGACGACGAAAAGAGCCAGCACACATCTTTTACTGCAGAAAGGTTGCGCCACGGCATCGTATGCGGCTTGCACCTTGGCCGGCTGCAGCCATCAACCGCGCAATCGGCAAGGACTTTGACAAATTCGTCAGGCTGGCGACAGCGAGCTCCTTCTTCGGAGGGATCTGCCCACGCCACTAGACGGTCATCATTCTCCTCTCTCACCCTACCTTTTCCTCTCAATTCTTTCTGTTACCTGCTCCGATCTCGGGCGGCGTCAAGGTCTCACGACCATGCGATCGCCGAGGTCGTCAAGGGCTGCAAGGCCCCAGAAGCAAATTGGCTGATCTGACCACGGGACAGCTTTCTCTTCGTGCCTGGACGTCCCGCTGACGGGCAACAGGTTTGTCATGAGCGCCGTTGAGCCGATGAAATGCTGGATAGTGGGTGAAGTGTACGATATGTAGCATGTAGACACCTGCTAGCTCAGCACGTCCTGTGCTCCCCTGCGGAGACCTGAGCGACCAAAAGTTGCTGGACGGAAAATACACTAAACTAAACTAAATCTTTTTGACCTCCATTGGGACGATGATGGTCCATCCTTCGATAAAGCCCCGGGCGACCCGAACGCCTACTCTACTGGCGCCATCGACCGCCACAACGTCGTCCTCGCGCACATGCCAGGTATGGGGAAAGCCAGCGCCGCGATAGTAGCGAATAACTGCCGGACAAGCTTCCCGAATATAAAGCTTGCTCTAGTCGTGGGTGTCTGTGGCGTTGTTCCCTATGCCCCTGCCGGCGAGGAGATCATTCTTGGCGACGTCGTCATCAGCGATGGGGTCATTCAATACGACCTTGGACGGCGGCTACCAGACCGCTTTGAGCGTAAAGATACGCTGTTAGACTCTCTGGGGCGGCCGAATATCGAAATACGAGGCTTGCTGGCGAAGTTGAAGGGTCTTCGGGGTCGCAAGCAGCTTGGCGCCGCCATATCTACCTACCTCGGTGTCCTCCAGAACGAGCCGCTCCTGGCCGCTGAGTACCCGGGCGCAGTACATGATAGGCTATTTGAGGCTACATATCGCCACGTCGGCGACCAGGAGCCGTGCCAGCAGGTCGGTTGTGATGGTACCCCGGTGCCGCGGCGGCGGCTCCACCCCGACAAGGACGATCCACGACCAGCCGTCCATTTTGGTCTGATTGCGTCCGGCGATTCGGTCATGAAGTCTGGGGAAGATCGCGACGCTATTGCAATGAGGGAAGGCGCTATTGCATTTGAGATGGAGGGTGCTGGTGTCTGGGATACCTTCCCATGTGTTGTGATAAAAGGCGCGTGCGACTATGCGGATAGCCACAAGAGCAAGTCATGGCAGCGCTATGCTGCCGCCACGGCGGCTGCCTGTATGAAGGCATTTTTAAGCCACTGGGTGCCTTCCGTACCTGCAGGTACGTGATATCACACTTGCTTGGAATACTTGCTGATCGTCTGGTGACAGTGTCGACCCAAACGCTCCCTGCTGGTCCTTACTGTATGCAGTTTAATCCACCAGAACTATCCTAGGCCAACGCTTTCTCATGCTGCTAGTAGTCATCATTCCATATCCTAAGAATGAAACATTTGTCGGCCGCGATGCTATACTCAAGAGGCTTCAAGAAAGACTTTCAACTTCCTCGCAACCGAGGATCGCGCTCTTTGGTCTCGGCGGTATCGGGTTAGTTAGCGCAGCCCAACGACGTCTCCTCACTAACATGCATAGAAAAACCCAAATAGCCACTGCATATGCATATTGGCTCCACGAGACTTGCCCTGAAGTGTCGGTCTTCTGGGTCCACGCGAGCAGTGCAGAACGGTTCCGCGAAGCATACGCAACCATCGCGCGAGAATGCCACGTCCCTGGTTTGGATGACCCGGAGGCAGATATATTAGCATTAGTGAAAGCGTGGTTGGGGAGAACACATCATAGTCGTTGGCTAATGGTCGTCGACAATGCCGACGACAAGAATGTCTTTTACACATCGCCAGAAGATGAGCGTGGCTCCTCACCGTCTCAAGATGGTGGCTTTGCGCGCTTCCTCCCCGAGAGCCCTCGTGGATCCATTCTCGTCACAACTCGGGATCGGCAGGTTGGCGTCTTGCTCACGAAGGGCCGGACTCGGGCTGTGGAGGAAATCTGCAAGATGGACAAGCGCGAATCTGATCAGTTGGTTCGCGCCACGCTCGATGGCCTCGAAGTGACGGTTGGTGAAATCTCGCTTCTAACGTCTCGGCTGGAATATCTTCCTCTGGCACTCGTCCAGGCAGCCGCATACATTCGAATGAATGTTATGGCGGTAAGCCGGTATCTCCAACTCCTAGACAAGAGCGATCACCCACTGGAACTACTCAGCAAGGAGTTTGAGACTATTGGGAGAGACTCGGGGACTCCACAAGCAGTCGCAGCCACGTGGATACTATCCTTCAAGCACATCGAAAAGCGAAGTAAAATCGCGGGCGAGTTTCTCTCGCTCATGAGTTTCTTCGACCGGCAAGCCATCCCCAGGGAGTTTATATCCTGCTATTGCCAACGACGGCAGGGGCCAATAGATGGAAACGGGAGACTTGAGACCCAGCAAAAAGATATCCAGCTTGAGGAAGCTCTAGGCCTACTTAAGGCGTTTTCATTCATCTCGGAGAACAAGAACGGCAAATTTACGATCCATCGGCTTGTGCAGTTAGTCACCCGGAAGTGGACCGTCAACAATGGCACTATGGATCAATTCGCCAGCCAGGCACTTATGACGGTGTCCGATCTGTACCCTTACGGCACGTTTGAGAACCGCGAGGTATGCAGCACTTACTATCCACACGTCTTGGCTGTTCTACGATTCAACAGAGCAGGGCAAAAGCTTGACGAGGCAGGGAAAGCGGAATTGTTCGGTCGAGCGGCGCTTCTCCACAATGCCGCAGGGCTACTCCAATATCAGGGGCGGTGGAAGGATGCAGGAGATTTCCAACTGCAAGCAGTGAAGATGCGAAGGGAAGCAATTGGAGAGGAGCATCCGTCCACACTCAGCAGCATGGCCGACTTGGCGGTAACGTATCGGCATCAAGGCCGGTGGAAGGAAGCCGAGCCGCTGCAGGTGCAGGTAATGGAGACGAGCAAGCGGGTGCTTGGAGAGGAGCACCCGTCCACGCTCAGCAGCATGGCCAACTTGGCGGTGACGTATGGGGATCAAGGCCGGTGGAAGGAAGCCGAGCCACTGGAAGTGCAGGTGATGGAGATGAGCAAGCGGGTGCTTGGGGAGGAGCATCCAGACACCCTCAGCAGCATGGCCAACTTGGCGGCGACGTATCGGGATCAAGGCCGGTGGAAGGAAGCCGAGCCACTGGAAGTGCAGGTGATGGAGATGAGCAAGCGGTTGCTTGGGGAGGAGAATCCAGACACCCTCAGCAGCATGGCCAACTTGGCGGCGACGTATCGGGATCAAGGCCGGTGGAAGGAAGCCGAGCCACTGCAGGTGCAGGTGATGGAGACGAGCAAGCGGGTTCTTGGGGGGGATCACCCGTCCACGCTCAAGAGCATGAACAATCTTGCATTTACTTGGAAGAGGCAAGGCCATCATGGGAAGGCTATGGGTCTTATGGAGCGTTGTCTTCAGCTGCGGCAAAGACTACTCGGCCCATCCCATCCCGATACGGTCTCTTCTCGCTCGGCCCTTGAAAGATGGAAAGTGAGAGGAACGACCTGAATGTTCGTGTCGATGAAGGGCACTGCTAACCTCACTAATGTGGGTGCAGGCCGAAGCATAGGGGGTGATCAATTATGACAATAGTAGACGCGAGACGAGAGGGGCAGTGCGCCTTTGGTCTCGAAGCCGAGAAGAAAGTGATACACTACTCGTCCCACAGACCCACGTAAAGTGGGTCCTCACCACCTGTCTGTGTCAACCACCTGGCTGTGTCACTTCACCGCTTCAACGCCAACTTAATTTAATAATAAAACGGCAAAAAAAGTTAAAAATTGATGCATACGATAATTGAATACTGGCCGCAATAGTCTACCTATTTTTGAGTTTTGTAGCTTATAAAGCTGATCGTTGGGCTTCTTTTCGGCTTTCTTAGCCGCCCGGGCTGCCCGTCGCTCCTCGAGCTCAATCGCCCTTTTCTCCCTCTTTTGCTTCGCCAGTACCAACTTTTCTGCTTTTGCAATGCGAATATCTTCCTTTGACTTCGCAATAGCCCTCCCTTCGTCTACAGTCAGTACTCCACCGCTTTGAAGGTGGCGGTTCTTGTATTTCTTCCGGCCTTGGCGTTGCTGCTCGGCAAGCTTGGCATTGTACAGATCGACCATCGTTTGCTTTAACTCGTGGCCTTGGGAGATTGCACCTTTAACGTAGCGTTAAAGGTTATGTACGAAGACCTCCTTCTCAATATCATCAATTGGGTCAAACTCAAGGAGACGTTGGCCAACTGATTCAAACTTCCGTACGGTATGGGGGGTACCAAAAGGGGATGAATACGGCTCTGCAGGTAGCTCTGTCGGCGGCGTCTGGTCCCGTGCCCTCTCTTTGAGTCTCTCGAGGATTGGCTTTGGATTGAATGGGTGGATTCCTGTTTTTGAATGCCGAGAGGATTGTAGACTCTTGAAGGCTTTGACGCGGATTGATTGGATCATAGCGAGGAACTCCAGCTTGGTGATTTTACTCGCACCACTGCGAATAGCAAAATCGACTGCCCGACTGTGGTAATGTTTATACGGCTGAAATACCACGACGTCAAGCGGTTGAAGGAGATGCGTAAGATGCGGAGGCAATGCAAAGAGCACAATATTATGGGCTTCAGCGTACTCGATAAGGTCAAGGGTATGGTGGGAGCCGTGGCCGTCAAGGAGCAATAGCCTCCAAGCACCTTTGCTCTTTGCATGCTTATCGAAATGTTGAATCCACGCTAGATTGAGCTGATCGTTCGTAAATCCCGTTTCCGTAACACCAATAAGGGTATCGCCATCTAGCTCCTTGATGCCGTACCACTGTTCGAGGTGGACCTTGCCGGATAGGATCAAAACGCAGGGATGTATCGACCATCGGCAGAAATCGCTTCAACGGCTGTTGCCGACTCCCTGTTTTCCTCAATACCAAAGTATTGCGATCGCCTTGATTTCGTGACGACAACTTGGTCCCTGCCAATACCAATACGGAAGCCCGTCTCGTCCATATTCCAGATATCAGCCGGGTTAATCCCGTACGAGGCAATCGTCTCGTGGAGCTTCTTGAAGTACTCGGTAACGTGCGGGACTGATTCGGCAAGCTTGCGTTGGTTATCGAGTACCTTTTGCTTCATAATATGATATCCCTTGCGTTTAATAAAACGGGATATCCAGTTTTGCCAACAAAGCATTGGGAGTCGAAGGGTTCGTTGCGGGTACCATCAGGGCCGACCGTGGAGCTTAGAACCCGATTTGCTGCATCGCGTAATAAGTCCTTCCGCACCGCAAGTCCTATACGCTCAAGACGATCGATATACAGATCGATTGAGCCCTCTTGAGCTGGCGATAGCCTCGTATGCGTTGCTTTATGGCCGCTGCGAGGTTGGATGCCGTGAAATCGCAAGCGGAGTCGTTCGCGTGGAACCCCAAATTCCTTAGCCGCAGCGCGAAGGGACATATTGGGATTTGCCTCAATGGCTTTAATAGCCTCGGCTACGCGCCTTTCAAGCGTAAGCTCTTTATTCTTCATAATGTGCCGTTGTTGAGGTCAAGATAGAGGCTTGAAGCGGTGAAGTGACACAGCCAGGTGGTTGACACAGACAGGTGGTGAGGACCCACTTTACGTGGGTCTGTGGGACGAGTAGATCGTGTATTTCGGCGGTGTGTTGGATTTCTTTTTTATCCATCGTATCAATCGGCAAAGGCGCGATATGGCGACATGATGACAGTAATGCACTTAAAAATTTTCAACAGGGATAGATTGACTTGAGATATTGCTGCCTGTTTACCGTGAAAGGCTGTAGGAGCCATTTTCCACTGATGCAAACCCGAAACCACCTACGTAAGTGGTAGTGAGTGTATCCGCAGCAACATTCAGGAACTGATGGTTCAGGTACCGGAGCGACCCAACGTCGGTCTCGAGACGGAGACGCCTGGCTTGTCCCCGCATCACACAGGTGACGGCGTGGGGTTTACCCGTTGGTCGGATCATTTAGTTGGGCTGCCGCGCTGCGCTTAGACCAACGGGTAGTCCTTGGAACTGGTCGTTGCGCTCAAGCACATTCACGCTGAAGCAACAGAAGGCTCAGTTAATTTCGGCTCTCCCGATTTCTTCTCAACCAGGCTGCCTGCATACTATTGATCCCCTTTGGCTGTGGAGTAGCCGCAGCTGAGCCAGGGGAGTAGACCGATGTCTGGATTTCTCATAGCAGGCGGGTTGTCAAAGAGTTTTGTCCCACACCTGGCACGACGGCGGTTGTGCAAAGCGACCTGAATGGCATCAGTCGGAATGGCAGAAGCGCTCCAGGCACTGCGGGCGAGGAAAGGGGACCTCTGCTTGATCTATGGAGCTCCGAATCAACATTCTACAGCTCAAGCAGCGCCCAGCTTGTGACGACCTCCACCTCTACGCATCCAACAGCGCGGCAGCAGATCGTCACAGGCACTTCATGGCCTGCGCCAGATGGGACATAGTATTATCGGCGCAAGCAAAGAATGGCGTGGCATGAGGGTCTTCGCATGTAGCGGCGTCGGCACGTCGGCGCAATCAGCAACCACCGCAGGCCATTCTGCGTTTAGCGGACGCACCTTGCTGCGCAAGCGCCGGAGCCCTGCCACCCTCGGTGCATTCATTATCGGCTACGGGCTGGCATGGCGGCTCTCACAACAACCTAATCCAGGACGTGAGGCATAATGGTGACGAAAATCCCATCTATTCTCTATGGCTTCACCTCGGATTGATCGCTGCCTACTAGCCAGTGTTTTTCCGTTCTCGCTTGTTCTTCCCTCGCATCGTTCGGACAACGGAAATCCAATGGTGTCTTCCTCACAGGGAGCGGATAAGCTTTTTCCTAATAAAAGGTTAGGACGGAATTTTTAGCCTCGGAGCACTGAACACTTACAAGCTCAGCAACAGGAGTAGGGAAAGAACGGTCATCAGCAGAGTTGTAGTCATAGGTTCGATACTTTCGGCGCACGATAATATAAACATCGGCACCGTAGCGGCGGCTCATTTGATCGCATCTTCTCATGAGGCGGCTCGTTGCCCTTGCAAAGTTATCGGCTGTTCTCGCGAAGGAGAGAGCAAAAGCGGGCATAAACGTGGATAAAGGGACCTTTTTGAAGGTCGAGTATCACCCGATCAGATGTTTTTTTTTTATCTCTCCCTCCCCCGTTCAAGCAGCCCCTTTTATATCCCTCCAAGCTTCTCCCAAGTTGATATCCCGTTTTCAGGTATAGTATACATTCTATCAGGAAGAGGGCACTTCTTGCCACTTACTGAAGGCCACGTAAGTCATCTACGTCAGCAACATCAGCTCCATCTCCCGATCGAATAGCTCTTCTAGCTATGAAATCGATAGTTCAGTCTCTCGAGGTCCCTGAGCCAGTAATAGTTATGCCGGACTCCTCAAAGGGTCCCCGTTCGAATAGGAGATCCTCCGGACCCCTCAGTGGTCTAGGAAGAAGAAACAACAGTCTGCAGACTTCCCTTCTTACCTGGTTTCAAGCTGTATTACCTAGAGAGACCTAGAGACCTCAACTCGTTCGGACCTTCTTCTCGACAGCTGTCCTGTCCCGCTTCTGACGCGATGTGGACTCCATCACGGCTAACGAACTGTGGCGGGCTGGCTTCTCATCCAATCCAGCCAGCTCGTTCTCAAAATGTGCTCAAGACAGATTACTAAAAAGTTGGTGTAAGGGTTTCGAACTTGGTACATCTTCAGTCACTCTCCTTAAAATGGCCGATGTGATTGCTACATTCAGCAAATAGCAGCATTCGCTGGTCAACTTGCTCTGCCAATCGATCCGCCAAACGCATCAACGTTTTCTCGTAAAAATTGCACTTACAACATTCTGTTCAGCGGTATGTTGTGAATTGTGGGAAACTTTGAGCTGGTGTTTGGCTGTCGAGTGTATGTAAGTGGCCTCCTATCCTCTCAGAGGCCGAGTCAAGACTCGGGGACTCGGGGACAGATCCCGTTTTCTGTATTGAGTGAGAGGGAGGCGTATGGCGCTTATCATCCTCTAGAGGATCGCAGGGAGATATGTAGCATGTATCGGTTTCCCGGATTGTGTTTCGGAAGAGGGGGGGGGGTACGGCGCTTACATCCTCCAGAGGATCGGAGAGGGACTTGTATCGCGTTTCTCGGATTGTGTTTGGAAGGGGGGACGTGCGGCGCTTACGTCCTCCAGAGGATCGGTCCTCTAGAGGATTGGAGAGGGACTTGTATCGTGATTCCCGGATTGTGTTTGGAAAGGGGGCGTATGGCGCTTACAATCCTCCAGAGGATCGGTCCTCTAGAGGAGCGCAGGGAGACATGTAACCATGCGCTTTCCCGGATTGTGTTTGGGAAGGGAGTACAGCGCTTACCATCCTCCAACCGTTAGCCAATGTCTGCACAGTGGAGCGCTACGCACCCCTTGTCACTCGCAGGCACCGTCCGGACGATTAAGCGCTGCACGGTCCATCTATGAGGTCGGGCACAGTCCGGTCCGTAGAACGTCCCCCATTTTTTTTTAACTCCGCTGGCAGGTGCACAGCTTTGCCAAGGAACATGAGAAGCCATGTTTAAGCCGAAATCGAGAGTTCTGGCGAAGTGTCGGTTTACGGCTACTCTAGTCCTACCGATCATCGATGGCGCTGTGCTGGAAGTCGACAAACAGTCGCGTCCAGTTAGAGGGCGAGAGTACAAGTTGGCTTGTATTCCATAATATGACACCAAGGGTGAGCATAGACTGGCCCTCAAAAATCGAGCCAATCACGGGGTGGGACTGACACTCAGCCAGGAGTGGCGTAATTGGGCGCGCAGTGGTGAGCAAGTTGACATTCTGGCAGATAGTGGCCGCGCTACGCAGCGCCTTGTGGGGCGCCAAAGGTGCTACGCAGATTTTTGCAAGCCAGAACAGGCTTACAAAACCGCGGCCTATTTGCCAATACACAGCCATTTCCAGCTAACCGCCAAGTAGCTTGCGGTACCCTCCCACCCACGGCAGGGTAGCTAGCTCCTGGTCATTTTCAGCTCTTTTCTGCCAGATGAGTTGTAGAAGATGCGACTTTTGGCTTTGTCCCCTACGGACTGCAGACACTGACTGGCCTGATGAGTCCCAGCTTCAGCCCAAAGTCACTGTAATCTTATCGATAAGATGGCAGCACAGCTACACGCACACCAGGGAGCGATACTAGAAAAGCTGCGCCTCCCCTGATTGTGTTGCGAAGACCATCATTGCGCCATGCAGGCAAAAGTGGAACGCGCTCCAACAGGTGCGCTGCAATTGACACATATCTGATGTCTGTCTTTCTTCCCGACAGATTGTGCACAAAAAACGCGAATGCTGCAGGCATCACGTCTAGTGCGGCCCAGTTTTGCTCAATTGAAATAATCGTTGGTCTCTTTTGGGCGTGTACCCTACTTTCCTAATGTCGATGTAGGAGTAGAAGCATAAGCGGCTGTGCACAGCAGAGACAGCCAGTATTGAACGACGGAATCGCCAGCGCTGGCAGATTATACGACGGCCGGAGATGGCTGTATCCGTACTGGACAGATAGCCATATTAAATGTGCTATGCCTGCCATGCCAGCACAGCGCAGGACCGAACAGCCTCGGTGTGGCCGCCGACTGTCGAACTCGGGAATGGATCCACCAACAACGCCGACAAAACGAGACCGTACAGGTGATAACTTCTCCAGAGCAACGACTCGCATGTTGAAAAGATGCCATCAAATAAGTCGCCGCTACGATGCGGATATATACGTTTTTGTGCGACGGAAGCATAAGGCGTATGACTATAACTCTACGAATGACCCGAACTTCCCAGCTTCTGTCGATCTAGTACGTTAGCCACGAACCGAGAACTGTGATATGCTAAGAGTGACTCAAGGACGAAGTATATCCACCAGTAGCAAGGAGAACACCGCAAGACTTTGGCGAAGTGCAGAGAGAGAAACAAGACATTGATTCCGCGACGGACATAGAGAGCACCACTTAACATGGTTCACCTTGTACCATAGACCAGACACGGAATGTAATCCCCTCATTGATGCTCTTTGTTGAACGTCGGTGAATTAGGGCAGAGCCGTGGGTCATTAATAGGGCCACGCGCGTGCCTTGAGGAACGAAAGGACTTTATGCCCCACCCCCGGTTTTGCCCCTCGAAATCCCCGCTTCTGATTCGCTCGGTCGATTGGCTACGGTCATTTCGCCTTCGGTTGGGCCTTTCGCCTTCTGTTTGTCATGTCCTGGGGCATCTGATTCGCTTGTCCGTGCCCTGAGACTTCTGATTGCCCAGAATAATAAACCGCTTTCGCTTCTGGCCCGTTGAAACCCCCTTCCCATTCGCTTGTGCCGCCTGCTCCACCGGTCGCCCCGACCCAATTTTCCCATTAGTAATGAAGTCCTTGCAAGGGTCGGGGTGGGGCATAGCTAAGTTATTGGTGTCGCGCCCTCTTGGGTTAAGTTACCTACTGCTCACCGTCTCTGTCCCCGCTCTCACCGAGCCTGTTGCACATCGCTTCCCGAACAGTTCTATCGCTCAGTTCCTCCAGCCTCGCTTGTGCGGCGGTCATCTCCCCGGGGACCCGGTTTCCCACTAGGTCTCTCTCGCACTTTCGACACGAGCATGATGCCGTCCAGCGTCGGGCACCGTGACAGCTGCACGTATAGGCTGTACGGGTCGCACTGCGACGGGACGGCGCGTCCGCCGACGTTTGTCGTCCTCGTCCCCCGCAGCTCGAGCGCCACGCGCTCCAGCGTCCCCCCCTGCACCTTGTAATCCGTGCACGCGAAAGCGGCGGCGCACGGCAGGCCCTTTCGGCTGACGTCGTTCTGCTGCCACGGTCGCTTCCGTTGACACTGGATCCTGACGCTCATGGGCGTCAGCAGGATCGTGCCGGGCGGCATCCCGACGAAGTGGAAGTCCTTGGTCGTCTTCGACCCCAGTATTATCGCCGCCGGCGGCCCGAAGTGGATCGTCATGTCGGCCGAGATCCGATGCCCCGGGTGCGCCTTGTCGACGATGACCTCCACCGCCGTGTAGCTAGCACCGTTCACCAGCTTCAGCCCCTGGTGGGTGTTGTGGTTCACGACGACCGGCATCCCCGGCACGAACATGAAGACGGCCGGCACCGGGATCGCGCTGTCGTCGCCCTGGTTCAGCATCATGATGGCCTCTTCCTCGGTCGGCAGGCCGTCCTTCCACTTGTGCTCGGAGAGGAAGATGCGCACCGTCGACCGCTGCTGGATCTGGAACGCCAGGCTCGCCTCCATGTTGAGGTTCCACCGATTCCTGTTGAGCGGCGTCACCACGGTGATGCCCGTCTCCCACGGGATCCGCCTGCCTTCCCGGTGGCACCTCGAGTTGAGGAGATCCAGGTCCGTGTGGTCCTGCACGCCCCCGCGGATCCGCTTCAGCAGCCGCTGCAGCTCCGGGTCGCCGGCGGCGCGCATCTGCTCGTCCAGCATGACGGCCGTCGTGAACCGCCTCCACAGCGCGTGCGCCTTGTCGTGCTGGTGGCGCTGCTCGGCCCTGAACGAGTTGTCCTCGTCCCACGAGACGGCCGCGCTCGGCAGCAGGATCGACCTCTCCTGGACCGGGCGGAACTGGTGGAAGTCCCCGCAGAAGAGGACGATGGGGATCCGCCGAAGTCCCGCTGCGATCCCCGCAGCTGGCAGATCCGCTCGTTGACGGCGTGCAGCGTCCGCGCGCCGAGCATGCTCACCTCGTCGATGACGAGCATGTCCTTATCCTGCCAGTCCATCCGAGACTGGCCGTTGACGAACCGCTCCGCCTGCCTCGGCAACCGCACGCCGTCGACGTCCCTCGCCGTGTTCGCGCCCGGCCCTTGGTCCTGGTGAAGCCGCAGGCCGAGTGGATGGTGATGCCGTTGACCCGCGCGGCGGCGGTCCCCGACGTCGCCGTGATCAGCAGGCGATGCGAGAGGTCCTTCGCGGCGAAGAGGCCCACGAGTGCTTCGATGACGCGCGACTTGCCGGTGCCGCCCTCGCCGCCGACGAACTGACAGAGCTGGCTGACGTCGCCTCCGTCTCCTTGCCGCATCGAGTCCAGGTGGCGGCATATTATGGAGAAGGCAATCGCCTGCTTCTTGTTTAGCGTCAATCGTCTTGTCAAGTCTTTCCCGGCCTCGTGAAAGGAGGTGGATGGGCCGAGGCGGACTTCCATGCCGGCCTCCGCGTTACCTGCCCTCTCCTCGGTTTCCACTCGCGTCACCTGGACGTCTTCCTCCCCGAAGCCGGCGAGCACGCTCCGCTCCGCTGCGCCGCGATCGGTACCGTGGGCCGGGGCCATGCTTTGTATGCCCTGGATCATCTTCACCCTCTCTGGAGGCGCATGTCTGCTGCGACTTGATGGCCTTGACCTGATCCTGCGGCGGCACTGCAGCCCCGGGAACACCTGCCCGGGCATGTTGATGTGCCCCCACCCGTTCGGTCACGACGGTGGCCCGGAGCTCGGCCGTCGAGGCTAGCGCTGATTGCTGGAAGCGGAGAGCTGCTGCATCATTCCCGAAAGCTCCCGCGACCCCGCCGTGATCTGGTTCGCGCCGGTCGCGCTTCTAACGACATCGATCAGTCGCGTTGCGTTTCCGACGTTGTCGGACTGGTACGCGGATCCCGCCTCGCGGTCCGCCTCGCCCGGCCCCTCCCCATCCTCCCCAATCGCCAGGTGCGCCGGCCGGATCCCCGTCGCCGGACGACGCTGCCCATTGCTTGGCGTCTCGCTTTGCGTCCTCGGCGGACCGCCGGAGTAGTTGAACGTTATCGACGAGGCACGAGGTTCTTGGCGGAAGCCGCTCTCGTGCGCGCCTCCATATCTCGTTGATGTCGCCTCGCTCTTCGCTAAGAAAGGTCTCCCACGGCGCGAATAGGGCAAGATGCTGCACGGCTGCTCTGTAGCGGCACGGTTAGTCACCGCGCGTTGGGACCGCTTTTCGACCGGCCATCCACCGCACCTACTTACCGGCGGTGGCATTGTTCCTCGTCGTCTTGCTCGAAATCCTTGCTAAGGTGGCCGTCAAGGCAGACGACGGCGTGCTTTCCTGGCCGCCTCAATACCTGCACCCAGTCTTTGCCGGCCACCCAGCCGCTCTCGAAGGCACCTCTCCCCAGGCACCGGAGCACCCGTCCTTGCCGACGCGTTGGAGCCTGACGAGCGAAACATAGTCATATAGGCACAAGCCTCGTAGGACGTGTCCGCGATGATGGTACGCCTCGGCGAAGCTGATCCTCTCGCCTGCTTCCTCCACGGCGACCGACTCGTCCACGGACACGTCTGCGACCGCGGTGCCGCTCTCCTGCCGAAGGTGTCGCCAGCGCCTGGAGACGTGCCAGTAGAGCACCGACACGTTCAGGTACGCCCAGGCGCTGCTGCTCGTGAACTCGCTCGGGTATCCCAGGAGATGGGCGACGACCTCGACTTGCGACAGGGCGCGCTCCGTGAATATCCTGTTCGCCACTCTCATCAGAAACTGCCGCGTCTTATTATTCTTGGTTCCGTCGTCGCCGCCGACGACGCCATTTCCGGCATCCTCCCTGGCACCCGGCTGGCCACCTGCTGCGACGACGGGCAGCAGTTCCGCGGCCGCGGCGACGCGCTTCCACGTCGGGTCCTCTACCTTGGTCGCGTAATTCGTCACGTAATAGACGAGAGCCATGGTCTTCCGCTGCGTCGCTATGAAGGAGATGTCGTGGTTGTGGCGGAGCCCCACGGCGATGGCCTTGTTCCACCGATTCACCATGGGATGCGTCCTGCGGATCCGCAGCACGCCGTCCTGTGAGCGTCGTCTCCTCGACCAGCTTCCATGGCGCCTTGAAGCGACAGAGGTCGCCCTTCGCCCCTTGTTGCCCAGGAGTACTTGACGCATGTCGGGCTGTGGGTGTGGATCTGCGTCGCGCCGGCGCAGAAGTTGGCTTCCTCTTCGAATCCGGCCGAGAACTGCTCGGCACTGTCCAGCAGGGATGAGACGTCAGACGTCACCGAACGCTCCGCCTGCACGGCGCAGAAGCCTTCCTGGTCCAAGTCCTGCCTTCCGCGTCAGCCTGCGTCTTCTCGGCCCATGACAGCAACGCCCTTGCTGTTACCTACCTCACAGAAGACGCTATCGACATAGCGGATGATTCGCTCACGGTACGCCGCCTGCTCCTCCCCGTGGGCGTCGGAAAGCATGGAGCTCAGGTGCGCGTTTCCGTGTAACCAGAGCAGCCCGTGGACGTGAAGGGATCCTCGTTCGTTGGTCTCCACGGCACCGTAGTAGTGGCCGATGCGCCCGAACACCGACTCCCCTGCATTTACGTAATGCTCGAAGAACAGCGTCATCTCCCGGTGGAAGAACATGGCTGAGCTCATCGGGTCGGAGACGGACAGCCTCACCCGTTTGAACGACATATCGAGGCTCCGCAGGAACTCCTCGGCCGCCTCAGGGTCGCGCGTGCGGTACGCTGCCAGTCGGAGCTTCACCGGGTTCGTGATGTCGTTTGGGTTGATCGTGAACCAGATCGCAGGCACGCCGTAGCGGACGATGAGCGCCAGGATCTTGTGCCGCATACTGAGACGGAGCTCTCTCGACATGGGCTGACGATAGCCATAGAGCGAGAGGCTCCTGAGAAGCTCTTTCACGCCGTCGTCGGTCGTCTTGCCTGTGCTCTCCAGCTCGGCTCTAGCTGCCGCTAACCCGTCTGCGGTCAGCGACCGTACGATGCGCTCCACCTTGCGGAAGTTCTTCCTCGTCACGCTCAGCATGCTGACGCGGCGGTTCCTCGACCGCACGCCCATGTTGAAGACGAGGAATGCGAAGATGTGGTGCGTCGCGAACCGGCCGCCGTGGCGTCGCAACACCGTGTCGGCCCACGTACGAAGGCTCATGTTCCGGGATGACAGGAGGTCCTGCGCCCCGCCTCCGCCGCCGCGCGCGTGTTGACCGAGCCTCTGCCCAACTGCGAGCTTGCTTCCTCGACCGGCCGCGGCCCTCCGACACCGAATGGTAATAGCGTGGGAAAGGTCTTTGCGAAGAAAAGCTTTTGGTTCAGGACCATCGACGTGCCCCGGCTGCCCCTTGCCGAGGATTCGACCCACGTCCTCGGGCCCGTACCGTCGTCGGCTGCGCCTTGGCGAACGGAATCGCATGCGAACCGCAGCTTGTCGACGTCGGCCACGTCGGGCGGTCCGTCCAACGCAAACATCCCTGACGAGGTCACCTCGTTGACCGTCTTCGCATTATCATCGGCCTCGCCGCAGCTCTGACCACGCACCTCGTCCACCTCGCTTGCCTCTGGCTCGCCGGCCTCGCGACTCGTCGTGCTTTCCCCTTGGTTGAGCATGGCGAGGACTTCTTCGATCTCCACCGCCCCTCGTCGTCCATGGCCCGCTCCGTGGGCGGCGACGTGCGCCGTCCGCGTCTTCTCCCACGCCGACGGCTCGTTCCGCTCCAGGCGCTCGTACACCAACGGCGGCACCCCGTGGGCCGGGTCTCCCCAGCTCCATCTCTGCCGCGTCGATCTCGATCGCGGCGTAGTGGGGGTTGTTCCTCTTCAACCAGACAAGGGCTCTCTCGACGACTCGCCGCCTCACCGATAGGAGACTCGACAGATCGCTCGGTGTCGGCCTTAGCGCCCCCTGCCACGAGACGTGGATCTCGTCCATTACCTGGAAGAGAGGGTGCGGCAGCACGTCCGTCGCCAGCTCTTGTACGTTGTTTGGGAACACCGTGATGTGGCCCTTGACGTGCTTGGGATACCTTAGCGTCTGCTTCTGGCCGCCTGAGACGTTGTACCTGGTTACGAATCCGTAGCACGAGTTCAGCGCGATCAGCTTCTCCTCCACCGGCGTCAGGCCCTTGAGCTCATCCGGGAACGTGTGCTCACAACCGAGACGTCTATGAAGCTGCGCCGCTGGCGACAGCACACCGCACGCCAAGCGTCGAGAACACTCTGCGCAAACCGGGACAGGCTCGCCCTCGCGGAAGCAACTCCGGCACGCAAATGGCGACCACCCAGCCTTAGGGATAGGACTTGACAACCACTGGTCCCATGCCACCTCCCTCAGCTCTTTTCTCGTGCGCTTCCGGTAGCACAGCATGCACGTCCGTATCGGCAGCGTGTCCACGTCGTGGAACGCCCGGTAGAAGCTCCGCACCGTTGATACCTTCCTCTCGTGCGGCACTGGTGTGCACCACGTTTGCTCGTTGGACAGCCTCTCCTTCGCGGCGAATTCCTCCCAAGGTGACGTAAGACGCCGGCCAAATCCTCCGCCTGTGACTCACGGCTCCTCTGCCTCCGATGGCCGCCTCGACTACGTTTCGCCTGGGGCTGGTCTCGGTCGGGCAGGCGGTTCCTCTTTCTCTGTTCCACGGGCTGCGCAGATATTGCCGCTGCCTCGTCTCGCCTCGGCCGATCTTGTTCTCCCGCCGCCGCCTGACGTGATGGCCGTGGTGTCAACTGTCCGGATGACTGCAAATATCCGGCTCCATCCTCCATCTCTCTAGCTTCGATTGGCTGGAGGGGGGATGCCCTGACGACTCCGGGCCAAGTCCCGACACTGGTTGCCGGCCGACCCGGTCCCGCCTGGCGTCCGCATCGCTGCAAATCTCCTGTCCCATCTTCTATTTCTCTAGGTTGGATTGGCCGAACGAGGGACTCCCCGACAACTCGAGACGAGATCCCGACCCTGGTTGCCGGCCGATTCCGTCCTGCCTGGCGTGGTGGCCGTGGTGGCAGCCGTCCGGATGACTGCACATCTCCTGCTCCATCCCCACCTCCTAGATTGGCCGCCTCGAGTACGTTTCGTCAGTGGCTCGTCTCGGTCGGGTTGCCGGTTCCTCTTTCTCTGTTCCGCTGGCCGCGAAGATCTTGCCGCAGCCTCGTCTCGCCTCGGCCGGTCTTGTTCTCCCGCCGCTGCCTCCCCTGATGGCCGTGGTGGCAACCGTCCGGATGAGTGTGTATCTCCGGCTCCCTCTTCCATCTCTTTCGGTTGGATCGGCTGAACGACGTACTCCCTGACGACTACTCTGGGCGAGGTCCCGACCCTGATTGCCGGCCGACCCTAAGGCGCTCCTGACAACTCGAGACGAAACCCCGACACTGGTTGCCGGCCGATCCTGTGCTCCTGGGCGGCTTGGTGTCCGTCGGGGCCCCTGGGCCTCGTCTGCGCACCACCCCTTCGCTTTCTAGTCGTGCCCCTCTGGACGCCCTCCACGACCCGGACGTTAGACCCGCCCTCGTCCGGTGGAGCTATGTGTCCGGCCGCGCCCTGACCCTTTCGGCTGGATGGGTTGTTGCGGCAAGCGCTGGCTTACGTCCTCTGGCCGAGATCTTGTTAAACGTCGCGCTGCCCCAGAGGCACCATCAACGCGCGCCGTATTTTTTCGCGACCGACTGCCTCGCCGACTTCCCTGAGGCGACGCTCTTTCGGGTGCTTCCGCTTGCTCTCCTCCTGAGACCTCCCCGGACATCGGCGCTTGCTTCGCCTCGATAGGCCGCAACCCAGGTGCCGGGCCCGCTTGACTTTCGCGGCCCAACGCCCGCTTCGGTCCTTCGTCCGTCGCGCTCGGTCTCGCCTTCGCAGTATTCCTCCTCGTAGCAGCGGCCGCTGCCCCGATGCACGACCCGGCCTCGCCAGAAGGACGATTGTGCCCGGCCACGTCCTGATCCCTTTGGGCTGGATGGGCCGGGGCGACTGCAGGCTCGCCTCTCCCAGCCGAAATCCCATCCTGCTTGTCGGTCTCCCCCTCCTCTGTTCCCCGGCACCAGTTGTCCGCCTAACAAGACCCTTCAGAGTCATCCGTACGCCACCGATGAGTTGCCCAGGCCGAACGATCTCGTGGCCACCTCCGGCCGCGACGGAAGATCCCCTGCCGCTTAGGCATTCGTTTCGCCCAACCAAGACCCTGGGGCGGGTGGTGCTTGCAGAGCAACTATGCCTGGTGCGCCTCTCGCCACTCCTAGCCCTCATCTCCTTCGCCAACGTGTGCCGCTGCGGTACGAGGTTGTCGGCCGCTCCCTCCAACACAGCGCCAACGGACGGCGTAAGACCCCGCCTAGCCGGCTCAGCAACTACCGACCCTATTGTGGCAGCGTCTGCTTCTATGCTTGGACACCTATCACGCGCGTTTATCGCTTCTGAGCGTCGCGCCCGCCCTCCCTTCGAGGAGGCGCCATTGACGTGCGTCGTCTTTCCCGCGGCCAACCGCCTCGCCGACTTCCCTTGGGCAACGCTCTTTTGAGTGCCTCTGCTTGTTCTCTTCGTGAGGCCTCCTCAGCCAGCGTTGCCTGCTTGGCTTCGATAGGCCGGAACCTAGGTACCGTATTAGCTTGGCTTTCATGGTCCGAGGCCCGCTTCGGCCCTTCGTCCGTTGCACTCAGTCTCCCCGCCGTAATGCTCCTCGTCGCAGCAGCGGCCGCTGCCACCGTCGCTATTTCGCACCTCTTGCCACCAACCTAGCCTCGCGGCTAGGATTCTCCCCCATGCTGGTGCTTTCTTGACGGCTAGGCTCTGCAACCGTACGATGGATAGGGAAGCTTTCGCTCGCGATATACGCTGGGATTGCCTTGCTTCCCGGCGATGGCGTTCCGCCGTATCGCCATTCTTCCTACCAGCGGTCTGTCTCCAGCAACCTTATAGTCTTTATAACTCGGGGACAACGCGGCAGTGCTTGTCCGGGACAGACCCCCTCCCTTCTCCCCCGCGGTTCCTAACTCCGCCGCCACGCGTCTTTCCCGGCGGACGGCCTCGACTAGCCCATGCGCAGGAGCTGACACCATAAAAATCTGCCTGGCGAGGTCTTCTCCTCCCTCCTCGGTTCTCCTCCGCATCTTTCTATTTGGCCGTTGCAAATAGGCGGCCAAAGGAACATTGTGCTAATCTTTCTTTTTCCTCGGTATCTCTTAGTATTCCTGCTGCACCGAAAGTAGGAATGGCCCTCCTTCAGCTCGCCCTCACCTATAACGGTTGCTTCCGGTCCCCTCTTTCCCGACCTTCCCTATCAAGTGTAACCACGACCTTCCTGCAACACCTCCCCGTGCGCTTTGTACGTGTTATATATTAGGTCGGTCTCTACCCCCCGCGAGGAGGGCAAACTAATTGGTGTACAACAGGGCGTGGAAAGGTATGACAAGGTTCCCTGTGCTGATCTTGCCTGCTTCATCCCCGGCCCCCTTATCTTCAGCCTTCTAAAACGCCCCCTGTTTATGTCCTTCCTTATTGATGTCCTCCTTTTGCATCAGGCCTCTGCTCTCCCAGGCCTGCTGGGCTTCCTCTGGACCTATCGGCAGGCTTATCTGCCGACAGCCCTAGCTTTCGGCCTCCTATGCCGCCAGCCCTGCCGGACACTTTAGTCCGCGCCGCCCTTGGTGCCTGATCGGAACCCAGCTACACGACACCACTACGCATCTCTTCAACGTCCGTTTACTTACAGCGGCAAGGCTCCTCGCCCTTCCCGGCGAATCTATGTCACCATTGATCTATCCCAAGTGCTTTCACGCTCGACTTCTTCCCTACTCCTTTCTTTCTTGACACTGAGCACTGGTCATTTTCGTGCGCGCGACTGGCCTATCGACCTGCGTTGCTGCACCATGTCTTCCTCTCTACCTCCCATCGATGTGCCCGCACCACACCTTCGAAAGCCGCTCGATAGCCAGAGGGCGCTGGCGGCGAGATGTCCATGGTGTTTTCGTCCAGCCGGATTGCCCCGTTAGATTTGCCCACCAGGACGAGCACCGCATCAAGGGTCTTAACGCCGAGGCCATGGCCCGCGTCTTGCTGCCTCCGCCCGCCTGGCTGCTCGCGATGGGATATGCGCCCCTCCGATCGGAGGCCGACGATTCCCGACATCCGTCTTCTTTAGTCTCAATCTCTCGATTTACGGCCAGCCTATTGATGCCTCAAAATGGACGGAAGAGTGGTTTTTCATGAATGGCCGCGTCCACCCTACGCCCTTGCGTGGAGATTGAGCAGCGCGACGGCCTGGAGTCCGACACGGGCGGCACCCTTCTCTATACGATGCCCGCCCTTGTCGTCCGCGACCAAGGCTACCAGCCGTAAGCCGTGCCCTGTTCCTCGCAAGTGCCAACGAAAGATACATAGCTAAGGTGGGCCTGAAGCGTTCTTCCTAGGCTCTTGGCCCCTATGGACGACTTCCCCTGCGTCCCGCCTATTGTTTCCTTTACCGGCCTTATCGTCGGCACCGGCCACTCCTTGCTCCGGCGGGACCTCCTGCCGGGTCTAGACGCCGCCCAGCTTAACTGTTGCGGCTTTGTCCGCCTTTCTACCTACGTCGCTCCTGGGATGCCCAATAAACTCCCCTTCAAGGGCTTCCACCCTTCCAGGTCTTCGTCATCTTCCTATTCGCGCTAACCCTGGGCCATCTTGTGTAAGAAGATGGCCGAGAGGCGGACTCTCAATTCCAACCCAACGTCCCTTTACTTGCACAGCCAAGGTCGCCGGCCTGCTCCGTCATGACGTTATGCTCTATCCCCAGGCTCCGACCGGGACAACGTCTTTATTGTCGTCCCGGATTCTTGGACATTTCTCGACAAGGCCGCCGCCGTCACCCCAATGACACCACTTCTCTCTACACCACAGAGGCAGCAGGCGTCCTCCCCTTCCGCGGCCTTTCAGGACATGCGCGCTGCCTCTTTGTCTTTGGCCACCCCTGGCACCCTCCCGCTCAGCCCTCCACCTTTGGCTTCGGCTTCGCCCTCGACCGGCCCCCTTGGGCCGCCCGGGAAGCGATGTTGCCCCGAGCCTGCCGATACGCCGACGAAACGACCGCGGCTGCTGCATAAGGCCCCGGTGCCTTCGTCTTCCCTAACCCTGGCTCATCTGCCACCCAGTCGTTCTCTGTTTCGGCTGCCTCCTTGACATCTAAGCCGGATAGCCTAAACGGGGTCATGTCTTGGGGACTCTTCCCTCCATTCCATTGTCGCGCATGGCTTGGACTCGCCGGCCCGTCCACTCCGAAACCGTCCCCTATCTAAGAAAGCTACCGAAACGGAATAACGATGCGAAACCATAAACTGCTACAGTTTCCTAAACGAGTAAGACAGTTAAATCTTATACTTTAAGTTAACCTACTCCTTAACCCTACCCTGGTTCTATCACTCTTTTTCACTCCGTCCTTAAGTCCCCCCTGTTCTTACTCCATCCTCAATCCTCACGTCTGCCCCTTTTTTCTTCCTTAAGTTTTTTTCCCTGTAGTCTTTCGTTCCTCAAGGCTCTTTGCGCAACCCCCGTTGGGTTGCCTCTCCTGTGCCGCAACCACCACAAAAACCTTCAAATAGATGACTCCCTCTCCAACGTGCCTTCGAAAGGACTTCATTAGCGCGCGGGGAAAAAAGGCCCCAGACTGCTTCACCCCCACATCCTCCGCCTCTGATTGGCTGATTTATTTCCTCTTTCGGAATAAAAGATCCCGTGTGATTGGTCGCCGACCCTTCCGTCCCTCCCTCATCATTGGTCGCTGCCGCCTTTTCTTGCCCCTCTCATGCCTTGCCCTGTTTCCCCCCCGTTTATACTCCTGTTTACCCCCTTGCCAATGCCAATGCCAATGCCAACCTTTTTCCTTTCGTCCGCCGGTTTTCTTATTGTGTCTAAAACTTGCGTCTTTTGTCTTTGCCCTTTTCGTTCATGCCTTTCTAGCGGGTTCTTCCTTCAAGTCTAAAAGTCGCCCCTCGTTGATCGCTGCTGCCCAGTGCCCTTGTCTTCTTGCCCGCCGGCGCTCCTCCGTCTTCTCCCCTCGTCACCTCACCTGACAACTCTCCTTGACTCTTCAGCGTCGCCATCCGACCGACGCAAAGCTTCCTCGACAGTCCTCTCGCTTAGCACCTCCAGCCTGGCCTGCGCGGCGGTCATCTCTTCGGGGACTCGGTTGCCCACCAAGTCTCTCCGCACCTTGGACACGAGCGTGATGCCGTCTAGCGTTCGACAGCGCGATAGCTGCACATATAAGCTGTACGGGTCGCATTGCGAGGCACGGCCCTTCCATCGACTTTCGTCGTCCGTGTCCCCGCAGCTCCAGGGCCACGCGCTCTGGCGTTCTGCCCTGCACCTTGTAGTCCGTGCAGGCGAAGGCTGCTGCGCACGGCAATCCCTTCCGGCTGACGTCGTTCTGCTGCCACGGCCGCTTTCGTTGGCAGTGTATCCTGACGCTCATCGGCGTTAACAAGATCGTGCCCGGCGGCATCCCGACGAAGTGGAGGTCCTTTGTCGTCGCCGATTCCAGTAATATCCCCGCCGGCGGCCCGAAGTGGATCGTCATGTCGGACGAGATTCGATGCCCTGGGGACGCCTTGTCGACAATGACCTCCACCGCCGAGTAGCCGGCGCCGTTCACCAGCTTCAGCCCCTGATGGGTGTTGTGGTTCACGACGACCGGCATCCCGGCCACGAACATGAAGACGGCCGGCACGGGGATCGCGCTATCGTCGCCTTGATTGAGTACCATGATCGCTTCTTCCTCGGTCGGCAGGCCCTCCTTCCACTTGTGCTCGGAGATGAAGATGCGCATCGTCGACCGCTGCTGGACCCGGAACGCCAAGCTTGCCTCCATGTTTAGGTTCCACCGATTCCTGTTCAGCGGCGTCACCACGGTGATGCCAGTCTCCCAAGGGATCCGCCTGCCCTCGCGGTAGCACCTTGAGTTGAGGAGGTCCAGATCCGTGCGGTCCTGCACACCCTGCCGGATCCGCTCAGCAGCCCCTGCAATTCCGGATCACCGGCGGCGCGCATTTGCTCGTTCAACATGACGACCGTCGTGAATCTCTTCCACAGCGCGTGCGCTTTGTCGTGCTGGTGCCGCTGCTCGGCCTTGAACGAGTTGTCTACGTCCCACGAGATGGCCGCGCTCGGCAGGACGATCGACCTCTCTTGGACCGGCCGGAACTGCTGAAAGTCTCCGCAGAAGAGGACGATGGGGATCCCCGAAATCTTTCTGCGATCCGCGAAGCCGACAGAGTCGCTCGTTTATGGCGTGCAGCGTCCGCGCTCCGAGCATGCTCACCTCGTCGATGACAAGCACGTCCTTCTCCTGCCAGTCCATCCGAGACTGGCCGTGGATGAACCGCTCCGCCCGTTTTGTCAGCCGCACCCCGTCAAGGTCCTTGGCTGTGTTCGCGCCGCCCGCCCCTTGGTCTTTAGTGAACCCGCAGGCGGGTGGATCGTGATGCCGTTGATCTGCGCCGCGGCAGTCCTGACGTCGCCGTGATCAGCAGACGATTCGAAAGGCTCTTCCCACTGAACAGCTCGACGAGTGCCCCAATGATCCGCGACTTGCCGGTGCCCCCCTCGCCGCCGACGAACTGGCAGAGCTGGCCGGCATCGCCCCTATTCGTTTGTCGCATCAAATCGAGCTGGCGGCATATTATTAGGAAAGCGATCGACTGCCTCTTGTTCAGCGTTAGCCGTGTTGACAACTCCTTGCCCGCCGCGAAGAAGGAGGTCGATGGGCCAAGCTGGACGCGCATTCCCGCTTCTGCGTCGCTAGCCGTCTCGTCGGAGTCGGCTGTCGTCATTTCGACGTCGTCCTCCCCGAAGCCGGTCATCACCCTCCGCAACGCAGCTCGGCGATCGCTTTCCCGGACTGCGACTGTGGTTTGTACGCCTTGGATCATTCTCTCCCTTTCCCTCGACGCACTTATCTGCTGCGACTTGATAGCCTTGACCTGATCCTGCGGCGGTAGTGCGGCCCCGGAAAATACCCGCCCTGGCATGCTTATGCACCTCAACCCTTGTTCGGGAATCGCGATGGCCTCGAGCTCGGCCGTTGAGCAGAGCGCCGATTGCTGGAATCGACAGAGCTGCCGCATCATTGCCATGAGCTCCGGCGACTTGGCCGTCACCTGATTCGTGCCCACTGCGCCTCGGACGACGTCGATCAGGCGCGTTGCGTCTCCGATGTTGTTGGACCGATACGTCGCTGCAAATTCTGCGCCCGCCTCGCCTGTCTCGCCCTCCTCGACGTGGGCGACCGTGGAATCGCCATCGCCGGATGAGGCCGCCCATTGCTTGGCGTCGCGCTTTGCGTCTTCGGCTGATCGTCGAAGCAGCTGCACGTTGTCGACGAGACATGATATTCTCGGGGCCATAGCGTCTCGAGCCCGCGCCCAGATGCTATTGATCTCACCTGTTTCTTCGCACAGAAAGGACTCCCACGGCACAAATAGCGCAAGATGCTGCACGGCTGCCCTTTAAGGGGGGAGGTTAGCCACTCTGATGATGCCTGCCGGCAGGGCGGTTGCTATACACACCTCCGGTGGCACGACTCCTCGTCGTCGTTGTGGCCGAAGTCCTTGCTCAGGTAGCCATCGAGGCAGACGGTAGCATGCTTGCCCGGCCGCCTGAGCACCTGGACCCAGCGTCTCCTGGCGCCCATCCATCCTCGAAGGGCACCTCCCCAGGCCGCACAGCTCTCATCCTTACTGGTGCGTTTTAGTCTAACGAGCGATATGTAGTCGTATAAGCATAGCCCTCGCAGGAGCTCTCCCGGTGCTGGTACGCCTCAACGTGGGAGATCCTCAGGCCTGCTTCTTCGACAACGACCGACTCATCCAGAGTATCATCTATGGCCGCCGCTCGCCCGTCGGAGATACGGCCACCGTCGAAAGACTTCCCAGTACAGCAGAGATGTGTTCAGGTACGCCCAGGCGCTGCTGTTGGTGAACTCGGCCGGATATCCAAGAAGATGAGCGACGACCTCGACCTGAGATAGCGGACGCTCCGTGAACACACGATTCGCCACCCTCATCAAGAACTGTCGCGTCCTGTTCCCTTGGCGGCGTCATCGCCAACAGCACCTCCACCGTCGTCCTGTCCTCCGTTGGCCGTGCCGTCACCCGTTGAGGCGGCCAGGAGATCGGCCGCGGCCGCCACGCTTCCACACCGGGTCCTCCACCTTCGTCGCGTAGTTCGTGACATAATACATAAGGGCCATGGTCTTGCGCTGCGTCGCAATGAAGGAAATGTCGTGGTTGTGCCGGAGCCCAACAGCGATAGCCTTGTTCCATCGATTGACCATGCTGTGAGTCCTCCGGATCTGCAACACCCCGTCTGCCGTGATGGCGGTCTTGTCGACCAACCTCCATGGAGACTTAAACCGGCATAGATTCCCTTTCCGCGCTCCTTTGCCCAAGGAATACTTGACACAGGTCGGGCTATGCGTGTGAACCTGTGTAGCGCCGGCACAGAAGTTGGCCTCCTCGTCAAATGCGGCCGAAAACTGCTCGGTGTTGTCCAGCAGGAGGAAATATCGGACGTCACAGATCGCTCCGCTTGCACGGCGCAGAACCCTTCCTGATCCAGATCCTATCTTGCGTCAGCCTGGCCCCGTTTGTCCATCGGACGAGCAATTCAGGTTCTCAGTGACACGTCTTAGCTATTCTTACCTCGAGAAGACACTATCGACGTATCGTATGATTCGCTCGCGATACGCCGCCTGATCCTCCCCGTGGATGTCGGCAAGCATCGAGCTGAGATGCGCGTTTCCGTGCAACCAGAGCAAGCCGTGAACATGAAGCGCCCCTCGTTCGTTGGTCTCCACAGCGCCATAGTACTTGCCGATGCGCCCGAATACCGACTCTTCTCCGACCTTCACGTAATGATCGAAGAACAGCTTCATCTCCCGGTGGAAGAATACGGCGGCGCTCATCGGATCGGACATGGCCAGCCTTGTCCGCTTGTACGCACTCCCAAGGCCTTCTAGGAACTCCTCGGCCGCGCCGGGATCGCGTGTCCGATATGCCGCCAGTCGCAGCTTCACCGGGTTCGTAATGTCGTTTGGGTTGATGGTGAACCAGATGGCCGGAACGCCGTAGCCAACGATGAGCGACTGGATTTTCCGCCGCATATTGAGCCTAACCTCTCGACATGGGTTGCCGGTGGCCGTACAGCGAGAGGCTCCTGAGAAGCTCCTTCACGCCCTCATCGGTCGTCTTGCCCGAGCTCTCCAACTCGACCCTCGCCGCCGCTAACCTTTGCGCGGTCATCGAGCGGGCAACGCGCTCGACCTTGCCGAAGTCCTTCCTCGCCACACTCAGCATGCTGACGCGGCGGTTCCTCGACCGCACCCCATGTTGAAGACGAAATGCAAATATGTGGTGCAACGCAAACCGGCCACCATGGCGCCGGAGCACGATGTCGGCCCAAATCCGGAGGTTCAAGCTTCGGGAGGATACGATGTCTCCGCTGCCGCCCCTGCCTCAGCAGCTCTACCGGTGCCTCGCAAGTTGGTAGGGCCTTCCCCGCCTCGGCTATGGCCTCTTCGGCCAGCCTTGGTCCCCAACGCCAAATGGGAACAGGGTCGGGAACGTTCTGGCGAAGAAGGACGTCTCAAAGAGTCGGCAAACTCATCCCCGCGAGACTCGAATGTATGGCTCACTGCCATCGTCGCCACGCCCTCGACCCCACCGAGGATCCGACCCACGTTCTCGGCCCGCGCGGCCGTCGTCGGCACCTGCGCCAACAGCGTCACAGGCAAACCGCAGCTTCTCGACATCCGCCACGTCTGGCGGTCCGTCCAGCAAACATGCCGGAAGACGTCACCTCGTTGATTGGTCGAACGTTCTGATCGGGGCTAGCACCAACTCCATCACGACCCGCGCCTTCTTCGTTGGGCCCGTGCCCTTCAGCCTCGCCTCCCGTTTCCTGCCTTTGGTTGAGCAGAGCGAAGAGTTCCTCGATCTCCACCGACCCCTCGTCGTCCATGGCGCGCTCCGTGGGCGGCACAACGTGCGCCGTCCGCGTTTTCTCCCATGCGGACGGCTCGTTCCGCTCCATGCGATCATACACCAAGGCCGGCACCCCGTCTATCGGGTCTCCCCAACTCTCCATCTCCGCCACGTCGATCTCGATCTCGGCGTAGTGGGGGTTGCTCCTCTTCAGCCAAACAAGAGCCCTCTCGACGACCCGCCGCCTCACCGACAAGAGACTCGACAGGTCGCTCGGTGCCGGCTTCTCCACGCCCTGCCACGAAACGTGGATCTCGTCCAGTGCTTGCAAAGGGGTGCGGGAGCACCTGGTCGCCAGCTCCTGCACGTTGTTGGGAAACACTGTGATGTGGCCCTTGACGTGCCTCGGATACCTCACGGCCTGCCTCTGCCCGCCCGGAATGCTATATCTCGTGACAAACCCATAGCAGGAGTTGAGCGAGACGAGCTTCTCTTCGACCAGCGTGAGTCCCTTGAGCTCGTCAGGGAACATGTGCTCACAGCCAAGGCGAGTGTGAAGATGGACCGCCGGCGACAGACTCCCGCGCGCCAGGCATCGGGCACTCCACACACACCGACACGGGCTCGCCTTCGGGAAAGCAGCTCCGGCATGAAAATGGTGAGCGGCCGCCCTCTGGCACGCAGCTTGACAGCCATTGATCCCATCTGATCTCCCTCAGCTCTTTTCTCGTACGCTTGCGGTAGCTGTCATGCAGGTCCGTATCGGCAACGTGCTCGCATCGTGGAACGCCTGATAAAAATCCCGCACCGTCGACACCTTCCTGTCGTGCGGTATTGGCGTACACCACGTCTGATCGTTAGACAGCCTCTCCTTCATGGCGAAGTCTTCCTCCAAAAAACGCAGCACACTCGCCAGGTCTTCGGCCCGCAGCTCCCGACTCCTCTGCCTTCCGATTCCACTCCGAATCTGTTTTCTCGGGCGCTCGTCCGGACCAGGAAGACGTTTTCTCTTCTCCCGCCTCCGGGGCCGCCTCCGGGCCGCCTCCGATCCATGATTTCTTCTCTCCGTGGCTGATTCGCTTCTTCGCAAGCCGTCGGATGCGGCAGCTTTGGCGACGACTGCCCGACTACGTGCGCATCCCCTGACACGCCATCCGGCCCTTTGCACTGGACAGGCACCGGGCCGTGCTGGCGAACGTTTTCCACGCCGAACCTTGACCTCAGTCCTTGCCCTTTCCAGCACTCTCCTCGTTCTTGCTGCCGATCAAACTGCACGGGCTCCCCAGCCGCCACCCGCGATGAGCCGCCCACCTCCCTTTGCTGCAGCCTCCGCCCGCTCAGCGAAGCGTCCGCTGGCTCTGCCGCGGCGTCGCCCACCCCCACAGGAGACGGCCCCGGATGCTGCGCCGTACCTGCTGCGTTGGAGACACCCCTGCGGCCTGGTACTCCCTTTACCCGCCAACTCCGTCCCCGACGGCGCTTGGGCAAACCAGACGCAATCGCTGCTGCTAATTGCCCGTTTTCTCTTAAGTTGTCGAATACCGGTTCCCTAGGCTGGATGGATCGAAGCTTCGGTACCTCCTTCGAATGAACACTCGGGACATCGCCCGCCGCCGCCGTAACACGTTGCTCCTCATCTTCAGGATCTCCTCCTGAGGCAGAAAGTGCCGATGAGGAGCGGACGATCAGAGTCCGCTACCCCATATCTCCACGTTCCCTAGGCAACAGGGGCCTCGGAAGCTGACCCGGTGACTGATGTTGCGCGGAACTTCCGCTGCTAACCATATTATGGAACTTCCGTGCTCTGTTTGACCGCAAACCGCCTCGCGGCGGTCTTCTCGGCAACGACCTCGCAATTGCTTCTGCGTGCTGTCTCCATGCGGTGTCTTCAACCACAGGTTTCCTAGGCTGAATCGGCCGGAACGTTGATGCCGCATTCGCCCGTGATTCGTATCTTCGTAACCGTCCCAGGCTCTCCCCCCGTGCTCTGCGGCCCCTCTCAGAAGCTGCCACCACATCTACACCGGCTCCTGTCGCACCATCTCCGAGCCCCGAACCCGACCCGCTCACGTTCTCACCCTCTTCTCCATCCCCGACTGACAACGAACAGGCTTCAGGGTGAGCAACCGCCTCGCTTAACTTCACTGCAGGACTGTCCGCCATGCTGCTGCCTCCTCGACGTCGACTGCCGTAAATTGGCAACAGGCTATAAAGCTTTGGCTCGGGCACCTCCACTTGGACAGTCTCGCTTGTTGACGACGCTACTTCTCCCGAATGGGAGCTCCTAACCATCACTTCCCTGGCCGTGGCGTTTCTTCCCTTATAGCTTCCTATAAAATGCTTCCCTATGGTACCGAGGCGATGCAATACCCTCTATATTCCCCGTTACCATGCCTATCTATGTGCGTCCACCGTCCCGGCCTCGCCTGGTCTCCACGTGCGACCTGCTACCCCGGCTTTGCCAAAGCGACCCTTCCATCGCCGTGCTCTCTTTTGCGCACTCCAGCGAATCCTGGCCCCTGCCGACCTCCGGCACATGGAGATGGCCGCGACAACCGCCTGCCGCACACTTCAAACCATACTCTTCAGCCCTTCCAACACCATCCTACCAACCTTGCGCATCAGTTCACCATCAATACCCGCCAATCCGCCTCGTCGAGCAACAGCCACAAGGCTGCCGGCGATAACATGTCCATGACGTCCCTCATGCAGCCGGACTACCCTTCTAGATTTGCTCCCTCGCCAGCACCAATGTCGCATCAACGGCCTTAATGCTAAAGCGATAGCCAGGACCCCCCTGCCTGTCCTCTTGTAGTCGCTAGCCACCGGAGTCTCGACTTGCAAACCCTCTTGGAAAGTTCTCGTGACCAACTCGCATCCTCCTCCTCAGGTCGACCCATATATCCGACTTCACCGTGTCCCAATAGTAGACTCGACACGGTCGGCACCCGCCTCGCTCAGCCGCACGCAATGCCCATCCAACTACCGACGACCGTCAAAAAGGGAGTCCTGCAATACCACCATAACCTCTTTCTTTCCTTCACTCTCATTCGTTATTGCCCCTTTGCTATCTACTCCATGCAACGATGACACGAAGGGGACTACTGGACTTTCTTTCTCCGCAGTCTTACCCACACTAACCTTACCGTTCGCCGACCTCCAACTTCTCGCAACATAGCCATCACCCCTACTCAACTTCCAACCCCGGCTCCTACTTCACTCACGACCACAGAACCAGATGGTCGAGACTGCTCGAGAACCTCGCCAGCTCATTCCCGCATACCCCCGCTTCTGATCTATCACCTAGGTAGCATTCACTGACTCTCAAGTCTCCCCGACCCGAGCCGCGAGCCCTCTTTCGAGCAGCAAGAAAACCTGCTTTATAGGATGCCTACCTCTACTCTGCCTAACCCCTCCTTTACACTTCCACGGTGACCACATCTGCCATGTTCTCACGATGTCGGCCTCCCAGCTCGACGTCGATACCTCGTCCTCCCCGCGGCAACCTCTTGACAGCCAGAAAAATGCTGGCGCCGACATGTCCATGATGGCCTTTGTCCAGCCCGGCTGCCCGTCTAGGTTCGCCTACCAGAATGAGCATCGTGTCAAAGGGCTCAACGCAGAAACCCTAGCGAGGGTCTTCCTTCCAACGCCCTCATGGCTGTCGACTCCAGAGTATGCAGCAATCCGGTCAGATCCTGACAATCCATCGACCTGCATCTTCTTGAGCCTTAATATTTCCATATACAACCAACAGATAATCCCCTCGGAATGGACCGAGCAGTGGTTCTTTATGGTCGGCCGTGTTCATCCCTTTGCCCTGACGTGGAAATCGAGCGACGTGATAGCTTCGAGTCGGAGGATGACAACATTACAGAATACACCATCCGGCTCTCATCGTCCGCGACCACAGCTACCAGCCGTAGGTGTATGCTCCAGACCTCCGTCACCACTACCATCTCTGACGATGGCCACAGAGTCATCCTCGCACCCTCGGCTCGGCGGATGCCTTCCAGCGATACAACCCATTGTCTCCTTCACGGGACCTGTCATCGGTTCCGGCCGCGACCTTCTGCATGGAAACTCGGCTGCGGCCCTTGACGACACCCAGCTGAGCTGTTGCGGCTTTGTCCAGCTCTCGACCTTTATCTGTCCTGGGATTCCGGGCAAAACACCCTTCAAGGGCTTTCATCCCTTTCAACTTTTCGTCATCTTCCCCATTCACGCCAATCCTTGGACCTCCTATGCAAGAAGATGACCGAGAGGCGCGATAGCCAGTTCCAGCCGAACGCTCTCCTCACCTGCACGGGCAAAATCGCCGGCTTACTCGATCACCAGATCATGACACATGCCCCGGCCTTCGAGCAAGACTATATCTTCATCGTCGTCCCCGATACATGGACTTTCCTTGACAGGGCCATGTCCAACCAGGCTTCTGCGACACAGCTACTGCCGACGACACCCAGGGCTCAGTCGGCAACCCTCGGACTATAGCGATGCGTTGGCCAGGTTTACCTCTACCAAAACGCAATGCCGCCCCAAGCGGCGCCTCCCCCACGCCGCCTGCATCTAGGTCAGTCGATCCCCTTATGATGACATCAAAGCGGTCATTGCCCGATCCCGACCAAACCCCAACCAAGAGACCGCGACTTTCTCCAGAAATTTCCACCATAGTCGCCGCCTGTGATAGTCGAGGCCCGCCAAATCCGACACTTCCTCCCTTCTGTCCACGAAGACCCCGGAGACTCAGAGACGGACACCGAGCCAGTCAATCACCCAGCCACATCCGCCTCTGGCCCTATCAGACCTCCGGCGTCAATCTCTTCCCGACCCCACCGCGCCCGACATCCGCCCAAGAATATTCTGTAAAGCAACGAACGAAACAACACAACATGACAAGGAACATGTTTCATCATCCTCAAACTCAAGTGCGAAAGGCCTAATGGGATATTTCCTTCTCCTCTTGCTCTCCTTTTCACAAAGACAATCCAGTCAAAACTTCTCCAATATACTCCTTATTCTGTTTATATCCACCACTTATAGCACCTGTAAATCCTCAGAGCCTTCCACTCGCCCACACATGCATTACCCACCCACAACTCTCTTCACCCCTGCCGCCTCTCCACGCCCTTTGCGCCTTTGCAAGCAAAATCTCCTTGCAGCGGCCTAGGCTGCCTCTCTGACGCTCTGTCTCGATTTCACTCACGATAATGCTCTACGTCTCTCGCCGGATCTCCATCTCATATCTCTTATCTCACTCTTCTTCCTGTCTTCCTCTCACTTCCCCTGTCTCCTATCTCCTGTCGCCAACTCTCTCCTCTCCCCGACTTTCTCCTGTCGCCATCGCCAACTTTCGTTCCGAAAGGCCTCTTTGCGCGAGCCGCGGCTGGCGAGCCTTCCCCTCGTGCCTTGAGGAACGAAAGGCCTTCTAACGTGCCCCGCAGACCCCGCCCTCTCCCCCCAAAAGTTCTCCGCCCCTTGATTGGTCCCTTGTGATTGGTCCCTCCTTGCCTCCCTCCTTGTTGGTCGCTGCCCTTCCCCCGGCTTCTGTTGCCTTTTCGCGTGCCTTATCCCACCACTGCCGACTCTTCCCGCCTGCCGAACTCTTCATCGCGTCACCTAGCGCGGCCGCCTTGACTCTTCAGCATCACCGTCCAGCCAGCGCAACGCCTCCTCAACGGTCCTCTCGCTCAGTACCTCGAGCCTGGCCTGTGCGGCAGTCATCTCCTCGGGACCCGGTTGCCCACCAAGTCTCTGTCCCGCACCTTGGACACGAGCATGATGCCGTCTAGAGTTCGGCAGCGCGATAGCTGCACGTACAGGCCGTACGGGTCGCACTGCGAGGGCACCACCGTTCCATCCATCTTCGTCGTCCGTGTCCCTCGCAGCTCGAGGGCCACGCGCTCCAACGTTTTGCCCTGCACCTTGTAGTCCGTGCACGCGAACGCTGCTGCGCACGGCAAACCCTTTCGGCTGACGTCGTTGCGTTGCCACGGCCTTTTTCGCTGGCACTGTATCTTAACGGTCATGGGTGTCAACAAGATCGTGCCCGGCGGCATCCCGACGAAGTGGAGATATCTCGTCGTCTCCGATTCGAGAATGATCCCCGCCGGCGGCCGAAGTGGATCGTCATATCGGCCGAGATCCGATGCCCCGGTACGCCTTGTCGACAATGACCTCCACCGCCGAGTAGCTCGCGCCGTTCACTAGCTTCAGCCCCTGGTGGTGTTGTGGTTCACGACGATGGGCATCCCGGCCACGAACATGAAGACGGCCGGCACCGGGATCGCGCTATCGTCGCCCTGGTTGAGTATCATGATCGCCTCTTCCTCCGTCGGCAGCTCCTCCTTCCACTTGTGCTCGGAGATGAAAATGCGCATCGTCGACCGCTGCTGGACCCGGAACGCCAGGCTCGCCTCCATGTTCAGGTTCCACCGATTCCTATTGAGCGGCGTCACCACGGTGATGCCCGTCTCCCAAGGATCCGCCTTCCCTCCCGGTAGCACCTTGAGTTGAGGAGGTTTAGATCCGTCCGATCCTGCACGCCTAGACGGATCCGCTTCAGCAGCCTCTGCAGCTCCGGGTCGCCGGCGGCGCGCATCTGCTCGTCCAGCATGACGACCGTCGTGAACCTCTTCCACAGTGCGTGCGCTTTGTCGTGCTGGTGACGCTGCTCGGCCTTGAACGAGTTGTCTACGTCCCACGAGATGGCCGCGCTAGGCAGGACGATCGACCTCTCTTGGACCGGCCGGAACTGCTGAAAATCTCCGCAGAAGAGGACGATGGGGATCCCCCCGAAATCTTGCCGCGATCCGCGAAGCCGGCGAAGCCGCTCGTTCACGGCGTGCAGCGTCCGCGCCCCGAGCATGCTCACCTCGTCGATGACGAGCACATCCTTCTCCTGCCAATCCATTCGAGACTGGCCGTGGATGAACCGCTCCGCCTGTTTCGGCAGCCGCACCGTCAAGGTCTTTGACCATGTTCGCGCCCCCCGCCCCTTGGTCTTTAGTGAACCCGCAGGCGGAGTGGATCGTGATGCCGTTGATCCGCGCCGCCGCAGTCCCCGACGTCGCCGTGATCAGCAGACGATTCGAAAGGCTCTTTTTACTGAACAGCTCGACGAGTGCCTCGATGATTCGCGACTTGCCGGTACCGCCCTCGCCACCGACGAACTGGCGCAGCTGGCAGGCATCGCCCCGTCGGTCTGCTGCATCAAATCGAGCTGGCGGCATATTATCAGAAAAGCGATGGACTGCCTCTTGTTCAGCGTCAGCCGTGTTGCCAACACCTTGCCCGCCGCGAGGAAGGAGGTTGATGGGCCAAACTGAACGTCCATTCCCGCCCCTGCGTCGATAGCGGTCTCGTCGGAGTCGGCCATCGTCATTTCGACCTCGTCCTCCCGAAACCGGTCATCACCCTTCGCAACGCTGCGCGGCGATCGCTTTCCCAGGCGGCGGGCGTGCTTTGTATCCCTGGATCATCCTCTCTCTCCTTCGAGGCTTACCTGCTGCGACTTGATAGCCTTGACCTGATCCTGCGGCGGTAGGGCGGCCCCGGGAAATACCCGCCCCGGCATGCTTAACCGCCTCCCCTCGTTCGATCAGCGCCGTGGCCTCGAGCTCGGCCGTCGAGCGCAGCGCCGATTGCTGAAACCGACAGAGCTGCTGTATCATTGCCATGAGCTCCGGCGACTTGGCCGTCACCTGATTCGCTCCCACTGCACCTCGGACGACGTCGATGAGCCGCGTTGCGTCTCCGATGCTGTTGGGCTGATATGTCGCTGCAGACTCCGCGCCCGCCTCGCCTGCTCCACCCTCCTCGACGTGTGCGACCGTCGGGTCGCCATCGCCGGACGAGGCTGCCCATTGCTTGGCGTCGCGTTTTGCGTCTTCGGCGGATCGTCGAAGCAGCTGCACGTTGTCGACGAGACATGATATTCTCGGGGCCATAGCGTCTCGAGCCCGCGCCCAGATGCTGTTGATCTCACCTGTTCCTTCGCCCAGGAAGGACTCCACGGCACGAACAGCGCAAGATGCTGCACGGCTGCCCTTCAGGGGGTGGGTTAGCCTCTCCGATAATGCCCGCTGACAGAGCAGTTGCCATACACACCTCCGGTAGCACGACTCGTCATCGTAGGTGAAGTCCTTGCTCAGGTAGCCGTCGAGGCAGACGGTAGCGTGCTTGCCCGGCCGCCTGAGCACCTGAACCCAGCGTCGTCCCGGCGCCCATCCATCCTCGAAGACCATCTCCCCCAAGCCGCCCAGCTCTCGTAGTTGCCGATGCGTTTCAGTCTGACGATCGATATGTAGTCATACAGGCATAGGCCTTTCAGCAGCTCTCCCGGTGCTGGTACGCCTCGACGTGGGAGATTCTCAGGCCTTCTTCTTCGACAACGACCGACTCATCCAGGTGTCATCCATAGCCGCAGCGCCACTGGCTTCTCGGAGATGCCGCCATCGCCGAAAGACTTCCCAGTACAGCAGAGAACAGTTCAGGTACGCCCACGCGCTGCTGTCGGTGAACTCGGCCGGATATCCGAGAAGGTGAGCGACGACCTCGACCTGTGATAGCGGACGCTCCGTGAACACGCGGTTCGCCACTCTCATCAGGAACTGTCGCGTCCTGTTCCCTTGACAGGGTCATCGGTGGCAGCGTCTCCGCCACCGTCCCGCCCTCCGTTGGCCGTGCCATCACCTGTTGAGGCGGCCAGGAGCTCGGCCGCGGCCGCCACACGCTTCCACACCGGGTCCTCCACCTTGGTCGCGTAGTTCGTGACATAATAGATGAGGCCATTGTCTTGCGCTGCGTCGCAATGAAGGAAATATCATGGTTGTGCCGGAGCCCGACAGCAATAGCCTCGTTCCATCGATTGACCATGCTGTGTGTCCTCCGGATCTGCAGCACCCCGTCTGCCGTGAGGGCGGTCTTGTCGACTAACCTCCATGGCGCCTTGAACCGGCAGAGGTCCCCTTTCCGCCCTCCTTTGCCCAAGGAATACTTCACACAGGTCGGGCTATGCGTGTGCACCTGCGTCGCGCCGGCACAGAAGTTGGCCTCCTCGATAAACGCGGCCGAGAACTGCGCGGCGTTGTCCAGCAGGGAACCAATACCGCCCGTCACAGATCGCTCCGCTTGCACGGCGCAAAACTTTCCTGGTCCAGATCCTGCCTTGCACGTCAACCCGGCCCCACTTGGCCATCAGAAGAGTACTTCAGGCTCCCGGTGGCACATCTTAGGTAGGCATTCTTACCTCTGAGAAGACGCTATCGATGTATCGGACGATTCGCTCGCGATACGCCGCCTGATCCTCCCCGTGGATGTCGGCAAGCATCGAGCTGAGATGCGCGTTCCCGTGCAGCCAGAGCAAGCCGTGAACATGAAGCGCCCCTCGTTCGTTCGTCTCCACGGCGCCATAGTACTTGCCGATGCGCCCGAATACCGACTCTTCACCGACCTTCACGTAATGATCGAAGAACAGCTTCATCTCGCGGTGGAAGAACACGGCCGAGCTCATGGGATCCGATATCGCCAGCCTTGTCCGCTTGTACGCACTCCCAAGGCCTTCTAAGAACTCCTCGGCCGCGTCGGGATCGCGTGTGCGGTATGCCGCCAGTCGCAGCTTCACCGGGTTCGTAATGTCGTTCGGGTTGATGGTGAACCAGATGGCCGGCACGCCATATCCGACGATGAGCGACTGGATTTTCCGCCGCATATTGAGACGGACCTCTCGACATGGGCTGCCGGTGGCCGTAAAGCGAGAGGCTCCTGAGAAGCTCCTTCACGTCACCATCGGTCGTCTTACCCGAGCTCTCCAACTCGACCCTCGCCGCCGCTAGCCTTTCTGTGGTCATCGAACGCACGATGCGCTCTACCTTGCGGAAGTTCTTCCTCCCCACACTCAACATGCTGACCCGGCGGTTCCTCGATCGCACCCCCATGTTGAAGACGAGAAATGCGAAGATGTGGTGCAGTGCAAATCGACCACCATGGCGCCGGAGCACGATCTCGGCCCACGCCTGAAGGTTCAAGCTTCGAGACGATACGGGTCTCCCGCGGCCGCCTCTGCCTCGACAGCCCTGCCTCGCAAGTTGGCCGTGACCTTCCCGCGTCGACCATGGTCTCTTCAACCAGCCTTGGTCCCCAACGCCAAATGGGAACAGGGTCGGGAACGTCCTGGCAAAGAAGGACGCCTCAAAGGAATCGGTAAACTCACCCCCGCGAAACCCGGATGTATGGCTCACAACCACCGTCGCCACGCCCCGAACCCCCGGCTAGGGACCCGACCCACGCTCTCGGGCGCACGGCCGTCGTCGGCACCTTCACCAACAGCGTCACAGGCAAACTGCAGCTTCTCCACGTCCGCGACGTCTGGCGGTCCGTCGAGCGCGAACATGCCAGAAGACGTCACCTCGTTGATCGCTGGAACGTTCTGGTCGGGGCAGGCGTCACTTCCATCGCGAACCGCGCCTTCTCCGTTGGGCCCGTGACCTTCACCCTGGCCGCCGGCTTCTTGTCCTTGGTTGAGCAGGGCGAAGAGCTCCTCGATCTCCACCGGCCCTCCTCGTCCATGGCGCGTTCCGTGGGCGGCACAACGTGCGCCGTCCGCGCTCTCCCACCCAGACGGCTCGTTCCGCTCCATACGATCGCACACCGACGACGGTACCCCGTGTATCGAGTCTCCCCAGCTCTCCATCTCCGCCGCGTCGATCTCGATCTCGGCGTAGTGGGGGTTGTTCCGCTTCAGCCAGACAAGGGCCCTCTCGACCACCCGCCGCCTCACCGACAAGAGACTCGACAGGTCGCTCGGTGCCGGCTTCTCCGCGCCCTGCCACGAGATGTGGATCTCGTCCAGTGCTTGCAAAGGGGTGCGGGAGCACTTTGGTGGCCAGCTCCTGCACATTGTTCGGAAACACCGTGATGTGGCTGACATGCCTCGGATACTTCACGCTCTGCCTCTGCCCGCCCGGAATGCTATATCTCGTGACAAACCCGTAACATGAGTTCAGCGAGATGAGCTTCTCTTCGACCGGCGTCAGTCCCTTGAGCTCATCGGGAACATGTGCTCGCAGCCAAGGCGACTGTGAAGGTGGATCGCCGGCGACAGGCTCCTGCGCGCCAGGCATCGGCCACACTCGGCGCACACCGACACGGACTCGCCCTCAGGAAAGCAACTCCGGCATGAAAATGGTGAGCGGCCGCCCTTTGGTACGCAACTTGACAGCCAATGATCCCATGTAATCTCCCTCAACTCTCCTCTCGTACACTTGCGGTAGCACACCATGCAGGTCCGTATCGGCAACGTGCTCGCATCGTGGAACGCCTGATAGAAGTCTCGCACCGTCGACACCTTCCTCTCGAGCGGTATTGGCGTGCACCACGTCTGATCGTTAGACAATCTCTCCTTCAAGGCAAAGTCTTCCTCCAAAAAGCGCAGCACACTCGCCAGGTCTTCGGCCTGCAGCTCCCGTCTCCTATGCCTTCCGATTCCACTTCGGACCTGTTTTATCGGGCGCCCATCCCGGCTAGGAAGACGGGCTCTCTTCTTCCGCCTCCGGGACTGCCTCTGTCCGCGCAGCGAGCCGTCCGCTGCCTCTGCTGCGCCATCGTCCACACCCACCTGTGCCCTTGGCCGCCGAACCGGTCCCCGACGGAGCTTGGGCAAACCCCATGCAATCGATGCTGCAAATTGCGCCGTTCGTCTTAGGTCTTGGAAAGTCGTATCCTTGGGCTGGATAGGTCGGAGCGTCGGTCCCTTTCGAACGAACACCCGGGACACCGCCGGTCGCCACCTTATCTCCCTGCCCGTCACCTTCAGGACCCCTCTCCTGGGGCAAAACGGCCGATGAAGGGCGGACTGTTAGAGCCCACTGCCCCTGGTCTCCACGTTCTGTAGGCAACACGAACCTCGGAAGCGGACTCGGTGACTGACGTTGCGCGGAATTTCCGCTGCTGACCAAATTACGGGACTTCCGTGCTCTGCTTGACCGCAAACCGCCTCGCGGCGGTCTTCTCGGCAGTGACTTTGCGATCGCCTCTGCATGCTTTCTCCATGCGGTTTCTTCGACCGCAGACTGCTTAGGCTGAATCAGCCGGAACGTTAATGCTTCATTCGCCACTGATCTGTATCTCCCGAACCGCCCCAACCTTGTCTCCCGTGCTCTGTGCCCCTTCTCGGGAGTTGCCCCTGTATCATCTCCGCACCCCGAAACAGGCACTCCCCCGTTCCTACCCTCTTCTCCATCCTCGACTGACAACGAACAGGCTCCACGGTGAGCGGCCGCCTCGCCTAGCTTCCCTGCAGGACTGTCCGCCATGCTACTGCCTCCTCGACGTCGACTAGCGTGGATTGGCAACAGGCTAGAAAGTTTTGGCTCCGGAGCACTTCCACTTGGATAATCTCGCTTCTTGGCGTACACTATTTCTTTCCGAGTGGGAAGCTTCCTAACGATCACTACTCTCATGGCCGTGGCGTTTCTTCCCTTATAATGCTTGCCTATGGTACCGAAGCGATGCAATACTACTACCCTTTGTAATCCCCATTTACCCTCCTATGTGCGTCCACCGTCCCGGCCTCGGCTGGTCTCCACGTGCGACCTGCTACCCCAGCTTTGCCAAAGGCGGCCCTTCCATCGCCGTGCTCTCTTTGCGCACTCCAGCGAATCCTGGCTACTGCCGACCTCCGGCACATGGGGTGGCCGCGCCAACCGCCCGCCGCACACTTCCAACCATACTCTCCGGCCCTTCCAACGCCGTCCCACCCACCTTGCGCATCAGTTGCTCCATCAATATCTGCCACTCCACCTCGTCGAGCAACAGCCAAAGGCTGCCGGCGATAACATGTCCACGGTGTCCCTCGTGCAACCGGACTACCCGGCTAGGTTTGCTCCCTCGCCACCACCAACGTCGCATCAACGGCCTTCATGCTAAAGCGACAGCCAGGATCCCCCTGCCTGTCCTCTTGTAGTCGCTAGCCACCGGAGTCTCGACTTGCAAACCCTCTTGGAGATTTCTCGTGACCACCTCGCATCCTCCTCCTCAGGTCGCCCCCTATATCCGACTTCACCGTGTCCCAATAGGGGACTCGACACGGTCGGCCCCCGCCTCGCTCAGCCGCACGCAATGCCCATCCAACTACCGACGACCGTCAAAGGGACCCCTGCAATACTACCATAACCTCTTTCTTTCCTTCACTCTCATTCGTTATTGTCGCCTTTGCTATCTACTCCATGCAACGATGACACCGAAGGGTACTGCTGGACTTTCTTTCTCCGCAGACTTACCCACACTAACCTTACTGTTCGCCGACCTCCAACTTCTCGCGACATAGCCATCACCCCTACTCAACTTCCAACCCCCGGCTCCCTACTTCACTCACGACCATAGAACCAGATGGTCGAGACTGTTCAAGAACCTCGCCAGCTCATTCCCGCATACCCCCGCTTCTGATCTATCACCTAGGTAGCATTCTCTGACTCTTAAGTCTCCCCGACCCTAGCCGCGAGCCCTCTTTCGAGCAGCAAGAAAACCTGCTTTATAGGATGCCCACCTCCACTCTGCGTAACCCCTCATTTACACTTCCACGGTGACTACATCTGCCATGTTCTCACGATGTCGGCCTCCCAGCTCAACGTCGATACCTCGTCCTCCCCGCGGCAACCTCTTGACAGCCAGAAAAATGCTGGCGCCGACATGTCCATGATGGCCTTTGTCCAGCCCGGCTGCCCGGCTAGGTTCGCCTACCAGAATGAGCATCGTGTCAAAGGGCTCAACGCAGAAACCCTAGCGAGGTCTTCCTTCCCACGCCCTCATGGCTGTCGACTCCGGGTATGCAGCAATCCGGTCAGATACTGGCAATCCATCGACCTGCATCTTCTTCAGCCTTAATATTTCCATATACAACCAACAGATAATCTCCTCGGAATGGACCGAGCAATGGTTCTTCATGGTCGGCCGTGTTCATCCCTTTGCCCTGACGTGGAAATCGAGCGACGTGATGGCTTGGAGTCGGACGATGATAACATCACAGAATACACCGTCCCCGCGCTTATAGTCCGCGATCACAGCTACCAACCGTGAGTCTATGCTCCAAATCTCTGTCGCCACTGCCCTCCTGACGATATCCATAGAATTGTCACTCGCACCCTCAGCTCGGTGGATACTTTCCCAACGATACAACCCATTGTCTCCTTCACGGGACCTGTCATCGGCTCCGGCCGCGACCTCCTGCATGGAAACTCGGCTGCGGCCCTTGACGACACCCAGCTGAGCTGCTGCGGCTTTGTCCAGCTCTCCACCTTTATTTGTCCTGGGATTCCCGGCAAACCCCTTCAAGGGCTTTCACCTTTCAAGTTTTCGTCATCTTCCCCATTCACGCTAATCCTTGGACCTCCCTATGCAAGAAGATGACCGAGAGGCGCGACAGCCAGTTCCAGTCGAACGCTCTCTTCACCTGTACGGGCAAAATCGCCGGCTTACTGGATCACCAGATCATGAAACATGCCCCGGCTTTCGACCAAGACTATATCTTCATCGTCGTCCCCGACACGTGGACTTTCCACGACAAGGCCATGTCCGCCAGGCTTCTGCAACACAACTACTGCCGACGACACCCAAGGCGCGGTCGGCAATCCTCGGACTATAGCTTTCCGTGGGCCAGTTTCACCTCGACGAAGAAACCAAGGCCGCCCAAAGCCCCGCCTCCCCCACGCCGCATGCTTCTGGCCCAGTCGATCCCCTTATGCTGGCATCAAGTCGGTCATTGCCCGATCCCTACCAAACCCCAACCAAGAGACCGCGACTTTCTCCCGAAACTTCCACCATAATCACCGACTGTGACGGTCAAGACTCCCCAAATCCGATACCTCCTCCTTTCTGTCCCCGGAAGAACCCGCAGAGTCAGAGACGGACACCGAACAGGTCAATCACCAAGACACATCCGCCTCTGGCTCTATCAGACCTCCCGCGTCGATATCTTCCCGACCACTGCGCGCCCGACGTCCGCCCAAGAATATTCTCTGAACTTTAAAGCATCAAACGAAACAATACAACATGACAACATGTCTCATCATCCTCAAAATCAACTGCCAAAGGCTCGAATAGCACATTCTCTTCTCTTCTTGTTCTCCTTTTCATGAAGACGATCAAGTCAAAACTTCCCAATATACTCCTTATTCTGTTTATACCTACGACTTATACCGGTAGCACATGTAAATTTTCCGAGCCTTCCACTCGCCCAGACATGCATTACCCCTCACATCTCTCTTCAACCTGCCGTCTCTCCACGCCCTTTGAGTTTGCGCCTTTTAAACCAAATTTTCCTCCAGCGGCCTAGCCTGCCTTCCCGACGCTCTGTCTCGGTTTCACTCACGATAATGCTCTACGTCTCTCGCCGTGTCTCGTATCTCGACCTCACTCTTCTTCCTGTCTCCTATCTACTGTCGCCAACTCTCTCTCTCTTCTGTAGCCAACTCTTCTCCGGTTCTCTTGTCGCCAAATTTCGTTCCGAAAGGCTTCTTTGCGCGAGCCGCGGCTGGCGAGCCTTCCTCTCGTGTTAATTCAGCCCGAAGGGCGTTCTACTCAGTCAGAAAGAATCGAGCATAAAACCTCTTCTGATTGGCCAATTAGCCTCCCCTGTGCTCAACTCGCGAACGAATTGGTCGGCTGATAACGCCACCAAATGAAGGCCCACCATAAACCCTGAGCGTTGACTAGGTAACCAGGAGCTCTCCAAGGGCTCGCCAAGAGCTTTCACTTCTTTCTCTTTTCCGTCGAATCTATCAAACGCATTGGTTTGCTAACGGTATCTAGGTTTCACACATCACCTCCGCGGCCGACCTACCTCTCAATATTCCCCGGTTACCTTACCTCCAGGCAAGCTGTACAGTCTCCTCCTACATTGTTTAGACCTGATCTAACTACCGCAAAGACAGCCTCCCTATTGAGATCTATCACGGTCTTGGACCTCTCGGCTGTCAGCCAGCTCTGCTAGCACCGCCAAACCCTCGCAAAGCCTCCCTGCCCGAGCAATATATAGCAACTTAGGTCGATACGAAGTGGATATATACTGTCAGATGGAGAACGATACACCCCAGGCGGTCCGCAACTGCCGTACCTGCAAGCAAGACCTGCCCGAAGTCGAGTTTCGAAGCGTCAAGGACCCTACAAAGTTCACAACAGAGTGCGCTAACTGTAGGGCACGCCGAAGGAGCGGATAACCGAATCCCGAGCCGTCGTCGCCGCAATGCAGAAGATCGCCTCGAAGCCATTGCCACGCAGAGCCTCGAAGAGGACCGATTCACTAGCTAACCTGACGCCTCCAAGGCGGACTGCACCAACGCCTGCGTCTGCGAACGCCTTACAGCCTCCTTCCATGGCTGATTTATTCCGTGGCCTGGTGCCTGCACCGACGGGAATGCTCAGAGCTCCGCAGGGGCCTTCTACCCCAAGCGCTGTAGAGGGATCTTCCCCTATCCCTCCTACTCCTGGCCTGCCAACGGTGGTTCTAGGCACGCCGATTCCTGAAGTCACTCTTTCTGCCACCCCTTTGTGCTAAGCACGTCTATATCACAAGAATGGCTTCCTGCCACTCCTTCATTACTGCCACAGAGTCATTGCCGCGGCCGTTATACGTCAAGTCAACATTAACCCCGGCCACGGCCACAGCCTCAAGAGCGACAGTTCGATCAGATGGTTGATCCGCCCTTTACAGGGGACCTTAACTTGCCTGCCCTTAGTGAGGAGGATCGGGCTCTTGTGCAGGAGTTCTATACTGCCCTGAATGACGACAAGGTGCATAGTTGCATTCGCTGCCAGGAGCGTTGGTTCGATATGAAGCGAAATAGCTCGAAAATCTGCAGTCGCTGCATTGGCCGAGACAGGAAGAAAGCCCTCGACGAGCCCTACTTCTTTAGCGCTGCGAATAACCTTGATTTTGGGGAAGTCCCCGCCAATCTACCTGATCTAACGATGGTCGAGGAGATGCTCATCGCTAGGGTTCACGTACATGTGAAAGTCTTGCAGGTGCGTGGCGCTCAATACAAATATCGCGGTCACGTTGTCCACTTCCTTCGCAATGTTGGCAGGCTCTTTGAAGAGCTCCCAGTCCTACCTGAAGAGCTAGATATCGTCCTCCTGCGGCCTCCTAATGTGGAGGGCGACCCTCGCTTTCGGCAACAGTTTGCTCGCGATTTCCGGGTACGTCGCTCGTGCCTGTCGGCCTGGCTGCATTACCTACACCGTCACCACCCGGGCTATCGCGATATCGTTGTGAGCCAGAATCGCCTGCAACGTCTTCCTCTTGATGGCAGCATAGTTGCTTCCATTGCCAGCCAAGTGGCTGACATAGCTGACGGCGAGGTCCCCCAAGGTCCCGTTGAGGAGGTTGTGGAAGAGGACCCTAGCGATGCCGATGCATCAGCGATCCCGAATTTGCAGGTCACTGATACCGAATTGAACGCTCTGCAGTCCCGATTTCTTAATAGGACCCTTAACCTGGGCGCATGACTGATCTGGAGTATATGCCGCGTAGCGCAGACTCACCACCAGATGCCACTGCCTTCCATTCGCAGGACCCCTATCGACGAATTCAACCGTTCCCAGCCGCTGTTAACGCTCGCGTTCCCTACCCTCTACCCTGACGGCAAGGCCGACTTCGTGGAGCTTCGCTTACGGAGCATCACGTATCAGGACTACCTTGGCCATGCGATGAGATGGCATGACGGACGTTTTGCCCGCCATAAGACGTGGCCTTTCGTCGCCCTCAATACGATGTTACGTGCGCAGGTCCGAAAGCGAAGTGACTACTTCGTCAAGCAACGCGACAGCCGCCGTCAACCCCTTACCCGCGCCGACCTAGAGGAAGCGATGGCTGAGCCTGACGAGCCGGAGGCTCAGGCGCTGATCAGTCAATCACGCGCCAAGCCGCGGTAATCAGGGCACCCGGCCGTATTGGTATAAGCAAGGAAGGAATTGGAAGCATATGCCTATAATCTAGGCAAGCCTGGCCTTTTCGCTACTGCAAGTGCAGCCGATTACCACTGGGAATCCCTATACCGTCATATGCCTCGATTTGACGAGTGGCAAACAGCTCCTGAGGTGGCGCGGATGGCTCTATCCCGGCAACTGCTGCGGGACAACGCCCACATCGCTGCTTACCACTTCCATAAACGTTATACGCTATTTAGGACTATTGTCCTGAAGCAGAAGTTCAACCTAACGGACTCTTGGGGCCGCTACGAGTGGCAGGGCAGGGGTTCCAGTCACCACCACGGCCTATATTGGCTAAGCGGCCACCCAGACTTAGATCCTGACAACGATCAGTCCCGGGAGCAATTCGCCCGCATCTGGGGATATCATGTATCTGCTGTCAACCCAGAGCCTCAGCGAATACAGGCGCCTGGAGGGAATCCTGATCGGCAATCTATTGGAGCAGCCCTTACGGTTCAGTTCCTATCAATGGTGGTCAACCGCGTGCAACGCCACCGCTGCAACAACTACTGTATGCAGCTCAATAAGCATACCAAGCAGGTGGAGTGCCGCTTTGGATTTCCTCACGGACAGCGCCTGCTAGCCTCCCTTGACAAGGTTCCTCATTCTAAACACTGGAACTTCAGGGGCGAGAGGAACGATGGCCAGATTAACCACTACAACCGCTTGCTTACCGTTGCGTGGCTAGCCAATACAGATGTTTCGCCCTGCACGAGCCTCCAGCAGGTAATCGATTACGCGGCCAAATACTGCTCCAAGTCGGAAAAGAAGAGCGAGTCTTTTGCCCAGATCGGAAGGCCCTGATGCCCCGGGTTTTCTTTCACGTCAAAGCTCCTTAATCAGCTGGTTGCTGAGCGGGATTACTCGAAGCAGGAGGTCAGCCACTTGCTCCTCGGCCTGCCGTTACAGGAAGGCTCACGAACCTGCCTGTACGTTGACTGCCGTAATCCTGACAGGCATTCCCGCTCCCTCCGTATTGACGGCGATGAGGTTGACGAGGCCCCCAACGTTTACGAAAAGTACACTCAACGCCCGGAAGCCCTAGCGGACCTAAGCTATGTCTCCTTCCTCAAGTGCTGGAATTTCCGTCCTAGGGACCCTTCCAAGTGGAAGCAATGGCAGCCAGGCAACGTTAACGGCAGGCCTCGTGTGCTGGTTTACTTTCCTCGCTATCTGGCTGATCCAGAAGGTCAACAGTGGCCAGATTACTGCCGTGCAAAACTGACATTGAACCACCCACATCGGCGGTTTGATGAGCTCCTCACATTTGATGGCCAGGTTTTCAGTTCTCATGTCCAGGCCTTCTCCCATTGTTGGCAACACCACAGTCATAGTGATGACCATTACGGCCGGCCAAAAGAGGCCCGACTACAGCCTCAAGATGATCAATACGAGGCTCTGCCTGTGGAGGAAGAGTTTGACGACGAAGACTGGATTCGCCTCGCCGCCCTTTTACCTGACAACCCCCTTACTCAGGAAGATCTTGACCTTCTTGGCCGCCGCGATATCGACGTCAATTACGACTGGACACGGCATGTGGGTACATATCCGGAACTTCGAGATGGCTACTGGAAAGACTTTATCGCTAGCCACCCCATGGCCAACGATGTGGAGGTCCTTGGCCCTCACTGGCGTAATACGCTGAATCCACAACAACGGCTCGTGTACGACACATTCATGGGTCACTTCCAGGCGCAAAATCCTACTCAGGTCCTTCTCCACGTTGATGGTGGTGGTGGCACAGGCAAGTCCTTCCTTATCAAGGTGCTTTCTTCCCATCTTCAAGCAGCCGCCCTCCCGAATCCTAGCCCTATTTACCGCGTGGCGCCAACAGGCGTTGCGAGCAACCAGATACAAGGCAGCACCATTCATTCGTTGCTACGCCTCCCAATAGGTGGTACTTTTACCGACCTTCCCCCGGCCGACGCAGCCGCCCTTCAGTCCCGCCTACGGCACGTCAAATACCTCGTTATCGATGAAAAGAGCATGCTAGGGCTTGAGCAGCTCGCGCGGATCGACTCCCGTCTGCGGCAGGCCTTTCCACAGCGTAACCTCGAGTTCTTTGGTGGTGTGAGCGTCCTGCTTGTGGGCGATTTCTTCCAGTTACCACCAGTCCGGCAAAAGCCCCTGCATTCGACGAGCACCGGCCTGTCTTCGTTGGAAAGGAGAGGGCAGGTGGCCTACCGGTTATTTGACCGTACCGTCTTCCTGACCACAGTACAGCGCCAGGCTGGTGATGATCAGGCCCAGTTCCGTCAGGCGTTGCAGGAACTGCGCGAAGTCAAGCTATCTATACCATCCTGGAACCTTCTTAGCAATCGGGTACAGGCTAGGCTAACGCAGAGCGAGGTCCATAGCTTCAGGACCGCTTTGCGAGTGTACTCTACAAAGGCCGGGTCAACGAATATAACCACGAGCATATGGTGCACCTCAACGCTCCGGCTATACAGGTGGAGGCAAAGAATCAGGGCAAGGGCGCGGGGCAGGCACCAAGCGACAATGCTGGCAATCTATCTAACAAGTTCCCCATTGCTAAGGGCACCAGGGTAATGCTCACTACTAACCTATGGCAGCCAGCTGGCTTGGTTAACGGTGCTCAGGGTACTGTATACGATATCGCCTGGAACGCAGGCGCCGACCCATCGGAAGATCCCCCAGCCGTTATTATGGTAGATTTCGATAGCTACGATGGACCGCCATATCTAATAACTAACGAGGGCAGGAAAATCTCACCCATCCTCCCAGTCAGGCGTGATTTCCTGGTGGGCAACGAGACCTGCTCGCACGCAGTTTCCCTGATGGTGGCGTTTGCCATCACTGTTCACAAATGCCAGAGCCTAACAAAGGATCAAATAGTTACTGATCTCGCTACACGCGACTTCCAGGCCGGGATTAGCTATGTTGCCGTCTCAAGGGTTACATCGCTGCAAGGCCTACTCCTTGAGGCGCCTTTCGATCGTCAGAGCCTCTATAACCACACGCCGACGGAAGGTTATACGCCTACGTTTCCTACGTACTGCATTCATGGCTAACCATGAGACAGGGATGAAGATGCGCCTCGCTGACCAATATCGCCGTCAGGGTCAACAGCTGACCGATTCACCGTATCCACCACCCTACCTTGACTAAACGTTGTCTTCCTCTATGCTGCATGGAGGGGTTGATATATAGTATATAGTTAGGTTGAGCCTGTAAGAAAGCGGCAGACTCTTGACTATCAGTCAAATCCCTTAGTGCAGATTTGGAGCGGTTCAAACTGCTGGTTGCCCGCGGCAGGCAATGGGGTTCTAGGGGTTCCCCCTAGGAAAGCGAATTGCAGGTATATGATATTCACCCTTCGGGCTGGATATTCTGCCGTTAAGCCCCTTGCCTTGGCAACTTAACGGGTGTTCGAAGTATTTTTTCTCTAGAGACAAAACGAGAATTACCGACAAGATCAAAGCCTGGGTAGTTGTTGCAGAGGCAGAGTGTCGCGAGTACGGAAAAGGCGAAAAGGTCAAGGCGATGCGCTTTGATCGCGGAAAGGAGTTTCTAAACGAGGCAATGAGGGTATTTTGCACGGGAGAGCTATTCGGATCGAACCAACAGTGGGCTACCACCCGGAGGAATAGTATCTCTGAGAGGAGCATGAGAACCATATCAGAGAGGGGTCTGCTATGCGTCACGAAATGGACCTCCCGGCAGCATACTGGGAGTTTTCGAACGCAACAGCGGCCTATCTGAGAAATAGGAGTTGTCAAGGGAATGGCTAAAAGCCCATGGGAGTTATGGCGTGGAGAGAAGCCAAGATCAGGGCACTTGAGAGTGTTCGGATGTCCTGCCTGGGTATTTATTCCCAAAGAAAAGAGAACAAAGCTTCTGAAAAGAGCATGGCAAGGAGTTTTGTTGGATACAAAGAGGAGACAGATAAAATCTATCTAGTCTGGAACCCAGCTGATAAGAAGGTCCACGAGGTTCGATTCGTGGAATTCGATGAGAGCAAGTATATGGACAATGAAATCAGCCAAGAATCACAATCGCAGTATGACGATGAGAAGGAAGAGAAAAAGGAGCAAGGAGCTCACTGATGATGACTCTGATGCCGAAGATTCGGTCAGGGATAGGACTATGGACCAGGAAGCTACAGAAGCTGGGAGGATGCCGGAGAAGCAGCGGATGGGAACCCGACCGACCAAGACACTGCAGATTCGGAGGAAGAGCTACAGGAGACACAATCATTGTCAATACAGGGAGGCGGATATAACCTCTCCTGAAAGGAGTCTGCCGAAAACAAGATCCCAGATTCGACGAGAGGCCGTGGCACTCAAAGAGCAGAGAAGCAGCGAGCACAGCTGGAATGGCGGCAAAGAGAAGAACAGCGCATGGCAGAACGTCTGAAGAAGCGAGGGAGAGTGGCAGGAAGGAAAGAGCCATGGTAGCAAGGACGCTTCTCCAGCCTAATACAGACCTGTACGACTTCGACCCGAAAAAACTTACCTTCCGACAGGCGATGGAAGGCAGTGAGAAGGATCAATGGGTAGGAGCTATAGATGAGGAAGTTCAGAATCTCATTCGACGACAGACATTCTCGGAGGAAATCAACGAAGTTGACGTGCACGGAGAAGAAGTAGTTGATGCCAAGCTTGTGTTTGATCACAAGAAAGACAAAGAAGGAAGATACTACGGTATAAAGCACGTCTAGTCGCGAGAGGTTCACACAGAAACACGGGATCAATTACGAGGAAACCTTCGCACCCACGATCCGGCTCGATGCGATGAGGATCATTCTAGCTTTAGCGGCGAAGAAAGGCTGGAAGGTATACCAGATGGATGCTGTGGCTGCGTTCCTTGCAGCAGACCTAAAGGAAAGGATCTTCATGAAAGTGCCAACTGAGCTCCAGCAATATTTCGGGAAATAGGTTCAGATCCTGAAGAGTTTGTACGGATTGAAGCAAGCTGCAAGGATGTGGTATTTGCTAATATCAGAATATCTCAAGGAGATTGGTTTCTCACCGATGACAGTGGACCCGACAATATTCAGACATACAGAGTCGGGGGTAATCATCGGCGTGCACGTGGATGACTTTATGATTGGCAATTGATATACGGGCCCAACCACTTTACTACACGGGCGCTCCTTACACGGGCGGCGGTTTTTAATTGGGCCAAAAATTCTGCCGCCTGGTCCTTGCACGTGGCAGGGTCTGTAGCCCCACCACCTGGCAGAAGGGGTGACATCCCAGCTGCCAGTTCTGTAGTGACAACTAACTCTCCCACAACCAACTTTCCGTCTGAGCAATCATTCGGTTAAGCACCAACCGGCATGACATTGCACGAAGACCCAACTGCTGCCAACAGCGGCGACGGCTGTAGTAGATCCCTTCCGGGCTTGCCTCCATGCAAGCGCCGTAGACTTGCATCACGGGCTCGGGCTCAGCCTCCTTTCAATCCTGAACCGTATTACGGCCTTAACGACGATGATGCGTTATACAATCTCTTCGCGACATGGCCAGAAAGCTACTTCACTAGCCTGCCAAGACCACACGGCTCTCGTGGCGTCGACGAGCCCTGGTGGAAACTACGTCAGTCACAAATATTCTTGGATGATAGCTTCCGAGGAGGTGGGGCTCGGCGGTTGTTCACCACAGGAATTCCTGATGCAGACAAACTCGAGAGACAGCGTCTACGCTGCCTCTTGAGGGTGGAGGAAGTCGATGCCCGCAAGCAGGTTGTGGCCCGCTTCCAGCCTGCCTTGACCTTGGCCTGGGAGCTGGCGGAGACAGATTCCTTATTGGCTCGCGAGTTGGCCAAGTGTCGAGAAGCGTCCGGCCCACGGCAAGCTATTTGGGAACGTGGAGACGATTGCCACGGCCGTATTGCGTCGCCCACTCCACTAGTATCATCGTTGAGCCAAGATGGACAGGAGTACGAAGAGTGGAACGGCTTCTCCGACGCCGAGTGTGGGGATTATAGCGACGTTGAACCTATTCCCAATCCACAAATCCCCGGTACTGCAGCTCCATCGATCGAGGCCCTTCACGCCGAGGTGAACGCATTCGCAAAAACGAACGGGTTTGGCGTTGTCAGGCGAAATGGAACTGGGAGTCGAGCCAGAAAGACGCGATACGTATTGGAGTGCGATCGGTACGGTCAGCCACGCCCGTCTGAGGGGACTGGGCTTCGCCAGAGGCGGTCACGCAAGTCCGGCTGCAAGTGGAAGGTGATCGCGGAAGGCTTGGCAGAGAACAGCTATATGTGGACGCTACGAGCATTTCCCGACCCTGAGCACGGCCAACATAACCACGAACGGAGTATTAGCCTCCGCGCACCCAGTTCACCGAAGACTTACAAACCCTGTCAAGGCAACAATCGAAACAACAAGCCGGCGAGTTGGCATCCGGGCACGTGATGTAGGGGGACTTGTTCGGGACAGCCACCCAGGAACCGTCTATATGAGAAGGGACATATATAACGCCAGGGCGCTTCTGCGCCGCGAGAATCTTGGCGGAATGAGCCCCACAGCCGCGTTAATCAAGCTTTTCGACGAGAGGGGCATCCCCTATATCGCCAAGTGGTCAGAGACCGAACCTGACCGCCTTGTTGGGTTGGTATGGACCTTTCCATACTGTATCCGTATGTGGAAACGCTTCCCGGAGGTGATAAGCTTCGACAACACTTACAACACAAATCGCTTCAAGCTCCCGCTCTTCCAGGCGACGGGTCAAACTTGCCTCAAGTCGGTCTACAACGCTGCTTTCGGCTTGATCGATAACGAAAGGCGTGAAGGCTTCCAATTCCTCGCTGAAGGGATTAGGCAGTTGGTTGAGAGGCATGGAATTCAACTACCCAACGTTGTGATCACGGACTTCGACCAACAGATGAAGGCGGCACTGGAAGATCAGTTTCCAGACGCTCAACAACAGCTTTGTATCTTCCATATCAACTCGAACGTACTACTTAACGCCAAGCGCAAGTGGAAGCACGCCAAGGAAGACAGCGACGGTGGCTCTAATACTGAGCAATCGCAGGCAACGTTAAATTCGCGCGACAAGGAGGCGGTCCTTGCGGCGGGAGACAAGACGAGCCGCTGTCTCGGAGCAACGTCTCCACGACCGTACCCACAACTACCGTGGTGTCCTTGAAATGTGGAAGCTCGTGGTTTTCGCAGAGACAAAGGAAGACTACGAGAAGGTTTGGGTGCGCTTATGCGACGAGTTCGATGACCAGGAGGCCATTCTGATCTACCTTTACAATACCTACTTGCCCTGAGCCCGCAATGGTCTCAGTGCTTCATCAAAAGCATCGTAACTTCGGTATTCGCGTCACGTCTGGCACGGAGGCAAGCAACAACAACGTCAAGAGCTATCTGCTCAATGGAATGAACCATCTATTTGGGCTCATCGAGGCGATAGAGGGCATGTTGGGTGATCAGGAACGAGATTTTATCGACAATTGTGCACAAGATGAAGTTTTAACCACGCGTACCTACTCTAGCCCTGGTTCTGAGTACCTGGGCGAGCTCCGCATGACTGCATCTCAACAGGGCTTAATCTCATAGCCAGGGAACACCGCTACGCCTTGAAAGCGATACCAAGCAGGTCTCGCCCTTGGCCAGAACCAATCGGAGACTGCGGCGAGAACTGTTCCGTATCCTGGCAACTGGGGATCCCTTGCCGCCATACGATCTACTGCAAATTGGAAGCAGGTGAGTTCCTAAGGAGGTGGGATGTCCACCCACGGTGGCATCTACGGGAGCCTTCTTCACGGGACCCTTACCGCCGAATCCTGGATCCCAGGATCGCAACGAGCCTTCGTGGACGACCGAAGAATACGGTACAGCCTGTCCCTACGAGTATGGTGGTTAATCGAGCGGGTAGCCGACGCCGAAAGAGTCAGACAGTGACGGGCAAGAAGACGGCCATCCTCAGGCCGGGCAAGACGACAGGCGCTCGGGCTACTGGGCGCAGAAGTCGGCCGAGCGTACGGAGGCAACGGTCGCAGTGGGAGCTCATAAGTGATGACGAGGCAAGCGCCGCGACCAAGCTCGACTGGTCGTTCGGGTTCCCGTAAGCCGCCCGCTGCCTCGGCGAACTCGACTGCACCGAACCCGCGCAGCGAGACAGGCATCAGTGAGTGTGTTATTGTTCGGACGAGCGAGAGGGTGACTAGATCCATGGCATCTTCGCAGGGTACGTTGGAAAGCTGGCCATCCTCGCGCCTGTAACGGACTAACGGTAGGTTCTGACTGTGCACATATGTCGATGTCTGTTGCATAATTTCTTCTCGAATTCTGGACCGATTCTTGGAGTACCTTTAGATAGCGTTAAAGAGCCGGACGGCCGCATCGTATTAATTCATTGAAGTAGTGATGACAAGGTTATCAGATTAGCGGTAGAAGATGTCATCTTAGTGAGCGAATGCGTGTGTTGTGGTGGTCTCACCGCCTTTGGTGGGCTGACGGGCCGTGTTGGTGGGGCTGGCCGGTCGTCCATACAGCCCGTGTAAGGAGCGCCCGTGTAGTAAAGTGGTTGGGCCCGTATATCAATTGCCTTATGATTACAGGGGGGGACGAGGTTGCCATTGAACGGGTCAAGGAAAAGCTGAAGGGAAGATTTGAGATGAAAGACCTCGGAGAAGCAGAGAACATTCTCGGAATTCGGATTCAAAGGCACAAAGGAAAGCTGATGATTGATCAATCACAATTTGCGAAGGAAATCGTGGCAGAATTTCTCTACGACGACTCAATGAAGCACGCAACCCCCATGGAACCTGGAGCTATACGGAAGCTCGTTGAGGAACCGGGACGGCCTCTGAACCATGACGAATGGTTGAAATACGTGGAATTGCTCGAAAGCTGATTTGGCTATGCAATACGAGGTTCGACATTATATTCGCAGTTAACAGAATGGCATCTTTCACGGTAGAGGCATGCTGGAACCACTGGAAGGCTTTGCTACGAATATTGGGTTATGTCAGCAGGACTATTCACCACGGTATCACATATGGCGGAAATAATGAGCACGCACAAGGAGTCGAAGGCAGCGATATCGACTATTATTCCATTGACCACAACATCGAAGGGCACGTCGGCTCTGCAGGCCTGCAAGATGGGAAGCGTTCTCTGACACCGACTACGCTACTGATCAAGGGACCGGAAGAGTATCCTGGGGTTCATCTTTATGGTCTACGGAGGCGCCGTCATGACGTATAGCAAGAAGATGAAATCAGTGGCAAGATCTACGACAGAAGCAGAGTATGTTGGGATGGGGGAGGCCACAAAAGCTGCTCTCTGGGGACGTCGACTACTTGCAGAACTGGAAGGAAAGGGGGAGCAAACAGTGCCACTACTGCTTGGAGATAATAAGGGAGCTGTACAGCTGACCCGAGGAGTATCGAACACGTCGAAAATCAAGCATGTTGATATAGCATTTCATCACGTCGTTGATGAGGTCAAGGAAGGGAGAATTCAAGTCTACTGGGTTCCAGGGGAGAATATGCTAGCAGATGGGATGACCAAGCCTCTGCCTAGGGATGCTTTCGAGAGGAACAGGAGGAGGATTGGAATTGGACCCATACGCTATGAATAGCGTTGCCATTGTATTGGTTGAAGTCTGACAGCTCTAGGGGAGTGTTGAGACATGGACCAAGACATGTTTAGGCAGCACCTACAAGTGGTGAGTCACTGGATAGTGGCACGGACGTGCCGCTATGTATATATGTATGTTGAGAGCTGTCAGACAGAATAGAATAGAAGTAGGTTCAATCGCAACACTTACGGTTAATGGTGTCGATGATAGGTTGCCACGATTCATTGATTGACTCGACGGTGATGTCCGTGCAGCATTCGCGTATGACACCTGCGGACTGTTATGAACAGAGGATGCTGAGTAGCCAAGGTCTCGAGCTGCACTCGGACTTAACGAAGCCCGTTGTGCAGATGCTTCATTCCTTCCCCCGTTTCTTTCACGTGCTGATTCAGTACTTGAATCATCTGTCGCTGTTCATCAATGGTCGCATTTCGCTCGACAACCGCTCGGCTAAGTCTCTGGATCTCTTGACGGGATACGCTCAGCAGGTCCAAGGCCGTCTGGACCATAGCTTTGCCTTCGTTGACACTACCGCTGCTGCTGCTGCTGAGCCTCTGCCGCTCGGTCGTGCTATTATTGGTCGTGACTTCGTCTGGCGTTAAACGCGTTGCAATACTGGCGCTCTGCTTTGTCCTATCCGCCGCTGTATCTTCAAGCTGCCGCGTGGCTTCCCGAATCTTGCTGCTAGGTCTCGTGACGCGACTCGAATATTTTCGTGGGGGTTGGAGCGGGCGGCGCGCCCCGCCTCACCATGATCACGGCCTCAGCCGACTCTTCCATGCCGGAGTCCCCCTCAATCTTGCGGTGCTGTTCCTTCGATTCTTCGTCCTGAGGAATTGCGATGCGTTGCGACAAATGCATTGGGTGCTTGTTTCGCATTCGTCGCGTGGGGAGCCCGCAGTGGAGTCCATCGTCCGTCCATCCTCTTCTGTGTGCGGGGGGCCACAAAATCAGGTTTGTATGAGTTTGCTGAGGTAAGGTAGCCATGCATACATGTTCATAAGGTTATAGCTCAATCACATGATCCGTGTCAGGCAGTCACAACCCCGCGCCGGGCGAATGGGCCGGCTGATTCGAAACGGAAGATAAACGTCAACTCTTCTCTCGACTTTAAGCAGGATAGCTGAACCCGTAAGTTGACAAAAGGGATACGACCGGTAATGCACGCTAAAATAATGACCAGTATTTGTTTCCCCTCTCCGGTCTGCCCATATGAGTCACGCGAGAGCGGGCGATGAACAGGTCCTTCAACAAGACCTCGACGAACACGAGAGAGTGATCGTGGACGAGCTGTACAGGTGGTTACACGCAAATCCGCACGCGCGATGGAGGCAGTCAGAGATATATCCAGGACTAGAACAATGCTTCGAAAAGGAATTAATAAATATTGGGAAGCCGCTCCAGCCAAAGGTTTGCCGATGCTGTACTGGTCACGCGATGCATATATACTGATGGTTGCAGGGAAATGGAAAGGCCGTGATATTCAGAACAGATACTGGATGTAAACTTCGCGAAGCCGGGCACCTCATCCCTATATACCCGAGCGAGGGTTGTAGGATAAAAGAGGTGGAAACTTGGCATACCTTGGAGTATGGAAAGAAAATGCACATTCCCAAGCAAGTAAGCGTGGAAGTTGCGCAAGGAAGCATAGTTTATCTTCTTTGGACTGTCGAATAGTTGGAATTCGACGAGAGACATACCAATACCATCAAAGTTGGGAGCAGTTGGCCCGTCCTGCCGCAAAAAAGTTCGGTGCCAATGGCATCCCAGAGAAGCCAGGGTCTAATGGCAGGAGATTTTCAATGCTCACTTCTTGTTGCGTTTGCGCAGATCCGCCCCCTGGTGCTCCAGGGTAACTTAAATCGTAGTTCAATCCAAAAAGGCGGTTGATGCTCACTTCGTGTTCCGAGCGCGTGTTTTCATTTGAATTCGCCTCCGGTCCAGAGACAAGCAAGTTGGCATCCGCAGAACAAGCAGCTGAAACGAGTGCCTGGAGTCCTTGATCTCCATCACTTGGAGTATGCACGATGTCGAAAGCGAATCTGGAAGTGTCTCCTGGCTGCGTGCCCAAGACGTGCCAGTTCAGTGGGTGATGTTCTTGAAGAGATACGCCCTGTGCAGGCGGGAAAACCATGTCTTGAGACCATGATGCCAGCCTGGTGCTTTGCTGGGGGTGCATATCGTTACTTTGAGCATGTATGGGACGTCGAGGGCTGACCGTGTTTTCCGCCCGCTGCCTCTTCGTAGCTGATGACAGTGACGTGCCATTCTTTTGCGACGCTGACCCTCGTTTGTTCACAGCGTGGCAACCAGGATCCAAGTTGGGAGTCCAGATGAATCTGAGATGATAGTCCAACAAGTCGCTTGCCACACGTTTTGCATTCGATTGCTGTGTCACCTTTTTGATGTTTTTGCTCCGGAGATGGTGTATAGTCGAGGTCCAGTCAGTTGCAAGAAGACCTTTATTCTCCCAGCTAGGCGCGGTCAGCAAACGCTTGCGTTGGAGAAAAGACTTAAAGAAAAGCTCACATAGAGTCCGGAATGATTAAAAAGAACAGTGGACCGAAATCATTGGTTTCTCCGTGAGTCACGTCATTGTCGTCGCCAACGTCCACCGTCCGACAGAAGTCTACAAGCCTTTTCCCACGCCGGATAATGCTCCCATATATCTCGATATCTTTTTCGGAACCTGGCAACCCAACCTGATGGAGAAATATCTGGATGTTTGTGTTCAAGATCCGGGTTGATGATTTTGGAGTCGCTCGTCTGAAAAGTCTGTAGGCAGAGACGGCCACAAACCGCCGGAAAATTCGTTGATGGTCAATCTGCTTGTCCAGGAGAGCTGCACTTTGAAGAAAGGTTCGGGCTCTATCCTCTATTTTCTCTTGGCTGTATCGTGGCAGCTCGTCGATGAAGTTTTCCCAGAAGTCTATAGGTTTTTCAAGCCACCGAGGGAAATGGCTAGAAATACTGTTGGGGATTTCAAGATGAGTTATTTGCTGAATTTTCAGGAAATTCGCCCGAGAAAAGCTTGGCTGCCCAAATACTTGACGAAGCGGCAGGTAGATTTGTCGAAGAAACCCGGGTTTTTCGCCGTCGAAAAAGCCGAAGGGGTTCTGCCTTGGAAGTGTTTTCAAAAATTCAATGACTTCTCCGTTCGTGATGGGACTGGTACGTTGATTTTCGAAGTCTTGGACCACGTCGTGATCGCGGTGAGCCATGGTGGATAACCCACGAAATGATGAACTGAGTATGAATGAGGTCGGACTCCTCAGGGTGGATGGACTACGGAGCTGGAGCGGGGGAAATACTGGCAAGGCAGGGCTTGCGGATGCACTAATCCCAGAACAATCTCGACGGGTCAGCGGTTACTAATGGAAGCTGTTTCGGATTAGCGTCTCAAACCTGCCGGGGCGGGCCAGCTCTCAAGTTCTGAGCCGTTCTCGTATGAAGCAACTGGATGGGCTTGCCTCGTCCAGTTTACCGTAAGCGGACCAACCACACTCGGAAGAATGCAACCTGAGTGGTAGACGGAGCGACGTGGAACCCGGGATTGCCTCATCACTTCCCAATTCACAGTCGCCCGGAGCGGCGCAGGCGGACAGCCGTGCAGCGGACGCGTCTCAGATGACACCCACCATGGGCTTGACCGTCAAGGCCGTCACCTCGCAGTCATTACCTGCGATCATCTAGTATCTGTATCGGCTCTGCAGACGTCAAACCATCCCAGCCCAGATGCTTGTCATCAGCGCTCTCTGCGCTGACGACCATAGCGATATGGGTCCCAAAAGTGCCGCTGGCGTGGACAAGGTGCCAATGAGCCTCACACCCATGGGTTCATCAAAACACGGGCTACTGGCCTCTCAGATGATCCGGATGTGCTGTCTTGCTTCTCTTCGGAACAATGCCTCCTATTTTTGACTTCCCTCGCACTGCCCATCCACAAGCCTTCATTCATTGCGTTTTCAGAGGGGTCTGAGGACTGAGGTGACAGAGCGACTGTCGGGATATGTTGTCTTCTGATTCGAGAAGGACCAAGGTGTATGAGGAAGCTTGGCCGAGTTGTAACTTGTCTGGACTCATCTTCAATAATGACAAGACTTGCGAGTGCAACACGGCCAAGACTCGTTGAATATGAATGAGGGAGGGATGGCAGATCATGCCCTGGAGCAGGTGGGCTTTACATAGGTACACGCTGGAGTCAAGAGTCCAGAGACAGCACTCAGGGCAATGGGTCTCTCCATCATGGCGAGAAAAGAAGCACCTCGTAG